GATTGATCTACAGATCAATCCCAGATTGATCCCCGTTTGTCTCATAGCATCGGCGAATATTGCTCTGCGGATCAATCTCGGACTGATCTACAGATCAATCCCAGATTGATCCCTGTTTGTCTCATAGCATCGGCGAATATTGATCTGCGGACCAATCTCGGATTGATCTACAGATCAATCCCCTGCTGATCTACCGATCAAACCCCTGTTGATCTACGGAGCAATCTCGGATGGATCTACAGATCAATCCCAGATTGCTCCGTCCCCGTTTGTCTCATAGCATCGGCGAATATTGATCTGAGGATCAAGCTCGGATTGATCTACAGATCAATCCCCTGTTGATCTACCCCTCTCGCGCCGGTGGGGGTGCGCCTGCTTGCCGGGCGGGCGGCGCTCCGTCCCGCTGTGCCAGCCGGAAGCGCCAAGCGCGGAAGGGCGAAAAACGAAAACGCGAAAAGTACCCGCGCCCGGGGCTCCAAGTGGCCACTTTCCGCCGTTTTTTGCTTATATATTAGCGCCGCGCGGGAGTGCTACAGCCGCAGCCGCAGCCCCCACCCCGCCTGGCGCATTGCGCAGGCCGCTGGTCGTGCCACTCATCTGAAAGCGCTTGCGCGTTTCGTGTTCTCTGGCTTCATTTGCGAAAATTCACGCCCGCAGGGGTTGTCTCGTGGCCAGCTGCCTCCCTTCGTTTTGCTACCCAGCGCCCCCAAAAGCAAGCGCGAGAAGAAGTCAATCAAAAGCCCGCCGCGGGGCTTGGCAAAAGGGCCCCCCGAATATGGTGCGCCAGCTGCGCGCGTTGGAACCGGAAGGCCGACCCTGCTGCCGGTGGCCTGTGTTGGCGCTGCTGGCCGCGCCCTAAGATTGCGCCTGCCTGATTCGTTTACCGTGCGCGGCCCGCGGTCTTGGGCAATACTCACAGCCACCGGGCCCCTTTTGGCCTCCCAAAACTACACGCAAGGCGCGGCCGCGCTACTCCGTGCGGCAACGAGCCGGCCCATTAAGGTGGCCGCGCGTGTGTGTGTGTGTGTGTGTGTGTGTGTGTGTGTGTGTGTGTTCCGTCCTTGCTTGCGTTTGCCGGCTTGGCTCCCTTTGTGTACGAGTGGGTCGACGCCCGATCGCGATCAATCTCAGGGAGGGGCGGCCGTCTTCTTGGGTTGTCCTGGGTTCCCGGAAGGGTCATGGTAATGAGCAGGCCGGTGGGTGTGTGTTTCTTCAATTCCAACGCGCCAGCGTTGCCCTCGTCTTTGTTCCCCGCCCTCCCACGAGAAAGATCAAAAGCGCGACAAAATTGACGACGGAGACGAATCGGATCCACAACCAAAAAGCAGCAGAATCGTGGTAAGCATTGCGATCGCTCACGGAGTTGCTGCGCAGTTCCAATTTCTTCCGCATTTTTTCCCATTTTCTTCTTCTCTGATCGAATTAATGACCATCGACCCCGTTCAATCTGCGAAATTGTCTACCCATCCATCTCTCCGCGTCGGAGTGTGGCATAAATTCCAGACCCTGAGTTTTTGTGTTTCTATAAATTGAATAGAGGCACGGGCTGCGCCATCCCTTGCTCTTGACACAGACACAGACGAAAGAGGCGCGGAAGACGCGCCTACTTCATCTGTGTCATACATTTTCCCGACCGTCTTCGCCTTTGGTTTCTTACCTCGCTCGTTCCTTGCTACGTTTCTTGTTTCGCTTTTTTTTCTAATTTCCTGGGGTTATTTCTGTGCCTCGTTTCTTGTTTAAATTTTTGGCTCATTGCCATTTTGGGCCTGCCTTACCTTTTTCCTTTTTTTGCAATTCCGTTGCCCTGTCATTTTAGCCGTGAAAACCCGGCGGCCTGGAATTAGATTGGAACTAGGCAAAAGAAAAATAGGCGCGCCTCTTCGATGCGCAGGTGGTTGGCGTGTCGTCTTGGCGTGTTTCCCGCGTGGTTTTCTTGTTTCTCTTTTTGGGCATTTGGCCAGGCGGCCATTTGGGTCCGTCGCCGGGTTGCGCGTGGGACCGCTTTGAAGGCTTACGATAAAACTAACACCGAGATAGCCAGTGCCCCCCCGTGAGGGGCGGCGCAGACCACTCCTATCGCATTCCTACCGAATCCGAAAGCAGTCCGATAGGTGTCGGATTGCTTTCGATAGGCGTGTGAATCTATCTGAGAAAATCATGATCGCAATCGAATCGCGAGGAGAGCATCGCGTTGCGCCTGGTCTTCCGATCCAGTTCGTTGCGACGGCGAGCATCATACAGATTTCAGACATGGGCCATAATAGGAACAAGAATCAAACTTAGTACCACCATGATAGCATTGCCTCTTCACTGTTCTCGGGCAATGCCAATGCGAATCAAATCACAAAAGACCCTCTCTATTTTTTTCTCGAATCCCATCAAGCCTAATGGATTCGGTCGATCGAATTGGGATCAGAATAGATTTCGTCTGTTTTTTTCATGCTTCGAAAAGATTCATTTTATTTGTTGCCTCTAATAGAGAAACTCATGATATCATGATCTCTTCCATTCTTTGGATCCACCATATATCTGGGGATCAATCATCAATATGATCATTCAGGATATGGAGGGGAGAAGAAAATCATTTGAATAATCGAGATGAAATCATGTCCGGGCATGGAAAGAAAGAAAGAAAGATAATTTCCATTTTCTTTCTTTCTTTCTTTCCTGTTTCTGACCGGATATGAAATGATTCAATCATAAACTCATAATTTGTTTTTTTATTTTCATTGATCGAATGATGTATGTTATTTATGAAATCGGATATTACAATCAAGAATTTCGAATTATTCAGGATATCCATATAGAATGATAATCATCGATATCAAGATTCACATTTTCATGATGATTTGAATGAGAAAGATCAACATTCCTTCATGATAATAAATTGATTCATTTTTTTCTTTCAAGATCCTGAAGAAGAATCTCGGACCGGACCTATGATGAATATGAATCATACCCAAGATATCATATGACCAGAAATAAAGAAAAGATCCTGCATCTATTATCATGAGTTTCATCCTGAGAAAATTCATCCTGAAAAAATTGAAAAAAATTGATCCTGAAAAAATTCATCATCTCTCTTCATTCTATACCTCTACGATATATCATATATCATTTTCATTCATTCGAAACAGGATCTGAATATATCGATTCATGAATAGATGAAATTGTGGATCAAGAATGAAATTAATTCAATGTTGTAATCTAAATCTCATGAGAATGAATCAGATGGGTTGTGAATGATCATCACCATAAATTTTTCCCAGAAGAATTGACATCGATTGTGTTATTTGAATCAGTGAATTTGGTAGTCATTTCATCGATGTTGAGATGTCTCGGAATGAAGATGAACGCCAACACGAGATCAAATAATTAAACGCAGGCCGATTCCGTTTTTTTTCTTTCATTCACATCACCAACAGCAGCAAATTGGTTCGTTGCGTTCTTCGGCCACCCGCCGGGCGCGTTGGTAGGGCCACAGAGCCACCGGCGGGGAGGGGGGAATTTTTCTCACACCACGCTCGCGCCGTCGCGCGCCACCAACGAACATCCATGAAATGGCGCGGCGCGCACGCAATCAGAGGGACGGACTGAGGCAAACAAAGCAGGACGCGCGTGGGTTTGTTCACGTCGGCTGATTGACATTGCGAAGGCCGGCAGACCAACCCACAAAGGCAAAGCACCATACCCACGCGGGGCGTGCCCGCTTGCGCGGAAGCCCGCCGGACGGACGAGCGCCGCGGGCAGGCAGGGAGACAGGGCGCCCCCGGCTGGCGGGGGGCGTTAGCGGTGGCGCACCTCACACAACGAACGAGCGAGAGGGGCGGCCGCCGCATTTGCGACGGGGCCGGCTTCTTGTACCTACGCGCGCGCCGGAACTGGAGACATGGACGCAACGGGTTGCGTTCCGGCTATGCATACTATTGCACGATCCGAAGACACACAAAAAAATAATGACAAAAACAAAAGCGCCGCCCCCAAACACTGTGAACGCCTGCGCCCTCATCTTCGCCGGCCGCGGAGGGGCGCCGGGCGGGCGCGCGTCCGTTCAACGTACGCGACGCGGCACCACCGCCCGGGGTGGGTCTCTGGGCGGCCGGGTCCGGATCGTGGAAGATGAGGTTCTGCGGGCGTTCTGCAGCCACGTGAGAGCGCGGACGGGCGGCGCCCACAGGTCCGGCGCCTGTGTCTTCGCCTCGGCGACCCTTCCACCGCGGCACACGCCTCACACTCGACAAACTATTCGCCATGGGCCGGCTCCCTACGCGAACAGACGGGGAGGCGGCTCTTCGCGTCGCATTGTTGCTGGTACCGCAATCGCTGCCATTCAGGATCGGACATGCGGAAACAGACACTGGCGCACTCGGTCAAACTCAAAGTCATCAACGAGGGCGCTAGAATGTTGCGCGAAGTTTAGTTTTAGAGAGAGGTATCAGTATGTAAGCATGGCAAAAGCAAATAAGGAGAGTAAAAAGAATGAGTCTATGGGGGAGCTCAGCACTTTTTTCGCTCGCGAACCAAAGAAACAAACAACAGATGGCGCTCTTTCGGTCTCTCGTCCAGATGTTGCTTTCGCTCAAGATCGAGCTCAGCTAGCTTCAAAATAAGCAAGAAATTAGAAACGACGAAGGCGAATGCCCAACAAGAGTGACTCAGTTGTTTCATGTTGTAGCAACAGGAACATGCAGAAAGTTGCAACAGAAACTGCGCTGTCCCGCGGTAAAGCGCGAGGACTTCTCTGGCAGGGACGCCACATGATCAGCGTTTTCACCTAGTGGTCAAGACAATTTTTACACAGTTTGATGTTATCCCCACTGTGCAAGCGCAGACGCAGTCAGCAGCCCCTGCGCATATTTTTCATTCAGCGCTCTAGTCTCTACGCACGAAAAAGCAAGCGACGTCCTACGCCGTGCTGGTTCTATTCATAAAAGAGTTCTAATATTTGGATAACAGGTCTTCACCTAAAGTACCTCGCGTCAACGTTTGGCTCTTCATCATAATCATCATAAAACGTTGCCTCCATGGCCTCAACCTCAGTGATTTGTTCCTTCTTCTTTTTCTTGGTTTTTCTCTTCGTGTCTTTCACTTTTGCCGTAGGCGGCAGCGTCAAGGTGTCACCACTAGTAGAAGCTTTGTTAGAAGATGAGGCTGGTAGTTTTTCATCCTGCTCGTCATCCTCGTCGGCGTTGATTTCCTTTTCCGCAGAGCAGGACGAGGAAAAAGACAAAGACGCAGCTGTAGCTCCTTGTTTTTGCTGGTCGATCTTATTTTCATCATCTTCGTTGCGTAGTACTTGCGGCAGTGTGGAGGTGCTGCGGTGGGGGTCCCCGGGCTCTCCATCTTCAATATCTCCGTCCAGACAAGACAGTTGGATCTGCTCCATATCTATGAACTACAAATATCTCTGGGTCTGGAAAGATCCAAGGTTTGTCATGCTTGTCGGACATGACTCTCAAGTCTGTCGCGCACATTACCCAAAAGTCTCACTTTTCTGTCATGCAGAAGCTCACTTTGTCACGCAGAAAAGCCAAGACTGTAGCACGACCTCCAAAACTTGTCATGCTTGCCAGTCAAATGAGGCGTCCTCCTCCTCGTCTTTCGCAACTAGCATTACAAGTTCCCAAACCCAGACATATTTGCAATGCATAGTGTCTACATACTTTACCACTTTCGGGGGCTGCTCCTCGTCCTCCTCAGAGTCGTCGCTAGCGTGATTCTATCCTCTGCAAAAGCTGGTGTATCGCACTTGTAGAACAAATCGCATCACAAATTTCATAAGGACAGGCGTGAGCAGTTGATGATTGAAGTTGTAAGAGGTAATGCGGATCTACTACCTGCTAGAAGAAAGAGTTTCTTTGTCTATGCATGACTGCAATTACTAGTGCGATGCTTTTGCAATGCATAGAGGTAGTTCATCTGGATCTTGTTCCACGGGGGAAATGTCTTCCGCAAAAAACTCACCCGTAACGTCGTACACCTCCTCTTCGTGTTGATCCCAGCTATCCACAGCAAATCCAATACTCCCGTTGATGTGCACGCAGCAGGCAAACTGACACAGAAGATGCTGATGCTGTCTGTGCATGAGCATGACAAACATTTTCTCCAACTCTAATTAGCATGACAGGCAGCCTGAACCTGGTTTGAGTTCATTGGCGGGAAACTTGTCATGCGTTTTGTATTTGCACATGCACGTACGTGTTGTACTACGGGAAAAATTAGTTTTTGTATTCGCGTAACTTTCGTCGACGTCGTCCTGCTCCTCGAATTCGCCTCCGAGAATCCGCGGAGACAGCCTATCCGAACCCTGGTCGTCCTCGTATGCAATACAAAATTACCGCACAACAACTACAAACTCCAACACAATTTCTCCCAGAAATAATCACGTAGGCAGCACTTGCCATGCTGAATGTGAAGTAGCAGGGGAAGGAAGTAGCTATTCTGTCATGCAATGTGAGTGTCTGTACGTGAGCGGTAATTTTTTATTTTCCTGTAACCATACGTCGTCCTGATACAGATTCAAAATTTCTTGTTCGCGCGCCCGGATCTGCCTTTCGACTTCCAGAACCTTCTGCTGAATGGCCGCTCGTTCACGTTCCAACTCTTCCATTTTCTTTGTGTCTTCAGTGTCGCCCGTCTCGTCGTCTTCGTAGTCTTTAGCGTTACCCGGCCGCGGCGCATGAGAAATTTCATCTAATTCTATCTTCTTCGCTACTTTCTTCACTGCTTCAGTAGCAGTACCACCTTCAGCCTCCACTTGTTCTCCCGCGTCCTCATCGGAGCTTTTCTCCACTAGCGCTATCTGCTTCTTTTCCTCCAGCACCTTCTGTTGCTCTTCGTCAACAATCTGGTCTATTCCCTGAAAATGTTCCATCCGATCCCCATCCTTCACATTTCGCATGTTGATGACAAAGCCAGAATATAGTCCATGTTTTGCATGAGAAATTGGATCATGGGGACGATGGTTAAAATTTTTCAGAGAATATCGTCAATAATCGTCTTCACCGCGTCTTCTTCAAATAGCCTTTGCGGGAAAGCGGGCAGCGGCGGCTTCAGCTTGACAAAGACTTTACTGCCATTAGCACTATCCTTCTTTTTCGACGGTTTCATGGAAGTCGAGGTGATGGTGGTGCTGCTGTTGCTGGGAGTGGTGTTACTGGTGTTATCCTTGTCGTCGTCCTCGTCAGCAACATCGTCTCTGTGGAGAATTTGCCGTGACGGAGTGGTTTTCTCAACCGTGATGCCTCCTCCTCGGTCTCGGTGGTTGAGGTTGTATGCGGATGAGTAAGAACTTGACATGGACTTACTCAACATCGCACTGCTTCTATTTCCGCTCGTAGATGAAGTTCTTGTCCGTAACCGAAAAATCTCGTCTTCTTCGGAAGACGCGGAGGTACACGAAGAAGATTCCGAGCTGGTCTCCTCAGATGTCTCACTTGATGGAGCAGGCGCACCACAACTCGTCTGGTCAAGCACATCAAGCGACCCTACTTGTGAGCGCTGTTGTGCATTTTTGCGTATTGTGGTCACCAGCTTCTTCACCTTCTCCGCACGGCGTTGACTTCCGCTTGTGGGAACATGATCCCGAACTTGATGGCGCGCCTCGTCTGGTTCTATCCACAGTAAATTTCCCGTATACGTACAGATGCGGTCTCTGCATGGCAACACTTGTCTTCGATCCTAGTTTAGCATGACAAGTTTTACACGCGGCCAAATTGGTGAAATTCGTGATGTATCTTGTACATGTACGGGAGGGAGAATTTGTATTGCATATGCTCCTCCTCGGAAGACGATTCCGAGCTTGAGGAGCCCGATCCGGAGCCAGAAGAGTCCGACAAAAACGCGGAAAATGCGTGGCGACCTGCGTCTTTGACCGGGCCGAGTCTGTCTTTCGACCGGGATCGCTTGATTCTCGATTTGATATTTTGCGCAAAGATCGGCACGACGTGATTCTTGTTAACACAGACACCGGATGTTGTTGCATTTTCATTTTCGGCGTAAACTACACCGCGGCCTACGAGTCCTTGGTCAAAAGCAGTCCTGTTGAGTTTAAAACCGTTGGGGTCCTCTTCGTCATCGTCGTCTTCTACTTCACCATCGTCATCGTGGTTCGTCAGAATCGGGGGGCTCTTCAAGTGGTGATCATCCTCATCCTCTTCCTCGTGGAGAATTGCGTCGTCTTCGTCGTGGCAAGACTGTGCTTTGATGTTCTGGTCGCGCTGGAGGTTTTTTCCCTCTCCGTCGAGGTGCAACTCGGACAGAATTCCCGCCCACAGACCACCTGTTTTGGTCGTGCTCTCGTCCATGTAGTCTTCTCCGCTGGTACTTGCTTTATCGTGGTCCTTGTTGCGCTTTACTGTCTGTGAACTTGTTGAAGACAACTTCTTTGACTTTCTGTTAAAAACACCGGTGGTGCTGTCGATGATTCTGATTTCGTCATCTTCCGGGTCCTCTGGGTTTTCCTCCATTTCGTTCTTTGAGTCGAAGATGTCGTCCAGCACAGGATCTTCTGGATCGTCTGTCCTGATGTGTCTTGTCGCTTTCTTTTTCGACCCCTTCCTTCGTAACTCCTTCAGAAGCTGCACCTCGTCGCCATCTTGTTCCTCCGGCGTGTTAGAGCGGGTGGAGGAAGTCGTGGCCACACTGGTGGAGCCTGACGAAGACGTCGATCCTCCTGCACTAGAAGTCTTCCCGGCTCCTGCTCCAACGCCCTCAACCGGCCCCACGGCACCTCCGTTGTGACTGTGATACTTCGAACCTGCGCCGTCTTTACTGCTGCTTCTTGTCAGCGTAGTGCTCGGTGCAACTCCGCTTGATGAAGAAGAACAAGAACCCGGAATGTGACTGTGGTACTTAGTTTCGCCTGGGCCAGAAGTACTACTAGAAGAGCAGGAAATTATGCTACTCGAGCCGCCTGTCGTCGAAGCTCCTCCAACTGCGCTATTCGTAGAAGCAGTACCACCACCACCAGCACCAGCACTTTTCGCCTTCGACGTTCTCCTCTGTTCCGCTGCTACCGCCTCTTGCTCTTTTCGCATCTTCTGCTGTTGGTTTATCCGAACGGAACTAAACCAGCAGTCCCGGTTTGCTTCCAATGCCTCGATTTTCTTCATTCTGTGCAGTTGAATCTTTTACCGCGCACGTACAGGTGGTACACGTAGTTGTACAAAATGCATCACAAAGAAATTTGCCGACCTCCGATACTGGAACATAAAATTTGCCATGCATTTTCTGGTTGGCGACAAGTTTTGTCATGCTACGACACCATTCTCATTTGATTGTCCTTGTGCGTGTACGGTAAAATTTTTCCAGTGGATACTTCCGCCAAAACTCGTACTCGTGGTTAATCTCGGATTTATTTTTGTAGTGTTTGTCATGCAGGTCATCATATGCATCATCATCTGCATCCTCGTCAGTGCGCAACACAGATGCATCTTTTCGCACAGCAGGAGCCGCAAATTGTTCCTCGAAATCGATTCTCGTTCCGTTTTTCCAAAACCCGCCGATACTTCCTCCGATATGGCGTTCTCAAATGTTACATTCTCAACTGTTACATGGATTTGTGATGCAAGAATGGGAAAAGGGAAGGGGGGACATTGCGCGTCTTGCATGACAGATTTCGCACAGATTGTCAGCCTGTTTGGCCCTTCCAGGATTTGTCATGCAGAACAGCTTGATCGTGTAGATGATAATGGCAGCTTCGCATGACAAATCATGTAACACTTGAAAATGTAACGTTTGAGGACGCCATATCCGACAGAAGACCCGTTCACAGCAGCTGCACCGCCAGCAGCAATTCCTCCATTCATCGCCAACTTTTGTTGCTCGAACACATCCGCTATGCATTGCAAAAGCATCACACTAAGTAGAAATCGCATTACAAATTCGGTCAGCGTGACAAATGGAATTTGTCATGCTGTTTTGCCTTGGGTTGGAAATTTGTAGTGCATGGCTGCGATTACTAAGAGCATCATGATACTTTCGCTTAGGATATTCGCGTCGACGGTGGTATTTCCCACGGCAATGCCCGGGTGCGGACAGGCGGTAAAGACGTTGAAGAACATGCGGTTGGTAATGGAGTTGATCGTGGTAGTTCGTTGCATATAATTCTGCTCCAAAGACGAGCAGCTGTTGCTGTTGTCGCCAATCTCCAACACGCTGGCTGTGTTCCCAAACCGGTAGCAATAGTTCGGGGCGGACCAGACGGTGGAAAGTTTCTCTTCGAACAGCACCTGGTGCCCCTGCATGCAGAGCTGGTGCGCGCGGACGATTATCAACTGTAAAAATGTCTGGGTCTGGAAGAATGCAACTTGTCATGCTAAATCTGAAGGATGCAAAAATCTGTGTTGCATGATTACCAAAAGTGGTCCAGTTTTGACAAAGTCGGGAGGGAGTTTCTCATGCAGGACAGGCATGAGAGAGATCGCATAGAATCTGTCATGCTCGGTCCTGCATTCCAGACCTCATGGGTCATGGAAAAGCTGCATGACAAATCGCGCATTCGTCCAGACCCAGACATTTTTACAATCCATAACGATGTGCTGCAAGCCGTTCCAGTGCAGAAACCGCTCGGCCACGTCAGGACCGAAAATGTAGCCGGCGCCTGATTTTTAGGCAGTGGTTGGCATGTGAAAATGCGCATCACAAAGTGCAGCTGTCATGCATGCAAATGCATGACAAAGTCAATTCAAGCACTTACCTCTCGGCGACACATTGAACCCAACCTTGTCCTGATCTGGGTCACTCCAGAGCAGATCCGCCAGTGGCCCGTCGTGCGGGATTTCGGAAAACCGATCCAGCACTCTGATCTGGTCCAAATTCAGAATGCTCGGGGACAGCCCACCGTGGGTGGCGAAAAAGGTGTTGTCGATGACCGCGGTTATTGGTAGGTAGTCGAACATCTCCGTGTATGCTCCGCAAAAGTATCGTATCGTTCGGTTCGTACTTGTGCTGATATGCATGACAAATCTGCTTCCGAAGCAGAAACAGCATCACAAACTCCATTTCTCATGCTCAGATAATTTGTAGTGCAATGCATACTACTAGTACGAATACGATACTGTTGCATTGCATACTGTGAAGTAGCTCCACACATTCGTTATCCAAAAAAATAAAAACAACTTTGTTGGAGGATTAGCATGACAAATATCTCTCGCATGACAGCAAAAACCTGTCATGCGCAGATAGTAAGGGAAAACGCCGTTAAATGGGCCCTACAATGCAGGCACAGCATGACAGGCTCAATCAATTTGCATGCTGCGCATCACAAATTTACTCTAACAACGTTTTTTTTTCAGGATATTCGTCCCAATCTGCTTACTAGTATCGTCCTTGCTCGGGTTGGAAGTCAGAGACATGTCCCGACTAAAAACGTCCCCGCTCCATAGTCAAGTTGGAATCTCTGCAACACAAATCCAGAGGTTTTGGGAGTCACGCATGACAAGTTTCATCCCGGAGTAATGTAGTGCGGATCAGCAAGGGCAGCCGCATGACAAAACCATTTCCGCATCCTGTTTGCAGCATTACGAATGCAACCAAAACGGGACTGGAAGTGCGGTGCCTCTCTTGGGGATGCGCATGACAAGCCCAAGCGTTCCTGTAATTGCAAATCTGCATGACAAGAACTCAAACTCTGGCGGGTGGGGGACGTTCTTACTCGGGATAAGACCCAGTGGAGGTTTTTCGATGAACCGAGTACGGGTTAGTATCGTTAGCAGTTGTACTACCGCCAGTATTATCCCCTGCACAACTACTGACATTACCCACCGGGTGTTCCGCGTATTTCCTCTGGCACTCCAAATAAAACCCGTACACTTGTGTGATCTGCCTGGTTTCGTGATTCCCCCGCAGCAAGGTGACTCGATTCGGGTATTTCAGTTTCAAGCACGAGAGTAACGAAATCACCTCCACGGAGGCGTTGCCCCGGTCGACGTAGTCCCCGAGGAAGAGGTAGTTCGTGCTGGGCGCGAACCCACCGACACGAAAGAGTTCCAAAACATCGTAGATTTGCCCGTGTACGTCGCCGACCAGGGTGATCGGAGAGTTTAGCGTAACGACGTTGGACTCTTCCAGCAGCAAGTACTGCGCTATCCAGGAAAAAACACCCATCCACATCCAATTTGTCATGCAAAACATGCATAAGCATAAGCTGCAGTGTTTGTCATGCAGAAAAGGGATGGGGATGGGTGTAGTTTTTTCCTGGATATGCACTTGTTTCGTCACGTACCGGACCGCTTTTTCGTGTAACAACGGCAGTGGGGATATCACAGTGAAAAACGCCCCCACCCCCACAGTTGCAAAAATTTGTGATGCGAAGTTTCCAAATGAAAACTTTTTATTAAGATGCATGAAAGGAGTATGAATCTTTCTGATGCAGGGTCTAGGTGTACGTGTATATCGCATCGCTTGCATGACAAGCGCCGCTCTTGCTGGGATCTTTTGCAATGCAAATTTTTGCTATTCACGATTGCGAATCTGTGATGCTGATAGATGCAAGAGGGCGAATGTTTCTTTTGGAAAGGTTTGCAATACAGACGCTCCCAAGCTCGGGGGTGGGGGCATTTTTCATTGTAATAGGGGATTGGGGTAGTGGGCGCTGGCACAGGAGTTTTTCCAGCCACTGCTCCCAGTTGAGGATCTATCCACAGTAAATTTCCCGCACACGTACAAATGCAGTCTCTGCATGAAAAAACTTGCCTTCAATCCTAGTCCAGCATGACAAGTTGGTTAGAGCTTGGACACCCGTCAGACATATATGCGGCGACTTTCTGGTGACACGCGAGCAGTTTGCCGCAGAAAGGATCGCCAATATAGAGGCGTCGGGTGGAGGGATTGGCGTCGTTTTCTTTTCGGCCGGCTGCCCGGCGCAGGGGGGCTAAACGCGGCGCCCAACAGCTCACACATTTGGGCAGATTTAAACAGTGTATAGCGTGTTTGTGCCCTAGGCACGCCCACAACCCCCACCCTATCAAGCCAAACCACATTGACACTTTTCTGCTTTTTTGGAATCCGGGAAAAAGCTGACTTGTTGGCAAAAAATTCGCCAAAGTGTCAGAATTCCCGAGATTCCGATAATTTCGGCCAAGTTTGAGAGCTAAACACGGTGGCACTCTTGGTGTCACCGGGCTCAAAATCGAGCCCGGTGACACGGAGCACAAGTCGGCTGTCACCGGGACGATTTCTGGTGTCACCATCGGCTGTCACAGCTCGTGGTGACACGAAATTCGCGATTTTTTTGGCTTCGTGTCACCGCCCCGTGTCACCACTCGTGTCACCAACCCAAAAAGCTGCCCCGATGCCCCCCCACCCCCGCTTGATATCTGTCCAAATGGCCCGGAAATAGGCTTGGTAGCTGCCACAGTGGACCCCTGAATGCACGCGCAGCAGCCTGGAGCCAGCATCTTTGTGACGACTCCAGGCTTCATAACTGCATCCATTGAGGCTGTGGCAGAGGCTTTGCCTCTACAACAAAAGGTCAGGGCTAGCCGGCCCATCCTCCTCACGACTCTGACTACTTACAGTCAGAGCAGCGGCCCTCACTGGCTGAGAAAGGACAGGCGAAAGAAGCATCAACGCAGGCATTGAGACCTAGCACAAAGGTCGTCCCTGAAGGGGTGCCAGAAATTCATATTGCTCCCCAGTCACCTGAAAGTCACGGACTGAATTCCTAACGTCCGTCCAAGCTGTAACAAGTTGGACTCTGCAAGGTTGCGAAATTTGTCATGCATTATGTACATGTGCAGGAAATTTACATTGCATAAGATCCACTTGGGGTCGGACGGTTTGGCGCTCCGATAAGTCTTATCAAATGCAAAAGTGTCTGAGCCTGAAGAGTGCCAAACTTGTCACGCAGGTTTTCCATGACCCGCGAGGGCTGGCATGTAGGACATAGCATGACAGATTCTGTATGAGTTCTACCATGCCTATCCTGCATGAGAAACTGCCTCGCGATTACTTAGCTCAAAAGTGAACAGTTTTATTTGGTAATCATGCAACACAGATTTTATACATGATCCAGATTTAGCATGACAAGTTGCGGTGTTCCAGACCCAGACATTTTTGCATTCCGGTACGTATGGGTTATGTCCTTGCGAACCTTGATCGGAGGAATGGTGTTGTGGGGACCACCAGGACCAGAAGGGGGGGACGACAAAGCCGGCATGACTTTCTTTTCTGTCGCTATCTACCAAATGGATGTGAAACACTTTCGAAAGCAACATGCACTGCTCAGCAGATTTTATTTTGCTTTTAGCTTATCCGAAATACCTTGCAACTCTTGCTCTTGGATCTTCAAGTTAGACAAGATTGCTCGTGTGACGAAGGCATCATTCATGGTCATGCTGTTTTGGAAAATAATTGACGACTTGGTGTGTTGAAGGTTTCGGTTTACACGAAGATCAAGAATTCAACATTTTGCAAACGAAGAGAGGTTCACGCAACTCCAAGACGACTACTTGCAGGTTTAGGTCCTGAACAACGAGACCATGGTGCATTATGCGACCGTATTAATTTCTATTTCGAGTGCGTTTTCTCTTCTGAAAGTTTGTTGAGAATTCTTGAAGTGGAGGTAGCCCCCGAGTCAACATCTTCTTCATCGCTGCATGTGTGTGCTGCTACTGGCTGAGCTTGGTGCAGCTTTGATGCCACGTGTATTTTCACTCGTCCACTACATGTTTAGCATCGTGATCAACGTCTCCATGATCAAGCGAATGAGTTTAGTTTTCCGAAGAGGACAATCAAAAACAAAAACTACCTCCACTGGCACTGGGTCGATTTTTGCTTGGGGTTTTGGGGAAGTGGGTTGAGAAAATGGACACTAGTAGGGTCGTTCTTGTACGTGTGCAATGCAATTAAAAACGAAGTTCTTGTAGTACGCGGATTAGAATAATTTACGATGAAAAACGAAGTAAAGCATGCGACTTCCTGTTCACGAATAATGTAGGCGAAACATATTTTAAACTTGATTTATTTCGTATATTGCTAGTACGTAAGTATGTTCGTCGTGTTCCTTTCTTTTGGATAGTTTGACAAAAATTGATTTGAAGGTTGAAAGACGAAGATTTTTTACTTAGATCTCATTTTTTCCCATACCCAAAATGCTGCAGGAGGTTCGGAGACCAACCCTGCTGCCCTTTCCCCTTTGGTGCTCATCGAGCCGCCCGGGACGCCCTTCTTGTGCGGGGCGACCTTCCCAACGTGCGGGTTCATGGGCACGGGCACCGGCGGCCCGCCACGCGGGGAGCCAAGCGGGGTTCCCAACGGCGAGCCCATGGGGGACGAGATCGAAGCCTTGCCCTTCTGCACACTGGGCGGCCCCTTGACGTAGCTCCAAGTGCCGCCCTTCGCACTCCCTGCTCCCGCCTTCTTGCGCCAGCTGTGCGACGAGGAGTGCGCATGTCCAGACATTCGGGGCGACGACATGTGGTAACTGCCGCGGGGGGAAGACAAAGACGGGCGTGGGGACAGCCAGGAAGGACCTCCGCCGCGCGGGGAGTTGTACGGGGAATACTTGCCGCTTCCTTTCTTTCTGGAGGAGGAAAATTTTCCCGAGGATTTCCCCTTCTTTCCCATCTTGCTGCCCTTGGCGTACGAATAGGCGCCCGGGGCGTACAAATCGTCTATCAAAATGAAAAATCCCCCCTCCCCATATCAAAATGGAAATTTCTCATGCTGATTTGCGTACACAAATCGTCCGACTTGTCTTGCAGTAAGGCACTGCGGCCGGATCCGCAGCGGCAGCCTAGGTGGGAGCGCTCAGGTCTAGTTGTTCAGCATTGCAAACGGCTACCCTCTAGGACCAACGGCATGCCAAATCGCTTTCAAAATTGGGCGGATGCCTCTGCGCGACTTGTGTTCTTGCAAATCAAACCTGATTTGTGGCTACAAATCAGCAACACAAATTTTCGGAAACATGCCTCTTCAATATGGGGAGAGGGGATTTTTCCTCTCAATATCGTCCCACGTGCCTTTACCAGCACCGTACCCGTAATGATCTTCCATCCACTGTTGCTTCGCCTTCCGCTATCGGGTGCAAAAGTATCGCACTCGTAGTAATTGCAGTCATGCATTGCAAGTTTTTTTCTCAAGGTGAATCCGCATTACAAATTTTATTTCTCATGCTGAGGAAATTTGTAATGCATTTATACGAGTACGTGTACGATACTTTTGCAGTTCATATCCGCCGGTGATGCACGCAGCCCAGGAGGCAGAGCAGGATGACCACGCCGAGCACGATGCCGGCCAGGATCACGGAGTCCTCGTCGTCCCAGAATTTTTCCCATTCGTTTCTGTCGTCAGTTGTGGTCGTGGCCGTTACAGTCGTAGCGTCCTTGGTCGTAGGATCCTCGGTCGTCGGATCGGTCGTGTTACCCGAATTGGTCGCGTCGTTTGGATCGGTCGTGGAGGGTTGTATCGTGACCGGAGTCTCGTCCAAATCGTTGTAGGTGCTGACTCGGTTTGCCGGGTTCGGGATGCCCCGCCCAACATAGGGAGAAATCGCGGTTTTCGGAATGGCTTGCTTCACGTTCGCGAGCATGGTCGCTAAGGTCGCCGGTTGGTCCGCCAATTGAAAAGCCGCGGCGCCGAGTAATCCGTCGGTCCCCGTGCCGGCGGTGTAGTATGTGCCGTCGCCGGTGGACGACGTCAGAGAGCGACGGTGGTCGGTTTGGTCGTCGCCAGTGGAGGATTGCAGTGCGTTTTCCTCCTCCAGCAGCTCTCGGCGAGATGAAATCGTGATCGGCGACAATTGCAAGGAGTTCAACGTTGTACCCGTGATCAGCGACTCGTCTTCCACCTTCGCGCAGCACGTGTTTGCGCTACACAGCGGGTTCAACGTGGTGCCCGCAGAACAGACCCCCTGGTCGTAGCGAATCAACGCCGGGATTCTTGTCACGGCCGAGGCGAACACAGCCGGGTTTTGGTACCGACAGTCGTACCCACTCGGCCCGCAGGTGCGCGCGCAACAATACTCCAGATGGCACGCCTTTTTGATCGGATCCAAATTCGCGCCGCGGCCCATCCAGCTCCGACCACCGGAAGCGTCGTCGCCCGCGACAGTGGATGTCGTGGAGGTGGTGGTGTAGCTGCAGGTGTCGAGTGCGTTTAAAGTGCCGATGTTCGCGATAGATGTAGCATCCTTGGTCACGTCATACCCCATGTAGCTGTACCCGACGTAATACGGCTTGCTGAACAACGCTTCCGGCCGGCCTACCGCCTGGCACATGTCATTGGTGATGCCCGCGGAAGCGCACGTGTTGGCTTGCGCGCAGCACGTGGTCGAATCCGCTGCAGCGGTGCAGCGCAAACCGGAGCAGAAGAAATGCAGCTTAGACTGCGCCAAGCCAGTCGTGGGACAAATCGTTCCCCCGGATTCCTTGCAGGTTTCCTTCCGCGCGCAACACGTTTCCCGGTCGTCCTGCTTGTTGCAGATATCCCACGAAAAAACTGGCTCACTGTGATGATTTTGCTAGATCTGCATCACAGGTTTGTTACACATGATGACGCTGAAAGTCTGTCATGCGCGCTTTCCAAGGGAAAACACCCTTAAAAATGCAATGTGTTGCAGGTGTAGCAAGACAAATAGTTCTGTGTTCCATTTTGCGCATCACAGGTTCACAGTAAAACAGTTTTTTCTTGGGATAGCAGAGGTCGGATTTGCAATACAACCCAGTTGTCGATAATTTCACGTACGCACTCACATCCGGTTGCTCATTGTTTTCCCCGCCGGAACCGCAGACCTGACTGGCCGTCGTCGCGGAGCAGGCTTGCCTTTTGACGCAACACAGGTTCAAATCCGAGTTTCCGCACGCGGTCCCGCCAAGCGAAGTTGGCGTCGTACAGGTTTTGGGGTTGGCGGCCGTGCCGAGGTCTTTCCGACCCGCGTAGAGCTGGTGGTCGGCCAGCTGCTGTTCTCTCGCCGTGTTTTGGCAGAAGCCGTCCAAATCTTGTGGGCGCACCTCGTGACACGCTTTCGGGGCGGTGGTGAGGCTCGCTTGAGAACACATTTTTTCCTGCAGCGGGAACCCGACCGAGGCCGCGGGGCCACCAGCAGAATCGGTATTGTCAGATAAGGTCCAGAAGAGCTCGCAGGGGGCCACCGTTTGCGAAATGTGCGACTTCGCCTCGTCCGGCGGGTTGCAGCATTTGTCCTCCGTGCAGATGTTCCCGTCGAAGGCGGAGGGGCTGTAGACGCAGGCAATCGACGCCGCCGTGGGCTTCAGCGTCCAGCCCAAGCTCGGGCACCCGCCGTTGGCGTTCGAAAGCGAAGCAAACGCGCCCGCGCAGGTCTGGGCCGTTTGGTCGTAGAGGTTCGACGTGGTGGGCCGCGGCTGCGCCACGTAGAGTTGCACGTGACGGATAGACATCCGGGTGATCTTCGTACTGCCAGATGGCTTCAAAACCACATACTGTCCGGTCGCCACCTTGTGCGTCGCGGGGCTGATTTGATGCTCCGTCCGCGCGAACTGCTGGCGGGTATCAATTGCAAAAATGTCTGGGTCTGGAAGAGTCGGGACTTGTGATGCACATGTTGCATGACCCGCGAGGTCTGATGTGATGCTGGTGCTAGCATCACAGATTTTTCGGGAGCTTCTTGATGCAGCTACTTACGCATGAGAAATGCCCTCTCGTCCGCGTGCCAAGCGCTGACTCCTCTTGCTGCTCATGCAACGCAGATATTTTCAGAATCCGCAGACAGCATTACAAGTTCCACTCTACTTCCACACCCAGACATTTTTGCAATCCATAGCGGGTGGTGGGGCACAACAGGTCGATCACGCGCCGGTTCAAACTGTCGCGCCCAAAGTACACGGTCTGGTCCGCGTGGTGGATGTATCAAGTGCAAATATGTCTGGGTCTGAAAATTTGTGATGCTAGAATGTGCAAGAAGAAAACACTTCCTTTTATGTAGGACAACATGACAAGTTTGTGGAACGCTTTCCCATACGAACTCCGCATGAGAAACTGCGTTTTTGTATGACACGAGAGCCTGCTTGTACCATCTTTGCTAGTCGCGGCGCAATACAGATTTCACAGGAATGCAAGACCAGCGTTACAAGTTCCATCCTTCCAGACCCAGACATGTTTGCATTTGGTAGGATGGATTTGATGTCGGCTTTCCGGGTGTTTTTGTCGTAAATGTTTTGCTTCATAATCACGCCAGTCCCCCCCGCCGGGCCGCCATTTTGACTGGTTCTTTCCGGGTAGTAACACGCGGTGGTCTGCGCCTCGTTGAAGGCACTCGGCAAGGTGATTGGAGTGGACAAAGTGGACACACCGACAAACAGCAACAGCCGCGCGATGTTTGCGTTCGTTGCGCCGGAGTAGTAGTCGAAAATGGACTTCTATCCACAGCAAATTTCCCGTACACGACGTACAAATGCAGTTTCTGCATGACAAAACTTGGCTTCGATCGTCATTTAGCATGACAACTTTCACGCTCCAAATTGGTAAAATTTGTGATGCATTTTGTACATGTACGGGAAATTTGTATTGCATAACTTCTCCAGGTCCGGATCCGCGTCGGAGAAGTCGTTGAAAATGCGCATGCCGAACACCAACTGCGGGGACTGCAGGTCGATGTTTAAATAGGTGGAGCCGATTGTAGCCGCCGTCAGCCCGGTTACCATCCAGGGTTTGTTGTAATTCACACTAGGGTAGACCTCGTTCTTGAGTAAAGCCAAAACGGCGTTGTCCTCGTCGAAGCCCGTGTCTCTCCCCGACGCTGTGTATCAAATGCAAAAGTGTCTGGGTCTGGGAGGATGGAACTTGTCATGCTAAATCTGAATCAGGCAAAAAACTGTGTTGCATGATTGCCAAAAGTTGTGCACTTTTGACCTAATCGAGAGGCGCTTTCTCATGCAGGAAAGGCATTAGCAAGGTCTCGCAGAATCTGTCATGTTATGTCCTACATACCGGACCTCATGGGTCATGGAAAACCTGCATGACAAGTCTGACAATCTTCCAGACTCAGACACTTTTGCAATCCATACGGTGGCCAACCCCGCGGCCGGGGCCACGGCGATGTCGTACTGGAACTTTTGCACCCCATAATAGTAGCTGGCGCTCGCGGAGTTGACTTGCTGCAAAAACCGGCCGGCCACGCCCTGGATCCGGTTCACGAAACTCTTGTCGAGCAAGGTGCTGGTCGTGTCCACCCCCGCTTGGGCGCTGTCCGGGTGGGTGGTGAAAATCAGGTCGTTGATTTTCATGCAGCAGTCCTGGACTTGGCACGTCTGGGACAAACACGCGGTGCCGAGATCTAACAAGGGTAGTTTCACGTAATCGAAATCACTCACCCAGGCTTGCCGTTTGCAGTTCCCGAAGGCGCCGCAGGTGGGACACACGGTGGGAATCGTGAGCGAACTGGAACCCGTTGCGGTGAACGCCGGCAACGTCCAGGAGATGCCGTGTTGCAAAATTTTGTCAAATGCCGGCGACTTGGACGCCGCCGTGCCGGTCGTCAGCGTGTTCACCACCTGCGTGGCTTCGTTGAGCGTGTGTTCCGGAATCCGCATGAGCGGGCCCCCGATCCGCGCGTTGATTTGCGTTTCCTCATCGGCAAAGCTGTAGGCCCCTCGGCCGGAGGTGGACCGGTCAACGCCGCCGACCAGGGAAGACTGCGTGTACCCTGCGGACAAGTTGCAGGAAAACCCGCGGCACTTGTTCGTGAAAATCCGGGTGTTCGCCGTGGAGAGCACGTATGCAATACAAATTTTCCGTACATGTACAGAACGCACCACAAACTCCACCAATTTGTTGGGTAGAACTTGTCATGCTAAACTAGGATCATCGAGGCCAATTTTTGTCATGCAGAGACCGCATTTGTACGTGTACGGGAAATTTACTGTGGATAGCACGGGGTGGAAGGCGTGGCAGGCGTTGTAACCGATGCACTGTTTCGTTTTCGGGTCGTAGCTTATCCTGTGCAAAAGTATCGCATTCGTTTCGTATAAATGCAAGTCTTGCATTACAAATCTTTGTCTTAAGGCAAATCCGCATGACAAATTTTATTTCTCATGCTGCGTAAATTTGTAATGCATTTATACGAGTACGATACTTTTGCAGTTCATATAGCTGTAGTCCGAACAATTCTCGTCCTTCGTGCACGCCAAACTGCAGTCCCAGTACGTCATGGCCACGGTGGCCTCCTGCTGCGTCGTCAGTGTCGGTTCCGCATCGCCGGGGCCGCGCGTGGTGATCTTGTACTCGATGCGGGCGCAGCGCTCGGTCACGGACGCGACCGGGAGGCGGAGGTTTTGGTAGGTGTTATCGGCGGCCGAGGGGGCCACGAGCAAGCACGGAATCGCCTGGGAGGTAGCCGGGTCGAACCCGTGGACGCAGTGGCCGGTGCGAAAGAGGCTGGCGCCGCTGGGGGCGACGGGAAACGCGGTGAGCAGAGACCCCTCCGTGTCCACCAGCGCCAGGTCCTGGCCGCCACTGTAGGGGCACACGGAGGCGGAGCTGGTGGTTCCCAGCAAAGCCACGGATTCTCCACTGATGATACTCCGGTTCCCGCCACGACAACAGTGGTTTTTCCTGTCCTCGCGGGTGCAGACCTCGCCCAAGCTATCAAATGCAAAAGCATCGCACTCGTACCAATCGCAGATACGCATGACAAATCTGATTCCAAAGAAAAAAATCAGCATGACAAATTCCATTTTACATTCTGAGGAAATTTGTCATGCGATTTATACTAGTACGATACTTTTGCAATGCATACAAGCAACGCGGCAGTAAATTCACGTTGGCGCTGAAAAAATTGCCGCGATTCACGCTCCACATCGCCGGACACCCGCCGTCCAGCCCGTCCTTGCAGGCGGTGCGCTTGCACTGCTTGATCGTCATGCGCTTGCGCGGATACGCTTGCACGACTGCGTTGATCGCAACCCCCTCGAGCGCCAGGCGGAGCTCCCCGAGCGAGTAGCCCGCGGCGCCGGGATAGAGATCTTGGTAGGGCGTGACGCCGCCGCTTACATGTGCCGCGATTCTGTCTTTCGAGTCGTAGTTGATCAGATGCCGGGAGCCGTAACACTGATTCATGATTTTGCACTGCTTCGTCCATTGGTAGTTTCCCGGCGCCTCGGCGTTGGTTTCCCAGTCGTCAAATTCGTAGAAGCGGCACCAGGGAATCTGCCCGCACTTAAATTTGCAGCCTGCTTCGGTCCAGCCGTGGTCCACGCCCGTGGCAGTGTCAATAAAGGGCCCCCCCTTGGGCCACGTGCTCGCGGCGCCTCCGACCATGTTCGCATAGTCTGCAGATACGCAGGTCTTGGGCACGGTCAGCGACTGCGCGCCCGCTTGGCTGTGTAGGGCGGTCTCAATGTCCAAGGCCTCTTGCTTCGCGCACTTCAAATCTGCGGTGGTGCCCCGGTTCCACGGATCCTGGATCACCCCATCAGCATCGCGCACAAGTTCGCAGCCGTAGGTCGTCAACTTCGCCTCGCCGGTTGCGCCCTGACCAGGAATTGTGACACAATTCGCAAAACCTGCATTTGCATTCACTGGGTACTCCAGCACGGTTGACAGCTGGCGGCGCGAAGGCCCATTTTTTGCTGTCTCGGTTTCATCGCTTTCGGCCAGCTGCCGGGTTACGTAGTTCTTCGCTGTACTGGCGCCCAGGCAATCCAGGATGACCTCGGAGGCCGCACAGTAATCAGTAGCAGTTGCGGCAACGAAGCTGGTACTAGTTTGGGACCCTGTTAGTAGAAGGGTTGTAGTTGCCGACGTAGTTGCGCCTAGGGTTACTAGTGTACGTCGGAGTCGTGCCAGCTCCTGCATCGAGTTCTTGTTCGGTGAGAGGCTGTCCATGGCTGCCTGTGATGTGGTCTTCGTCTTGGTCAGCTAACCACTAATTTTGAAGAATGTAGTTGAACAAAAATAGGGTGTAGTGTGTGTGGATGAAAAATGGTTTAGGTGAAGGTCGTGCTCAAGATGATCATGAGTTCATACGTTTTCTCTTTCGAAGGGGGGGAGAAAGCTGTTTTTTTTTCCACCCAACAAGCTAGCAGATTATTGAGCTAAACTTTCAGAACTACTTCTATTCTACATCAGCGCAACTACTTCTTCTTCCGAATTATGAAGATGCACGACAGAAGTAGAAGCACCAGCAGGGGCGGAGCTTGCGCACGACGTTGGACGCTCTTCTTGCGTATGTTTACGTAAGTAAAAACCGCACATCTATATCTATTGCACGATGAAAAAGTCGTGAAGAACGAAGGAGCTTCTGCGTTTTGAGAAGCTGACTCTAGAAGAGCCGACTGTAGAACGACGAATCCGAGTTCGTGTGCTTGGCATTGGTTTGTACGAGGACAGAGCGACCGATTTACAACACATTCTTCATCTTCACACCGACAACACATCTTTATTCCGCTTGCTGTATTCTTGTAGGTACGAGTACAACGAGACAGCGTGAGCGAATACAAATTGCTATTCTTCACCTGACAGATGTGGGTTTGCGTTTGCCTGTGCATTTGCTCCATTCCGATGATTGTGATTCATATTGAAGACCGAAGACTCAAAAATATTGCACGTGACTAGCAACAGAGATGGATGCTACAAAAAAATCCGATTGTGAACGATGGGTGACGAACGCGAACCGAGGGTCTTATACAACTCAGCATGATATTGATACCTGTTCATGAAGAAACATGACTCTTAATCTTGTTAGTCGTAGTGGCTACTGCTTATTGTAACCTCAACATTCGTCATTCGCGCAACGAGCCTAGAAGCTGCGCAGAAGCAGTGGAGCTGCGGTAGTGGAAGTTTCAGCTCCGTTCTTCCAAGCAATAGCAGTTCTATTGGATCAAATTCTTCGCATTTTCATTCATCTTCTTTGAGTTAATATCGCAAAAGATGATGCAGCTTATGCAGTTGCTCTACAAGAAGCGAGGACACTTCTGCTAGCAGGTTCTGCAACATCAGCGCAAACGCAATGTGAGTTTCTTTCTCTGCACAGAAACAGGCAAGCATTTCGAATCAACATAAATAGTGCAGCTAGCTCTAGTTGTTCAGGCACAAGTGTTTCGTCATCTGGTTTTCTTGTTTATTCGACAAATTCAAACTTCACCTAGATAAAAAAAGCTCGCTCGTTGAAGATGACAGCACGTCAGGATCGTGCTTTTAGGCACAGTTTCTGGGTGTTTGTTTGTTCTTGATAAGCAGAAGTATTCTTGGAAATAGTTCTAAGCTCACTGGTATTATTAAAGTTGTAGCACTTCTGCTACATCTAGATCTAGAAGTTCAGAAGCAGCTGCAGGGCTGCATTGATTGTTCAATGTTCTTTTCTCCTTTGTTTCATGAGAGAAGTGAATGTGATTTGATGCACGCGTCGAACTGTTTGAGTCACAGTTGCTCCTACTTTCGCAGCCATTTCCTTTTTATTCTTAGTGAGAGCATCAGCTTCATCGACTACTTGCATCTGATTCTGACTCTCACATCTTCTCTACTGTGCTTCCATGCACCCCCGGCGCCTCGATAAAACCATCTTGATCTTCCTCCTTTTCCGCCAGCACGCAGAGTAAATCCGGCGGCAAAACCTCCCAGCAGTCCGGGTGGGGGCAGATCATCGGGCCGTGGTTTTCCAGTAGGTATTTTCGCAAACAACTCCTACACGCCCCGTGCTGACAGTTGAGAAAGGGTTCCAGCGGTTCGGTGGTTTCCTTCACTGGTTTTGATTGCTGTTTTTTCTTCTTATTGTTATTTTTCACTTTGCCAGAAGACGCACCCGCGCAAGTACCGGTTGATGTTGTAGCGGTGCAAACGGCATTGCAGATGCAGCAGGTTTTCGGTTGGTCTGGACCGGAGAGAGACGCGACGCGTGTGAGGGAATCCCAGTGATGCTCTGCCGCGTCGGAGCCGAGGTAGACTATGCCCGTCCATTTGCAGACCACAAACACACCGTGCGCTACGGCGAAACCTAAGAGAAGGAGAATAATTTGATTGCTATTGGACGCCAATATCAAAAATGTCTTCAGCGACCGTTTGTCTTTTCGTAATATATGGGTCGACCAAAAATGCGAGGACTAAGCCTGAAGGGCTGCAGCGCTTGTTGCACCTGAAGCATAAAGAGGAAAAGCAAAAATCTGTACCGATCGCCCCCGCCGCCATGTACCCTGCCAAATGCCACAAGGCACTCAGCCCGGTTACCCCGCCTCCCAAGGCCCACAGCTGTCTTGATTTCTTCTCCCCGATCACGGCCCAGGACGCAAAATGCTCGCAGTTGTTGTACAAACCGTGGAAGTATCCTCTGCAAAAGTATAATCGCACTCGTATTGCAGTCATGCATTACAAGTTTTATTCTGAAGCTAAATCCGCATTACAAATTTTATTTCTCATACTAAGGAAATTTGTAATGCATTTATCCAAGTACGATGCTTTTACCATGCATAGGAAGCCTTTCTTTCCCACCATGTGCATGCACCGCTGCTGCGTTCGTTTCTTTTCCAACCGGTCCTCGTGCGCCCAGAGATAGATCTTCTTCTTCTCGGAGATGGACGGGAGGGCCGTCGTGTCTTGTTCGTCTGCGGATTTGCTGTTCTCTTCACTCCCTACTCCGCTTCCCTCGTCGGTTGTTTCTCCGTCACTGGATTTAGATGGTGTTACGTGCTTCTGGTTACTTTTTCTATCGGGTTTCTTCTTGTTCTTCGCCTGCGCAGTAGATGATGAGCTACTAGAAGATGAAGAGCTGCTTGAAGAAGACGTCGAAGAAGAATTGTCCACGAAAGCAAAATCCACCAGGCTGTCACTGACCACGTATCAGAAGAAAAAAGTTCGTCACGATCACTCATGGGAATTTTTGCAATACAAAAAATGCCTGTCATGCGGAAAAATGCATCACAGCCAAACTTCATAGGAGATTTCCCTTAGTGTTTCTGCAATACAAGGAAAAGTTGTGATGCTAAAAAAATTTGTAATGCTAAATCTCCAAGTTAATGACTGTGACAAACTTTTTTCTTTCTATACCACCCCCCTCCCCCTCACAAAGTGCGCCACCATCGCGTCGCCGAAGAAATCTTTCTCGGATAAGCAGACCCCGTGGTGTTCCGGCATGAAGGATAGTAACGATCCTTCCCAGTCCCACCGCACCAAGTGATCTCCCGGCTCGGGGTTCACCGCCAACACCCAGGTGTGCGCCATCCCGTGTTGCTTTCCGTGGTCGATTATCCTGTGCAAAAGTATAATCGCACTCGTAGTAATTGCAGTCATGCATTACAAATTTTTATTTTCTTCTCAAGATGAATCCGCATTTACAAATCTTATTTCTCATGCTGAGAGAAATTTGTAATGCATTTATACGAGTACGATACTTTTGCAGTTCATATCGATGACTTCCTTTTCCGTGAAAAACTTCGCGCCGCACGCCTCGCACTGGTACCGGAAGTCGGTCTATCAAGTGCAAAAATGTCTGGGTCTGGAAGATTGCCAGGTTTGTCATGCATATTTTGCACAACCCATGAAGCCTGTAATGCATGACCTAGCGTCATAGATTTTTAAAGGGCCTTCTACTGAAGCGTGTTCCGCATGAGAAACGCCCACTCCGCGTAGCACAAACTGAACTCTTCTTGCTGGTCATGCAATACAGATTTTTTTTACCTTCCAAAGACAGCATCACAAGTTGCAACCTTCCAGACCCAGACATTTTTGCATTTGATACGGTCGGTGGTGGTTCTTGGGGGGTTTTACTAGAAGAAGTCGCACCTGCTCCGGAAGATTTGTCATGCGAGCAGCTCCCATCATGTTGCACTTGCGGGACGAAGAATTTGCACCCGCGCGAAGACGACGTCCTCGAGGCTGTCGACATGGGGGTGAAAGATAAAGAACTGCTCTTCCGTGCTGGATAATCATTGCGACAGATTGAAATGATCCTGTTTGTGTTTTTGTTCACGGTTGTGGAGGTTGTCGTGCGGGTCACCATCTCGTCCGCACTGCCGCTGGTTGTTGGGGTAGAAGTAGTTTTTGTTGATGTCTTCAGCAGCTCTAGGTTCAGATTGTTATACGGTTCTCTTGGTTCGTTTTCCAGCTCGATATCGAAATCGTTGTCGTTTTTGAAGTTATCTGAGGACGTGATGTCATCGGATGACCAATCTTCTGTCCCCACCTGTTCTGATCCTGATCCTGCATGACAACAAACCGAAGACGAAGATGCACCTGCTGTCGAAAAGTGGAAGTTCTTCGGCGAGATTGTAGATGGGCAAGTTGTGCTCGTAGCGGTCGGGCTGTAGCTGTTGGGTGGTGCTAAGTGCTCGTAGAAGGTGCCGTCTTCTTTCTTGTTTCCGAGGAGTTCGTCCTCTGGTGGACCTGGAGTAGCTGGTAGCTGCTGGTGCGCAGGCTTATCATGAGAATCAACTTGAGATTGCGCATCGTCGTCAATCTTTTCAGATTCTTTTACTTTTCCTGGAGACGATTCAGTAGATTCTTCTTCTTCCGAAGAAAACGTCTCCGAGTAGTCCTCGTCTTCTATCACAAGAAAAAGCGTTAACGTTAACGGTTCTCACAGATTACAGCCAGACATCACAAATGTAGCCCAATATGCATGCTATGCATGACAAATTCTGGCCCGTTTTGTGATGCATTACTGCGTCACAAATTCCGTTAACGTTAACACTTTTTCCTGTGATATCTTCGAGCAAGCCGGATATGTTGCTCACGCCCTGCTGTTCTTCGTGTTCTACTTGAGCAGCCGGCATTTTGACGCTATTTGTTTCCTGCGTAGCTGAAGGTGAAGCTGCCGTATTGTAGCTCGTCATTGCCTCCACTTCCGCGCCCGTTCCGCCGACACGATGCATTTCAAAAGGTAGTAGACCTTCTCTGTCCGCCGGTGCTGGTAGTGCCGGTGCTGTGGAAGAGGAGGAGGAGGCCGTGCTAGTACCTACGGTTTCCCGCCAAACAAGTTTCGTCGGCCATCTTGATCTTTATTGAAGTATCGCGATCCTGCTCAGGTCCACGTTTTCAGGTGTGTTTTCAGGTGTGTTTGCAGCAATGCTACAACATTCACTCTTTTCTACATTTGAATTCAGTCTAGAAGTCGCACCATAATCTTATCTGTCTCTCTATGAAGACACTCTTGTGGTCTTTTTTTCAGTGTGCTCAATTCGATGTGGAGGTAAATTTGTTGCGTGCTTCGGCTTTGCGATTTTTTCTCTCTAACTATGTCTAGCTCAACTTGTTCTCTCTGTGGCATCTTCTCTACCCTTTTATTCACTCGAACGAATATTATGGTCGTCAGCTTCTTCCAAATTATGCCGTTTTTGTCGCTCAGAAACTGGATGTTTTTCGAACATAAAAGACCAAGTAAGCCACAGGCTGTGCTGAAACACTCGCTTCTTATGACCTTCAGACGACGAACGTATGCGCTTTTTTGCAGCACCAGTACATTTTCAGGCTGATTTCTCTCGCAAACAACCATGCACTTAGAACTATCTCGCGCTGCTCATCTGGCTATTCAACATCTTCGCTAGAACCCCCATCACAGTGAGCAGGACCAAAAACATGATCAATTTACAGATAAAATCGGAATTCCTTTCCTTATCCCCTGAAAATTAACCATCCCCATCCACTTTTTGCATGACAAGCACAGACTTTACTACATTTTTTGTATGACAAATTGGATGGGGATGGTTAATTTTCAGGGAATATTCCTGCTGCAAAACATATTTCAGCTTTCCACCCATTGTCTTGATATCTTCGTCCGCTTTTTCCGTCTTCTTCGATATGTCATTCGCTATTATCGACTGCCGCTGTGCCGCTTCACCGATGGTGGAGACGAGGGGGTTTAATCTGTCCGCCAAGACGCCGATTTGGTCCAGCATTTGGTCAAAATTTTCATCTCGGTCCTTCCACCGTTGTATCGCCTGCTGCTCATCCTCGTTCAGATCCCGCCCGGTTTGGTCCCTCTCCAGTTGGTACCGGTGCTCGAGAAGGTTAGCAGTGGCGTTTTTCTCCTTACTGTTTGTTCCAGGGCCGAAGACATCATCCTGATGTTTTAGATGGAGATGGTTCATCAAAGCATCTTCAATTGTGTTCTTCCTGCACCTAGACTACAACTGCTAGTACTTCTAGCAATCAACATCAATTCAAAAATAGCATGACAAGTTCGTTCCTGTGGTCTTCCAAAACAAGACCTTCTTCTATCAACAGCGACCTTTCATCAAAACATTACCTCGCCCTCATCAAACTCGTCCTCCGCAACATCCACGTTGTATCAAATGCAAAAGTGTCTGGGTCTGGAAGATTCTGAGACTTGTCTTCATGCACGGTTTGCATGAGCCATGATGCTTGTGATGCATGCCCTAGCATCACAGGTTTTTTGAGGGATTCTCTTTCTCATTCTTGATGCTTATTCCGCATGACAAATGCCCTCTCTGCGTAGCAAAAATTAGAATCCTTTTGTTGCTCATGCAACACAAATTTTTTAGACATCCAAATACAGCATCACAAGTTGCATTCTTCCAGACCCAGACATTTTTGCATTTGATACGTTGCTCTGCAATGCGATTTTCGCTTCTTCTAGCTGCTTCACGATGTTTCGGATGTCCTGTATCCTGAAATCGATTTCTTCCTGTGGCTATCCAGGAAAAAACACCCATCCCCATGCATGTTTTGCATGACAAGCATAGAATTTGATACGTGATTTGCATGACAAATTGGATGGGGATGGGTGTTTTTCCCTGAATAGTGGCAACCTTTTCGCTTTTGCCTGCTTCATCTGGATCTGCTGCAATTTTGGCAAGTATTTCTCGATCTCGCTGATCTGTTCCATTATCCTTACTTTCTTCTGTATCGCCTGGTAGTTGTTGCCGTGCTTTTTCGTGATCTTGTTCCGCTCCCGGATGTTCGTCCGGAGAATGTGGCATCCACTGCAAGAGTATCGCACTCGTATAAATGCAAGTCTCGCATTACAACTTTTTTTCTCCTCGTAAATCCGCATTACAAATTTCATTTCTCATGCGGAGAAAATTTGTAATGCATTATAAATATACGAGTACGATACTCTTGCAGTTCATATGTGGAGCATGCCGTGGAGTTGCCGCTTCATGATCGTGTAGTCGTCTTGTTTCGCCCTTTATCCAGGAAAAAAAGTGTGTAAGTGTAACTTTCTTTGAGAAACAGCATCACAAATTTGCTGTACATGACAGAGAAAACCTGTCATGCGTGGTTTGTAAGGGAAAACACACATGAAAAGAGGACTTCATGGCTGTCTGGCATGACAGGTGTAACTCTGTTGCATCTTCTGCAATACAAATTTACACTTACACAGTTTTTTTCTTGCATACCCTTTGCTTCTTATTTTCCGGATCCTCCTTCTCCCCACAGGTATAACTTGCTCAGGTGTTACAATCTTAAACGTTACAATAGAATAGGCATACGGAAATCTGTGATGCAGGAAGTGCATAATCTACCGTAGTCCCATAGGTTTGCGCATGACAAGTTTCGGCACCCAAAAACCCTATTGATACCCGGCGAAATTTGTATTGCGAAAGGCGCAAGAACTCTACATACGTTCTTCATGCTCTTCATGCAAGACAAAATCCAGATGCTATTGCAACGTTTGAGATTGTGACGCTTGAGCAGGTCATAACACGCAACTTGAATTTCTTCAAGCTTCGTGATCAGCTGGCTCATGCCCGGGAGGAGGGAGGCCATCTTGTGTGATAAGTACTTAAACTGGAATATCAACGGGAGTGGCAAACAAGGTGGAATCGAGGAATACTTATTTTTCCTGATGAAGATCGAAAAACCAAAAGCAACAACTACAGAGATAGCGTTGCCCCGTACATCAACCAACGGATCCTGCTCGTCGGCGGTTTTCTTGCGTAAATGGGCCGGGGAATGGAGATCAAGAATGCCTGTCTGGGTCCCTGCTGTTTTGGAAAACGATTTGACTTCGGCGGTGGAAAGCCAAAGTGCAAGCTGGGGCTATCGAATTAAAACTAACAGAAACTTCAAACGAGTCGAACGATACCATTTATTACTTGATGCGAAAAAACGTTACAAAAGATGTGGCAGTTGTTGATCTAAACTAAACCTTCCTGGTTCCAGCACGTCAATCAACATCGGCGACGCCTGGCATGGCATCACAGTGCTTTGCTGCAGAGCGCCAGCACATGCTTACACGAACACTTACTCTATTTCCGAGCGGTGAGCGCAGGCGCACCGCTGTGAAAATCGTACCTACAGCGCCATTGCGTTGGTCGAAGCCTTTTAATATGCGGTTTCGTTCATCTTCTTTTTCCACACTACATCTTCATGTTCATCCACTAGCTTTTACTTATAGACAGATACAAAGCCAAGAGCCAGCAGCTCCTGTAGGTACTTTTATTTCCTGCTAGTTGTTTCCCGACAACCTCCGTATATTGTTCTTTCAATTTGTTACTGGGCACCACCAACTACATCTCAGTCAATGATCTCCGGCGCGTCTTCCCTTTGCGCCCCACCGGCGTACTCGCTCTCGTGCCACAACCCCAGCGCGGCCTGCACGTAGCTACCCGTGCTCGGGGATATGGAAGGCATGGAATAAAATGGCTTTGATGTTGGTTGCACGTAGTTATCATCTTGAGTGCTCGTCTGTGCCGTCCTCATGTCTGCTGTGGTCGTGGCTCCTGAAGATGCGCCTGTGGCGGCTCGTCCTTGTGGTGCTTTTGGCGGGGGAGGGGGTCGTGCAGGTGCGTTGTGTGCATCTTGTTGTGGTGCGCGGTATTGAATGGCAGTCCTCGTTGAAGTAGTCGAAGAAGGTTCTCCACCCGCCGAGGTTGATGTCAATCCCTGTCGCAACACCCCGAGCAAATTCCCCAACACTTCCTCGGTAACTTCGCTTCGTAATTTTTCCCTCTCCTCCTCCCGGATCTGCTTCCTCAGCTGCTCCAAATCTGCTGGTGCAGCTTCCCCTTGTGTTGCAGATTTGGATGCGCCAGAGGACACTGGAGGAGCCGAAGCGGTGGTCACGTTTCCGACAAGGCATGTCGTACTAACACCTGGAGACGCAACATCATCTCGATCTTGCTGGTTCATCTTTGTCGCCACAAAATCTCTCAACGACTGCACGTAGTTCCGCGTCTCCACCCGCATCAGCAATTTCCGCAGCACGTTACTCCCCAACTCGTCGAACAGCCCGGAGTGGAGTTCCTTGAAATTCACCGAATCCTTGAACCAATCCCTGACATACGAGATGTACAGAATCGGCCTGGGTAGATTCTTATGAACTGCAAAAGTATCGTACTAGTATAAAACGCATTACAAATAATTTCCTCAGCATGAGAAATAAAATTTGTAATGCGGATTGACCTTAAGAAAAGGATTTGTAATGCATGTTTGCAATACAAGTACGATACTTTTGCACAGGATAATTCTCCTTGTTCCGGTTCGCCAACGCCCGGTGGTGCAACCGCAAGTCCTATCCAATGCAAAAGTGTCTGGATCTGGAAACTTGTGATGCTGAACTGTGCACGACTAAAATACCACTTCCAAAGGCAGCCAAGCATGACAAGTTTGCCGAACGCTTTGTCATGCGCAGTCCGCATGACAAGCTGCGCTTTTACATGACAAGAGAGCGCGTTTCTACTTTGTTGGTCATGCAATACAGATCTTACAGGAATGTAGGACTAGCATTACAAGTTCCATGTTTCCAGAGGACCCAGACATTTCTGCAATGCATAGGTCCATAAACGTGACCGCGCCGACCGTGGACTCGAAGGAGATCCGAGGGGGGATGGGGAGACGGTTCTGCTTCATCTTCTCCTTGTACTCTTCAATTTCTTCCTCGAGGGTCTTATTCATCTGCTGAAGTTTCGTCCCGTTCTTCGAATACTCCGCTCCTGAGTCTTCAAACGATTCCTCCCCAATAAAAGTTCGATACCTTGCGATCTGCTCACTCCAAAAATGGCGTGGTGCGATGTGGACATGGGACCCGGTCAGAAATTCCGTCGGTCCGTCTGCGTAGTATCCTGAGTTAAAATGTCCCCACACCAGAGTCAAGATGGGAAATCCGCTAGACAAATCCATAAGCTTTGGCTCTTTCGCATGACAAATTTGGACGCGTAGTGTAGTGCTGTTTGAGCTAGGTAAGCAGCATTACAGATCTAGTACCTCATGCTGATTGCCGCATTGCAGATTTCCAAACCGCATTGGAAAATGCTTCTGGTGGGGCTCCGCATGAGAAACATTTTAAGCATGCAGAGTTGCATGACAACTGTGGTGTGGGGACGTTTTTACACAGGATACGTACGTTAAGTTCCGTAACGGTACGATCATGACGATCGAACTGGGTGGCAGTTGCACCCCAAATTGCGGCGTGTTACTCGCGGGAACCGTTGCCATCATCGAAGCTTTCCCGTCCGTTGGGTCAACAAACAGCTTTTCTCCACCAGACGCGAACACCTGGGTGGAATAGACCGGATCAACGTCCTGGTGCCAGTGCATCGGAGGGGTGTTCGCTTCGGATTGGACGTAGGAGAACTATCCACAAACAAAAACCATCCCCATCCAGTTTGTCATGCAAAACATACATAAAACCCAGCGTCTATCATGCAAAAAGTGGATAAGGATGATTTTTTTTTCTGTGGATAAGAACTCGTCGATCTCCACTTTCGGCTTCAACAGCATGGAAATGAAGTACAAAACCATCTTGTTGCCAATAAGACTTTCATATGCAATACAAATTTCCCGTACATGTACAAGATGCATCACAAATTTGACCCATGTGGAGCGCCGTAAAACTTGTCATGCTAAACTAGGACTGAAGCTGCCAAGTTTTGTCATGCACAGAACGCATCTGTACGTGTACGGGAAATTTACTGTGGATATTTCACAGATAAACGGTTTCTCAAACGGCAGCCGGACTTCGTATCGGCCAGAAGATCTCGGTGCCGCGTCGTGCAGCTCCGTCTGGGTTAAAAGTAATCTCGACTTTTTTGCCCCCTTCTTGCCATTTTTGTTCTTGGGCTTTGCCTTTTTCGAAGTCGAAGTTTTCGAAGATGGTTTTGAGGATGACGATGAAGGAGCGCTGGCGCCAGCTCCATCCGCTTCATCGTCTTCAGCAGCATCATGCTCCTCGCCACCTTCGCCTTCCGAAGGAGAAGTCGTTCCGTTATCCTCGTCGTCCCCGTTCATATTTTGAAACAGTACCTCCGCCGACCCCTCTTCACTGATCGCCTTGTTCCAATCCCCCCGGAAAGACTGTTATGCATTGCAAACGGTATCGAACTGGCATGCGCTCGCTGCATCACAAACTTTGGCAAGAGGAAAAGGGGAATTTGTAATGCTGATTCCAGCTGGGGAAGATATTTGTCATGCATGACACGAGTGCAATACTTTTGCGCTGCGTAACTGCAATTTCTCCAAATTCTTCGTGTTTTTCACCTTCCACTTGATGTGTTCCTTCTGCGCTTTATGCAATACAAATTTCCTGTACATGTACAAAATGCATGACAAATTGCGCTAACTTGCAGTGTCCAACTTGTCATGCTAGACTAGGATTGATGGCAAGTTTTGTCATGCAGTGACTGCATTTGTACGTGTACGGGAAATTTACTGTGGATACGCCTTCCCAACCCACTCGATTAACTCCGGCTCGAACGCGTTTTTGATGTTCAGCACCCCGCAGGTGTAGAAGATAATGAGCATTTTCCGCATTTTCCGGGCGGACAAAATCATCCCGGACTTCTTCTCCTTTTTCGAAAACTCAAACGCCAAATTGTCCACCGAACCGCAGAGGAAGTTCGCGGCACCGAGATACCGATGGTCAGTCCCATCCGCGGTTTTGTTCACGAATCGCTCGTCGGAGATTAAAGCGGAGGGGTACTGGTCCCGCGCGTACTCGGCTTTCACCGACCAAGCGACGGACAATGCCAGCTGGAAGATGTTGCACTCGGTGTTCTTTTGCTTCATGTCCTTGCTGGTGGTATCGTCATCATCATACTCCTCTATTTCGTCTTGAAGCATGCAGTCGTAAATTACGTTGGAGTTCAGCTCGTTCTCGTCTAATTATGCAATACAAATGCTTTGGATTGCCGTGTACCACCACGTAGTACGAGATGCATCACAAATTCAAATTTGCTGGTCTAAGATCAGAGTCGTTTTCATGCTGTTGATCATCATGCTTGAGTAAAAATCGCAAGAGTTCAGGTCCTCTCTGTCACTCATGTTGCTGCGTTGCCAGCATTTAGTGTGCGTCGTGCACGGCTCCTGCAAATCTACACTTACCGTCGATACATCCTTCGTCATTTTTTCCTGCATCGACACGCCATCGGCCTCCGCACTCACGGCCACTGCAGCCTTCGCGCTGGCCTCAAACATCTCGAGCCCAGCTCCGGATCGTAGTGTTCGTTTTTCAGATTTCTTTGTAGTTGTACTACTGGCGCCGGATGAAGAAGAAGACTTTTTCCATGGATCGGAAAAGCCCCCCCCTCTTCACCGGAAAATTTTTCTGCAAAACACTGGGAGGCGAAAACGGCAATACTTCACACGGGCACCTACCCAACGTGGCGCTCCCTGTTTCATAAATGCCCCCATACAAATGAAATGCTGCGCGGGCCATGATCTCCTACCAATACCACTACGACTCATATACCATAAGAATAATACAAAGCGTATATATACAATATGAATTCCTGTGCCTGTGCACTACATGCACACTCTTAAAAATGCCTTCACGCCATTTGCTTCAGAAAAGGGAGGGAAGGATGGAGCCCGACTGGAAATTCAAAACGCAGCGAAATCTCAGTGAGATTTCACTCCTTTTTCGGTGCGGCACTGAAAAAAAGCGAAATCCCGGCGAAGTTTCACTTTCTGAAAGTGAAATCTCACTGAGATTTCACTTTTTTTTCCGAAAGTGAAATCTCACTGAGATTTCACCCCTTTTTCAGTGCGGCACTGAAAAAAAGTGAAATCTCAGTGAGATTTCACTTTTTGAAGGTCTCATGTTTTAGCCGCCCAAAGGTGAAATTTTTCAAAAAGTGAAATTCCACTGGAATTTCTATTTCACTGCCCAGTGCGCCACTGGGAAATGGGTGAAATTACAGTGAAGTTTCACTTTTTCCAAAATTTCACTTTTTTCAAAAAGTGAAATTGTCAGAAGACCGGTGGTCTGATGTTCCACGATGCTAAAGAGCATGAAGATCCTTCCCGTTTTGGTCCTGTTTGGACATAAGAAGATGATCAGATGATGATGAATAGATGATGTACTCAGCTCGTGTTTCAGCACAAGATGACGATGTGCTTTCCGCATGCACCGATGCAAGTGCATGAACTGAATCGATTCACTTTGGACCTTGTACCTTCAGGCTTTTTAGCCTGAAGGTACAAGGTCCAAAGTGAATCGATTCAGTTCATGCACTTGCATCGGTGCATGCGGAAAGCACATCGTCATCTTGTGCTGAAACACGAGCTGAGTACATCATCTATTCATCATCATCTGATCATCTTCTTATGTCCAAACAGGACCAAAACGGGAAGGATCTTCATGCTCTTTAGCATCGTGGAACATCAGACCACCGGTCTTCTGACAGAAATTTCACTGGAATTTCACTTTTTCCAAAGTTTCACTTTCCGAAAGTGAAACTTTTCAAAAAGTGAAATTTTGGAAAAAGTGAAATTCCACTGGAATTTCACCCATTTCCCAGTGGCGCACTGGGCTCCAGTGCCGCACTGGAGCCCAGTGCGCCACTGGGAAATGGCTGAANAAAGTGAAATTCCACTGGAATTTCACCCATTTCCCAGTGGCGCACTGGGAAATGGGTGAAATTCCAGTGGGATTTCACTTTTGAAAAGTGAAATTCCACTGGAATTTCACTTTTTGAAAAATTTCACTTTTGGGCGGCTAAAACATGAGACCTTCAAAAGGTGAAGCTTCACTTTTTGAAAACTTTCACTTTCCAGTGAAATTTCACTTTTTCCAAAATTTCACTTTCCAAAAGTGAAATTCCACTGTTTCCATGGCGCACTGGGCTCCAGTGCAGAAAGTGAAATCTCAATGAGATTTCACTTTTTTCGGAATCTCACGCTTGCGCGGGGTGGCCCAAAAATGAGATCTTTTAAAAAATGCGCTCAAAAAGTAAAATCTCAGCGAAGTTTCACTTTTTGACAAACGACCAAAACTACGACTGCCTCAAAGTCTCAGAAAGTGAAATCTCAGCGAGGTTTCACTTTTTCAACCTGAAGCTTTAGCTTTCACTTTTGGGCGGCCCAAAGGTGGGACATCAACTTCTCCGCAGGTGTAGTCGGACCGCTTTGCCCGGCGATGTAGCTGTGTCGGACGCGGTCAGGTGCCCGGAAACGAAAATCATTCCCCAGTGAAATCAACTAAAATTTTCCGACGAGCTATTCTATTGGGAGGTTCCGAGCCATGACTTTTTCTTCTTTTTGCTTTTCTTGTTCTTTTTTCCTTTTACGGACGAGCTGCTTTTGCTGTGAGGACCATCGGTGTCATCTCGTTCATCATCTCCTTCTTCAGGAGACTGGTGATCTTCGTTTTGTATTTGTTCCTTGTTATCTTTGTCCACTCCGAAATACTCCCCCGGATCCGACTCCCAGGGTTTCTCCTTCGCGACGTAGGCCTTTTTGTTTCCCTTCATTTTCCTGAGTAACGAAAACGCCTGCCAGTAGTGCGCCTTGATGTTCTCCCGCTCCAGCGTCGGCAAATCCATTAAAAAAGCGACGTCCCAGCTGGCCAGCGCTTCCTTTAATAACTGCATTGCCTTCAATATGGAAGCGTCAGGATTGAAATTGACAAAGTTGAAATGATTTGTCATGCATAAAATGGATGCCAATCGGAACCCAGTTGCCAAGTGGCGCATGACAAATTTTGGAGGTTCTAAAATCCAGCTTGTCATGCTGTTTAGGCAAAGATGAAGACTGATTTTCTCATGCTGCTTTAGCAGCTCGAGCGCTAACGACAAACAGGCTTACAATCGGCCTCACTTGCCTGCTCTGCAACACACGTGCCTCGCGTCATGCATTTTCTGCATTACAAATTATTCGAAGTTTGACGATTTCAATCCTGACACTCCCATATTCAACTGGTTTTCCCGCATGTACGTTCGGAACGCCGCAAAGTCCTCGTCGCTCAGCATCCCGGGGGTCGCCGCGGGCGGCGGGAGGTGTATCCTATGTAAAAACGTCCCCGCCACCCCATGATAGCTGTCATGCAATGCAAATAGTTGTCATGCAAATCTGCATGCTCAAAATGTTTCTCATGTGGAGCCCCATGAGACGCGTGTTCTAGTCGTGTTGTCGGATTTGTGATGCTAAAGTCAGCATCTTACGCGAGCTCTGTCATGCTGCTGAACTAGCTAAACAGGAGCACACTGCGACGCCAAACTTGTCATGCGCAACCGCCAAAGCTGGTGAATTTGTGTAGCAGATTTTCCACCTTGACCATGGGGTGGGGACGTTTTTACATATGACAAGGTGGAGGTTTTGTTTCTCTCGGACCATCTGGAGTTCCTATCCTGTGCAAAAGTATCGCACTCGTAGTAATTGCATTTATGCATTGCAAATTTTTTTCTCAAGGACAAGGTAAATCGGCACTACAAATTTCATTTCTCACACTGAGGGAATTTGTCATGCATTTATACGAGTACGATACTTTTCTTGCAGTTCATAGTTCCCTTTGTGTTTTGAAGTTCATCTCCTTTTCCCTTTCCTGCATTTTTTCCATGTATCAAATGCAAAAATGTCTGGGTCTGGAACAAAGCAACTTGTCATGCTAAATCTAAATCATGTAGAAGATCTGTGTTGCGTGATTACCAAAAGCTGGCCACTTTCGACCTAATTGAGAGGCAGTTGTTTCTCATGCAGGATAGGCAACATGATAGAACTCTCACAGAATCTGTCATGCTATGTCCTGCATGCCAGACCTCATGGGCCATGGAAAACCTGCATGACAAGTCTGGCATTTTTCCAGACCAAGACATTTTTGCAGTTGATACCATCAACTCAAACGCGAAACCTGCGTTGGTCGCCCCATACAGTTGCCACGCGTCGGGCCGGAAGGGTTCGTGGCGGATGGCTTGCAGGAAGAGTTGGATCGCGGAAGTCCAGTGCTATGCTGTGCAAAAATATCGTGCTCCTGCTCGTACTAATTGCAAATATGCATGACAAATCTCACTCCTAAGGTAAAACAGCATCACAAATTCCACTTTTCTTCTTGCAAAATGAATTTGTGATGCAATTCATACTAGTACGATGCTTTTGCAATGCATAAATGCTTTTTGTTCACCATCTTATGGCCCTCGGGGATCCAGGGGACGTTCACGGTTTGCTCCGGGTCGCCGGCATCTAACGTATCCTGAGAAAAAAGTGTTACAGCTACACACTCTGACGCAAGGCAAGCAAGACAGACAACCTCTGTCATGCAGGAAATGCTTGCAAGCCCTATTTCGTTCGTGTTTTCCCTTGGAGTCTGTGCATTACAAGTTTTCCTTGCCATGCAGAGCAACTTTGTGATGCTGAAAGTGAATGATGTGTAACTGTAACACTTTTTTCCTGTGATACAGCGCCGCTTTGTCGTAATACTTCTTCTTGATTTTGCGGACCAGTTTGGTTTCCTGGAAATTATCGTAGTTCATGCCGTAGAGTTCGCAGAGGCGGGTCTGCTCGGCGAGGTCGGGCTGTTCTTTGAGGTCTTTTGCAACAGGTTGTGTTCCTGCAGGTGGTGCTGGCACTCGTCCTGCCGTAGTGGAACCAGCCGCCCCAGCTGCTGCAGCATTGTCAGGGAGGACGACGAGCAGACTGGTGAAGAAACTACACCAGAGAGCAACGAGGTGGACACCAATTGCAATTGCAGGTCGACGACCAAACGAGACCAACATTTTGGTAGAAGGCTTCAAGTCCTGCCTTGAACAAAGAACAATGTCAAAACTTAAACTACGAGTGGCATCGAAGTGGAAAAAAACATATGAAAAACAAATGAGGAAGCATGCTCAACATGATCGTCTCTTTCTTTACTCGGATCTTTACTTATTTTGAGTGTACTTACATATGGATACGGTGTGTGGGTGGACCACTGGGATCATCTCCATGATCAGACCCTTGCAGAAGTTCTACCGAAAGAGATAGAATTCATACCAAAACCACGAAACCAAAAAGCGACTGCACAGGGAGAAAGCGGCAAAGAAGTTAGTATCCACCGAAGCAAATGACGAGCACCCGACAACGTGAGGTAAAAAACCAAACGAGGGAAGCGCTCGCAGGAGAAACAAATGTAACGAAGGATAGATTGCCGCTGCAGCTGGACCGGTTGGCGTCTTCGACTGTTCGGATTTTCGATTCTTGGGATTTTTGGAGATACAAGTTCATTCAGGAAGATTTTCGTTCCGAAGCATCTTCAGCACATTAGCTGATCACGTCGAGGACTATCGCTATCCCATCTGTCGATTCCTATTTTGATAAAAATCTTGGATTAGAAAATCTTGCTGCTGTAACTGTAATCTGCGTAAAAGTTTTGATTCAAACTGGACTAGAAAGTAACTGGAAGAGTTGAGTACGAGTTGTAAATGTAAATCTTGAAGACACGAGTTGTAGTTGTTCTTGTTGTAATCCTAAGCTGTAAAAACTGTAAAACGTAGAGAGTGCAACAAGGATGGAGCTGCAGTTGCTCCTGTGAAGCAAGCAGACCTTGAAGGCCGTGCTCTTGATTTTCTTTTTGTGTTCTTGAACTTTTCATCAAAATTGCAAACGAGTAGAGTACGAGAACGAGTAGATCTCATCTGCAGGAGTTGTACTATTTGTTCGACCCTCCACCATGACCGTTTATCAAAAAAGACTCCGCGCGTAGAAGTTGGTACAGAGTTTACTCGTGGTACTATTCCCCATTAGAGCAAGTCGGTTTCGTGGTCCAAACGTGGTTCGTTTTTTAATTATTGTGGTAAACATCTTGTCGTCGTGGTGGTCGATAAGTACCTGAGTGTGAGTTGTGCAGGTGGTATTCTTTCAGATTATGATTCACTATTCGAAAAACTTGAACATTCAATTTCAAAGTAAAATGCATCATGTTCTTTTTCAGCCTGAGCTGATCAGAGAAAACAATGTTGCACTGCACTCAACAAGAACAATTCTAATCGTATACCTTAACCTTTTCCCCACTTCATCGAAATCACACGAGCGATCAGGGAGGTGGGGAAGACGATCCGGAGCCGGAGCCACCGCCCTGGGCACCACCGCCCGTAGCACCATCACCAGTACTGCTGGATTCCCCGGTGCCACTGGCAGACGGGGCGCCTCCACCTCCTCCTGCTACTATCGTTTGGAAAATTTCAACTCTTTCTCTTGCTGGTCATGCAATACAGATTTTCTTCGAATCCAAATTTAGCATCACAAGTTCCCTAACAGAGCCACGAGTCACTTCGTTGTCAGCACGCGGCATACTATTACTAGCTGGTGATGTGAGCAGGTAAAATATATACGATGAAGTTCTTTCAACTTTTAAAGTTCGTTGCACTTTAACTGCTCACCAGGAGGGAACTCGGCTTGTATAATCATTTGTGTAAAGGTCTGCATGCTGACAACTTTGTCATGAGCATGACGATGACGCGGCCATGCCAGACATAGAATTTTTTCTCTGTTTTGATAGTTTTCGGAAAAGCGGTCTTGACGCCGCCCTTCTTCACCCCCATCGGGCCCGCAGCGCCGCTGTATCAAATGTAAAAATGTCTGCTGGGTCTGGAAAAGTGTAGACTTGTCATGCAGATTTTCCATGACCCATGAGGTCTGGAATGCGGGACTTAGCATGACAGACATTCTGTGAAATCCCTATCATGCCTACCCTGCATGAGAAACTCCCTTCTAACTTGGTCAAAAGTGGACAGCTTTATTGGTAATCATGCAACACAGATTTTTGCATGATTCAGATTTAGCATGACAAGTTACATCCTTCCAGACCCAGACATTTTTGCAATTCATACGCTACTGGCCTGCTCCACGACGGATTTCGTGGCGGCGGAGTGACTATGAACTGCAAAAGTATCGTACTCGTATTAATGCATGACAAATTTCCTCAGCATGAGAAAGAAAATTTGCAATGCAGATTTTTTTTTTTTTTTTTGCTAGGCTTCTCGCGTGTCAATTCAATTCAATTCATGGAGCGGCCCCGTGCTGGAACACTTCTGATGGTGGACGTGAGCGCGAGATTTGCGGCTTCGCGCCGCGGCGACTAAATGGGGGTCTCGCCCCCCACCCTCCGCTTTCAAGAATCCCGTTTGTGCGTGCATGCTGCAAAACTACCACAACGCGGCCAAAATGAGTGCAAGCTCTCATGCACCATACACAAAAAGAACAAATGAAAATCATCAGGAGGAGATTGTAGACCGCAATTTATGACGCCAGTGGCAGCTAAAACCCGAACGGCGGGGGGGTATCTACCGCGCCGAGCGCGCGGATTCGTTTTTTCGTGTCGAGCCGGTAGCAGCGGCACACGCCACATGGTTCCATCTCGCAGCCTCCGGAACAATGTGGAATGGGGATAGCAGTGCGGGGGGATACTATCTACTGCGGCTTAGCAGGGCCGGACTTTGTCATGCAAGTTTTTTGTCGTGCAAGTTCTTCGATAGTGCCAATTTTCTAGAGCTAACAAGTCACCGCGTCAAGTCCTGAGCGTCACCCGCAAGCCATTTAGAAACTGCGCGACCTGAATTTTTTTTCTATCTACTGACCCGGTAGCAGCGGGCGAATTCGTGCAACTAGGAAACTACACCGGTCACATGAAGCAGTTAAAGCAGATAGCAAGCAGGGCGCTTCTAGCAAAACCAATAAAAGTTGTCATGCAAAGCCGGAATACAGCATGCATACAAGCTTTCATGCGAAGCTAACACCCCCCCAAGCAACAACCCGCTGGCTAGGCGGAAAAAAAAGAGAAGCCCCTGCGAGGACGCGGGGTCCGCGGAACGACTAGCGCTACAAGACGTGGATCAAGTAAGACTAAGTGCGAAGACCACTAGGAAACGACAAAAGACTGTAAAAGGGTAGAGACCTAAATCTACATGGGACAACACCGGGCAAAGGGAAGATCTAATTTTTCATAGGCGAGGGAGCGCACGAATTTGCGATCTAGCTCCTTGGACAAAACAAACGAAGAACGGCAAAGACGAAGTGCTTAATAACGACTACAAGGCGGCAGGAAATATAAAAAGCATACATAGCAGCAGCAAGCAAATCGGATTCGCATTGCTGTGCACCGGCAGACTCGAGGACAGTGGTCCCTATGCGCCTCTATACACGGCTACCCGCATGCAAAAAAAATAAGGAGAAAAGGAAAAGGGGCCTCGGGCCCTTGCTGGAACACTTCTGGACTCATGGAGCGGCCCCGTGCTGGAACCCTTCTGGTGGTGAACGTGAGCACGAGATTTGCGGCTTCGCGCCGCGACAACCAAATGGGGGTCCCTTCCCCCCCCCTCCGTTTTCGAAAATCCCGTTTGTGCGTGCATACTGCAAAAGGTCAACATCGGTGGTCGACATGAGATCGAGATCAAGCCCGATTCGAAAGCACCGGCCACAAAAAGTAGAAACGAAAATCTTCGGCGGGGATCGGAAGACCGCAATCTGTGATGCCAATGGCTGCTAAAACCCGAACGGCATGGGGGTAGCTACCACGCCGAGCGCGCGGATTCGTTTTCCTTTACGTGTCGAGCCGGTAGCAGCGGCACACGCCACATTTCTCCTTCTTGCAGCGTCCGGAAATATGTGTTGGGGGGCATAGTAGTGCGGGGGGATACTAATTTACTACGGCTTTGCAGGGCCGGAATTTGTCATGCAAGTTTTGTTTTGTCGGATAGTGCAAACGAACTTTTTTGCTAGAGCTAACAAGTCACCGCGTCACGCCTAGGTGACACCCGCCAGCTATTTAGTAACTGCGCCGCCTGAGTGGTTTTTTAAGTACTGACCCGGTAGCAGCGGGCGAAATGTCTTGTTTAGGAAACTACACCGGCAGCTTTGTGCAGCTACCGCAGATAGCCAGCAGGGCACCGCTAGTAAAACCAATAAAATGTAAATAATTTGTCATGCAAAGTTGGATAGTATGGAACTTGTAGGGCAACAGCTGCGGAACCAACCGGGGCGAAATCTCGACTAGCTGCAACGGCGAGTAGTGTGTCGTCGTGGTCGAGGATGTCTTGCACGGGATCGGCAGTATTCGATTTTGAAAGTCGGCGTGTGGGGTGGACGAACTTGAAGCTGGATTTCCATTCTTGAGAGACGCGGCAGGATCGGGTGTACTCGGCGGCGAAGGGTTCTGCAAGATGTTGAAGCATAACAGCACCCCGGGGAAATGCAGCAACAGCGTGCTTGTCCGAACTCCCGTTGCGGGGAGTAGCTGGCTCCCGTGCGGGTTCGGTGGTGCGGGTTTTCTTTTGATTTTGATTTGAAATTCTTTTGATTTTTCTTTTGATTTTTCTTTTGATTTTTCTTTTGATTTTTCTTTTGATTTTTCTCTTGATTTTTCTCTTGATTTTTCTTTTAGTTTTTCTTTTGATTTTTCTTTTTGTTGATATTTTCTTTTGATTTTTTGGTATTTCTTTTCGTTTTTCTTTTGTCTCGACACACAAAAAGCGGTGGGCGATTCACGAAGAAGTGCGCGGGTGTGCTCGGCGTTCCCGTGGCCTTAGGCCCTACCTTTTGGATAAAAGCTGCCGCTCCTCCTCCCCACGTCTCTTCCTTTCGCCATTGCCATCACTCCATTCATGGCCGACAGTTCCACTTCTCGCTCGTCATCTGCATCCCTCCACAGAGATTTGTGAATCCTCTTCGGCCTGCGCAGTAGCAACGAAAAAGCAGTGTGCCAACCTGGCGGAGATTTACGCACTGACGCCTGCCCCCACATCTTGTTCTTGGAAGGATGTCCAATATTTACACTTACATCTTGATATCATGGTAAACATAGAGAAATCAACTATTTATTTCTATGTTGGTAAAAATGAAAGCGGAATAGAATAGAAAGCAAATTATACTACTTTGGTGCTGCAGGCAACTAATAGCTCTGAAGACAGGGCAGAAAAAAGCTCTTCTGTAGTGCAAGGAGGTCAGTACTAAGTAACTTTCCTACAAAATCCTTGGAAATTCAACTACTCAGGACTATACACGACTCATTTTTTTTTTGCTCAACAAGTACTACCTTTTCACTACTACCACCTCCTTCCTCCATCTCAGCCTGTCCCTGTTTTTATTTCTTTTGAATGGAAAGTTACGAGCAACAGGCAAAAAAAACGCCTGTATTTAGGACGAGCAGCAAACTACGAACCTGTCTGCGAAGTTACCAGGTGCTACGATGACGAATTCACGACTGACGACTTATTTTCTTTCGCGCGACGATTAGGCTGAGGAATGGGTCTGCTTAAAAATACCAGGTCACTGTCCATGTGTTTACTAGTACCAGGGGACCAGGCAGCCACGTAGCTCATTAGGTACAAGGTTACTCTATGCCGCTGTTTGGTACAGTTCTATTCTAAATCTTCAGCGATGAGCAAACGCTCCTCCTAGGTCTGGCTTTTTGGGGTTCCCTTTATATTGGTGCACGTTGCGGGCTTCGCAGCAGGGACCTGTTGTTTTATGCATTTTTGATTTTCATTGAGTTGTTTGCTCGAGGATGTTATCTGACTTAGCATCATGATCTCAACTACCATCTATATGTTCATCATACACAAGCAGGCACTAACAAAAAGCACGAACCTCCGATCTGCAAATCTATTACCATCAAATAGCTCCATAGTCACTATTTTTATATACCTGGTATCTTCCTTTCTTCACTTTCCCCCTCCTCAGCCCAGCTTTTTCGCACGATGTAGTACTGGTCGTTTTTTCTTTTTCTTTTGGGATCTCGTCGCTTCATAAACAAAAGGGAGAGGATTTGACTTGCAGAGAACCTGGGGAATTTAATTTTTTGTGACTCAAGGCATCTAGTGGCGCGTCAATCAAGATACTTCATCGGAATGGCATCAGTAAATACCTTCATATTGCTCATTCTATTTAGTTTCTTATACACATTGTCGATCTTGGTGTGCTGCTTTGGAATTCGTTCCATTGTGTGCCCTATTTCATCGACACATCCCTTCACCCTATCTCGAAAGAACTCATGCGTTAACTTTGCCTCTTCGTCCACTATAAGACGCACGATTTTCTGCGGCTGTTTTAGTAAGCTGCGCCCGAGGGATGGGGCGCATTTGGCAAAACCCAGGTGGCGCTCACGTGGCGCCTTGATCTCTTCGCATTCGAAAATGGCATGATCCACCGCACAAGCAGACCACCTGCCACACAGTCTGCATTTTTGTTTCATTTTTCCCCCTTCGTACTGAATCTCGTCGCGTCCCAGGTGTGGCTGAGGCGCAATGCCTAGCCAGACCCAGAAATACAATAACTCCGACTCTCGATTGGGGAAGACCCCAACCGGGGGTCGGAATCCCCCCAACTCTTTAGCCCGGTCCCGGAGGTAGTCCGAGACCGAGTCCACTTGCGCTAGATTTCTGCTCAAAATCCTGCGCAAGAGTAGGCGCCGCAAGATTGGCGCGGTAAGCAATTTTGTGTAGACGGGCCGCGCTGCGTCATCACTGTAATCCTGGTCGCCATCCTTCCACATCTGCTTGTAGATATTTGTTAGCTGGTCCGCGCAGTCGTTCACCAGCTGGCCACAGTGTCCGGGGGTCCATCTGAAATGAAACCACACTTCCTCTTCCTCGTTTGGTTTCTCACCTATGCAGGCGGCTTCTATCATTTCCATATGTTTCATAATGCTGCGGATCATCTCGCTGCTGCCATCGTTATAGCATTCCAAAGCCTGCACAATGGAATTGCTATCCAAGAAAAAATAGAAATGTCGCAGCATGTGTCTCATGTGTGGGCTGGTCTTAATCTGATGCACTATCTTTTTTAGCTGTTCTATCAGGCCTACACATTCTGCATCAAATGAGTCTGTATGAACATCTTCCAAGGGGGAACAAATGTAGGCTCCTGATATCCATGCCGGTTCTGGCAATCCCTCCTCCCCTGCTTCTGTTGCTAGTTTCCCCTCGCCATCATCGCCAACCGGCTCCCACCACCAGCTGGCCCCTGCCCCTACTCCCAAATTACGGTCCTTGTCAACTAGCCCGTCCGTCGCTGTAACGAGATTCTCCTGCGACTTCCTCAGCAGCCCTCTCGTGAGCGCGTTGTGCGCTGTTGCAATTTTCCCCCGTGCTTTGTTTAGCTCTTCCCCCCGAAGCCCTGATAGCCTTCCAATCCCCATGCCTTCTCCAACGCTGTCCATCGACTTGGCATCCAGATTGACACCTTTCCAAAAAATCTTTCCCATATAGAGTCTATCTTTGTCGAGCTGTCGATGCACATCTTCAAAACTTTCTTGTGACATATGCCTAATCGTGTCGGTCCACGTGACATGTTTCTTGTCCATGCCTAGAAGAAAACTGGCTGGATCTTGCGCATCCACCTTCTCAAGCAAATTTTTTACCTCCTCGCATGGCGATTTTTTCAGTGGCCAGAGATCCAGCTGCGCCCCTTTGTAGAAGAGCATTAAGTTCTCTACTACAAAGAGCGAGTGGATGTCTGGTATGCCAGCACAGTGATGCAAAATCGTGTTTGGTGTTTGCTTTGGTAGCATAGCATGCGCCTTCAGATACTTCGAAGTGTCTTTTTTGAGCTGCAGCTTGTTCTCTTTCTTGAAATAGTGAAAGAAAGGTATGCTGTTCGATAGTATCGCGCTGTATACTATCGAAACATAGATGTCAACCCTTGCAGTGATTCTTAGATTTTTGAGCCGGGACACGCTGGAATTTGTAATGCAGATTCACCTTGAGAAAAAAATTTGTAATGCAGGACTGCAATACGAGTACGATACTTTTGCACAGGATAGTGACCGGTCTTCACTGTCGGGACGCATATCAAAAGGAAAGATCCCCCCTCCCCATATCGAACACAAAACCTGTGATGCTGTATTAGTATTTGAGTACACAAGTCGACCTGTATTGCTAGAAGGCCAAGAGCCGCGGTTTTGCCCTCGCTTGCAGGCAATTTGTCATGCTGTTTTCCACTTCCAGGTGCCTCCTGCCATGCTGAAGATGCAAGGGCTTCGCCCCACGCGTTTCAGTACTACAGTCCGCACCTTTTACCTTCTAGCATGATTTTGTGGCAACAAATCTGCATTACAGATTTCCGTTTTGATACGGGGAGGGGGGATTTCTCTCCTTGATAACGCAGGTGGGGACCTGGCTCACCAGGTCCTCCAGCACCTGCTGCATGGAGCCGTGACGCGACATGCGTTTGGATTGTATTTGCTTAAAACGAATCCGGTGACGTTAGAGCACAGCTTGAAGCCTAGAATTTTTTTTTTTCCGAGAAGTTTTATTCAACACAAACAAGAATAACAAATCGCTTTTTAATTCTGCATCTACATCAAGAACGACTCGACGACGGCTTTGAACCAGAGGAGTGTCGAACCTCCACAAAATGAAGACGCACACTCCCTCTCGTGCTCCACGCCACTCCTTATTCTTGTTCTTCAGAATTTAGCCATCTCGCATTGCCGCGTCAACATCAACGACAACGTCGGAAGTGAGTCGAAAAATCAGTGTGTCGGGTTCTCTTCTATTTCATTTCTCTTTCTAGAAGTGTACCGAAGCAGAGTTTTACATGATTTGCAATTCATCCATCTCCACCTTGTAGCACGTTGCGTTTGTCCGGACGACATTGCACGGTACACCCACGTCATCTAGCAGTAGACCATGCTTCAAAGTTCTGTTGCAGTCGTCAAATGAATTTCATCCTGTCGACTACCTCAGGCCGCGCCTAATTATGGAGCTCAAGGTGCCTCTACTTGTGCATCTGCTCCTGGTTCCTCGACCCCGCCGCCGCCGACCGGCGGCCCCAGTGCACCTGCGGTTTCTCCAACTCCACCTCCTGGGATCGAAATGCCGCCTGCGCCTCCATCTCCGGGTCCACCTGGTGGCATCATCCCGTCATCTCCGACTCCAGCAGCTCCACCAGGTCCGGGCGGCACCATCTCGCCATGTCCGGCTCCTTTTCCCGGCATAGCGCCATTGCCGACATAGGGGCCTGGGCCTCCCTTCATTTTACCCGCTCCTCCCATAGCAGGGCCGCCTTCGGTGCGCCTCCTATGCTGCCGTCAGCGCCCTTACCATCCCCCACAAAAGGTACTTCCCCGGCTGGAACTTGTTCTTCATCACCTCCACCCACGGCAGCAGGAGGAGCTGGTTCTACGAGAGGAACAATAGTTGCTTGTCCGGGTCCTGCAGTGACAAAACCGGTCCGATTCTTCACCCCCATCGGCTTCGGTCCCTTCCCGACGCCGACGTAATCGCCTTGTTCCAGAAAGGAGGACTTCGCTGCACCGGAAGTAGATGTTGAACCGCTGCTCTTCACCGTCGGAACGCAGGTAGAGACCTGATTCACGAGGTCTTCCAAGACCTGCTGCATGGAGCCGTGGCGCGACATGCGTTTGGATTTGATATAAAACGAATCTAGTATTTTACTAGGTTCTTGGACGAGGACAAGAACTGATAACCTAAAGTTTTGTTTCGCCGAGAAGTAGTTTCAACATTCAACGCACCATGTGTGACCATCAAAAACGTGAATGACTCGACGACGAAGACGAGCTTGAATCAGAGGATTGATAACGTCGAGTCACGAAATCAAGGCACAGACTCACTCGCGCTCCACATCACTCTTTCTTCAGAGTTTGCGCTTCTTCATTTTGCATCAACGTTGTGAATGTAGTGTCATACGACAGTTTGTACAGTTTAAACTTCCGTTGCGAAGCCACACTGGTCACGCAAAAAAAAATTTTTACCCTCTGAGGTTCTTTCCGCTTCTCTCTCTTGTTTGCGTTTCCAAATCTCGCACTGGATGCTTTGCTCGAAGGGCAGAGCAGCAACAGCAAAGACGTCGGCAGGGACGGAGAAATGAAGTACGTTTCAGTACAGGGTGAAACGGAACTCACAGGCTAATTTTTCAGCATCCATCTCGTTTTTGATTTTGTCCTTCAAAACAAACAATCTGGATCTGCTCAGTACCAGTGTTTATCTGATTCACAATTTATTTCGCGGAAATTGTAATTAAGTCTATTTTTGAAATTCTTTGTCGAAGCCAAGTACAAGTAGCACCGATTATTTAATCAGACGAGTTTTTCTTCTGCGCGCAGTTACCCTTACCGGGGGCGGGCAAAGCAAGAGCAGTGAGCTTAGTAAAGCGGAGCACTAGCTACGACGTAGTGGATCATCAGCCATTATTTAAGGAGGTGGTGCCACCTCAGAATTTTCATCAGCACCACGACGACCACCGCCACCACCACCGTTACCGCCACCACCACCGCCACCACCACCACCACCACCACCGCCGCCGCCAAGACCACCACCACCGTTGGCGCCCCCACTGTTGCCTTCCATACTTCCAGCGTTTGTATCGATCGCGCCGCCCGCAGCCGCCGTGTCGGTCGCGGCCCCATCCGCAAAACCGGTTTTCTTCTTCACCCCGCCACCCAGTTTCGGTCCTTTTCCGACCCCGGTGTAGTCCTCCGCGGCGGGCTGCTGCAGGAAGGAGGACTTGGCTGCAGTCCCGGTTTTCACGGTCGGGACGCAGGTCGGGATATCCTGTGCAAAAGTATCGCACTCGTATAAATGCATTACAAATTTCCTCAGCATGAGAAATAAAATTTGTAATGCAGATCCAGATTTTCCTTGGAAACAAGATTTGTAATGCAAGACTTGCATTAGTATTTGTACGAGTACGATACTTTTGCACAGGATACGGGACCTGATTCACCAGGTCTTCCAACACCTGCTGCATGGACGAGCCGTGGCGCGACATCTTGGATGCGTATTTTTCTTTTTCGATTCGAAAAGTTCTTTTCGCTCCGAAGTCTCAGTGTTCATCGTTGCTAAAGGATGTTTATTTGAAGTTCTTCATGTGGCAGTGTGAGTCGGCCGGCTTCGATTTGCGCAAATAAACGTCGGATGAAGATGAAGATGAATACCATTACCAATTTCGGTAAATGTATGATTATACGCAGCTACTGAGATACAAATACGACGGCTTGAAGTTACAACTGTGTGGTAACATATCACAATCGAGATGGCGATCAACGGTACCAAGGTGCGTGTGATGTCAACAACGACGAATTTTCAAACAACCATTTTCACCTTTTCTGTGCTGCTCTGGTTTCTCTCTAGAGTTTTCTCTTCTCTCCCTCTCGCAAGGTCGCAGCCACGAATCAATGGAGACAGCTCGAGACTGCAAGAGCTCAAAGAGATAAAATCGTCTTCTTCGCACGTTTTCCTTTCTTCATCCCTCAAACCAATTTTGGCGGTGCAAGAGCAAGTGTGCGCGCAAATCAAAGAACATGAAACGCACCACAGGATGAAGCGATTTCCATGGCTGTACAGCCAACAATAATCAATGGAATCAGCCAAAGTGGATAAAAATCTTCTTGATTTTCCGTTTCAATACGATTCGAGTAAAGTTCATTTGAAACCAAAGCCATTATTTCGCAGTAAGTAAAGTTGTAGTTGAGGATCATAATCTTTTCATCACGTTCACGTCGCGTCACCACTCGATGAGCCTAGACGTGTGACTGCATCCATCCTTGGTGCGCATTCTTGGTTCTGTGCCTCCGCACCATCAGATGCACCAACGCCGCGGGAGAAAGAACCACCACTCGGATTCCTCGTGCTGTCGGCAGTAGTGGTTGCGATCGCCGCTCCTGCCAAGTCGTCCGAGTCTATCATGATGTCCTCTTCATCTTCTGCGTTTTTCATCAGTCCAGCGGTTCCTCCCGGTGCTTCTATGTCGTCTATCTCAATGCCCTCTATTTCGTCCTCGAGCGGCGGTCGCTTTCCTGATGAACTATTCTCGGTGGTCGCGCCGAACAAAGCAGCTGTGGATCCTTGTCGGGGGGCGCCAATACTACCCGTGCTGTCGACCACGTTCATTGACGCTTGTCCTACTGGTACTGCAGCGGCGCTGCTAGAAGAAGATGAAGATGCGCTACCTGTAGATGATCCGTTTATCGTGCTGCCTGTTGCGGCATTCGATGACGACGAGGGCCCTCCGCTAGTACTGCTTCCCGCCACACCTGCTCCGGCAAAACTACTGTTCCTCGTCCCCGGCGGTTCACTGATTCCCATCATTTTGCCGAAGTCCTTTCGGTATCCTGTGCAAAAGTATCGTAGTCGTACTAGTGTAAATTGCATTACAAATTAGCCCAGCATGATTGCATATTGAATTTGTAGTGCAGATTTACTTTGAGAAAGAGATTTGTAATGCATAAACGCAATTACTACGAGTACGATACTTTTGCACAGGATATCCGGCTCATGACTTTGAATCCGCTCATGTCCTTCGGGAGGCAGCAGATGCACTTGTTTCCGTGCGGCATAAGGAGGGTATAGAAGGGAAATCGTCCTGAGCTAAGCAGTTTCAGTTTCTTGATATTACTCTTGCAACACACTGCTCTCTGATGTGTTTCGTTCTACTTACACGCAGACGCAGCATCAGTGGCAGCGGCAATGCTATTGCGGGGGCGTAGGTGCGCGGGCAGAGGCAGACGATGTAAAGCTAAAGTCTACATAACCTTCCTACGGGCGAGCGGGCGTGGCGAGCGAGGCAAAAGCGCGGATGAAACGTGGGCGCGGCGCGGCGGGCGGTGCCGGCGAGGATAGTGCCGCGTGTCTGTGGTGCTGGTGCGTATATGACAAACGTCAGCGCAACGAACTTCAACTTGCCCAAGATTTGTTTTTCCGCTTCCATAAGTTGATATCCTGCTGCCTTCGTTCCGTCCGCTGGTGATTTCGCCGCAGAGAAAGGCGGAGTCGTCCATGTCTAGATTCCCGATTGAAGACTCCTGGTTCGTCGCGGCGACCCGCCGCAGCTTGGACTGGGGACGGAATTTCATTTTTGGGAGGAGGTTTGGTTGTGTTGATTCAAGTCAAAGAAAAAACTTCTGCCATAGAGAGGCTGACTCTGGTACTGTTTCTAGTTGCTTCTCAACTTTGTTTCTTGTGAAAGAGCGGGTGGCTCGTAAACTCACATCTTTCATCGGGGGAAACGTCACCTCCTGTTGAGGGGCCTGTGAAGAAAAGTTACTCGAAGACATTGCACGATTTGATGTTGCAGCAATTCAAGTAGGAACGAGCTGCGGGAGGTTCTGATTTTGTAATTGTATCGAAGGACGAAGTTGTACTGGGTGCGGATGCGTAAAACAAGCGAAAGGGCTATACTGGCAATGTTTCTCGTCTTATTTTTTCAAATGATTTTGTCATCGTTCATTGCTAGAGGCTAGCTGTGACTGTGAGCCAGAAAAAAAGATCAACCGAACGACGTTGCACGACGGCACGAACGTATCTGTGTTTGCATTGTAGTTTTCATCATTCTTCAGCGCGTACTCGTGCTTCGCTCAAGTATCTTGTTCTCGACGCCTAGGAGTCACGGAAAATTACGAACAATCATGTCGGTAGCTCATGCTCAAGGGCAAAAGGAGCCTACAATTCTTGTCGTCATATTTTTTTTGATTTTTTTCGCGCCAGAGGTGTACAGCTCGTTCATCGCGATGTGGTTTTATATACAGGTAGATTCTACAACTCATTTGATGCATTTCCTGGGTGCATTAGCGTGATACTTGAAAATTCAGCTGCTGCTGTTGCTGTCAAAACTTACAGAAGACGAAAAGCGTTGCTTTGTTGTGTCATTGAAACAAGTCGTACTCATTGATAGATTGCAGTTATTGGTCTTTTTTTAGTCATAGTTGTTTGCATTGAGGCTGAAAGTCAAATCAAATTCTCTGTAGAGCAATAAAACGTTTCCAACAAGCCCGAAAAAGATCATTGATAGAGGAGCTCATCCCGAGACAGACTCACACGGAATGACCCAGCACCCCTCCTGTTTTTGTATACACCAACACCATCATACCACCACAACATCATCTACGGATGATACATCTTCGGGAAGCTCCCGTCCGTGTTCGCATGGTCCGGCCGCTCCGGCCCGACGATCCCGGCTTCCGTTTTCACCAACGGGTTCTCCAACACCCTTGTCGGCATCTGCTTCGCGAAGGTACGAGGGTACTCCGTGCGGTTATCCAGGAAAAAAGACTCATCGTCATCCCCATCCATTTTTTGCATGACAAATACTGCTTTTGGTGCATGTTTTGCATGACAAATAATTGTATGGGGATGGGTGTTTTTTCCTGAATAGCGGTACCGCCAGGCGTCAGGCATGCAGGAGGAGTGGAAGATCACTCTATCAAACGACGACTCGTGCACCTGGTTGTTAAAAGCCGGGTGGTATGAACTGCAAAAGCGTCTGCATCGCACTAGTAGCGATTGCAATACAAATTTCCTCAGCATTATAAATGGAGTTTGTAAATGTGGATTTACCTTCGCATCTGGATTTGTAATGCATAACTGCAATTAGTACGAGTGCGATGCTTTTGCATTTCATAGGTTGTTCGTCTTCTTCACATCCGTCACGTATTGGCCCAGCGGCATTTTCACTTTCCCGCAGTTCGCGACTGTTGTTGCGTCGATGTCTATGGGTGTGCACAACTCCCCCTCCCCCTGATTTGTCATGCAAAATACCTGGCGCTCTGCGTCTGTGGAGGTACTGTTTGCATGACAGATTCGGGAAGGAGCGGCCAAAACAGAACAACACTGTATAGGCGCATGAACTTGTCATGCACAGGTTCCACAGCTGGGGCGTTTGTATTGCTTTTCATGCAATACAAAGAAATGAGAGGGACGAGGAGGAGAAGAAATGCACTCTCATAATTTCCGGGCGAACACTTCGGTCGAAGGAATTTTGCGTGACTGAGGAGTACCGGAGCAAATTCCATCTTCCTTGGTACCCCGAGTCCTCCAAAGCCTTCGTATGCAAAGAAAAAACTGCTTCACTGTAAACTTGTAATGCAGGAAATGCATCTTAGAAGTGTTTGTCTTGCTACGCATGCAAGACAATGGATTTTATTTAGTGGTGTTTTCCTTTGGAAATATCGCATGGCAAATTTTCGCTCTCATGCAAAACAAACTTGTGATGCTAAACTTGCAAACTCCTACTTACAGTGAAACACTTTTTTCGTTGGATACTTCGTCCGCAAGTCGTAATGCACCCGGGAAAACGGGGGATGCAACTCGTTGCTCACGTGGTCGTATCCTGTGCAAAAGTATCGCTACTACTAATTGCAGTTATGCATTACAAATCTTTTTGTTAAGGCAAGTCCGCATTACAAATTCAAATTCCATTTGTAATGCTGAGGAAATTTGTAACGCTATTTATACTAGTACGATACGTTTGCACTGCATAGGTCGCCGTTGGTGGAGTTAACCAACACCGGAACAGACGCGGTTCGGGTGAGAGAGGGGGTGTTGTGGTTCCAGTGCTTTCTGGAGGGTTTGGGAAAACTGGAGCCGACGCCAAAATACCGGTCGCCCGGTAGGGACCCCGAGTAGGGGTTGAGAGGGGCGGTGGACATTGGGTTGTCGTGTGTTTTTCGTTTTTCTTGTTGGAGTTGTGACAAACAAAAACCTAGATAGATGGTGATAACAGTACGAGGAATATGCGTAGTTGATTTCCTGTTCAAAAACAGCGAAGCAATATGATGTTTTCGTTCAATCGTAGTGCTCGGACAGTTTACAAAAGATGCCCACGAACTGACTTTACACGATGCGCCCACGTAGTGCTTCATCCTGTTAAAAGTTGTACTGTACCGAAGTAGATCGTGACCGGTACCGGTTCTTGCCCCCACGCCCACCCAGACATGATCGCACATCCACGAACCGATTACACGACTGATACAGAAGATCAGAGATGAATTTTACTGCCGCCAGATGTACGACACGTCACCGAGTTCAACAAAACAATGGGCACCTTTTATTACTCTGCAAAAGCTCTTGTTCTAAATTTTGTTCTTGTGGCCCTTCCGTGTCGCACTGCAACCACGACTAGAACGTTATCACAATTGTGCAGAAGATCAACATTTTTTTACGAATACGCGGCTGCAAGACTACGGTTGCAGTGCAACGCCCGAGCCTGATGTGAACAACAGATGGCGTGAGTGCGCGTCGTTTCATCAAGTAGATTTCGCATCGATAAATGGGATGCTCCTCGCCATTTCAGTGTCGCTTGTTCTACTACCGTGTGGGTTTGATTTTGTTCAAAAAAAAAACTATAAGTAGAAGCTGTCGCACGATTATGATTTTGAGCAAAGGATGAATGCTGAAGCTTTCTGCTCATCTTCCTTATTCCTTCCTACTTTTCCGGATCCACCCCTCCCACGGAGGGGTGCAGTGAAAAGCCATCTTTCTTTCCTTATAGCCACACCGGCCGCACGCTGCTTTGCGAAATTCTTTTTCAACCGCATCTTCTCCACCAGATTTGGAACAAGACAACAAAGCCGAAGTAGACGTAGGGTCGTGGAGATTCGTCGTTGCGTACGTACTTCTGATCCCGTACAGGCCGGAAGTCGTGCTATCAACAAAACTTCCCACAACAGCGCCAGCAGGAACCTCAAATAAAGTCTTCCCTCCGTGCTGAAAAACCTCCGCTGATGTTGCTGCATAAGTAGAGCTAGAGCTGCTCATCATCGCAGCTGTGTAGTCTTTTCTAATTTTCCTCTTCGCCTTCCTTGCCTGTTTCAGCACGTCCTTCTCTATCTCCTTCAGACTCATTGTGCACAACAAACTCGTAAATTTTCCGTAGCACTTTTGCAACACGTAGTCGGTCCAATACAGCTCGGTTTCGGTGATAATGTTCGGGTCGTATTCTACAAAATGTTGCACACCCGCTTCGTACTCACTACCGTGTAGGTACTGCTCGCTCGTTATGGGTATTCCACCGAATTTTCGGAGCGCAATCACCTCCCTCGTGAGGGACGCGTTGATCCTTTCCCTGGTCTCCCGGTCGCCGGAGCCGAAGCCAGGGAGTATCAAATGTAAAAGTGTCTGGGTCTGGAAGAGTGCATGTATGTCATGCTTGTCTGGAATGAGTGTTAAATCTGTCCCGCACGTTACCCAAGAGCGCCACTTTTCTATCATGCAGAAACGCAGACTGTCATGCAGAGTTGTAGGCAACACCTCTAGAAGCTCAAAAACTTGTTATGCTGAGCCAGCACTTGTGGCCTCCCCATGATGCGCCACCCAGCATCACAGGTTTCCAGGCCCAGACACTTTTGCAATGCATAGGGAGGTATTTCCTGCCATTTTGCTTCAGACCGTAGTCGCCGAGAATGACCTCGTGGAGATCTGGTCGCTTTATCCTGTGCAAAAGTATCGCGCTCGTAGTAATTGCAGTCATGCATTACAAATTTTTTTCCCAAGGTAAATCCGCATGACAAATTTTATTGCTCACGCTGAGGGAATTTGTAATGCATTTATACGAGTAGGAGCACGATACTTGTTTTGCAATGCATACGCTTCGGCTTCACTTTGATGGTATTCTTGTTTGTAGTTGCTTGCTGGATCATAGAAGGGACGTGGTCGGCAGAAGCAGCTACAACTTCAGCTTGTCCGCTGGACGAACTAGTTGGGGCGGGAGGGACCACTTCCTCCTGCTGCGTCGGGTTGTTCTCTGGTGAGTTGGTTGTTGAGCCTGAAGTAGAAGATGTCATCCTGGTGTTGTCGAGGGTAGGAGATGAAGTTGAAGATGAAGAGGAAGAAGATGAAGGTTGCTGTAGTACTGAACCACCGGCAGCAGCAGGATCAGCAGCAGCCGCATCTTCGGGAAGAGAGCCGGGCTGTTGTTCACCAACATGAGCTGCATCTTGAGTACCAGGACCCCCTTCAACATCTTTCACAACTTCCCGTGGCAGTAATCCGCCTCCCTCAACGAAGATCTTGCTGTATCCAGTGGTAACAGGCCGCTTTACCTTGTTCCTTTTCGCTTGTGAAGATGAGGATGAAGAGGATGCTGCCCCCGCTGCAGTCTTCATTTCGCCCCCAGTATCTGCACCACCAACAAGAAGAACTCCTTCGTTCACCACCTCTGGGCAGTGGTTGTGGACGGTGAGATTCGCGTTTCGCTGTGAAAATTCGAAGTCGACATTCGTGAGAACAACTGCGGGGAGGGATTCCGCTAGGACTCCGCTCGTGCGGCCGCTCACGTGCTGTAGAGGTACTTGAAATTTATTCTCGCGACCACGCTCTCGTCGAACATCATTTTGCTCTTGCTGCTGCTCCTGCGAGTCATCCACCTGCTGTTGCTGCTGCACCGCGGCGCCGGACGTGGAAGCGGATGTTGTAGAAGATATAACGGCAAAATTGGTATTCGTATTCGAAAATAGCAAAAAATTTTTCCCCCGCCCAGTTCACTAGTGCAGACGCCTCCGCCTGCGGTGCCTTTTCTGCCGCCTCCAACTTAACGAGCTCGAGCGACGCGCTGTGCCGCTCAGTGTTTGAGGAAGCCGCCGCGGGGTGGCGATCGATAGCGCAAGCACTAGCCCGAGCTCGTGGCGGCGCTGGATAGCCGAAAATGGTACGCGCCTGGCTTAAGGCTTTTTGTCGGGTGGCAGGTGCCTCGTGGCTTCTCCGTGTCAACTGCTCTTGGCGTAGCTGCACCGCCGGCACATGCGTCGCGCACCTCTCGAAAATTTAGTGCCGACGGACCCAGCGCGCCCTATGGGGAATTACCTGGCTCCCAGATTCCCGGGCCGCCCTACCTGCACCACCCCCATCGGCTGCGCCGCGGAGAAGAGCTGGCGTAGACAGGCCCTGAGGCCTTCGCCTACGAAAGTGCCTCTTTGCATTTTCGGCCCGGAAGCAATTATCTGTGGCCGCTTCCAAGCGTTCACAGGAAACGGAGACCTCGGACGGATTTTCTTCCGCGCAACTTTGGTATTCAGCTGCCCAAGGTTGCCCCCAAGAGAGGGGGGTCAAATGTCGCTGAATACCAAAGTCAGAATTTCCAGCGAATACCAATTTCAGACCGTGTTTGACTTTGGTATTCAGAAAAAACCGGCGTTTTTTGCTCGGCATCCGGAAGGGCAAAAATCCTTTCCCCGAGTCATCAAGTTTGCCGGTCCGCGAGACCGGCTGCTGCAAATGCTCCGCTTTCTCTGAACGCTTGGCCGCGGCCACAGATGTTGCTTCCTGGCCAAGAATGCAAAAAGGCACTTTCGTAGGCGGAGGCCGCAGCGCATTTCTACGCCACTTCGCCTCCACAGCGCAGCTGAGTGATGGGCGTGGTGCCCGTAGGGCGCCCCGAGAATCTAGGGGCCAGGTAATGCCCCTTATGGTGCGCTGGATTCGTGGGCACTAAATTTTCCGGGGGTGCAGGACCCATCTGCCGTCGGTGTAGCCACGCCGAGAGCAGCTGACACGGACAAGCCGCGAGGCAGCTGCAGCCCGTCAAAAAGCCCCAAGCCAGGCGCGAGCCGTTTTCGGCTACCCAGCGCCGCCACAAGATCGGGCCAGTCATTGCGCTATCGGTCAAAAACCACTTGGCAGCTTCCTCAAACACCGGGATGCGGAGAGCGGCCGTCGAGGGCTTTAAATCGGAGGCGGAAGAACAGGCACCGCAGGCGGGGGCGCCTGCACTAGTGAGCTGGGCGGGGGGAAAAATTTTTGCGATTTTTGAATACGAATACCAATTTTGCCGCTATAGAAGATGCTGCACTTCTACAACCAGCACCAGCACCTAGTAGTTGACCTTGCGACGTTTCATTATCCGAAGATTGACCTTGCTGCTGCACCGCGGCGCCAGACGTGGAAGCGGCTGTTGTAGATGATACTGCACTTCTATCGCGCTGAAAAAAATGATCATACTCATACTTTTGCCGTTTTTGACCTGAAAAGTAGCACTTTTCTTCACAGATTCTGCAAGAAAGACTGAAAATGCGGCGACTTTGGGTATGATCACTTTTTTCCTGGCGTGGGCCACATGTGGCCCATACCGCCGTGTTTGAAAAAAGTGATCATACCATTTTCCGGCGCCCTAAAATTGGGGCGCTCATACTTTTTTCAACTTTTCTAGAAGAAAACGCGACAAAAAGTCGTATGACCACTTTTTTTAGCGCGGCGCTATTCTTCCAAAACGCAGAAAAGCGCCACATTTAAAAGAATGCAAATCACGGGCGGACAAGGCTGATTCTGAAAAAGCACCAGGATCGCCATAGCGTCCTGGCTAAAAAAAGTGGTCATACGCAAAAAAGTGGACTTTTTTGCCTCGATTCCGATTGACTGGATTTTGGCCAAAAATGGCGAAAGTATGAGTATGATCATTTTTTTTGGCGCGATAACTTCTACAACCAGCACCAGCACCTAGTAGTTGACCTTGCGACGTTTCATTATCCGAAGATTGACCTTTATGGATGTGTCAGAGTTGAAATCGACAAAGTTGAAACGATTTGTCATGCATAAAACGGACGCCAGTTGGAACCCAGTTTCCAAGTGGCGCATGACAAGTTTTGGCGGCCCCTAAACCCAGTTTGTCATGCTGTTTAGGCAAAGAAGACTGATTTTCTGATGCTCCTCTAGCACCTCGAGCTCTAACCCCAAACAGGCTTACAATCGGCCTCACTTGCCTGCTCTGCAATACACGCACCTCGCGTAATGCATTTTATGCATTGCAAATTATTTCAACTTTGACGATTTCAATCCTGACGCTTCCATAACCTTGCTGCTGCACCGCGGCGCCGGACGTGGAAGCGGCTGTTGTAGATGATACTGCACTACTTCTACCAGCACCAGCACCTTGTTGACCTTGCGAAGATGTTTCACCATCAGAAGATTTATTTTCAGTGACTTTCCTTCGCTTCGCAGTTTCGGCTTCCACCTCCTCCTGGGTACTGTTATCGTCATCCAACTCGGACAAGAGCGGGATTGGTTCGAAACCATAACCATCATCGTGCTCGTCCACTTTGCTTCCTGTGTTGGTATTGCCCACGACGTCAGCAACACCGACTTGAACGTCATGCGCCGGCGCAGTTCCACTTCCAGTTGTACTTCCACCAGCACCACGAGATGATGACGAAGCTGCTGTAGTTCCTGCGTCTTCTCCATCACACTGCTCCTCGTGCCGCATCTGCAACACCCGCCCACAAAGCACGTCCCACAACTTCTGCTCGTACTTCTTTTTTGAGAAATCATCCAGCTGTCTTGCAGCCGAATAAAAATCGTCAAACGAGGTCGCGCCCCCGATGACAATCGAGGACATGCGAATCCCACAGGCCGCTGCGGCTTCGGATGTAGCTGATGACGATTCAGGAGCGGCGGTGGATAGACCATGTTGATCATCTTTTTTATTCATTAGTTCGAACCCGTACAAAGGAGCGGCTAATACGCCCCCGTCCCAGCCACAGGCGTTCCACCGGCAAATTTTGTCAGCACACGACATGCACTTGGATCGTTTGCTAGGGTCGGAGCGAGAATCGATCGGCTTGGTGTGCAATGTAGTGGCTTTACCCAGTCTCGCGTTTTCGTTGTTTTCTTTTTGCTGGAGTTCCACGGGTTTCGCGCCGGTTTTGAGGGGGTAGGTGTAGTGCTGGGGTTTTTCTTGGGTTTGTTGTTCACTAGCAGCGGCTTGGGATAATTGTGAAGACGCCAAGAATGAAGAGGAGGATGAAGAAGTAAACGACGAGCTTGCGCTGGTAGAAGGTTCTTGTGTGGCTGCAGTTCCGCTCTTGTGCAGCAGTTCGTCTGGTGAGCTGTCTGTAGTCCCATGGCCACGATTGCCACCTCCCATCTCCACGTTCGCCGCCTCCCCGCAGGGAACGCAGCTGGTGTAAAAATGAAACCTCGCCTTTCCTTCAAAATACCACTTTGCCTTCTCCGGATTCCGCAGTAGCCAGAGTTTGAACCCCCTTTGCGCCAACACTTCCGCGTGGCAATCCCTTAACACCAAATCCCGGAACGGACTATTTATGACATTCTCGTCCTGTTTCCTCCCTTTCACGACCGCCGGTTTTTTCATCGGTCTATCTGGAATCGACCAATTATTCGGCAGCCTGTTGGTCGTCTTAGTAAGTCTTCGGTGTAATTTACTCATGTTCTGCTCGGATTGCAGTTGGTGGAAGGTGGGGCCGAAACGAAGTTTTTTTCGTTTTTTCGAACGTTTTTTGTTGACGGGGGATAAAATTTCTAGCGCGGAGCAGTGGGAAGACGATGATGAAGAGAAAGAGGAAGATGATGCTGTCGTCGAAATTGTGCTAGCAAGAGCAGACTTCTTGTTCTTTTTCCCACGGCCCCGCTTGTTCTGAGCAACTTCCGGCGCGGCCGCCGGAGCAGCTTCATCTCGTTGCGCTCCTTCTAGTTGTTCCTCCTCACCCGCTTTTTCTTCCACCAAAGGCGGGAGCACCAGCAAACTCGGACTCAAGCACCGAGTCCCCGTCGCGAAGACGATACAACTCAACTTCGTTTTGTTGAAGGTCGTCTGCGAATTGGTGAAATTCCCACACTCGATCTCCTCGAGAACGATCCCAGCCAAAACCGTCCACTCCTTGTTCTCCTTCTGCGGCTTGCCATGCTCCTTGGACTGCGCAAATTTCTTCGTCACAGCTAATGCGATTTCGTCCGCTTTGGAAAACTATCCTGTGCAAAAGTATCGCACTCGTATAAGTGTAATCAACATGCATTACAAGTCTTGTTGTTAAGGCAAATCAGCATAAGAAATTCCATTTGTCATGCTGAGCGAATTTGTATTGCAATACTACGAGTACGATACTTTTGCAGTTCATAAGAACTCCAGTTCCGGCTCGCTTTCCGGCTCGAGTTTATGATGTAGTTCCTGGGGTTGATGTTGATGTGGCCCTTCTGTTGGCGGATTTACGGGAAGATCGTCATTCTGTGGATCAGGATCTATGCCGTGATCCTGATCCACATCCATCTTGTTGTGTCTTCAGGTCGGGCGGTCGCTCGTTCTTGAGTTCGGGTTTGCGTTTTTTTTCTTGTCTACTTCAAGAAAAAGAAACAGGAATAAAAGTCGCTCGAGCACAATGAACAAAAAAAGTGTGCGGCCAATCCCTCTTAAGACTCACCATAATGTCGCTCCACTGTCAAAAAAAAAAGATTGCGGAAGATAATGATGCATTTTCCTTCTTGCTCAGATTAAATACAAAGCTCAGATTGACAATGCTAAGTAGATCAGTTTAGGATTTTACATTAGTGAGAGATCTTTTTCTGATGAGCATGAATTTGAGATTTTCTTTGTTTGGATCCTCGGTGTTTTTGATGGCGTATTCAAAAATTTGCCTTTGGAGTTTATTTTGCACAATTCTGGTGATGGTAGATGGTACTGCGATCGTTGAACACATGAAGAATGGTATTTTGGTTGCGCGACCCAGGGGGTGCTTTATGATGGTGCATAAACATACTGTAGGTCCATCTTTTTCATTTCCATCCACGATCAAAAAATATACATGTTGGTGATGAATACAATCCATTTTCGTGTCATGGCTCGCTCCACCTGCGGCTCGGTTGCCCTATAAGTAGCGACATGTAGAGAGACATGTGATGCCACACGACATGAGCAATCAAATCAAATCATGTACAAAAAACAACGTATGTGACGAACATGTCGACGACGTCAAGGCTATCAAATTCAAATGTTAAATCAGATTCCTCGGCCACATCAGATGTGACATTCGTTTGTTGATGAAAAGCGGCTATCAAGGTTAAAAATGATGAAAATTCAAACTGAGGTAGAATCACAAAGAGTGTTGGCAAACGCAAACGGTAAAAAAATGAATATATAGAAATTTGGAAAAGGCGCGATCACGGCTCGGGCGCTACCGCGATTTTTTCTCATCAAAGATGAGTCCTCGCGTAGTATGTATCGGAAAATCGTTCACATAAAACAAACTTGGTATACAGATTCATTGGAAATGGAAACAAACTCAAACACATTTTATTTTGAAACAAACTTACTAGAAAATAAGGAGAGCCTGTAAAAAAAATTGCCACGCGTAGTTCGAAACCATGTGCTGAAAGAAACGAAGCGAATCATGTGAGAAGTGCACCACGACCATGTACTTTACTACTAATATGTCGAGCAAACTAGTAGAAGTGGAGTACAACAACCAGGCCCCTGCGCCGGCCGTGAGTGAGTCATCTACTCCTGCTCGTCGCAGAGCAGTGCGTTTTTCATGCTTCTTCGTGTTCGCTGAAAAAATCTACTACTTGCTCCATACCCCTCGGTAAACAAGCGCCGCTTCCCTCTCACGCCGTATCCAGCAAGGGATCATACGCGTGCGTCATGGAAAACAGCACCGTTCCCAGGATGCACAGGTACTGATTCGTTCCCGTGATGTTTTGCGTTTCGTACCGACTACACCCCGACGCGCACACCCCGTACTCGAGGACAAAAAAACCGATGATCGCCCCGTAGAGACCGAGGAACACCGCAAAAATCCGGAACTGCCACACTCTTTTCTGTCGGAGGAGCGCGAGGTAGAGTGTTTTGCTCATGTTGTTCCTTCGTTTTTCGAAAACTTCCTTCAGCGGTTTCGAGTTTCGGATATCCGGCTTGTCCTCGTAGTGCCGCTTGATTGCGGGGTGAAAAGTGCTATCGTGCGAAAGCCAGGTCCAGAGGAGTAAGCCAATCTGGTGCACAAGCTGGAGAGTGAAGAAAACCCTGGAGTTTTTTATTGAGTAAAATATATAAAGTCGAAAAGTAGATTGAGAAAGATGCATGACAAGTTCAAGAATCTAAAAAGCAAATCCCGCATCCCAAAGAACTTTGCTTCCTGTATACCTGGACATCCACTGATGACTCTTTCGATCCACAGGTAGAAACTCGCTCTCCACCTCGTTGTCGTGTTGGTCCACGATGAACGCGATGCCGAACAGAATATCAAATGTAAAAATGTCTGGGTCTGGAAGGTTGCCAGGTTTGTCATGCATATTTTGCATGACTCAGGATGTCTGCAATGCATGATCTAGAATCACATATTTCAAGAGGCCTTCCTGATGCCTATCCCGCATGACAAATGCCCGGCCCGCATAGGTAGCACAAACAAACTGGGCGCCGCTTGCTGGTCATGCAATACAGATTTTTGTTAGAATCCAAAGTTAGCATCACAAGTTGCCTTCTTTCAGACCCAGACATTTTTACATTTGATACAGAAACGGGGTCGACAACATGTAGGCGCCGAAAATGATCCGGATCTTCCACTCGTTGGAAACCCAGTTCAGTTTCTGCTCCATGTATGCAATACAAATTTCCTGTACATGTACAAAATGCATGACTAATTGCGCTAACTTGCAGTGTACAACTTGTCATGCTAGACTAGGATTGATGGCAAGTTTTGTCATGCAGTGACTGCATTTTTTCATGTACGGGAAATTATTTACTGTGGATACCATGCGGTATCTCAAGGTCGTTCTCCTGCTCGCAGCTGACACAGTGGACAACTTTGTCGATTCCATTTTCTTACTGACGGCGCTCGCAGAAGAAGGAGATGTCGCAGACGTTATTCTCATTTCTGACAGGTCGCCCCGCTGGTCGTGCTCCACCTCGGTTAGCTCCTGCACAGATGTGGTACTAGTCGCGGCAGCTTCATCACGACCCTCTGCTCTTGTTACTATCTTGGTTTGCAGCTGCTCTTGTGCAGCTCCTGCTGCGCTCGTTTGCTCGTATTGTCCTACTTCAAGGGCAGCTAGCAAAGTTGGAGCTCCTGCAGAAGTGGCCGCATGATCTGCCAAAGCTTGCTCGCGGCTGTTGCTTCTCCGGCGTGTTTACCAAGTGCAAAAATGTCTGGGTCTGGAAGAACAAGAATGCAACTTGTCATGCTAAATCTGAAGCATGCAAAAATCTGTGTTGCGTAATTACCAAAAGTCGTCGAGTTTTTGACCAAGTCGGGAGGGGGGTTCTCATGCAGAATAGGCATGAGAGAAATCGCACAGAATCTGTCATGCTAGGTCCTGCATTCCAGACCTCATGGGTCATGGAAAAGCTGCATGACAAATTGCGCATTCTTCCAGACCCAGACATTTTTGCATTTGATAGCGTTTGCTCGGCTACTTCTAATTCAACCTCCGCTGGATCAGCAGCACTACTAATCACTGAATCTGAATTGCAAAAGTATCGCACTCGTATAAATGCATTACAAGTTTCCTGCTCAGCATGAGAAGTGAAATTTGTCATGCGGATTTACCGAAAGAAAAAGATTTGTAAATGCATGACTGCAATACGAGTGGGATACTTTTGCACGACAGGATACTGAATTTGTAACGCCGATAGAATCCAGCGCGGTCAATGTGGGCGCCATCGCGGAAGAAGGAATCGCAGTGGAGGCAAAACTATGAACTGCAAGAGTATCGCACTCGTAGGAATTGCAGTCACGCATTACAAATCTTTTTTTTAAGGTAAGAAATCCGCATTACAAATTTTATTTCTCATGCTGAGGAAATAGAAATTTGTCATGCATTTCGACGAGTACGATACTTTTGCACTGCATAAAGACGTTCGTCTTCCTCTTCTTTGTTCGACAAAATGGACGCTCGGGGATCTACTTCTTGTTTTTCGGTTATCACTAGTTTCGCCAACGGCCCCGAACTATTAGCATCTTCGTCCTGCTTGGTTGCAGATGGCATTCTGCTTATTTGGCTAACACCGCTTTTGTCACTTGAACTTGTCAAGCCTCTACTTTTACTACTGCCGCTGCTCCCGAAGTTCGCAATTTCCTTAAAATACAATCTGTACGCCCGCCGCCCCGCGATAAACATCCCCGTTGCGGTTAAGCCAAACCCGAACAGTGCGATCATCTGCCCGCGCAGGTAGTCGTGCTGGGTTAGGGACAGAGGTGGTGTGATCCACCAATCCTTCCGATTGTCCAGGCTGTTGACAATAATCGTCGTCCAGATGGTGAAAGCGGAGAGAAACGCCCACTCGCGGATCGTTAACCTCGGCAGCTTCGAGCACAGGAAGTCGGTGTTGTTTGTTATCGTGCTTTTCAGTTGCGTAGTTGAAGTGGGTCTGGTAAGGTTTAGACTTCTTCTCTGCTTGCTAGGCGAGGACTGCTCTTGTTCTGCTGCGAGTACACCTCCCGAAGCGTGGTCCTCCGCTGAAGCAGTTGCGCCGGTGTTCGCAGCTACGTTTGCAGCGGTAGCTCGTTCTAGCGTCTCGCTTCCGGTAGTATCTGCGTCTTGTGGTGACATGGTGTGGACGTTTTCTATTTGCAGAAGATTTGCTGGTCCTCGTGGTCCTGCTGCAGCTGCTCCAGAAGATGTGAAACTTCCTGTATTGCCACTGTTGGTAGAGGATTCACCGATGCTCTGTTTGCGGCGGGATGAGCCGTGATCGGCCTGGGGCGTGTCTTCGATGCCGGTCATGAGTGCTTTTTTCTTGTGGCTTCTAACTAGTTGGAATTGGATACCAAAGCGCAGCACCCCTTCTGAACTAGTAATGGATGCTTGTCACTACAGCATCGGTTATTTTTAGCAGCCCCGCGTTGAAGAAAAAAACGGCGCAAGGTGCTCTGGTGTTTGGCAAAATTTGACTTCGCTTTTGGCCTTGCTGTTCTTCTCAGGTACTACATAGGCGAACAACATAGACAGTTACATACCGACCCATCAGAAAAACACAAACATAGACATAGTACTAGCCCCCCAGAGAGATCACTTCTTTCGTCAACTACTACATCGTGATCTTCCTGTCCCACGAACTCAGCCCTGCTACGTTGGAGAAAAACAACCCACGACACGAAGGCAGAAAATCCACAAGCTGCACTGACAAAGGTACCGATAGGAATAGATTTTTTTAGTGGAAGCTTTATCCATGTTGTGGTCTTCTTGGTTATTCTTACTATCACAAAATGAGGAGGATACAGTTACAGCTTCCCTTGTTCATCCCCAGCGACCGACCCACCGACAGTCCATTTTTAGCAAGTAAGTAGACGAGTCTCTTAATCACGAAGACATTTAGCGGGTTCCAACACAGATCGGAAGTTCATCCTGTGTCGAACAAAAAGTCACATCCTGTATCTAGACATGAGTTACACCATCACACGCAGGAAAGCGAACTGCGCTCATGGCGTGCTTCCCTGAATCTGAAACCAACGCTGTGTTGAGTGCTATGTATTGTGCGTTACGAAACTCGAGTGAGCTCAACCTGTAATCATTAAAGTCGCTTTCGATTGATCTAGATCTTTATCTTACAGATGGTGGAGTTCGTAGTAAACGCGAATGCGTTCTACGAACAGTAAGTATGCCTCGCAAGCTGAACAATTGAAAAACCGGACAAATCAGCTGTACAGTGCCCCATCAACTTCTAGATCCTCCAAATCATCCTCATCATCTTGAAACTGATTCTCTGCCAATTGTCCGTCGTCGTCGTCGTCGTCGTCTCGCGCAGCTGCGGCGTCTCCAACTTTTGTCGTCATTTGGTTTCCTGACTCCTGATCTGGGGCAGGAGGCGCAAAAAGAACAGGTGGATATCCAGCACCAGCGGCACCACCTCCTCCAACGGCGTTGTTATTCGTACTGCTACTAGACGAGGAAGAACTGCTTCCGTTTCCATTCGCATTCGCCGCCAGAGGTGGTTCTGGTTCTGGCGCAGCAGCAGATTCCGCCATTGACAGCGACAATGCCATGGCAAGTTCCAACGCTTCGCGCTGGCTCACGACGTCCACTTTCTTGCTTCTCCTCGCTGTATTCCTTGAACCTGATGGAGTCCTCGTGCCGGAAGCGGTAGACGTCGCTGCGACAGTCTGTACCGCTGTACTTTGGATCTGAATTTGTTCCACGGCATCCCGGTCCATCTCTTCAAATGTGTCCTGGTTCAAATATCGCTCTGCGACGCGGCGTGTCCTCGTATTTGGCCTTCCTCCTGCTCTCGGAGGAGGAGGTGCAGGATTTTGCTGACTCTGAAATACCTCCTCTCGCTGCAGCTGCTGGTGCAACTTATGCAGCCTCCGCCTGCTGGGAGGGGGCCCGCTCCCGCCCCCGGGTGGTGAAGGTGATTTGGAGTTGGATTCTTGCTGTTCCTGATGATTCCGATTTTGATTCTCCACGAAGATGTCGTTAGACGGAGGGATCTCCTCGCGGAAAAACGCATCTATTGCGGCGGAATTAGTGTTGGCAGCTGCAGTACCACTACCAATTGGCGCATTGGGATTCGAAGCAGTGCCTTCCTGCTGCAAAGCATCAAACCCTGCATCATCCAGATCTTGAAAGAGGTTGAACTCCTGCGGGTCTGCTCCCGGCAAAACATCGGGCTGAGGGTGGTGCGCTTGTTGTTGATCATGTTCATGTTCATGCGCCGGGGGAGGTTCTTGCTGGAATGCTGCTATGCCACCTCCAGGACGGCGCAATGCGTCAGTTTTTACTCCACCGCCATCCTGGTTTATTATCCCACTGGACGCCGAGCTGTTTTGTTTCGACAAAATTTCCTGGTTGTGCTCCTCTAAGAGTAAATCCAGATCCCGTTCTATGGATGTGTCACAGTTGAAATCGACAAAATTGAAATAATTTGTCATGCATAAAATGGATGCTAGTTGGAACCCAGTTTCCAAGTGGCGCATGACAAATTTCGGCGGTCCCTAAATCCAGTTTGTCATGCTGTTTAGGCAAAGAAGAGTGATTTTCTCATGCTACCTTAGCAGCTCGAGCTGTAGCCCCAAACAGCCTTACAGTCGGTCTCACTTGCCTGCTCTGCAACACACGTACCTCGGGTCATGCATTTTATGCATTACAAATTATTTCAACTTTGTCGATTTCAAACCTGACGCTTCCATACGTTCCATCAATTGCTTTTGCTCTTCCGCTATCCTGTGCAAAAGTATCGTATTCGTATTGCAATCATGCATGACAAATCTTGATTTTAAGGCAAACCCGCATTACAAATTTTGTTTCTCATGCTGAGGAGATTTGTGATGCATTTATACGAGTACGATACTTTTGCAGTTCATATCCGCCAGCTGTTTCTTCGTTTTTTTCTTCGGCTTGGGCGCGGCTTTCTGCTTCGGCTTCTTGGGTTTAGCCACCCGCCTTGTTCCCCCGCCACCACTGCTGTTACGTGATCCCTTTGCTCGTGGATTTTTTGCTCGTCTACGAACCTTCTCCGAGTAGTCTTCATCATCATCGTCGAGATTGTTTTCATCGCCATCTTCTGAAGAATCTTCACCAGCTCCTTCGCTCTCCGACAAAAAATCGCTGTCCAAGTCGTGTAGCTCGCTGTACCCCGGTTTGTAAGCGAGCTCCGTGGCAACGCCGACTTTCACGCCGCCAAATTCCACCACTTTCCGCCTCTTCGACTGCCGTAGCTGGAGGCTGGAGGCGAGGGCGAAGTCGGTTTCTTGGTCGTGGCTGTTGATATCTTCTTGTTGATCAACAGCGGCTGCAGAAGATCCTTCAGGCGCACTTCTGCTTCTCCGACTAACCGCACTGACACTGCTGGCGGTGCGATGGCGCGGCGAAAGGTTTATTTGCTCGCCCTTGATGTAAACCTGTTCTGATTTGATGTTGACGCTTTCCTGCTCCTGTTGTGCTTCTACTGCTTCCCGCCGGTCCGGGTTGAAGTCGATCGGAGTTTCGTCTTGGAGATGTTGATCTCCAGGGGTTGCCTGACGCTTCGGCGACGCGTCTCCCTGCTGGGAGCCAGCAACTGCTTCGGTGCCCTCTTGTTGCTCATCATGATCTTCCCCATCATCGTCCCCAGCTGCGGCCCTAAATCGCTGCATCCTGTTGAAGTGCCGACTTGCTCTCTCGTTCGACGCATGTACCCGGTGCGCCTGCTGCCATTCCACCAGGGGGTCGAGTTTAGGTTGCTTTTTTGCCCCCGCCGGGAGATTCTTGTTTGATATCTGACTCGCTTCTTCCTCTTCGGCTTTACTACGGTCATTCTGCGACACTGACCGCCTTCGTTTAGCGTTTTGTTGCTGCGGATGTCGTCCTGGTGCAGCATTTGCATTTGGCGTGCTACGATTCTCTTTCTCGTCTGGGACAGCGGTTTTTTGTTTTTCCTGCGGCTCCTCCTGCTTTATTCGTGTCGAAGGTACTTCGTGTCGCTCGACTGCGGCTGCAGTTGGCGCAGCAGGTTTTGGCGCAACTACGGGTGGCACAATTTGGCCGCTTGGTGCAGCAGCTCGCCTGGGTACGGACGATTCGCTTTTGCGCGCCGGGCCACTAATGTGGACCTCCACAGGCACAGGGGGTTTCGTAGAAGGCCCGCTTTGATGTTGCGCTTGCACCGGGGTGGAAATCGGAGGACGTGGTGGTGGCGGCTCAGCTACTTTCGGTTTTTGATCATCCACGACGGACACATGCAGTAGCTCGCTGAGTGATGTACACGCTTCGTTCACGCAGTAGCTACCGATCGTCTCTGCCTCGTCCATTTCTATCGATGGCTTGATGGCTCCTTGGCCTGCTTGTTCTCCAACAGCAACAACACCTCCACCCGCTTGTTGCGCGAACAGCTTGCTCCCTGGATTGGCCATGCGGATTTGCACCAAGCCCTGTTTCACCTGGTGTACTCTTTGTTGCGGCAGAATGGTGATTTTTTTGTTGTTCAAGCACAACCTTAACTTCGGCGTGTCGCATCTTATCAGTAACTGCTGTTCGTCCTTCTGGTTGTCGATGTTCCGCTGCAGAGCGCCGACCCAGGGCTTTACTCGGTCGGGCTTGCTGGTGCTACTAGATGAGCCTGTAGTTCCACCTCCACCCGACGAAGCTTTGTTCCCGTTCGCGTTCAGAATCTCGCTCGCGGACACTTTCCCCAGGCTGAGAATTGAACTTCTCGCTCCTTCTGTAGCATCACAAATCATCCCCTCGAAGGTGAAAAACGGCCGGTAGGGCTTTTTGAAGATGGACAGGAACCACTGCTTCAGCAAGTAGATGAGTTGTATGAATTGCAAAAGCATCGCACTAGTATAAATTGCATTACAAATTAGCCCAGCATTACAAATTAAATTTGTAATGCTGATTTACGTTGAAAAAGATATTTGTAATGCATAAACGCAATTACTACGAGTACGATACTTTTGCACAGGATAAGCTGCGACCCGTTCGGGTTTTGCAAATCAACGTTGCCATACTCGTCGATCGAAGTTATGCAATACAAATTTTCCCGTAAATGTACAACATGCATCACAAATTTCACTAATTTGGACGAGCGCAAAACTTGTCATGCTAAACTAGGATCGACGCCAAGTTTTGTCATGCAGAGACTGAATCTGTACGTGTAGTACGGGAATAAATTTACTGTGGATAGAAGTTGGGTCGATGCAACATGTCAACGGGTCGACAGGTGTGGTGACTTCCAAGCTTGCGAGAGAATTCAAATTCGGCTGCTGTTGAGGACCTCCGCTTGATGAAGCCGCTGCTTTCCGAATTTCAAATCCCGGAAACTTCTCCTCCAGCTTCTGCGTAAGCGCAGTTTTCCGTCGCTGAAACTCCTCTTCCACCTGCGCCTTCTCCGCCCCATCTCCGCGTGGCGTGTGCGAAGATTTCCCATCGTCGCAAAGTAATCCCCATAGTAGATCCGCTTTGGCCGTCAGCGAGACCTTTCGCTTTTTGAAAGCGAGAACTTCTATCCTCGGAAGATTTTCCTCATCTGCCACGGTAGAAGTCCCATCTTGTTGCTGGAACAGTTCTGTTTGATCTGGCTCCAGAAAATCCCCCGGGCCCTTCTCGAAATCCTTTTTTTCGTAGTCCAAGAACGTCCATCTTGGTGGAGGAGCATTTGTTCCACCACCGTCTGCAGCAGTCTTTGTCGCGTTCTTGCCAGTTCCACTTTGTTCGACGAAAAACCAGTGTTCCTCGAAGACACACTCTGGATCGACGTTTTGGCACCAGGAGCGGACGACTTTCTCCAGTTTGGTGGTCGGTTTTGCGGCGATGAGAACTTCCTTTTCCTCTCCGATCAGGTTCGGCCGCTTGCAGGCAACACGGATCTTCTGCTTAGGAGGGGGCATTTTGATTTTATTGTTTCGCCGCGTTTTTACATTGTGCGTCAAATAATCAGGCTGATAAAGCCGAACAACTCAGATTCAGAATTTACATCACGCTGACCGGGTGCAGTACAAATACTGAAAAAAACACGCACACTGCAGGTGGCTAGGAGGGAAAATTCAACGATACGTTTATTTCAATAGCAGGATGCTTAATTAGACTGATCATGGGGCAGACGGGAGCGAGGTAATACGCAGCTTGCTAAAAAGTGAGGACCTGAAAGAGAAAGTGGAGGAAATCTTCGATGTTACTTCTAGAAGTAGGAGCACGTCTCATCTCTTGGTGAGCAGAAGATGACAAGCAACGATCGATGGCTGAGGACACGACTGGGATCTCCTGTATGTACTTTTCTCGTGATCTTCGTGCCCAAGAAGCTCGAGTCTCGTCAGTAAAAGGAAACTACGTAGTAGTAACTAATCGACGTCGACCTCGACCACTCAAGGATATGTTCTTGATAAGTGTGCAACTACGTCGTCCAGCCCCGGGACTGTCTCACGATTTATCTTTCTGCAAATTTTATTCTTGAACAGGAGCGGAGTCGGAGCGGCGTTCCAATACTAGGAGGAAACATCATCGCTGGCCACGATGGACTTTTCGTCGACTATCGCCGTCGCCTGCGAACAACAATATGGCTGCTCCTCGTCGTACAACGAGGACACGCTTTTTTTATACAACTGTCCTTCATCACAACTCGATATTTTGAAACTCTTTCACGAACTTGCCCAGTCTTCTTTTTACCACTTTTTCCATCTCTGAAACTAATCTTGCACAATTTTTCTCAACTTTCACCCCACCTAAAATTTTATCCTTCTCCACAACTTTACGCACGACTAAAGCTTCCTCGTCCCATTTCCCATATTCATCTGAGCTAAAATCCAACACCTCCAATTTCCCGAAGGAGATCGCCTGCCCCTTCGCAAACGTGCTGGGCGCGTCACAAAACCCGGAACCAGTTTTTTTCTGTTCCTCCGACGAAGCCTCTTCCCGGTAGGAACTCGCGACTTTCTTCATAATGTCCTTCCCGGTTTGATAACTCTGCTCGTTCCTTCTCCCTACCACCACCTCCCACTGCAGTTCAAAGTTGAATTCGAAGTAGAAGAAAGGTTTCAAACCGGCGATGTAGTTGTGTTTCGCCGTGCGGAAGATCCCGCAATCACCAGACTTGATGTCGATGTTGGTGATGAGGGTTTTGAAACAATACTGATTCTGCTCTTCCTCGTGTTTAACTAAGTCCAGCGCGGTGGTGTTCGGATCGACAAGTTGTTGAATCTCCTTTAAGTCCATGTTCTCCTCCGCCTCAATTGCGACGCCGAGAAAAATATCCTTCAACCGGTGTCTGACCATGCGGTCGCACTCGTAGGACTCAAAGCTGCTGTTGGGTTTTGATGAGGAAGTGGGGGTCGTACTCAGTTGTTGTGCTGCAGAATCTGAATCCCCAACACTTCCGCTATTATCTTTGTCCTTCTCGTGAATCTTGTTTTTCAATCTTTTCCACCAATCTTGATCTTCTTCCATTTCCTATGCACTGCAAAAGTATCGTACTCGTAGTAATTGCTGTTATGCATGACAAATCTTTTTCCGAAGGTAAAACAGCATCACAAATCTCATTTGTAATGTTGATGTAATTATTTGTAATGCAATTTATACTAGTACGATGCTTTTGCATTTCATATTTCCTTATCAAACGCGATCTTGTCCAAAACTTTTTTCTATGAGATGCAAATCATTATATGTTTGGGTCTGGAAGTCTGCCAGGTTTGTCATGCATATTTTGCATGGCCCAGGATGGATACCTGTAATGCACGACCACCTAGCATCACAGATTTGCACTAGAGGGCTTCCTGATCATGCCTATTACGCATGAGAAATTCCCTCTCCGCGTAGCAAGCGCTGGACTCCTGTAGTTGCTGGTCATGCAATACAAATTTTTCTAGAATTGAAACACAGCATCACAAGCAGCTGCAACCTTCCAGACCCAGACATATTTGCAATGCATATTTTCTTGTCGTTCAACTGGTCCTCATTGGCCAGCATCCGGTTGAATTTTTGCTCCTTGTACTCATCCAAGGTTTCCGCTTTATCGGCTTCCTTTGTCGCTACGATGTTGTGGAGTTCTCTTTCCAACTCCAGAACTTTGTCCTCTTTCTTAATCTTCTCCCGAATCGGCTCCATTTGCTTCTCGCGTTCTTCGTAGAGGGACGAGGAGTTGGTCGTCTTTTTGTTCAGCTTCGTGAACAGCTTCTGGGAGAAGTCCTTCAGCGGCTCTTCGGCTGGTGGCGTGTCCTGTGCGGCCGCAGCTGTTAGAGCCGTTGCATCTTTCTTTGCAGACGCGACCTCCACCTCCGCGCCTGCAGAAGTCATCTTACCGCTCCTACTCTTCCCGGAAAAAAGGAACCCCTTCTTCACCGCAGCTTTCTTATTCATCGCGTCTGCTTGCGCCTCCAACGTTTTCAGCATAGCTTCCGCTTCTGCGACGAAACCCGAGATTTTTCCGTACTCTTGCAGCTCCTCATTCTTTATCTTTCCTTCCGCAGCTTTCGTCTTTTTCCCAACGGCGATAATCTTGTTCACCTGCGTGAGGGAATCGGAAAACTCCCCGAGCTTTTCACAAGCTACCGCGAGCCTTAATCTCGATTTTAAAACAAAAGTGACTTCCACTTCGTTCCGCTCGATGTTGCAAATTTTCACTGCCTCTTTCGCTTTGTCCCGCATCTTTTCGTACAGGGTGTTTCTTTCTTTCTGGACAAGAAGAAAGTCGTGGTCTCGCTGCTGCTCTTCTTGTTGGTGAACATGAATTCCGTGTTGACCGCTACTAGCTGGTGTGGTGCCACCTACTTGTACTTCGTCTTTATTTGAAGATTTTTTCTCCACGACCGCAGAGTTGGACTCCAACTCCACACCATACTCCCGGCAATCGAACTTTTTCACTTCGCTCTCCTGTGCAAAAGTATCGCACTCGTACTAATTGCAGATATGCATGACAAATCCAACTCTCTACCTGAAATAGCATGACAAATTGCATTTTTGTTCTTGGGAAAATTTGTATTGCAATTTATAATATACTAGTACGTTACTTTTGCAATTCATATTCGCTCTCCAACCGCAAATCCAGCTTCTTCGCCTGCTTCTCGTAGCAAAGTGCCAAATTCAGCAACAAAGCGACGACGATTTTGGACCTCTCTTTATTCACGGTTTCGGGCAGGTCGAAAACATAGTTGTAGGCTTCCCGGAAGTAGTCAATCGCCTCGTCGAGATTTCCGGATTTGAACTTCTCATTGCCGGTTTTCTTGTAACTATCCGCTTGTTTGATCCGGTCTTGGTTGGTTGTTAGTTTCTTTTTCTTCTCATCCACTTTCCGCTGCCAGTCCTGTTCCCGCTTTTCTTTCGCGTACTCCTCGTAGGACTTGGAGTGAGTGGACGAGGAGGAGCCGGAGGTCATTGTAGATGCAGTTCTTTTCTTGTTGTAGATGAAACAGACGGCGTGGTACCTTTGAGTTCGTAACCTAACGCTAGGTCAACGAGGACGACCTAAGTTACATTGATTTACAATTTTTTTCTACATCTTTAACTTTATTTCTGCTCACACTCACTCCGTGATAAAAACCCGCCGGAATAGACAAGGGACGGCTCCGTCCGCGCAGAAGCTCCTAAGATACAGACACACCAGCCGGCCGAACCGGGAAACAAATATAGCGACAGACATCTTGCCTGAACATTATGCGAACGCGGCTGATACAGTCAGAACAAGCAACCGAAAAACGGTGGCGGGCGTGTCCTATCGCTCGCTCGGAGGCACAACCTGGCGGGGTTCCTCCTGTCGATATATAATAGTATAAAAATGGCAATGCGGCAGGCAACTACACTCACTAGATTGATAGCGAGCGTTCGTTCGTAACCCACCGGGCGAGCGGCCCCGGATCCACTGGCGTGACATCGCGCTAGATGGGGGACAACGAGCGGAGCGCTCGCAAAAGAAAATCGCGGCGCTGAAGTTGGCCGCCACCCGAAAGAACGGGGAAGCCGGCGGGCGCACCCCCTGCGCTGTCTGCGTAACAGGGAGGCAAGAGCGCCGCCGGCGCATTGCCAACCAAGAAACCAGCAAAACACGGCCGCGACGGGGCCACGCACCCCCAAAGACGCGGGCCGCGGGGGGGGGGGCCGCGAAACAATGCTGCGGGGCCAGGGCTGACAGCGAGCAAAGAGCGGGGCCCGCCGGCCAAGCAAGCAGGCACGCAACTACTTACGGGCCGGCCAACAAAGAAACACACAAACGCGCCACCCGCATGGCGGGGAAACAGGGGGGGCCCCAAGCAGGCGCATAGGGGGCGCGGGCGCGGGGGGGGTCGCGGCCGGCCGTTCGCCTGGTTATCGGGATGATAACCCAAGCGCCGGCGCGCGTCCGCATCGCCTTGACCTTTGCCCGTGCCATTGATTGCGCGGGCTGCGCTGATCTTGGCGCCAGCTGTGCGCCCTTGCCCTGGCCCCCGCCTCGCGCAGCCGGGCAGGGGCTGCCTCCCTGTGCCACATGGGGCGGCGCCGCCCTTCCTGCTTGCCGCGCCACGCCAGGCGGGCGCGGCGGGCGGGCTGGCCCGCCGGCAACCAAGGAAGGAAACCCAAACCCAACCGGCGGGCGGCGCCACGGAGAAAGCCGCGCAGGCGGGACAAAGAAACTACGGCCGGCAAAGGCCGGCGCGCGCGCAATGGTGCCGAACGCGCGCAAAATCCGGCGCCGGGCGGGGGCTCAGCCGACACACGCAACACGACAGAACCAGAACAAAGGTCCGAGCGCTACCCTGCGCCCCGTCCTACGCTTCGCCCCGTCGCTGATTATTGGCGGCGGGCCTAGCGCTTCGCCGCGTGCTACTTCTAGACAAATAAGCAGAAGGGCCGCGCCCGCGCTCGTATTCGCTCGGCTTCTGGGCCTGGTCGCGGATTGTTTGCCCTGGTCGCAGAAAAGGCCGCCGCGCCCCAGCCTACTATGGTCACGCTTTCCACCAAAGTCATTGCGCTCACAGCACGACTCACCCAAAAGTCGGACGCACGACAAAAGAAACCACGAAGCAGCAGTGCGAACACTTGAGCTTTTCTGGAAAACAACCGGCTGACGTGATAGCTTGGGATTTTCTTTTTTTCTTTCTTGCAAGTGCTTTTAGCTCTCGTTCTTTACAAAAGTTGTTCCAAATCATTTCAGCATTTCATTTCCACCACGAAAACTCTTCCTCATCTTCCATAATGCCGCATAATCTTTTGTCAAGTCAAGTGCAAGAAAAGCTCAATTGTAAAGATCACTGAAAACTTCTGCTCAAGTTGTGCTACTGTTTTTCGTAAAATTAGGTTTGGTGGATACTCGAAGGATATAAACTGTTCTGACGTGTGTGCTTTGAAGCTGATGCTTCGTACTTCGATACTAGACTTTTCTATCGCAGGGGCGGCAGTCGTCCGCTCCACGATTCATTGAAGTCGCTGCGTCAGCGTCTTCTGACGCTAGTACTAGTAGAATTCATTGTTGTCTCTGCATAATGGTAATCTAGAATGGTAAATTGAATTCAACCCCCGATCTGTCGGTAGGGCCGACAGATTGAGGAGTCTCAGTGCTTGTTCGCTCGGTAACAGGTTCAAATGCAAGATAAAGAAAATTGGGTGAAGGTTTGTCGGGTTCAATTTCGGTTCCAGAAGACAAGGGTAGGCAAGAATAGGGTGTAGGGTATTCTTTCAAATAACGCGGCGAGTGTTAAATGGCAACGAAGGTAATTGTGATGATCTGCAAGTGAAAAAGTTCAGCTTGCTATCTTCCATGGCCGTCGTGCTCTCTTACTGAATAAAGATCGCGAATGGAGGTTTCTGGCTCAAGACGAGGCACAATGAAGACATCGAAACAGAACTACACAAACTAAAGTACAGGTGTTTTGCTTTTTGCAGTCAAAACCCCCTCGTGTGCCAAACTAACAACATCAACTGTGCGGTAATTATTTTGCAAGAATTTAGAAAAGAGGTAAGTTCTACTACTTTTCCCGCGAAATAGCTGTGGCTCCTCAAGTCCCGCCCGCTCAATTCCCACCGCTGCGACCTCGCCTCTCTGTGCAAAAAGGTAGCAAGCTTTGGCTACGCGTCTCTGCGGCGAAGATAGTTAGAAGAAGCAGGGAGAGGTAGAAGCGAAGTAGGGACTTTGCAAGAAGCCAACTGCTGTCGCTAAGTTTTGATCCTTAGTGTAACTGTTTCGTCAAGAGTTGTTTCTGTAGTTTAAGACCATAGTAACTGTTTAGAAAGAAGTCCAAAAGGTGTTTAGAATTGCACTCGCACAGCGTTGGTGCTTTTCTTTTATTTGCTATTTGTATTTTGATTGAGATGAGTTGAAGACTATCACAGCGGCGCTGCTCGAGCTCGCCGCGTCGAATATTATCGTGATTCAAGAAGAAAATAAATGTAAACAAACTAAAGCTCTAGTTTCAACCGGCTGGCTTTCTTACAGTTTTGTCAACGTTTATTTTTCCGACTACACCACTACTATCACAGCGCCCCTCTCCTCCCACTCTTCTTCCGATCCTGCATGCGTTGGATGTGGTCTGCTTGGGAGCGCAACGAGATGGGCCGGATAGCCTGTGGTGGTCCGGTAGCAGCCTGTTTTTCCTTGTCGCCAGGCATGTACCACTCCTGCTTGGTGTCGTCGTAGTAGTAGCCGGTGTGGGGATCGTACCTGTAGTTTTGTGACAAGAGTTTGTGTTTGATGAGAATGTGAGACTTGCTTTGTTACCTGTTTCAACGTGCTGCGTTTATTTAGGCATGACAAAATGCGGTTTGATGAGAACTTAGCATGACAAAAAACAGAGAACTTTCTTTTTAGCATGACAAACACACATTCATTTATCCAAAATCCTATACCATTGATGCACGGTCTCGTCGAACGAGTAGGCCTGCTGCTCTTTATGCATTGCAAAAGTATCGTACTAGTATGAATTGCATCACAAATTTCCTCAGCATGAGAAATGGAATTTCTCATGCTAATTGACCTTAGGAAAAAGATTTGTATTGCATAACTGCAATGACTACGAGTACGATGCTTTTGCATTGCATACTCCTCCTTCAAGACCAACTCGTGTCCCGTCATCTGATCCCCGTCTGTCGGCGGTACCACCGGCGTCTTCGGGATCTCTATCTGCATGCCATCCGCGTCCACTCCTTCCTCATTGCCCTCTTCCTCCTCCTCTCCCTCGGCAATATCGCCGTCCATCCCGTCGCCGGCGGAGGGTAAGGCCAACTGCGGCAATAAGTTCCTGTTCGCGCCCTGTCGGTTTTCCAACGCGAGTAAGACCTCCATCGCCTGGCCTTGGATCGCCGGTTGCTGTCTGTCGCCGATTGCGAGTGGGGATCCGGCGCCTTATCAAATGCAAAAGTGTCGTCCGGGTCTGGAAAAAAATCATGCTTGTCTGGCATGACAAAAAAGTTTCAGTTTGTGATGCGTGTCCAAGAAAAGACGCTTTTGCCGGTCATGCAAAAACGCAGTTTCTCATGAGAAAAACGCAACACAAAGAGGCGCAGATATTTCTCATGCTTGGCTGTGCATTACAGAGCATTCTTTCACTATTCCCAACACAGCGTTACAAGTTTCCAGACCCAGACACTTTTGCATTTGATACGCCTCTTATCCTGTCCATATTCTTTTTCGAGGAGATCAAAGACCTGTTCGGGTTCGCGGAGTTCACCTGGCCGATCGACGACATGGATTCTAACTTCGTCGAGACCACCTGCTCCGCCGCCTGCATGTCCCGCAACCCAGAAGCGAACTGTATTGCGGCGTTCGCTTGTTGCTGCTTCAAGGATTTGCTGATTTCCTCCTCCTCGTCCATTTTTTGGCTGACCATTTCCGCCACGGATGGGATCGTATGCATTGCAAAAGCATCGTACTAGTTGAAATCGCATGACAAATTTGCTTAGCATGAGAAAGAAAATTTGTAATGCTGATTTGCCTTAAGAGAGAGATTTGTAATGCATGACTGCAAGAATTTGAATTACTACGAGTACGATACTATTGCACAGGATAGATCGCAGGCAAAACCAACGGCGCGATGTAGTTCGGGTCTTCTGGATCCCCGAACTCCTCTATCGTCACCGTCTCCCCCGGTAGGCAGATCGGCCTCTGCTCGTCTATCGCATTTTGAATTGCAAACGCTTGTCGCTGCTGCTCTTTCTGTATCGCGACGCGACTCGCTTTGCTATCCGCCTGGGCCAAGTCGCCGTAGACTTGTATCCTGTCGTGGAGGGAAATCCCCTTAATCCTCTGCACTTCCCGCTTCTCGATGTACGCGCCGACGGAGAGACCGAAGAGTGCATCAAATGCAAAAATGTCTGGGTCTGGAAGAATTCACGTTTGTCATGCTTGTCTGGCATGACTCTTAAATCTGTCATGCACGTTACCCAAGCGCTCCGCTTTTCTGTGATGCAGAAGCGCAGTTTGTCATGCAGAATAGGCAACACCTAGGAGCTCAGAAACTTGTCATGCTGAGCCAGCATTTGTAGCCTCATCATGAGACGCCACCCAGCATCACAAGTTCTTTCCAGAGCCAGACATTCTTACTTTTGATAGAGTGTCCCGATGAACAACGCGAAGAGGATGAACATGAAGGGCTGCAGCGCCAGGATCAGCATGTAGCCGGAAGCAATCGCCATCACCACCGGTTTTTTGTGGAGTTGTTCCGCAACTAAATATGCCGCCATGATCCCGACGAGATAGGATGCGAAAATTAGCCCGAATAGGACGTAACCGAGTTCATCTTTCTCCGCGTCTAAATCCCGGTATTTCCCCTGGGTTGTAATTCCGTCGATCACCCGCTGTTTTTCCGACCCGTCTAGAGGTTTCGGGATGAGCATCGTCGCCGGGATGCACGTGATAAACATGGCCGTTATTATCGCGAGATAGTTCGGGATTCCTCTGTAGGTGAACAAAATCTCGTAGGTCAAACTTGGGGATAACTGTCCGTGCTCGTCGTAGGTTCTTCTCCGGAAGCACACCACAGCCGGTAACGCGATCAAGGTGAAGCAGACGGAACTCATGATCTGACAGAACCGGAAGCTGTATCCAGCTTCATCAGACACGAAAAATGCTCCGATGGCTATTATCGCCGCGAATGTGGTTTTTATCAAACCTACCGTGAACGTCGGCACCGACGGCATCTCGGTCAAGTAGTACAAATAAATCGGGACCCACCCACCGGCTAATCCGATGCACATCCCGACCCACAGACCCGCCGTGTCGGATATCAACTCCCCAGACACCGCCAACCCGCCGTAAACCGACCCGACGACAATCCCGTGCGCAAGTTGTCCTAACAGGATCCTCATGTTCGGGAGTTGGTGTTTCTGGATCCCGAGCTGCTTCTCCTTTTCTATTCTCTTCAGCTCCTCCTCCGTCGGCGGGGGTTTTGCCCTTGGATTTGCCTTCAAAAACGCCTCCATCCGCTTGCCTTCTAAATAGAGGACAAATTGTCGCGCGAAGACGTGTATCCTGTGCAAAAATATCGCACTCGTCGCAATCGCAATCATGCATTACAAATCTCCATCCTAAGGTAAAACAGCGTGACAAATTCCCTTTGTCATGCTGAGCTAATTTGTATTGCAATTACTACTACTAGTACGATACTTTTGCAATGCATAACGTGGAGCAGGGATTTGAAGAAGCAAAGGACTAATGCCGCGATGAAGGAACTTGTCGCAACAGAAGAAATATTCGCCTCCGTCATGATCATGATCGTGATGATCAGCTGCAGGTACAGTCCGAAGGAGAAAACCGCACTGGTATGGATGTGTCAGAGTTGAAATCGACAAAGTTGAAATAATTTGTCATGCATAAAATGGATGAAAGTTGTGAGCCAGTTTCCAAGTGGTGCAAGACAAATCTCGGTGGTCCCTAAATCCACTTTGTCATGCTGTTTAGGCAAAGAAGAACAGCTTTCTCATGCTACTTTAGCAGCTCGAGCTGTAACCCCAAACAGGCTTACAATCGGCCTCAGTTGCCTGCTCTGCAACACACGTGCCGCGGGTCATGCATTTTATGCATTACAAATGATTTCAACTTGTTTGACGATTTCAAACCTGACGCTTCCATAACTGGCCATCGGCAGATATTTGTTCATCATCACCCCGTAAAATTCGAACTCGACCCTCCTGCTGTATCAAACAAAAAAAGTTCGTCGCGATCACTCATGCGGATGCGCATTTTTGCAATACAAAATTTTCTGTCATGCGTAAAAATGCATCACAGCCAGACTTCATAAGGGATTTCCCTAGTAGTGCTCATGCAATACAGAGAAAAGCTGTGATGCTGAAAAAAATTGTAATGCAAAACCTGCAAGGTAGTGACTGTGACAAACTTTTTTCTCTCCATATGCTGTGCTTCACCTTCAACAAGCACTTCATCTTCCGGCCGTCGTAGTAGAGCGGTGGGAAGTTCATGTACTCGCATAACTTCCCAAGAGCCAAGCCAAACGGCAAAGCTTGGTAACACAGCGACACGTTCCGGCTCTGCGCCCTTATCAAATCCTCGTAGGGTACATGGATCTCCTGGCAGATGTCGCACTTCGTCGGTGTCCAGAGTTCCTCTGCGTAGACGTGCGCCCGCTCCACCATCAGATACGCCGCGACGTTCCAGTCGTCCTGCCAGACCCCTACTGTTGTTGGTAAGACAGCGAAGAGAACTTCGAGATTTATCATTCCGCCCTCGGGACCAGTCCCATCCGGATCTAACCTGTCGAAGTTCATCTATGGCGTTCTCAACTGTTACATTCTCAACTGTTACAGGGACTTGTGATGCAAGAATGGGAAAAGTGAAAGGGGGAGCATTACGCGTCTTGCATGACAGATTTGGCAGAGATTATCATCCTGTTTGGCCCTTCCAGGATTTGTCATGCAGAACAGCTCGATCGTGTAGATGATCGTGGTGCTTTTGCATGACAAATCACGTAACAGTTGAGAATGTAACATTTGAGAACACCATATCATCCCTAACTCCTTCCCCAGCGGCCCGAGAATGTAGTCCTGGCCGTAGAAGTGGCCGTTGGCGCACAAAATCACGATGATGATCGTCGCTATCAATAGCAAGTTATGCATTGCAAAAGTATCGTACTAGTAAAAATCGCAATACAAATTTTCCCAGAAGGAGAAATGGAATTTGTAATGCTGATTTCGCTAAGAAACAAGATTTGTCATGCATGATTGCAATTACTTAGTACGAGTACGGTACTTTTGCACAGGATACAAGTACAGCATGCTCATCGCGATCACCACGACGATGCTGTCGTCCCACGGGCACATCCAGTTCTGCGGGCCGGGGAGGGCTAAATCCTTGAACATCTGCATGGCGACCAACGCGCACTGTGCGGTGATGAAGAAGAATCCTTCCGACGTGAAGTTCCAGAAGAGAATCAACGCTTTCTGGCACCCCGGCTTCGTCGTCGCAATGGCGTGCCTCCCCGCCGCGAACAGGCCGAAGAAGTCGTAGTTGAGGGCTTTCACCAAGACTAAAGCGATCGCCATGAACACCATGGAGCCGTACAGTAACGCCGGTCCTTTACACCTCGGGATGCCGTTGAAAAAGAAGAACAGCACCTCCATGTACGTCATCGGCATAAGGCCTAACACGCCCCGCATCATATTTGTCGCCGATTCTATCGCGGCGTCGAAGGCGGGAATGGAAACCCGTGGCACTTGGTCCATGATCATGTACGCGGAAATGTTGGTGTCGCCTAAGCCCATGATGAACAGAATCGACTGGAAGAGCAGTAAGTCAAACACCCACCTGGCCCAGAAGAAAAAGGTGAAGGCGAAGGTGACGTATGGAAGCGTCAGGTTTGAAAATGTCAAAGTTGAAATAATTTGTAATGCAGAAAATGCATGACGCGAGGCACGTGCGTTGCAGAGAAGGCAAGTGAGGCCGATTGTAAGCCTGTTTGGGGTTAGAGCTCGAGCTGCTAAAGTAGCATGAGAAAATCAGTCTTCTTTGCCTAAACAGCATGACAAACTGGCTTTAAGGACCGCCAAAATTTGTCATGCGCCACTTGGAAACTGGGTTCCGACTGGCATCCATTTTATGCATGGCAAACTATAATTTCAAATTTGACGATTTCAAGCCTGACAGTTCCATATGACGCCCATGGTTTTTATCAGCGACAAACTGCTCGGGTACTTCACATCGGATTGGTCTGGGTTGATCGCGATCTGAGTGATCGCGTGTCTTCTCCATTCGTCGTGGTCGTGGCCCGGGAAATAGACGGACTTGCAAAATTTCACGACGAGGATTGCCATGAAGTAGCAGAAGAGAATGAACTCCGCGATCACGTACGCGAGAATTATCCAGATCAAAGCGCCGCCGAGAATGAAGAAGGTGATCGCGATGAAGAGACCCTTGCCGACCTGATATTTTTTTTGTTTAAGGGTTTCCTTCGGCATCAGAAATCTTCATAATTATCCCACAAAAACTACGCATGGCAAATGATCGAGACCTAGCTTTATTTTCAGGTTCGCTAATAGCGAAAATAGCAGTATCACCCCAAAATCCTATACCTTCATATGTGGTGGCTCTTCTGGCTTCAACCGGAAATTCCTCAAGATATCCTGAGTAAAAACGTACCCACACCAGAGTTGTAATGCAGATTTGCAAAGACAGGAAGACTTGTAATGCGCATCCCCATAAGAGCCATTTCCAATCGTGTTTTGGAATTTGTGATGCTGTGAACAGGATGAGCAGCTGGATTTGTGATGCGGCTGCACTTGCTAACCTGCACAACACTGCAGAGTGCAACTTGTCATGCGTGACTCACGAAACTCCTAGGTTTGTGTTGCAAAATCCCCATCCTGACTCTGGTGTGGGTACGTTTTTACTCAGGATACAAGAACCGCTGCGCGTAACCCTCCCCGTCGAACCACCGCTGTAATGGCAAGCAGTGCCGCTCCCAGTAGATGTAGTACTTGTGGTCCTTGGGCGGTTATAACAGAGCATAACTCGTCCCCCTCCCCCTCCTTTGTATTGCATGAACAGCAATACAATCACCAGGACACGTGGAGCCTGTGCATGACAAATTCATACGCCTATTGTCGTACTGTTTTGGCTTCTGGAATCTGTCATGCGAACAGTGCCACAGGGAAGCAGATGGATTTGAGGTTTTACATTACAAATGAGGGGGAGGGGGAGTTGTGCACTCTCATAGCGGTTCCTGGATGTTCACAAGCGTGAACCAAATGACCGTCATAATCATGAACCAGAAGGGAAGAACCTTAGTCCAACTGATTGTCACCATCTCCAAGTCCATCTTGTCGTACGCTTCCCCTCTGTCTTCCAACGGGATTTCGTCGACGAAGATCGGAACGGTTTTCAAATACGTGCAGCAACAACGACTTCTATGGTCCACTATGCATTGCAAAAGTATCTTCGTACTAGTAGTAATTGCATGACAAATTTGCTTAGCATTACAAATGACATTTGTAATGCTGTTTACCTTAATCAAAGGAGATTTGTCATGCATAACAGCAATTACTACGAGTCCGATACTTCTGCAGAGCATATCCACCTTGTCGATTGGACAACACGTCCCCCTAAACCCGATCTCCGTGCACCAGTCGTGCTTGATACAGAGGGGATGACCGAGAGTTCTGGTGATAGACGACAGCGGAATGGAACAAGACTCCGTCTCCTTCCGCCCCCGCATCTCCACGAAGTTATTCCCGCACTGGCCCATGTTGGAAAAATCCGCATTTACCAACACCGCGGGTCTGGAGCCGTCGTCCTGGGGTTCGTGATATCAAATGTAAAAATGTCTGGTTCTGGAATGGTTAGAACTTGTGATGCAAACTCTGGATCACACAAAAATTTGTGTTGCATGAGCGCCAAAAGCTGTCCATTTCAATTTCTTGGCACACAAGTAGGAAGTTTCTCATGCGGGACAGGCATCATGAGGCGTGCTCAAAACCTGTGATGCTTTTGCCTGCATCAGACGCCATTTGCGTGATCCGAAATATGCATGACAAATCTCGCAATCTTCCAGACCCAGACATTTTTACATTTCATACGTGACGCCAGGTGGACACCACCCAATCTGTCCCGTTCCACCGATCCATCGACATCCGGATCAAAGGGTCGCAACAAGCGTTCAAATCCGCGCGGGATTGGACGATCTTGATGCACTTCACCGTCTTCGGCGCGCCGAAATCGAACCCCACCCAGTCGCGGTTGCTGCAGTAGGCTTCGTCGGAAATCACCCCATTGATTATGAACTGCAAAAGTATCGCACTCGTATAAATGCATTACAAATTTCCTCAGCATAACGAGAAATAAAATTTGTAATGCGGATTTGCGTTCAGAAAAAAATTTGTAATGCATGATTGCAATACGAGTACGATACTTTTGCACAGGATATTGATCGCGGTTCGGCAATCCGCCGCCCAGGTGGTCGAAAATTTACCGTCAGCAATATGGAAGCGTCAGGTTTGAAATCGACAAAATCGAAAAACTTGCGATGCACAAAATCGATGCCAGTTAGAGCCTCAGTTCCTAAGTGCCGCATGAGAAATATCGGGAGCACCCAAATCCAGTCTCTCATGCTGTTTGGGCAAAGAAGACTGCTCCTGTCATGCTACTCGGGCTGCACATTGCTTAGCCCTAAACAGGCTTGCAATCGGCCCCATTTGCCTGTTCCCCAATACAGGCCTTGCGTGCCCTGCATTTTATGCATTACAAATTTTTCGACTTTGTCGATTTCGATTCTGACACTCCCATAAGCAACGTTCAGCGGGTAGTAGTCGTAGGTGACGGATGCCTGCGCGGCAATTTGTTTGTACCCCCCGGACACCACCGTCGCGACCATGTTCCGCTGCCGGGACCCGATATTCTGGTTCGGCTCCCCGGATTATGAGAGTGCACAACTCGTCCCCCTCCCCCTCCTTTGTCATGCAAAACCCCAAACGCAAATGCTTTCCAGTAGCACTTTTTGCATGACAGATTCCGGAAGAACCCCAAACAAAACAGTACTACACTAGGCACATGAATTTGTTATGCACTTGCTCCACGTGCTGTGCAGGTGTTCGCATTGCTGTTCATGCAATACAACTGAGGGGGAGTGGGAGTTGCGCACTCTCATACGGGTTCGCGCCCGTTGTTCTCCAGCGGGATTTTGGACTCGCATTTGTCGTCGGAGAAAAACTCCACTTCGCTCACGCCCCAAGCCCGGGTGAAAGAGCGGTATCTTTATGCAATACAAATTTCCCGTACATGTACAAGATGCATCACAAATTTCACCAAGTAGGAGGGTAAAAATTGTCATGCTAACCTAGGATCGAAGCCAAGTTTTGTCATGTTGGGAAACTAAGGGCAGGGCGTCCCTGTGTAAACTGTCGTAAAACGGTAGCCGCCTACCCAGCAAACTCTAGGCGAAATAGATTTGGACAAAATAATCACTACCGAGAGACAACAACAAAGAGCTCCTGGGACGGCTGCAGGATGAGCTTTTGTTGTTATCTGAGTATGCAAACCCATAACACTAGCGCCGAGGGAGAAAAGAAAAGTAAAAAAGCGGTAAAGCATCTACTATGACACAGACCCATCTACGAAAAAACCCATCTTAAAAAAGTGAGGCGAGAAGCAATGTAGTTGCTTTCATGGCGAGCAGCAGCAACAAGGCGAACTGTCGCAGCGGACAAATGCAAAAACGTCCGCTCCAAGAGAGCAGAGAAGGAACCGTGAGCGCCAACGTCCGAGACAGCATCAGATCATGCAAAAAGCCGGAACATGACCAAACAACCAAAGGCGCAACAACTACATTACAAACCCCAAGACGGGAAATTAATATACCCAAAGCCCTAAAAAGCTACTAAGTACTAAACACCAGCGCGCGTTTAAACCGATCCACTTCTGCCCGTACCGTCTTTAGCCTGACTTTCTCGACCACCCTAAGAAGTGGCCCACACTCATGACCAAACCAGAGAAAGCCAAGGACTAAAGTGCTCGCCATTTTTCGTGTCTTAGATGGTTGCCCACGGGTACGGGTGCTAGCTCACCTAGGACAACCACACGAAAAATGCGTGGATTTTATAAGAAGAGGGTCACAAAATGTCCGCTTAGGTCCTCAGGGGACCTTCGACCCACCCAGGTGGGTGGGCCTTAGGTCCCCTGCCCTAAAAATTACAAGATAACAAGGAGCCTAGACGTGACCGGGCGGGTCACGTCCGTCCGGCCGGCCGGACGGCACGTGACCGGGGGTCAGTGGGTCGTGGCGGTCCGAAGCCAAGTTTTGTCATGCAGAGACCGCATTTGTACGTGTACGGGAAATTTACTGCGGATAATCTTCCTGCTTCACACTTCTTCGACTTGGGCCGGGTTTGGACCCACTTTATCCTGATTAAAAACGTCCCCACAGAAAGAGTCAAGATGGGAAATCTGCTAGACAAATCAGCTACCTTTCGTTGTTTGGCATGACAAGTTTGATGTCCTCGTAGTGTAATCCTGTTTAGCTAGTTCAGAAGCATCACAGATCTAGCGTAGTACGCTGATCCTAGCATCACAAATTCCAAAACACGAACAGAAAATGCCTCTCATACATAGAGCTCCGCATGAGAAACTTTCTTGGCATGCAGAATTGCATGACAACTCTGGTGTGGGGACGTTTTTACACAGGATACACCTTAATCGGAACATGCTGTTGCTCATCGCCGGTCTCCGGTTCCAACTGCCGCCACCAATCGAGTAGAACTTTTTATCACTATCCAGCACGAACTTGTCCTGGCTCGGGTCCCAATACGTCAAGTCAATTATCGGACTCTGCCGCTCTATCGCCGGCGCCTGGAAGATCCGAATGCACTTGACCTGCCTTCTTTGAAATCCAAAGTCTTGCCCGATGTAGGCGTCTTTCGGGTAGCAGGGGCCGCAGCCGGACCGCCAGAAGGAGTTAGGGTACCGGACGAAACCGCCGTCGTCTCGCTCCCGCATGTCGGACCGGACGTAGCCGTCCATGGCGAGAGAGCCGTAGTGATCCCCCCGGTAGCCGGACACGATGATGTCGTCCGCGGTTCCTAATGGCGTAGCTAGGCAGCCTACCGTGTCGTAGAACCCGAGCTCGTCGATTTCCCAGGACTCCGGGATCATAACCGCGTTTTCAATCCGCCAGATGGTTTGGTAGGAGGCCGGCCACCTGGGATAAAGTTGTTTTTCGGGGGATCGATAAATTTTGATCTTCGTAAAATCGGTTTTTCGTAAAAATTAATTTCGAATCAATATCCGTCTTCACGACGGTACAAAAGACGAGACTTGTTACACCGCTCACAGTTCTTCTTTCCTTGTCACGACTTTCATCCCTTCTACTGCATGAAGACTACAACAACTCGTCAAGGAATCTTCAAAGCCTATCGTACTACCTTTGCCAACTGCCTCCACTAAACCCTCGCAGATTCCAGCTCTGCCCGATTCCGTAGTCCTTTTGCGCGTACCGCACCCCGTCCCAATACTCCAGTTTCATGTTCCGGCTGAAGAATTGGGAGTGCTGCCAGATCCGGATGCAGTTGACGTTCATGGTCGGGGAATTTCCGAAGTCTACACCTAAGAACAGTGGGTACTGGGCTTGCTTATTCTCCATTCCCCTCGTTCCCAACACGGATTTATCCCGGATGTCGACCCAACTTGTTTGCTCGTTTTTGTCGAAGGCGTTGAAGACCGGGAACTCTATCCCACGAAAAAAGTGTTTCACCGTGATGATCTTGCAAGATCTGCATCACAAGTTTGTTACACATGACACAGAAAATTTGCCATGCGCGCTTCCAAAGGGAGAAGAACACCGCTAAAGAGTCGAGGTCTTCTTGCAGGTGTGGCAAGACAAATAATACCTCTGTCTTCCATTCTATGCATCACAAGTTCAAAGTGAAACAGTTGTTTCTTGCGATAAACTCTTCCCCCGCGTCAATGTCGATCAAATAGTTGATCGCATCGTCGTATAAATTGCAAAAGTGTCTGGGTCTAGAAGGTTGCAACTTGTCATGGTAAATCTGAAGCATGCAAAAATCTGTGTTGCATGAGTGCCAAAAGCTGGAAACTTTTGACCAAGTTGGAAGGGAGTTTCTCATGCAGGATAGGCATGGCAGAGACCTCGCAGAGTCTGTCATGCTCATTCCCGCACTCTAGACCTCATGGGTCATGGAAAATCTGCATGACAAGTCTACACTTTTCCAGACCCAGACACTTTTGCAGTTGATACGTCCCCGAAATCCGCTTTGATCCTTGCTTCGTTTCTTTGAACATACGCTGTCAATTCTGACCCTTTCACGTGACCAGAGCCGATCGCTTTCACGTTCGGATTTCTCGCGCCGTTGTCGGTGAGGAACTTCACCTCCTTCTCCGGCTTGCACTCGGAATCCAGGAAGAGTTCCAGGGAATACACCTGCCAGCAGTCGACCGAGTCATCGGCTTTCAATCGCCACTGGGTACCGGTGAAGCCGGGTCTGGCGTGGCCGGTACCGCCACCAAGGTCGTAAAACCAGGAACCGGAGTAGTCGGTCAGAGAAGCTGCACCAACTTCAACCGCGGGGTCGAACCTGATAGATTAGTATGAGGTTTTTTGCATGAAGAATCTCATGGATGATGTGAAACTCGCAAGACAAAGTCATGATTTGCAACTGGAACTGCAAGAGAAGTGGCGCATGACATTGTCAGCAAGCTGAAACAAGACAACTTCCAACAAATCCTATACCACCGAATGCCGTTCCAGGTCTCCAGCCGGATATCCGCACTTTGGTACGCGCTGTCCCTGAACTGGTCAATTATGGCGCTCTCAAACGTGACAGTCTCAGCTGTTACATGATTTGTCATGCAGAATGAGCATCAACATGCACACAATCAAGCTGCTTCGCATGGCAAATCTTGGAAAGGCTAGACAGCGCCTAAATCTGTGCGGAATTTGTAATGCTTCAGGTGCAACCTCTCTTCTTTGACTTTTGCCATTCTTGCATTACAAATTCATGTAACAGTTGAGAACGTAACATTTGAGAACTCCATATCAATTACCAGACATCTCGGGATATTCGAAGCGAGGAAAGCGGGTTTGTTGTACGTCCGCTGCACGCCCAGCCACGCGTTGAATCGGTCACACCCGCCGGTCGCGGCCAAGCACTCGCATTCCCAGAAAGTTTGGTTGTGTCCGTCCGCCGCCATGGTGTATCAACTGTAAAAGTGTCTGGGTCTGGAAGATTCTGAGACTTGTCATGCATGTTTTGCATGACCCAGGACGACTATAATGCACGCCCTAGCATCACAGATTTTCAGAGGGCTTCCTGATGTTGCCTACTCCGCATGACAAACGCCCTCCTCGCGTAGCACAAACTACACTCCTCTTGCTGGTCATGCAATACAGAGTTTCTTAGAGTCCGAAGTTAGCATCACAAGTTCCAACCTTCCAGACCCAGACATTTTTGCATTTGATATTGTGACCCCGTTCGCGATTCCAGTAGATCCAGCCGCGATCCAGGCGAGGCCGTCCATCCGGGTGGTGCAGTACTTGTCGGAGTAGAGGTATCAAATGCAAAAGTGGCTGGGTCTGGAAACTTGTGATGCTAAAATGTGCATGATGAAAACACTTCCGAATGCAGTCCGGCATGACAACTTCCCAAAACGCTTTCTCATAGGCAATCCGCATGAGGAGCTGCGTTTTTGCATGACAAAAGAGGCTGCGACTTTTGTTGGTTATGCAATGCAGATTTTGATTTTCTAGGTGTGGAAAGCTAGCATTACAAGTTCCAACCTTCCAGACCCAGACATTTTTACAATCCATAAGAGGTGAACGTCGACAACTCTCCATTGCAGCGTCGTCACTACCGCATTCGACAGTTTCCACATGCTGTAATCAAAAGCCGGCCGTCTGTTCCAGCTTCCCCCGCCGAGATCGTTCTGAATTCCGCCGATGGTCGAGGAAAGCGCAGACCAGGGATTCGGGATGCTCCACCCGCCGTTCCCGTCCCAGGAGGAAATGTGAACCGTTGAGACGGAAAACTGCGGATCCTGACTCTGGTAGATCTTGAAGCACTGCACGTCGATCGGAGTATTGGAGAACATTCCGATGTAATTCGATTCTCTTTCACACGGAATCCCCGGTCGGCATAACCCCCGCCAGAAAGTGTCGATCTTCCCGTCGAACACCTTCCTTGCGCAGGTGGTCAGAATCTGGGTGTCCGCGCAGGCTGTCGCCTCTTCGTCGATACCTAATACCATGTTGCTGTCGAAAGCATCGCCGACTAATGGGATTCGTTGGATTGGTAACACCTGCACCAACCCACTGTCGTCCGTCGTGTCGCAGAATGGGTTGTTGTAGAACTCCAATTCCGCGACCCGCCACTCTGCAATTACCTCGTCCGCGGTGATCCGCCACAGTGTGTTTATCGGAGCGTAGTCGTAGTTCCACTGATTCGGCAGCATATTCATCAAATCCTTCTTCCCCGCCCACTGCTGCCCGTCCCAGACTTGGAGCTGTAAAGCCTCAGAATGCTGCGACTTGTGCCACTGCTGCCCGTACCCCGCGTGCGCATCCGACCACATTTTGATACACAACACCGTTAAAGGTGCGGAATCGTAGTCGTAGCCGACGAAGGCCTCGCCCGAGGAACAAGGCGCTTCGACCACCCCCACCGTTTGCGTACACCTGGCGCGGTACGCGGTGGTGACGTCGTTATCCCGGATTTTCTCGACGGAGGTCTCTTCACACGTTCCCGCCGGGTTGTCTGGCGTGGGCAAGCACTGGGGTAACTGCCGGACGTTTTCCCTGCCAATCGGGATGCCGTGTAACGCGTAGTCACAGCGTCGATCCCCGAAGAAGTAGAGTTCATTCACGGTCCAAGGGGAGACGGTCGGATTAAGGTTCGTCAACTTCCACACCGTGTTCCCAATCGGCGGTCTGGTTTGCCACTATCCAAGAAAAAAACTGTGTTAGTGTAAGCCTTTTGGGAAAACAGCATCACAAGTTTGTCTGCCATGACAGAACAAACTTGTTATGCGCAGATACAGAGGAAAAACACATAGGAAGCGAGCCGGCCATGCATGCCTAGCACGACAAGTGTAACTGTTTGGCATTTTCTGCATCACAGATTTACACTTACACACTTTTTTCTTGCATAGCCACCCACCCCCGGCCAACGCGTCGTAATCGGCGTACTTCACCCACTGCAACGTGTCCCAGAAAACCACCGCGATGTGGTAGGCCTGTCTGGTTGTAATTTTGCTCTGGTGGATCCGGACGCATTTGATCGCGCCGTCGGTAAAACCAGACATGGTGGCGGGATCGAACAACATCACATTGCCGTAAATCGGAAGGTTGTTCGGATTCGTGACCGGGTCATCGCTTTTTCTAAGCTGCTGGTAGATCACGGTATTCGGGCCGACGTTGTTGACAACCTGATAAATTTGTTTATATTTCGATAAAAGCAAGACCAAGAAGATCTTGATGTTCCGCAACTTCTACTGCAAGTGAACTAGTAGCACAGGAGTGCGCGTGGCAAACAAGTTGAGAAACTGAATAAGAAATGCGTCGTCAGCATGAGAAACTTCTGTACCAACAAAACAACTTCTATACCCTCTGTCCCTGTTTCGTCGGGTCATACGCGGGACAGCCGCCTAAATCCGCCCCGCAGTTCGCCAACCACGCCGTTTTGTTGTTGTTGTCAAACGCCAAGGCGGAAATATCCTTGTACGGCGGATTTGCGTTCGCATCGGAAAAGGACTGCTGTCGTGGCGATCCCTGCACCGGTTTGTCGCACTGTCGGTCCCAGAAAAATTCCACATCGGCGATCTCCCACTGATCCTCTATCTTCACCACGTTCGTGATTCCCCACCGTTCCCCACAGAAGTACCCCGGTCTCGCCGCGTCCATCCCACGACACACTTCCTGCTTCAAAAAACAGGAGACTTCACCGGACGCGCAAAGCGCAGCAGTCGCCGCCGTGTTGATCTGCAGGGACCGTTTTTCCCGCTGCTCCTCCGTCTCGTTTGGAAATTGTTCGGTTAGTTGACGTTTCGTTGTCGCTACTTCCTCATTGTACTTCTGAAGCGCGGTCTCGGCTTGTTTTGTCGTCTCCTTCAGCCGCTCCTCGAAGTGGTTTTCATCCCTACCCGCAACGGTTCTTATCCTCTTTTTGTTTTGATGGTCTGTGTTGTCCTGCTGTTGACTTTTGTTTTCTACTATTGGAGCCTCAATCACGACCCCAGCTGGGTCGACGACGCCGTCGATTTCTAGCTGCCTTTTACTGCCTCTTTCACCCCGGGCAAAATCGGCGTCGTGGAGCTGCTGTTGATCGTTTTCCTTACCTGCACTACCACTCGTCTCCTTCAACCTAACCACCGGTCTGTGGTCAAATCTCTGCCTGATTACCCCGGCTTCGTGATCCACTTCGTATTTGTCCGCGTCGTTATCGAGCGGGAACCTGGACTTCAGCAACGCCCGGTAGTGATCCCCGTGCTGTTTATTTGGCGGTAAATTCTTTGGCCGCTCGTACTCCTGCGTTTCCTTGCGAATCCTTTGCGCCGCGAGGTTGTCTGCCTCTTCCTCGAACAGCCTCCTTGGGATTTTCCGACCTAAATGGTCTATGTGGTGGGTACTGTCGGTGTCATGCTGATTTGGTGCGGTTTTGGAACAGGAACCAGAAGAACAGGATTGCTCAGAAGATCCTATCGGCGACGCGTGCTGCCAGCCGGGAATCGGTTTATTTGATGATGCAGCAGCAGCTGATGACGCACCACTGTTTGATGACACAGAAAATTCCTCTTTCACCGGTTTGTAGACGTGGTTGTGGAGATGATCATCTTCATCTCCGTTGATATCGTCTAACTTGTAAGTTACACGTACCAAATCTGGATGTCCGGGGATGTCCTCCTCGTGTCTTGGGTACTTCACCTCGGCAAGGGTAGTTGTTGTCAAAGTGAAGAGGTTCAGCAAGTAGAGGAACAACCAACCGAGTTTCTTCAAGAAATGTAGTTTCTCTCTTGGTCTCGTCGCTGTCCACCACCTCCAGAGCAGGAAAAGCGACTGACTTTGTTCCCTTTGATTTTTGTTTTTGAGCTTGTGCAGCAACATGGTTTTCTTGTTTGCAGGAGCAGCTTGGACTGCGACTGCTGTCCTCGGTGCAGTCGTTCCTCCTCCTGGTGGCCTCCCGGTGTCCTCACTTTGCTGTCCTGTATCCCAGGAAGGCGGTTTTCTTGTTGAAAATAGTGTACTGGCCATGTTTATCTTGCGCCCTCCGTCCTCCAGCACGGTTCTGCTTCTTCTTGAAGAAGGCCGTGCTGTTACTGGGCCGGCGCAGGTGGAGCCGATGTCGTCAAAACAAGACATATCAACTTCCACCGAGAACAACTGGTCTTTGTGGTCCACCCTGTCGTCAAAAAACCGCGGCCTGCTCGTGCTAGAGCAGCTCGGGGTGGCTGATGTACAAGTACAACGACCCATCATGTGCAGTACGTCAGCCATTTTACAATGGCTGTATTGATGTTAAAAATTCCGCATCTTCAAACAGAAATTCTGTACGAGAGCTAAAGATTTTGAATGTTTGTTGAATCTTTTACAGATTTCAGGAGCAAGAAGTGACACTCGTGCAAGAAAAATCGAGATTGGGGAGGACGTCGACAATCTGAAATCGAAAGAGGGTAGACTTCTCGTGCTCGTCGGGTAGAAACATGCATAAAATCAGGTCTTGAGTAGAGGCCTGTTGTGATTTTTCAAGTTTTATTCACTCACTCCAACAAGTATAAATGCGAACTATCTACGTACGAGTACTACTTATTTCAAAACAAGCAATTTCGATTTCCTGGAGAAGAACTCGACGCACTCTGCACGGTCTCTCAACATTGATGTTGCTCTCTCGTCGCGGCTCTCCACTCGCTTCCCTCCATGCTGTGCCAAAATGCGCAAACAGCAAGTAGGACTGCAGGGTGTCTCGATGAATATCAACAGTTAGTCACAGTTCGAGCAAAAAGTACACCGAAATCTTGCTTCAAGACTATCATGCGTGTTACAAAGAACACAGCGTTGCGTGGAACTCAATCACAGTCATAGTTTGCAGCCCACGCTAGAATGTAGCTGGGGCGTCGATCCTTTCGTTTTCCAAAGAGCTCCTTATTTGATGTTCGTGGTACATTTGCACCCTTAAATTTATAGAATCGTGCTGCAGCTGCTAGCACTAGTTTCGCAGAAATAAATTTTGTCGTTTGAAAGAGCACGTACTCTTGTAGTAAATTTTTTGCGGCTCTCTGTCTACTCACTTACAAGGCGAGAGCTCGCCGATCCACGCAATCGAGCCGAAACCCCCTGAATGTATCGTTGAAACGAAATCAACAAATCGAAGTCATGTGCTTCAGTCACCCTTACATCTGAAAGCCGATTTTGCTTTCTTTTGAACTGTAACAACGTTCGTTGTCATGCTGCCGTCGTCCTCTTGCGTTTCTCTTTTACTTTTCCTTTTGTGAAAACGAAAAAAAATAAAACTCACTTCCTGTTCCCCCCGCCGAGTTTCGGCCAAGGGCACGGCGGGGGCGACCGCAAATAATGCTCCGATTGAGACTTTTTCGACTGAGAACGAGACCTCGACCGCCGGCGGCGAGAACGAGAAGGAGAACGGCCTGAGCCCGCGCGTTTTTTGGGTTTCGCTTTGTTGGCCGCCTTCTTCCGACCAGCGCCTCCTCGTCCGCGAGACCGGGAATCTGAGCGGGAACGAGATGATTCTTCACTGACCCTCCGCGCTTTAGTATTCGTCTTTGTTTTGCTGTTGTCTCCATTTTTACGCGGATTCATCTTAGCCCCGCCGCCTCCCGCACCGGCTCCACCGGATTTGGTGGCTTTCGCCTTCCGACCACGAGCAGGAGCACCGCCGCGGCTGCGACTGTCACTTCTGGATCTGGACGTGCTCGGCTCCGTCTCCGGCTTGATCCATCCTTGGCGGCCACCGCGAGGCATCTGCGGGAGCTTCTGATCGCGAATGTAGGTGGTGGGAGGGCCGGAGGCTGCTTGTGCGGTAGTGTTGTTGTTGTTCGCCGGAGAAGAAGATGATTGCTTCTTCTTAGCACCGTCGACAGGTTCCAATAGAGCAGTCTCCTTCTTTTCCTTTTCGTTCACTGCCTTTGTTGCTTGCGACACCTTCTGCAGTTCCTTAACCTTCTCCGCTTTCTCCTCCGGCACCAAACCCTCAAACGGCACTTCCACCATCGGGGGCGGGGACGCAGCAGGTTCTTCATCTTGCGGTACATTTTCTTTGTCAGCAGGAGCGCCCTGTTTGTCCTTGTTCTTGCGCCCAACTTCCAACAATGTCATGTCGTTCTCGGCTGCTGTGGCAGTGACGCGGCGCCGCTTCGCATCCGGTTGTTCCGGGTCGTCGTTTTTGGCATCGTGTTGCATCACAACATCATCTTCATGACCACCATCAGATCCTTCTTTGTCTTTGATGGTTTCTGGCATGTAGTCCCGATGCGCGCCAGTTTTATGTGATGTCTCCCTCTCCGCCCTCATGTTACAGGGAGCTTTGTCTTTTTTGTAGTCCTCAGAATGGACACTTTTCCCGTCGAGCAGATCCTCCATCATCTGGTCGGTTTCGTTCAAAACTGGAACAGGTTTATTCTTGCTGGTTTTCGATTTGGTGGATTTGCTCTCCGCCTTGTCCTCTCGGTCATCTGAAGCTCCTCTCATGCTGGTCTTCTTGCCGCTCCTAAAATCCGCCTGGTTTTCATTTTTTTCATCACCAGTAGCCTTCTTCGACTTCTTGTGGTCGCTCTTTTCTTGTTGCGACTCCTCGTCGTGGTTGTCTTCCTTCTGGACTTTCAACTTTTTCGCCGGGAGGCCACGACGTCCTCCTCGCCCACGGCCGCGGGATTCTTCGGAGCCGCTGGATGAACCATGGTCCTCATGGTCTTGAGCCGCGCGATCGCTCTTCAGCTTGTTTCCCTTTGCCTTCCTGGACAACTTTTTGTCGTCTTCTTGTTTACTGCCCTTGCTTGATTTCATCGAGTTTTCTTTCGACATCTTGTTCATCATTTTCGGTGCTTTCGTTTTAGGTTTAGATTTGGAAGATTTCTCGTCACGAGCAGGAGACTCAGTGCTCTTCATGGAAACATCAGAATTCTTCCCTGCTTCAGACGAGGAAGAGGAAGAGCTGGACTTTCGCTTCTTTTTGACTGCGCCGCGTTTGTTAGTCGTAGGAACAATCTTTTGGTCGTCGTCGTTCTTAGGAGCGGTATCTTTCCGCGTTGTAGGCTTATTCTTACCTCCGCCACGCTTTGGCAGGTCGTCTTCGTCATCCTTCTTACGAGAAGGAACACGAGACTGCGAGTTGTCGTGGTGGTCCTGCCGCTTTTTAGAAGTTGTACCAGCTGCAACTTTACCCTCTTTCGGCGCCACAGAACCCACAGGCTTTGGCTTCTTCTTCCCATCAGCCTTGATGTTCCTCTCCTTGCTTTTCTTGCTCTTCGAAACTTCCTCCACGTGGTCCTTCTTGCCCGCTATATCGAGAGATCTAGACCTGACTGCCTTCGGCCCGGACTTGCTACGGCTTTGGCTCCGGCTTTGCGACTTGTCGTCTTGATCTTGTGCGTGCTCATCCTGCAGCTCAGCATCCTTATCCTTTTCTTTCTGCTTCGTCCCTACAATCTTGTCCTTCGCCGCCGCGCCGCGCTTGGCGTTCAGCCCCTCCAGCAGTTTTCGCTTATCCTCCTCTCGCTTCTTCAATTTCGCTTCCCGCAGTGCCTTCTTACGCTCATCGGAGGAGTTGGAGTCTTCTCGAAGGGCTGCTCGAGCAGCGTCTTTGCTTTTCGACGGTGGCTTCTCGTTCATCGCCTTCGGAACTGCAGCAGCAGCCTCTGGGGACTGTTTCATCGGAGGTAGTTTCCTGCTGCGGGGAGCAGGTCCTGGGCTGCGCGAGTGGGAAGAGGAGCTGCGCGACACAGAAGAAGACTTGGATTTTTTCTTAGCCACAGGTGGACCTTGCTTCCTTTTCCCGCCGTTCTGCGTCTGTTTCGAGGAATTGTGGCCGCCGGCGCGGCCACGCACAGCAGCTGCACGTCCTCCAGCAGCCGTAGTGGGTTTTTGCTTGGTATTCCGGCCGCGAGAGCGCGACGAATTTTCGGACTCGGCGGAGGAGGTAGAGAGATCCGATTCTGAATCAACTTTCTTCTTCTTCATCAGAGTAGACTTTTGCTTGTTGGTCCGCTGCGGTGGGGCCGCAGCCGCGGCTACAGCGGCTTTATTTTCTTTCGTGTTGTTGTTGTTTCCGCGAGGACGGGAAGCTCTGGATCGTGGTGCAGGAGAGCGAGAGTAGTTTTTCCCCCCGCGGCGGCGATTATGTTGATCGCGCTCCCGGTCCCGTCGTTCCCGGTCCGCACGGGCGTCGCGCTCACCACGAGCGACGTTTTTACTCCGATCGCGGTGGCCCTGGCCCTCCTCCCGGCGACGACAGGGAGATCTGCCGGTGCTTCGCCGATTGTTCCGATTGTCACGAGGATGATGATCCCCCCCACGACGATTATTTCTCCCTGAAATACTAGCACGTTTCTTTGTTGTTCCGCCACCAGCCAGCATGGCGAACAAATCGTCGTCGTCACATTCTGCTGGCTTCATTTTAGCCGCTGCAACATCCAAGTCCTTGGCGTTCACTGCCGCTCGAGCACGGTTCGTGTGCTGGTGCTTCGTATTAGCGAAGGGATTGCTCGTTGCCCCAGTTTTTGAGGACAGCTTTTGCTGTTTGAGCTTTTCCAGCTGTTTCTTGGTGATTTTCGGATTCACCTCTTCTTCTGACATCGACTGATCCGAAGAACTGCTAGAAGACAAATGGCGTCGTTTCTTCTTCTTTTCCTTCTTCGATTTATTCTTCTGCACACCAGCAACATCAGCATGCTTCTTTTGCTTTTTCTTCTTCTTCAATTTGTCAACATCAAAGTGTCGTTCATTGTTACCGCGAGACAGGCTGCGGGATAAGTCTTTGTCAGAACTGTCGTGGTCTACGGCAGGAGCTGCAACGCGTCGTCCTCTGTGGCCAGCACCACGTAGATTCATACCGGTATCGCCATCCCGGTGTTTCTCACGTCTACCGTCATCCTCCCAGTAATTTTCGACAATGATGTCGAAACGGTTCTTGCTTCCAGCATTCGTGTTTCGCTCAGCACCTCCTGCCTCAAGAAAATTGTCGTAGGAGAAGGATCCGGCGCCTTTGCTCCTCCCAGTACCCTTGCCGTGGCTATGTTCCAAATTGTTGAAAAATTCTTCGTAGCTCATACCGGATTTCGGATCGTAGATGTAATCGTCTGCTCTTTGACTCACTGGATTTACGTTTTCTCGGTCGGGCGTGTAGTTCCGTCCACCCTGCTGTTGCCGGTAGTAGGATTTCCCGTAGCCGCCCTTGGCATTGTAGTTGTACTCGCGGTCGTGGTCTTTTCCACCTTTGACGCCAAAACCCCCGGTTGTTGATGTCCCCCGCCAGTCCGCAAACCCCTTTCCGCCTTTGATCGGGACTCCTTCCGACTGTTCCAATTGCAGAAACCCGTCGTGGCCCCACTTGTCGTCGTTCGGGTTCGAATTGGAAGGATAGCTGTTCCTGAAGAACGTCGCACTCGATAGCTTTCCCTTCCCTTTGGTAGAAGAGACGAAGCTACCTTTGCCACCGCCGCCGTAGGAGTTGTAGCCGCCATCATAATTGTCTCGTCCTCCGCGAGTGTAGCCACTGGCTCCATAAGCACCAGAAGAACTCCGCTCATTATTTGCGCTTTCCCGGCGGAATCGGTAGTTTGAATCGTTGTTGAAAGAGTCCTCGAATGTCCGTTGTCCACCTCGGTAGGTGTTGTAATTATCCCCGCCACCTGCCGCAGAACCACGACCTTTCGAACGATCATTCCGGCCACGCTTATCACCCCGGGCGGCCACTTGCAGGTCGTCTTCGTACCCACGGCGGCGATCTGATAGGTTGTCATGCGTATTTGGAGCAGACCATGGAGACAATCAAATCTAAATCATGCAGCGCAAGATCTTCATGATTGAAATTTGTCACGGAGAAAACACCATACAGGCCGCATTTGCAATGCAAAACGAAAACACCATGATCTCACACTTATACCATTCTCGCCCTTCATATCCTCCCGTCGGTCATCCCACAGATACCACTGCGACTTCTTCATCTCGACGGGCAAGTCATTTACATTCCAGCCGTGCTCCATTGCCATTTCCCGCTCCAAATCTAGATTCCGGGGCGATTTCTTCTCCTTTTTCGAGTACAAAGGTCCCGGCCTGCCATCTCTGGTGTTCATATCCACATCGTAACTATCTTCAAAATTACTCCCAGTCCGGCGATTTCCCCTTCCTCCCTTTCCCCCGTAATTCGCACCACCGTCGCCTCCTTTGTTGTTGTTCCTGGCAGATCCGGATCGGTTTGATATTCCTGCGGCGTTGAAAGGGACGAAGGTGTGGTCAGCATTTGATGTTGTCCCATCACCTCCTCGTTTGTTTGCGTTATTCGTTCGGATGACTAACTTTTCCGAATCATCCGAGTGCTCGCCTTTCACCGTGTCGACGATGAAACGGCGGGTGTCGCGAGGATCATCGTTTTTATCTCCATCGCCCTTCTGGTTGTTCTTGTGTCCAAATAAAACCCTATCCCGGTCTTCTCTGTCCCAACGTGGTTTTTCATTTTCTTCTTTGGGATCCAGGTTGGGATTGGAAGGCGCCGGCTGTTGTTCTTCCACAACCATTTGGACGTCTTCGTTGATGTTGTGGGGAAAGGCGGACATTTTCTCGCTGGGTAGTTTTGGTCGTGGAAGATACTATTATATTAATTTATTCGTAGATGAAGAGGACGTCGTCAACGCTTTCTAGAATGAATGTGAAACAAAACGTAGAAATAAAGTAGTGGAAAAACATATTAGTACACCGCATAGGGCGTAGTTTTTTTCTTGCCACTACTACAAGGAACAGGCGCACTTAATGCGAATCCGACCACAGGAGCACCGCCTCCAGATAATTCCTTCAGTCGCTACCATGGTTTCGTGTTCAAATCAAATTTGTTCAACATAAACCAAAGATGATGTAGTCGAGCACGAGAACGCAAAGCATAAGCAATGGCCGCGAAAATAAAACGCGTTTTGTGTAGTAAGCGGTTACGCTTCCGGTGAAGATCTTCTACAACTTTGGCGTCTTTACTTTTTCGTATGAAGAGGACGATGAAAAACCTCGTCGTCCTCGTCAAGATCTGCGATTGTCTTTTTTTCGTGCAGTGAAAAGATGTTGCAGATTTTCCGAACATCATCTTTGTTTTGATGGTGCTAGTGATTCTGCGTGAGGTCATGAGCTTGTTGAGCTATTTTGCTTACTTACTTTCTGTTTCTTTGCTACTTCTGGTGTACAATGTGATTTTATTTCGACCTCCTCATCATGGTTCTTGCAGTCTTTTCGAACAACGAAAACGAAGCAGCAGCCTCATCTTTTTTTTCTAGGTAGTTGCACGACCTGCTTCATCACAGCAATCACGTTTGGACTGAGTCGTGAATGTGTCAGGAGGTCGCCGCGAGGAAGCCATGTACTAACCTCGACTGCTTCTGCTACTGACTCATGATCGTCACCATAAAACCATTTATTTCGTTGCTAGTTGTATTTTCGAAAACCAACTGCAGCAAGCCCGGTGTTGTACTAAGTGATCGCAACATCTTAGTCGAAAAGTCCAAACAGGAAGACGCGTGGCCAGAAGGTGTCGTGGTAGTTGCTGGTGATGTTGAAGTAGCCGTAGATGAAGTACCAGCCCGCAAGCACCGCCCAAATCAACCCGGAGTAAGTACTGACGCCGAGAAATTCCGGCTCTCGCTTAGTCTGTTGCTGGATAAAAGCGGCGATGTACTCGCGGGGGATACCTGGCAGTTTGTCGTGCGAGTCTTCCTATGTATGCACGTCCGCGTTGGCGTTCACATCAGATCGTAGGTCACGCACGACAAAAAGGATGTTGACGTAGGATCATAAACACGTCAGCACTTCTACAGACATGTAGTACCTTCATTCCCGCCTCCCATGTCACTGCACGCTTGTCCTGGGTTCAGTGGGTCCAGGGCGGTGTAGCAGTTGGCGTGCGGGTTGTAGACCTCCATTGGGGCTACGGTCCCAACACCCGCAGGAACCACCGGGTACTTCTTACTACTGGGATCTGGGGGCGGAATCGAGCCCGCGAAGAAGCGGGATTGGAAGTGCTGCTGTCTGAAATAAGGTGCCGGAATTTTATTTGATTTTAAACCAACACGGCAGCTGTTCCTGTTCATCTTGAGGCCACATGTCGCTGTCCGCTGCAGCGCGGCAGACAACATCTTGTGGAGCAGCAGGTGCTGCAATCAGAGATTGCTAGCGGGAGGTGGACTTCGAGCGCATCAAAACAACTTGGGGTTTAATGGAGACAGATCGAGATGTATGTTGATTTTGACGCGTTCGCGTGAGGATGAGCAAGAGCTAGAGCAAACAGTCCCCGCATAATTTTCTATGGAAGTTGTGACCACAGCTGCAACTGCTCGATACATATCTGCTCCTCCTGTCAATCGCTCATCGGCACGCCAATCGGGGGGTTCACACACAACGGTGGCAACGCTTTAGTTTACCTTTACTGCTCATTCTCTCCATCATTGAAAATGAAAGAACACCACTGCCCGCAACAACGCAGGCACAGCACATCGTCAAACCACGGCGCCCACACTCACAGAGAGCCTCTTCGGCACGGACGCTCCTGCGCAAAAAGCAGTCGATGAAAGCTGCTATATCAACGCACACAAATTCTTGCCACCGGAAGCGGATTGAGCGAACGGGCTCCCGGTGGCCGCCGCGTGGCATATCTAGACAACAGAAGATACACAGATGACACGCCTCATCGGCTTTGGGCCCCCGCTCCACCGATGCGACCCCAACCGCAGCGAACTGGGCGAGCTATGTATACAGAGCTTGAGCTGCAGCTGGCGCCCGCGCCCAATATAACACTGACCCGCCGTAATAAAATAAAGCGACAGCGCGCCGGCCCAATGCCACCCGGCCGCCGGCCCCGGCCGACGCCTCCTGGGTCACCACAAGGGGCGAAACGGCCCCCATTGCCGGGCGACAAGACTGCCTGCCCCCCCCCCGGCCAATGCCGACCGCGACGGGCTTGAACGGCGCAGGCCGGGGCGACGCCCGCCCTACACAAGCACAAGCCGCCGACACTGTCGGCGCCACATGCGGGCAGGCCGCTACCGCGCCGGCATGTGGCGGGCGGCGGCCGGCCCTGCCTGCCACTCGAGCGAATGGCCTGAGGGCTCCGCTCGGCGCGCGGAAGACGACGGGCGACCCACCTCGTTCCTCTTCTTGTTCTTGTCGTCGGCTGACGGCAGTGCCCTCGTCCATGTGGGGGCGGCGCCAAACGCATGGGCGACGAGTTGCCGACTCAAGACGCCACACGCAATCGGTGGCCCACAGAGTGGGGGCCCGCGCCATGCTTCCGCAGAGCGGGGGCGGCCTGTCGGCCAAGGCTCCCCGCTACACACGCAGCACCGGTCTCGCCACTGCAGACCTGCGAAGGTTTCGCCAGTTGTCAATGAGCTACAACGCTCCCTCTCAAGAAAGTCTCTACCTCTCTCCTTCTCTCAACTTCTTACTATTTCTAGTCTAGTAAGAGACTTTAGACGCCCGAGACTGGGCCAGTACGGAGCTAGAACGTTTGCCTGTGCCGTCGCGTTATTTGCGGTATGCGCGACCCACCAACTAGATCTTAGGACGAAGACATGGACGAGACGAAGACGAGAGCAGACGACTCTTCTTTTCCATGGACTCAAAACTGGTGCTAACGAATTACTTCGTAATTCTCAAGCATAAAATTCCAACACAAAGTCAAACTCGTGCTCTCCAAGAAAAAATGCTGTGGCTGCTCAGCCATTGCACGCGACTGCGCGGGTGACGAATATTGACTTACAACAGGAGCGCCAAAACAGGGCCTGTCTACTAGCCAACGCCATTTGACGTTTCATCGTCTTGCTTTTCAAACTGTAGAGTGTAGTTTTTCCGCCATTCTTGTATGTTGCAAATCCACGTCGACGTCCATGTCCAACACAAAGGACTGACAGAAAAACTTGTGAAAATTTCCAAGTGCTGCTTGGAATTTGAACGCAGATATTGCGTGTTTGAAATCCTAGGTAAAAAACATGTTGACACTCAAGCAATTAAAGGGTACAGATTCTGACTGCGGGCTAATCACCAGATCAGCTTCTATCGTTGTAATTTAGTTGTAAATTTTCTTGTTGCGTTGCAAAACAAAAACTGAACATGAGTTACATTGACACTTCTCTTCAACAGCCGCCATATGTTGCAGTAAATCAAGGTCGCTAGCACTGCTATTGGTAGTTGTACTACTTACAACTCATCATCCTCTTCCCCTAACTTCACGGGCGGCGCGTTTTGCCTCTTCGCCGGACTGTTGTGCTCCATCGACTGCCGTTTGTTTGTCGACGCGGGCGTGTTCCCCGCCGACATCGACATATTCCCTAGCAAGCTCGCGGCGGAGATTGTCTGGTTTTGCCGGGGTGGTGAGATATGCTGATTCTGGTTATTTTGCAACTGCTGTTGATATTGTTGTTGCTGGTTGTATTGTTGTTGCTGCTGTTGGTTATGGTTGTTGTACTGTTGATGATGCATGTTGTTGTTATTCATCCCGCCGTAATTGTTGTTGTGATGTTGTTTTCCACCCTTTCCACCCTTTTGGCTCCAGTTGTTCATCATGTTATTTTGATGTCGCTGCTGCATATTGTGCTGTTGCTGATTGTACTGCTGCTGTTGCCGAGCAATCATGGGCATGATATTATTGCCCTGGTTTTGCTGTTGATTTGGTATGGGCAGGATGTGCTGTTGCTGCTGCATCTGGTTCTGCTGTTGCTGGTGCTGCTGCAGTAATTGCTGCTGAATGCTGTTCAACTGATTCGGGTTATTTTGTTGATGCTGGTTCATATTATTCTGCTGCGCCTGATTATTATTTCCCTGAGTACTGTTGTTTCCCCCGGGTAAATTCGCCGAATTTGTCAAAACGTACTGCAACATCGCTTGCTGCTGCTTCGGGTCCATCGTGTGGAATTTTGGGTGTTGCGCGACGGAGTGGAGCTGGGGGTTATTCGTTGTCGCAATCACCAGTTGCAGCTTCAACATCGACTCCAACGCGCGGACCGGCGCGATCGTTTTCGCGTTCGGATGATTCGGCCCGCCCCTTCGCTGCACCTCCGCATGGTACTCCCGCTGCATCTGTTCGTGAAGCTTCACGATGTTCCCGCACGTCGCGACAAACTCCTTGTATGGATTGTAAAAGTGTCTGGGTCTGGAAACTTGTGATGCTGGGTGGCGTATCATGAAGAGGCCACAAATTATGCTGGCTCAGCATGACAAGCTTTTGAGCTTCTAGGTGTTGCCTATTCTGCATGGCAAACTGCGTTTCTGCATGACAGCAAAATGGGGCTCTTGGGAAACGTGCATGACAGATTTAAGAGTCATGCCAGACTAGCATGACAAATCTCGCAATCTCGTCCCAGACCCAGACATTTTTGCATTTGATACCTTCACGCGCTTCACGATCTCGTCCCCGGTTAGATTTGCCTGCGGGTTTATCCTGAGTAAAAACGTACCCACACCATAGTTGTCATGCTAAACAAAATGCGACACACTTTGCCCCCCCATTGTGCCATGGCCGCAGATGGCTTGAGACGCAGGGCGGGTGGGTCAGGCGGACGCCAAAGTGCCATCACCATCATCTCCCGGCCACTATATTCCAACTCTGTTATCGCCACCAACCATATCCATACTGTGCCAACAGCCATACTGTGCCAACTTGTGCCCACTTGCCAACAGAACAACGCCTCACTTTTTTGCCAACAATTCCTTACTCTGATTCTCGCAAACTTCCAACTCGCAACCACTATATCGGGAATGTACAGCCAGGCACACAACTACAAGAGAAAGCTGCAGCCTGCGGCAAAGCCCGTAGCTACTGTCTGGATGAATGCATTCACTGGAGACACTAAGCGACAAGCGCAGGCCTGAAGTGATGTTTAGACATCCAAGTTAAAGGTAAGAGATGCAGCGAGAATTAATGCTTATCCACCTGACCGCAAACTTTGGCGGTCAAGAAGCATGCTTTACACTTGCCCAGAAGCTCGGAGCACAGATACACGATTGGCAAGGCGGCTCAAGTAGAACACGCTTCTTCACGCGGACCGCAGCCCACGCGGGAGCAACATAGAAGCGTAAAACGCCGGCGCCAGGTCCATTGTCGATTCCACGGCGGGAAAATTCCCGCGATGTGGCCAAGACCATCCCCCCCAGCGGTGCCAAGCCTTGAGCTCGCATCTATTGTGCGCCCCTTACCTCGCATCTATTGTGCATGGGGAACAAGACTCGATTGAGCTTGCTGCTACTGGCTTGGGCGAGCTGGGGGGCCTCCGCGCGAAACGTGGTGTCCATTTGCCAAAGCCGACCCGAGCCGCGTCCGCGCCGAACGCACTTGGGGCCGCACTTGGGTTGTAGGCGTGCTTCGCCGGCGCCGTTCGTCCCTCCGAGTTGCGTGGCCCGATCCCGAGGAGGTTGTGCCGGCGCTGTGGGGAGGAGCACCAAAAGAACCAGCGAACATTTTTTTTTTTTTTTTTAGTTTTTTTTCAAAGCGCACACAGACGCGCGGGGCGTTGAGGCTATGCCTGCGCTCTCCTTGAGCCAAAAGCACCATAGTTGTCATGCAGATTTGCCATGACAGGAACATTTGTGATGCGCAACCCCATGACAGGCATTCTCAATCGTGTTTGGGAACTTGTAATGCTGTAAACAGGATCAGCAGATCGATTTGTGATGCGGCTTTCCTTGCTAACTTGCACTACCTTACAGACTGAAACTTGTCATGCGTGACTCCCAAAACTCCTAGGTTTGTGTTGCAAAATCCCCATCTTGACTCTGGTGTGGGTACGTTTTTAATCGGGATAGGGTTGTCTTTCAACACCTTCGCCAGCTCCTTCGCACCCTGCACCGCCAATGGGTGGTGTTCCTGCTGCCGCGGCGGCTGCCCGCCCGGGGCTCCAGGAACAACTCCAGCTGCTCCTAGCCTGTTTTGTTGCTGCTGCAAGAGTTGCTGTTGCTGTAGTTGCTCTTGCTTCTGTTTCAACTGTTGCTCCATGATCTCCTTAATTTCATCCGCCTTTTTCCCAACGGGCCCGAACTTTTCGAGAAAATCCCTGATTGTCAACTCCGTGATGTTCCCGGTTTTCGGATCTCTGAATGACACATGCGTCTTCTTCGTCGTCGTATCGTCACCGGATTTGAAAACGATCTGCATCTGGTATGAAAGCCTCAGAATGGAAATCCTCAAAGTGGAAATAATTTGTGACGCGTGAAATGCGACGCAAAAAACCCTGTATTGCAGTGGACGCAACGGAGGCCGACTGTTGTGCTTCTACTGGTTCAGAATTGGGCTGCTGACTAGCACGACAGAAGGGCACCCCTTTGCCTAACTAGCATGACAGACACGTTTTGAGTGTCCGGGAGATTTCTCATGCGCCGACTAGCAATGGTGCTTCAAGTTCAACTGGAGTCGTTTTCTTGCATTACAAATTATTTCCACTTTGAGGATTTCCAACCTGAGGCTTTCATATCTGGCCGAAGTTGTGCATCGCCATGTGGCCCGGGGAAAAGGGGACCATGAGCTCCCTCGGGAATTTATCCAGCCAATGCTGGAACTCCCTGAGTAAGTTCGGAAATTCCTGCTTGAAACTCGGCGCGGGGGTATTCGTCGACGTGTTGTCAATCACTAAGCCGGTGATGGTTTTGACTGCGGGGATGAAATTGTGGTCGTCATCCTCCCCTAAGACGTAGATCCGAAGAACTTTTTTCGTGGTCTGTTCCGAGGGATTATTGTTGTTGTTCTGCTGGTTTTGCAGTTGCATCGGATTCTTGTTCTGGGTGTTATTCGGACCTCCTCCGTTCTTCGGCACGTCTATAATCGTGTGGAGAAACAACATGGACTCCCGGAAGTGCTTTTTCAGGAATTCGAAAATGCACTCGGAACTGACCAAGTGAATGAACTCCTTGTGGCCGTCGGAGAGAAGGTAAATCAACTTGCAGTAGAGGGGAAAATTGTCGTGCAAATCTTCCCAAATTTCCGTGCCAATCAAACACCTGAGCTTCTCCGTCATAAGAATCGGGCTGGTTTTGTGGTGGGGAAGCAAGTGGTGCGCGACCACGTATTCGCAAGGAGTGGTGGCGCCTGATAGAGTGAGAATAGATTTGGTGATGAAATTCAGAGCTGCAAATTGAACAAATGGAGCAGACGTGCAACACCACACATGTCCCCCGACATGTAGTGCTAGTGATGTAAGTAGTTGGGTGATGCAAGATGAAAAACGCTTCAACACAAACAGGAAATCGCCAAGATCACATCAACATGTATTAGTATACCATCCATCGCGTTTTTCATGATCTCGTTTGGGCTCCCGGATTTCAAACCGCAAATTCCCCCGGACCCTAAGGAGCACACAGTCCCGTACTTACTCATGATACTGTCCGCCTTCTTCAAAAACTTCCCTTCCGCCTCCTTCTTCATGAAGCCGAGCCACTTCTCCATTCTCTCAAACGTGTCGCACTGGAAATACGCTTTCTTGATCGTGTTGATATTTTCCACCAACGCCTGCATTTTTTCCTTTCCAGAATAGGGTAGTAGATCCCGTGCAAACCAGTGCCCCGACTCTTTACTCCTGATCAAAACCTGGATCACCATCGCCATCTGCTTCAGCAGCATCACCTTCCGGTCGGCGCAGGCCCGCTCGTCGGTGACGAAAGAGTTCGTTTTGGGGTTCAACCGGCTCCACATCTTTTGCCACCGGTCCTTCGCTAGATCCTCGAGGACGGTGTCGCAGTCGTTCCGGAGCTTCGCAATCCTCTGTTGCCCCTCCGCGTCGGGTTTTGGTTTGCCCTGCTCCAGGTTCATGTAGAAGCGGTAGCGGTCGAGCCTGAAGATAAGATACGATTTTTTTAAGGTGGAACAAGAATTTTTGGCAAAGCAAATTTGTATTGCCGGCACGTCAAAATGTATGCGTTTGTCATGCATCAAACACGATGAAGTAATAACTTCCAAACACAAAACTATACCACTCGTTCAACGTTTTCGCTTTTTTTTCCATTTCCACCAGCATGTAATTCGCGAACATAGGCAATTTTGCGAATAGCGCCTCGGATTTTTCCGGTAAATCCACACATATCAAGTGCAAAAATGTCTGGGTCTGGAAGAATGCATGTTTGTCATGCGTGTCAGGCATGACTCTTGAATTAATATTTATATTGCTTGACTTCCGGGTTCTGTTATCACATACCCCAGACGAGAGGTGACGGCGACAGGTGAAGGCGAGAGGTGAGACGACAGGCGAAAGGAGAGGCGAAGCGACAGGCGAAAGGAGAGGCGAAACGACAGGCGAAACGACAGGCGGCGACGACAGGCCAAAAGTGGCCATTTCTCATGCGGTTTCGCACCAGCAGAATCAACACTAGAAGCAAAAAAATAAATAAAAGAATTATTGACTTTCGACAGAAAAAAGCAACTCTTTTATCTTAATTCATGTCCATGTGCAAAAAATAGTTAATTTATTCACATTCGAGAAATAGTAACTATTTCACGCACGTGAATAAATTAACCCGAGACGGAGTGAAGAAACTCGAACGCATGCGTTTGCCACCTACTTTCTATTTTTCAAAAATAAATAAGATTTGCTTTTAGTAAGTAAGTCACTATTTATTTTTGAGAAGTAAAAAAATGCGCTTGTCATGGACAAATAGAGTTTGTTCGTCGCGACAGGTGACGGCGACAGGTGAGGACGAGAGGCGACGGCGACAGGCGAACCGACAGGCGAAAGGAGAGGCGAAGCGACAGGCGAAAGGAGAGGCGAAACGACAGGCGGCGGCGATAGGCCACAGGTGGCAACTTCTCACGCGGTTCCGCAGCAGCAGCAGCAACAAAAAAAAAGCAAAGGGCCAATTATTTGCAAGAAGAAAAAAGCAACTCTGTTACTTAAAGAGCCCCTTTTTTCTTCGCGGAAGTAAGTAGCTCTGTGCTTTTTTTTTGTTGCTGCTGCTGGTGCGGAACCGCGTGAAAAGTTGCCACTTTTGGCCTGTCGCCGCCGCCTGTCGTCGTCGCCTGTCGTCGTCGCCTGTCGTTTCGCCTGTCGTTTCGCCTGTCGTTTCGCCTGTCGGTTCGCCTGTCGCTTCGCCTCTCCTTTTGCCTGTCGCTTCGCCTCTCCTTTCGCCTGTCGCCTGCACCTGTCGCCTGGGGTGTGTGGTTACAGTTACAGGGCCCGGATTTCGAGTCTGATTGCTTTTTCGTAAGGTCGGAAAAGTAGTGTCTGCTTTCGAAAAGTAGTGGCTATTTTTGAAAAATGCGCGCGCGCTAAAAAGCAGCCAGCTTCAGTTTTGCCACGCTAGCACCGGCCCAAAAGAAGGACGAGAAGGGCGGCGCGCGTGCACCTGCCTCGCCTTGAAAATGGGCGCACGCACGCAAAAGCGCGGCCGGCGCTCTTCTCGTACGGCGTCCATTTATTTCGGGCCCATTAATTTTAGCACTTGCACTGCCTGGCCCCCGGGCTCTGGTCTCGCCTAGCCCCGACGGGAGGTGGCTGACGGCGACAGGGGGTGGCGCCAGTTCGCCGCGACAGGACAGGTGGCTGGGCACGACAGGCGCCGGCAGCAAGTGCCGGGCTGTTCTGGAATATTCGCGAGCATTCGGGCCGTTCTGGAATATCTGCGCGCGAACATTCGGGGGGGCTGTTTTCTTGAGTATTCGCGAAAACTTCCCGAGAGTCTTCGCCCTGCCCCGGAATATTCGCGAATATTCGACGAGGGGGCCGCGTTCTGGAATATTCGGCAACGTTTCGCAAGGGTATGGGGCTCGCCCTGATGCATGCGTGGGCGGCTCTAGGATGTTCGCGAACATTCGGGGTGGGGGTTCTGCTCTGGAATATTCGCGAGCACGTGCTTCCCAAGGGTATGCAGCCCGCCCATCGCGCGAAGACCCGGGGCCACATCTTGGCCGCCAGTCGTCCGAATGCGGGGAATCTTGGGGCCGCATTTTGGCCGCAGGTAATTTGAACGCGGGAGCCCTTTGCAAAACTTGAAAGCTAACTTTTTTGAAGTTTGGCCATCCTTCCCGAAAACCCAAGGCCGCCCGCAAAGCCGTCCAGCTTGCCGGCCGTGCCCTGCTCTCTCTGTTCCTTGCTCGTCCGGCTATCGCGCGAAGCCCCGCGGCCGCATTTTGGCCGTAGGTAATGCGAAAACGGGAAACCCTGAAGAAAGCGCGCGAACCTTTTCAAGTGCGGCCAGCTTTTCCGAAAACCCAAGGCCGCAAAGCCGCCGAGCTGGCCAGCCTTGCCCCGCTTTGCCCCTTGCTTCTCCGGCTATCGCGCGAAGCCCCGCGGCCACATTTTGGCCGCCCGCAGGTAGAACGAAGGCGGGGAATCTTGGAAAAGCCGGGAAATTTTTTCAAGTTTGGCCAGCTTCTCCGAAAACTCAAAGCCGCAAAGTCGTCCAGCTCGCTGGCCGGCCTTGCCCCGCTCTGCCCCGTGCTTCCCCGGCTATTGTGCGGCGCACCGAGGCCGTAGGCAATACGAACGCGGGAAAGCTTGAAAAAACTTGGCGGGGTTTAAGTTTGGAAAACTTTTCCGAAAACTCAAGGCCGCAAAGCCGTCCCGCTGGCCTGCCTTGCCCCGCTCTGTTCCTTGCTTCTCCGGGTATCGTGCGAAGCCCCGCGGCCACATGTTGGCCGTAGGAAGGTAATCCGACCGCGGGAAATCTTGAAGCGGCCAGCTTTCCCGAAAACCCAAGGCCCCAAAGCCGTCGAACTGGCGAGCATTGCTGCGCTCCGTCCCTTGCTTCTCCGGCTATCGCGCGAAGCCCCGAGGCCGCACGTTGGTCGTGCGTAATGCGAAAACGGGGACTCCTGAAGAAACTTGAAAAATGTTTCCGAGCTTTGTCAACTTTCCCGAAAACCCAACACCGCAAAGCCGTCCAGTTGGCCAGCCTTGCCCCGCTCTGTCCCTTGCATCTCCGGCGATCGGGCGACGCCCCGCCCGTGGCCACGTTTTGGCCGCAGGTAATGCGAAAGCGGGAAAGCTTGGAAAAGCTTACAGCTTTTTTCAAGTTTGGCCAGCTTTTCCGAAAGCCCGAAGCCAGCCGCGGAGCGAGCCGCTTAGGAGCTGGCCAGCCTTGCCGGCCCCGCTCTGTTCCTTGCTTCTCCGGCTATCGCGCGAAGCCCCGCGGCCGCATTTTGGCCCTACGTAGGTAATGCGACCGCGGGAGGCCTCGAAAAAGCTTGGGAGTCCTTTTCAGGTTTGCCAAGCTTCTCCGAAAACTAACCCAAGGCCGCAAGGGCCGCAAGCTGGCCAGCCCTGCACCGCTCTGCTCCTTGCTTCCCCGGCCATCTCGCGAAGCCCCGGGGCCACTCACACTCTGGCCGTGCCCGTAGGTAATGCGAGGGCCGGCGGGAAATCAATCCGGAAAAAACGCGAGAAATTTTGCCAAGTTTGGCCGCAAAGCCGTCCGGCTTGCTGGCCAGCCTCACTCCGCGCTGCTCCTTGCTTCGTTCGCCGGTTATCAATCGCGCAAAACCCCGCGGCCACATGTTGGCCGTAGGTAGATAATGGGAATCTGTCCTGGGAGTCTTGAAAAAACTTGGGGCGCCCATCTCTTTCAGGTTTGGCCAGCCTTTCCGAAGACCCAAGGCCGCAAAGCCGTCCAGCTGGCCAGCCTTGCGCTTCTCTGTTCATTGCTTCGCCGGCTATCGCGCCCGCGAGGCCCCGACTTGGCCGCACGCAATCCAATGCGAAGGCAGGCGCGGAATCTTGCAAAAGTTGGAAAACTCTTTCAAGCCTGGCGAGCTTTTCCGAAAACCCAAGGCCACAAAGCTGCCCAGCTGGCCAACCTTGCCCCGCTCTGTTCTTTGCGTCTCCGGCTATCGCGCAAAGCCCCGCGGCCACGTTTTGGCCGCTGGCAATGCGAAGGCGGGAAGCCTTGAAGCGATTTCAGGAATTTTTTCAAGTTTGGCCCGCTTTTGTTTCCGAACACTCAAGGCCGCAAAGCCTTCCAGCTGGCCAGCCTTGCCCCGCTCGTATCTTTCCCCTGCTTCTCCGGCTATCGCGCGAAGCCCCGAGGCCTCACCTTGGCCGTAGGTAATGCGAGGGCCGGCGGAAAATCTTGAAGAACCTTGAGAAATTCCCTCAAGTTTGGCCAGCTTTATTCTCCGAAAACCCAAGGCCGCAAAGCCGTCCAGCTTGTTGGCCAACCTTGCCCCACTCTCCCTGCCCCTTGCTTCTCCGGCTATCGCGCGAAGCCCTTGCCGGATTTTGCCCCTAAAGCTTTGGCTTTGGGCGAAAAAGGTGCAGCGCTTTTTCCAAATTTGCCAACTTCGCTCCCCGGGCCGGATCGGCCGAAAGCAGAGAACGAACCAAGCTGCCCGTCAGACGTAAGCGAATCCCATTCCCGTGGGGCGAGAAGAAGGGCGGTGGCCCCACAAGACCAGCAAGACAGCCCCGGGGATCCTGTGTCCGACCAAGAGCGACGATTTGCATGCCAACCCAATGCGACAAGACTCATGGAAACATGAAAAAGCCCGACATGGCGGAACATACGCGACAGCTTCAGACTGACCACGGCGACGCATTTCCCCCCGCCAAGAGCCAACAAAAACCCCGCCCGGGAAATTTAAAAGAAAAAACTTCAAAACGGCAATTAAAAAAAAAAACTCAACGGCCCACAAAAAAGCCTTCGATTGGGGCCCGGGGGGCATAGAATGAGGGCCGAAGAAATTTCGAAAATTCGGCCACATAGGGAAAATCCCATTGGTTTTCCCTATTTGCCCGATTTCCGAAATTTTTTTCCAATTTTTTCTGTTGCCCACTTGATGCAGGCCAGCGAGGTCTGCAATTTTTTTCGGGCATTTCTTCCCGGCGAAACTTCACAAAAACTGTGAAAGCGAAGAAACCCGGACAAACCGGCGGCCCGATTTCCTGAACAACCACAATCCCGGAAGCCGGGCCACACTGAGACGCGACGCCGGAGAAGAAGGAGGCGGAACGACCAAGAAGAGCCCCAGGAAACCCCACCGAAACACAGAAGCCTGCGCCCCGGCAGAGATTCGGGACGTGAAGCTAGCAGACAGACCCGACGGCCGCCCGAATCCAAAAAAAAGCAGTGCTTTTTTGTTGTTTTTTCCGAGTTCTTTGATTCTGGGCAACTCGGATTTTTTGAAATTTTTCCACTAGGGGCCAAACCCTGCAAAGCTTTTTCTGTAGGGGCTTCAAGTTCCGGGGCCACGTTCTGGCCGTAGGCAATGCGAGCGAGCGCGGGACATCTTGAAAAAGCTTGGAAAATTTTTGCAAGTTTGTCCGCCTTTTCCGAAAACCCAAGGCCACAAAGCCGCCCAGCTGGCCAGCCTTGCCCCGCCTTTTTCCTTGCTTCTGCGGCTACCGCGCGAGGCCCCGAGCTGGCCGCAGGTAGTGCGAAAATAAGCGGGGGGGCTCGCTAAAGCATGGGAAACGTTCGCAAGCTTGGCCAGTTTTTCCGAGACACCAATGCTGCAAAGCCGTCCAGCCGGCCAACTTTGCCGCGCTCTGTTCCTTCCTTCTCCGGCTATGTATCACGCGAAGCCCCGCGGCCACATGCTGGCCGTAGGTAAAGCGAAGACAGGAGGTCGCGGAATGGCTTGGGGGCTTTAACTTTTCTGAAGTTTGGCCTGCCTTTCCGGAAACTCAAAGCCGTCCAGCTGGCCAGCCTTGGCCCGCGCAGTTCCTTGCTTCCCCGGCTATCGCGCGAAACCCCCAGGCCACATTTTGGCCGTAGGTAATGCGAGCGCGGGGGATCTTGGACAAACTTGAGCAAAGAAATTTTTTCAAGCTTGGCCAGCTTTTCCGGAAACTCAAGGCCGCAGAGCCGCCCAGCCGGCTGGCCAGCCTAGCCGCGCTCTGTTCCTTGCTTCTCCGGCTATCGGTCGCGCGAAGCCCCGCGGCCACATTTTGGCCGGAGGTAATGCGAAAGCGGGAAAGCTTGAAAAACCTTGGAAAGCTTTGCCAAGTTTGGCCAGCTTTTCCGAAAACCCAGGGCCGCAAAGCCGTCAAGCTGGCCAGCCTTGCCCCGCCCTTTTCCTTGCTTCTCCGGCTATCGCGCAAAGCCCCGAGGCCACAGCTTGGCCGTACGTTCGCAATGGGGCCGCGCGAAGTCTATGCATCCTGAAAAGCAAAAGGCTTGAGCTCAAGTTTGGCCAGCTTTTCCGAAATTCAGCCCAAGGCCAAAAAGCCACCAAGCTGCCCCCCCAGCAAGCCTTGCCCCGCCCTATTCCTTGCTTCCCCGGCTATCGCCCGAAGCCCCGCGGCCACGTTTTTGGCCGTAGGCAATGCGAAAGCGGGGAATCTTGGAAAAATTTGCAAAAAGCCTTAAAGTTTGGCCAGCTTTTCCGAAAAATGAAGGCCGCAATCAAAGCCGCCAAGCTGGCCAGCCTTTCCCCGCTCTGGCTGCTCCTTGCTTCTCCGGCTATCGCGCGAAGGCCCGGGGCCACACTGTGGCCGGGGGTGGTGCGAATGCTGGAAACCTTGGCAGCGCTTGCAAAATTTGTCAAGTTTGGCCAGCTTTTCCGAAAACCCACACCACAAAGCCGCCATGCCTTACCCCGCTCTGTTCCTTGCTTCTCCGGCTATCGCGCGAAGCCCCGCGGCCACATCTTGGCCGTACGTAGTGCGACCGTGGGAAATGATCCCGAAAAGCAAAAAACGCGCGAAGTTTTAGGAACTTTGGCAGGCCAGCTCTTCCGAAAAGCCCAGGCCGCAAAGCCGTCAAGCTGGCCACCCTTGCCAACTTGCCCCACTCCCCCTGTTCCTTGCTTCTCCGGCTATCGCGGGCGCGAAGCCCCGCCCGCGGCCACGTTTTTGCTGTAGAAGGAAGGTAATGCGAAAGCGGGGAATCTTGCAAAAGGCCTGAAGCTGTTCGGCTTTTGGCAAGCTTTTGCGAAAACCCAAAGCCGCAAAGCCGTCCAGCTGGCCAGCCTTGCCCCGCTCTGTCCCTTGCTTCTCCGCCTATCGCGTGAAGTCCCGCGGCCAGCCCTGGCGCGGCTGGAGGAAGGTAATACAAGGGCGGGAATCTTGAAAAACTTTGGAACGGCTTTGCAAGTTGGGCCACCGAGCCAGCTTCTCCGAAAACCCAAGGCCGCAAAGCCGCCTAGCTGGCCAGCCTTGCCCCGCTCTGTTCCTTGCTTCTCCGGCTATCGCGCGAAGCTCCGGGGCCGCACTTTGGCCGTAGGGCGGTGCTGTGAACTCGGGGAGCCTTGGAAAAGCTTGGAAGTTTTTTCGAGTTTGGCCAGCTTTTCCGAAAAGCTAGGGCCGCAAAGCCGCCCAGCTGGCCAGCCTTGCCCCGCTCTGTTCCTTGCTTCTCCGGCTATCGCGCGAAGCCCCGCGGCCACATTTTGGCAACAGGCACCGCGAAAGCGGGGGAGCTTGGACAAACTTGAGAAATCTTTTCAAGTTTGGCCGGCTTTTCCGAAAACGAACCCAAGGCCAAAAAGCCACCAAGCTGGCCAGCCCCACCCTTGCCCCGCTCTTTTCCTACCTTGCTCCCCCGGCCATCGCACGGAACGAACCCGAAGCCACACGCTGGCCGAAATCAATGCGAGAGCGGGGAAGCGTGAAAAAGCTGGCGGGAGTTTTTCAAGTTTGGGCGGCTCTTCCGAAAACTCAAGGCCGCAAAGCCGTCCAGCTGGCCAGCCCTGCCCCGCTCTGTTTCTTGCTTCTCCGGCTATCGCCCTCCCGGCTTCGTGCCTCGGCCCTTGCTTTCATGCGAGGGAGCGACGCCCCGCGTCCAGATTTGTTGCGCGAACTTCGCAGAGCTCGTTCCGCGCCTCTGGGGCGGTGGCAGTTCTGCACAAGGCGCACCACAGTCCACCTCCGTCGCCTGTCTGTCGCCGTCGCCTGAAGCCGAAACCCCAAGCCGAAACCCCAAGCCAAAGGCCCGGGCCGAACGAAGCCCCAGGCCGAAACCGAAGCCAAGGGCCCGCGTGGGGACCCTGTCCCCACGCTCGGACCTTGTTTGTCATGCACGTTACCCAAGAGCTCCACTTCTCTGTCATGCAGAGACGCAGTTTGTCTTTGTCATGCAGAATAGGCATCACCTAGAGCAGGCTCAGAAACTTGTCATGCTGAGCCAGCACTTGTGGCTTCATCACGATACGCCACCCAGCATCACAAGTTTCCAGACCCAGACAATTTTGCATTTGATAACACACCGGTCGAAGCAGAAGTTGTAAAACTGTCGCTTTGCGAAGTCAGAACATCTTATCCAGGAAAAAACACCCATCCACATCCAATTTGTCATGCAAAACATACATAAAGTTCTGTGCTTGTCATGTTGGGAAACTAAGGGCAGGGCGTCCCTTTGTAAATTACGTCGACAAACTCTTAACCTGAGGTCCTGAGGTGGGTGACGCGCCCGAGAGCACAGACACCGGCGGAATGGTGACGACCAGAAGGGTCAGGAGACTCACCTTTTTCGCGAGAAAGAAGACTGCTGAACCCGCACGCAAAGCTTCGGCGGGCCGATGCAAAAAGCGCCGGTCTTGTAATGTAAAGCAATCAAAAATCTAACGTCCTTATGCTCGCTGTTGTTATGCTCCTGCCGGTGATCGCAGCACCTGGAGCCCGCACGAACTAAAAGAGTAGCGCGCAGCTAGGGACTAGGTAGACTCGAACGCCTCTGACCACCACAAGCGGCAGCCGTTTATGTAATTATTCCCCGAGCGGGCAGGCACCAGTAAGCGATTTAGTGAAGAAGCGCGACGATGTTGCTACTTACCCGGATTAGCAGACCGAGCCAGGGACTAAGTTAGGAATTGCGCGCTATAGTTCTTCACCGGAGATCGCAAAGAGGGCCTGGTTACTTTTTTTAAAACCAATAAAAGGTCAGAGATACATGTAGCGATACGGATAAGCCCGAGCGGCAATATCAGGAACGCCCACATACCAAAATAAACGCCCTTTCCTATAACGTACTCGAACCACAATAAATCTACAAGCAAGCAGCCGCAGCTGCAACCCCAACCCCTCCACAGCTCCGCTGGCAAGACGGAAAAAAAACAGCTGCCCCTGCGAGGAAGCGGGATCCGCGATCTAGCGCTACAAGGATGAGGCAAGAAACAAGACAAAACTACACGACACGGAGGAAGTAAAAGGGTAGAGACCTACATCTACGTGGGCACGAGGGGAAGGCCGGGAAGATCCAATTTTTCAGAATGAGGAGCGCACGAATTTGCGATCTAGCTCCATTTACGAGACAGCAGGAATTTACGAAGGAAGTGCAGCAGTAACGAAGGGCAGAGACTGATACAAATCGCCACACATACATTTTTACGAATAAAGGCGAAGCCATGCTAAAGGTGGCACCGCGATGTCATACAAAACATACATAGCAGCAGCAAGCAAATCGGATTCACATTGCTGTGCGACCCGGTAAACCCGGTAAACTTCTTACCCGGTAAACTCTAGAAGAAATTATTGGACAACGCGACTTCTATCGAAAGACAAGCTTAACCGCGTACCCAGTAAACTCCAAAACAGAAATATTTGAACGGCGTGATTTCTACCGAGAGACAACAATCGAAACTCCTGGGACGGCTGCGACGTGAGTTGGTTGTTATCTAGGTAGAAATAACTCTGTGCAAACTCCCTGTCTCAGCACCGAGGGAACCAAAATAAAAAGTAAAAGGGTTTGAAGTAGGAACTATGACACAGCTCTACCCCCAGTAAAAACACCATCCAAAAAAGTGGAAGCACGAGGTTGTAGCAGGCGGGAAACTAAGGTCCTGGAAAAGGAGTTGCGATCGTGGCACCAACGTCCAAGGACCAACATGCAAGAGGCCAGAAACAGCGTAGATGGTAGGATTTGCATGACAAACAGGGACACCAGGTACAAATTGCCACGAGAGGAAAAAACCAGAGAGTATGACCAAAACGAAAAACTGCATGACAAATGTGGCCAAGCTGCTACAGCTTCGTGATCCAGGATGGGAAAGAATGGAATAGCCCAGTATAAAAAGATTGTCCCAAAAATGATAAGTGAAAAGATAAACTAAAACTCTTTAGCGCGCATAGGTAACTCTAAAACTAGACCGGTCAAAACCACTTCTGCCTGTACCGTCTCTATTCTAATTTCCCTTGCTACCCTAAGAAGTAGCATGTAAATGCAAATCATACAAGCGAGAGCTGAACATGGAGTGCAAATACAGGCGCACAAGCCTAGTTTTCATTCCCAAAGGGTCAACGACCCGACATACAAAATGCCAGAAACGTCGGTAAATACAAACAAGATCGGACGAAGCCGATACCACCGAAGTAATGGCAGCAGGTGGGGAAGAGGAAAACCAGGCACCATGTGTCAACTAGGGAAACCGAAGTAGAGTGCTCGCTATTTTCCGCGTCTTAGATGGCTGTTCATGGGTACAGGCGCCGGCTCCACCATGAACAACCACGCGAAAAATACGCGGTTATTGTATGTATAAGCTTTTAGTCTTATAAGCATTAGAAACTCTATTCAGTATATCGCACAGCTACTGGTCACAAGCACATAAGAGCTCACTCAGAGGTCCGGACACTCACAACCGAAACAAACGACGTCGGAGAAGGCTACAGAAGTAGCGTGAACATCAAGTAAATCTATTAGCTCTCGTATGTGAGGGCGCGCCAGTAGTCTGATGTGGTGGCAGCAGAAAAACATACAAAACCAGGAGCGGCGGAAAGAAGCTTAGACAATAGCCGTTGATAGTCCCTGGAGACTCAACACCAGCCCAAATAAAGGCCAAGAGAAACTGCATGACAAAAGAATGGAAATACAACGAAAAGGAACTAACTAGCCGCCAATCAATAAAGTTCTGTGCTTGTCATGCAAAAAATGGATGTGGATGGGTTTTTTTCTGTGGATACATCTCCGAATTGCGTGCTGCACCTTCTCCTGCCCGAGTTTCTTGGAAACTTCCTGCTCGAACTCGACGGAATCGACAAAAAGAATGTTGTCAATCAGTGTTTCTGTCGCTTGCACCACCTGGTCGGCTGCTTTCCTCTCGTCAGCCGTCGGGTTAAAAACGTGGCCCTCCGGGAAAATATTGATCGTTTTTGGCATCCCGTCGACCACAACCGCGGGAACTGGGACGCCGAGGGACTCTTCCTCAGGAGGGAGTAATTTCGTGTTCAGACTGTCGTGCTGTAGTTGTTGGAATATGCCGTTGTTCCCGGCATTCGCGTTCTGGTTATTGTTCTGTCTTTGCTGTTGCCTGATTCTCGCCGTTTCTTCCTCCCCGCCTGACATTTCCGTGTCGTCTGACAAAGCTGGACTATTCGGACTGGCAATCCCCAAATCCGTTGACATCTGCAGTGCGTCCAGTTGCCCTAACGCCGCCTGCAATCCTACCCTGCCGTATTGCCGGTGCATGCCGAAATCCTGGAATAAGTTCAACCCGTATAACACGAAAAAATCCCGCTTCTGGTGTTCTGTCAAGAAGATCCGGAAAAAGGATTTATCCAGTAGCAACTCCGCGGTTTTATTGCTCTCTGATGTAGCATTCCACTGCCTCATCATTTCCGGAGTATACTGCCCATTCTGCAGGTGAAAGGGAATCCCGCCCGGCCGGTCCTCCCGGAATAGGTCGAGAAATCTTTCGATGATCTCCTGATCCGCGACCTCACACAAAACCTCTCTGTACCCAGAGGAGCACAATTCTCGTATTATTTGGTCCCGCTCTTTCATGTCCTCGGGTTTTATCCAGTTGGAAAGCTTCTGGTTGTACAGGATCGCATCTTATCAAATGTAAAAATGTCTGGGTCTGGAAGATTCTGAGATTTGTCATGCATATTTCGGATCACGCAAGTGGCGTCTGATGCAGGCAAAAGCATCACAGGTTTTGAGCACGCCTCATGATGCCTGTCCCGCATGAGAAACTTCCTACTTGCGTGCCAAGAAATGGACAGCTTTTGCCGCTCATGCAACACAAGTTTTTGTGTGTTCCAGAGTCTGCGTCACAAGTTCCAACCTTCCAGACCCAGACATTTTTACATTTGATATATCCTCCTGCACTTCTGGTCTTCCTAACCCCTCGTCGATGTACTTTTTCGAGTAGATGTGGAACATGTCCCGGGCGGCGTCGACGAGGAAATTTAAGTAGCGTTTCATCGTCTCCATGCGTTTTGTCACGTTATCCCCCGCATTCAAAATCCTGATGGTCTTCTTGCTGTGCTTATTGTTCACGGTCGCATTTGATGGTCCGGAGGAAGACGTTGCGTTGCCGGCTTTGTTATTTGCAGTAGAGGAGGAAGCAGCTCCTGCATTATTTTCTGCTCCTCCGGAGGTGCCCCCGGACATTTTAATATTCCCGCCTGCAACTGAGGGCTGTTTGGAATTTGATCCACCTTGCTGTTGTTGATGCTGCTGTTGTGAAAAATCTCCACTTTGCATACTGCTCACCTTCATCAAATTGTCACTACTGAGCCCCCCGCCTCCCGGTACTAACCCGTCGGCGGAAACGGAATTCAAATTTCGCAGTCCCCCAGCCGGCGCTGCCATCGTTTGGATCGTCAACCCGGCGGTGTCGTCCACGTTGGGGCTTGACGCTGGCTTTGAGGGCGCAGCGGAAGCCGCGAGGTCGCCATTGCTGGTGGTTTTCAAAGGATGCGGCGCAGCTCCAGCTCCAGCTCCAGCTGCTCCTGGTGCTGCGACGTCTTCCACTGGACTGGAGGCGCCGATGGATGAAAGCAACGCTGCCAAGTCAATGTCGGCTGCGGGGGCGGCAGTGCCGGCTCCTTCCGCCTGGGCGAGTAACTCCAGTGCGAACGCGGTTTCATCGTCGGCTGAGGACTTGTTATTTGATGCGGATGAAGGAACATTGGGTGACGTTCTGTTCTGGTTGCTGTTCGCAGCTGCCCCGAAGGACAGCTGCCCAATAGAGCTGGGAAGCATTGGGCTTGTCTTTCTGCTCTACTTTCTTGCACTAGAATTCTTGACTAGTCAAAATTCTTATCACGAAGACGAGGAAGATAATAGCATTTTCATCTTCACTTGGTCGCTAGTTTTAGCTTTACTGTGCGGTCGAGGTTGTACATGTACTCGTTGTTTTAATTTTTATGTCGCTGGTGAACTGTTGTTCGAGAAAATGAAACAAGAAAAATGTTGAAGCCTGCAATATGTTTGGAAACGCAAAGCCAAAGCGAGTATCAGATGTGAACTACTGTCGTCCCTTCACTTTCTTCAGAAGCGGTCAGCAACCAAATCCTAGGTTGCAGGAACAGGAGAAAAAGGAAAAGCACGTAGACCGCCCGCCGCTAGAAATCTGCTAGAAGTACATTCTGGTGAAAGATAGGTCTCTACCTTGCTTCTTGTTCTTCCAGGCGCTTTTGCATTTGCAATTTGTGAGCAAAGTTTTTTCATCGCTTATTCTTGTAAGTAAATTAGCAGATCACGCACTAAAATGAGTGAAAAGATCTTGACGCAAAGAAGCTGCAAAACCATTTGAAATCTTTTCGAAGCTCGCTTTAAATTTGACCTTGCTTTCATCTCCGGGGGAACACGCTTGCAAAATTTTGAAGATCGATGTTGTGCGATCATTTGAGTAGGGCTTGTTGTTCGCCGCTCACTCTTCTTAGACATATTTTTTTGCGATTTTAACATCTTCTGGGGACGAAGATCGGTACTGAGGAAGGTGGCGTTTGTTCTTCTTGTGGATTTTTGTTTTCATGTTTCCATAGGTGAAGGGATCTCGTCGAAGTTCGGAGGAAACTTTGAGTTTCTAATCGTAATCGTGGCTCCTCCTGAAAGAAAAGTTGCGATTTTGTACTTGTCTGATCGTGTAATGCGCTAACTTTGCTTGCTAAGTACTCGTGCTAAGTGTGGCGGTCCTTGCTCCTGCAGCTGCAACGTGATGTAAATCAGATATAGTCCACCACACACTCTACACCGCCTTTCGCCACTTCCACCTCTGCAATATGATCGGTCAACCTAGCAGGTGGGATACCATCTCTGCCTCTGCTAGTACCGAATCAAATTTGGGGGGGACTGCTCTACTGAATTATGTTAGACATGAGGGGAATAAACTCGTCTTGCGTACTTGGGTTGAGAGTCGGGGTTCTGTCTTAAGGGTCGGCGATTTCTTAGAAGAAAAAGAATGTCTCTCACGAAGGGTATCCGAGAGGACCTTAAAAATGACTTTCTGAATTCGAAATGCGCAGTTGTTGTGAAAATTGAAACTGCAAAACTGTACTGTAAAGTAATCATGTTAAGAATAATCTGAAAAAAAAATATGCATTTGTAATCATGTTAAAACTTAAAGCGCTCTTGGTTCTCCAACCGAAGTTGGACTCCTAAATTCGTGTAATCGACAAACAAACAAAATTTTCATTTCACTGACTTAGACTTTGTAAGAAAAAAATTCCTCCGCTTCTAACAATAAACCAAAACCCGCATGATCCGCTAAAACTCAGCACTACAACTTTTGGATGAAACAAATTCTGACAACCTGATGCAATTCTAGCATCACACGTTCTCAATCGGTCGGTTTCCGCCTCGGCTTCCGCTCCGACTCCCCGTCGTTCGCCCGTGATGCCCAGCGTCTGGGTTGTTCTGCCCGAAACTTGTTCGTTTCTCCAAGTTTGCTTGCATATCAAAGAAAAAAAGTTCGTCGCGATCACTCATGCGCATTCTTGCAATACAAAATTGTTTGTCATGCGTAAAAATGCATCACAGCCAAACTTCATTAGGGATTTCCCTAGTGATGTTTCTGCAATACAAGGAAAGTTTGTGATGCTGAGAAAATTTGTAATGCAAAACCTGCAAGTTAGCGACAACTGTGACAACCTTTTTTCTCTCCATATTGCAATCGTTGCATGTACTTGTTGTCTTGAATCATGTTCCAGATGGAAATCGACGGCCAGAAGAGGAAGAGAAAGATCAAGCCGATGTACAATGGCACCATCCGCACCACTAGTTGCCCCTCTTCCAAATCCTGTGGCATGTTCCCGGTGGCCAGTCGGTAGTTGCAGTCCCAGGGAGCGTCGTCACAGAAGGTGGAATCTCCCGTGTCCGGATCGAAACTCGTGCGGAACGCGCAGCAGTCCGTCGTTCCGCACTTTTCGTACGCGGAAATTTCGGGCGCTCCGTCCGCATCGAATCTGACGTTGATGAAACCGGACTTCTCCACGCCGTCGACCTTGATTTCAAACGCGCAGTCCTTGCAGTCCTTTCCGCGTTTAAACCGGATGGTAGTGCATTGCCCGTCTTCCCGGTTCACCACGTTGATCAACATATCCATAGTAAATTTCCTGTACACGTACAAATCACCACTTTTTGTCATGCAAAATTGAAAAGAAACGCGGCTTCGAAAAAAAAAAAAATGCTGCCTTTTTGGGTGCTGCCGAGTGAATATATCTACCCGGAATGGTATCGCTAGTGAGATCCGGACTCACGGCGCTGCAGTAGCTTTCTCTAACCAGCTAGCGTCTTTAAAATTCTTCCCGGAAAGCCTTCGCCTGTCGCCCCCTCGACTCATAGCGACCGCGGCACAACATGCATCGCTATTAAATTTCGGGACAAGGGCGCCAAGGTGTGCCGACCCTGCGCCGCATTGCGCGTATTTCTGGGCGGGGACATGTGACAGAAGACACACCGAGGAGGATACAACAATGAGCCTGCCCGGCCGATTGATGAACTTAGGCAGTTGCGTTTTAGGTGAGAGACTAGTCAGTGGGCGGCTGTGTTTGATTTGGTTTCCGACTTTTTGAAAGCAGCCGCTAATGCATTTGGGCAAGCTGGCAACCCTAATTTCCAACTCGATGCGATGGCTAGTTTTGGCCTTTTGTAGCGTTCACGCACGGAAACAGTTTTTCACTTGGGCTGATCGGCTTCACAACCCGCGCGGCGAGATCTCCGGCGCGGAGATCGTCGCCAGCGAGAAAAAGCCGCGACATTTTCTTGCGAAAAAAATGCTCGCGAGTTCTGCAAAAACATTTTTTCAGGGCTCAACTTCTAGCTTTCAGACCGCCGAAATCACGCGACTTGTTTCTGTACAGTAGATTTTTCCCGCATGGTATGGTGAAGCGAAGCATGCTCCTGTACACCAGTTTTCTTTTAGAAAGTGGTGTACAGGAGCAGCATCCAATTGACCATACCATGCAGATTAAATCTACTGTACACAAATCACGTGCGTGATTCTGACGTCGTTTGAATACTGCCAACAGCTCGAAAAAAAAATATCTGCCAACCCTCTCCAACCAACCCTCTCCGACCAACCCTCTCCGACCATCCCTCTCCAACCAGCCCTCATTTGAAAACACAATGCCGCAGGCCCATCCCTCTTGCCGCATGTCGCAACCAGGTGACGCGGGGACATGGAAGCAGCAATCTGGACGAAGACAATCGGCCCAGTAGCGGTCCCGGCTTTGAAACATTTACGGGCCAGGCCGTATGAGAGCCAGCAGGCCACTCCGAAGTCGGAGGCCCCTGATGTGGTTCGGATGGATTTACTCAGACGCCCGCGATGGATTAGCGGTGCGTGGTTCCACTTTTAACGCCCGGAAAGACGAAGAAGGCAAAAGTATGGGCCTGAAGGTGGGAACTGCTGCGATGTGTAATCGCGCCGACAGCGTCGGGCTTGGCTGTTCGGCCGCGATCGCCTCCTCTTGGGAAAACAAACAACACCGCCCGGACATGCTGCCCGTGGTGGTGGGTACATGGATCCCGCGTGGAGCCTGGCAGAGTCTCTAGCTAGCTAAATTGGCTACACGTAGCACCAGCATAGGACCTTCGCTGCCATCTCGGATGTAGGTGCATGCTTTTGTGTGCGTATAGTCATGTATGGTTTCAAATTTTTTGGATTGTGATTTTTTTGCGCCATTTTTTAAAGGTAGAAAAGCAGGCGCTTTGTACGTGTACAGGAAATTTACTATGGATACAACATGGCAAGAAAGTAGAGCAACAAAGTCAGCCCTATTGCGAAGAAGACGAACGGGACAACCGTCCGGACGCAGTAAAATTTTTTCCTGCTCTTCTCCATGGTCTCCGCGGCTTCCCTCTTCGCGGCTTCCTCCTCCTCGTCCTCCTCCTGCGTTGGCTGCTGGCCCTCTTGAGAGGAGCTGGATAAGCCCAGCGCTTTCATGAAGGAGGACCCTCCTTTTTTCCCCTTCTTGCGGACCGCGGCGGCCTTCCACGGGACGGTAGGTCGTGGCTGTTTCACGACCTTGATGGCGCCCCGTCTCGCGAGCTCGGTAAGCGCCTCAGGGTTCCGGAGCAACTCATTTGTCGTCATTTGACGCTTAAGCCCGCGCTCAGGGGCGATCTTACGACCCGAGGGTGCCATTTTTATTTCTACTGCGGTGGGTTCAGGGTGATGTAGTTGAAAAGCCGTGAGCCGGTTCTTTTCTACTCAAACTTTTTCAGACAGCAGCTTACGTAATCAAGCTGTTGTACGGGGGAAAACTGTAGTTGATTGCGATTGACTTTAGAACAGATTTCTAGGCGCTGTAGGTTGATGCGAAAACATACTGTAAGTGTAGATCACAAGAAAATGTTGAAGACAAGAGGCCAAAATAATTGGGGAAAAATGGTCCTGAAGAGTGACGGTGAGAGAATTATACTTAAGATGGAGGCGGCGCTAGCAGGTCTGAAAATTTCAACTGCTAGTGATACGTCAGATCAATTATAGAAGAAGGACCAGTTATTCCGCGATACAACGACGCACGACTTGAATGATGTACGCCGTCCAGAGCAGCACAAAGAACCGACGAAAGGTTTTTTCTTCGTGGGTTATAGTTATACGATGTCAACGCACGAGTTGGAGTTTTCTTGCACGATACCGAATTTGCAACTTTTCTAAGAACGAATAGCTGCATCTATGGTGCACGGTACCGACATCAAAAACGTCCTCAATTACGGCGGTGCTACTGTCACTCCACTGACCGATTGATTTTCAATTTCGCAGCAAATAACGGCGACGTAACTCGATGTGCTGGAAGAGATGAAGAACACTATCTGAACTAGAAGTACAGGAGTACGACTAATAATGCATGGGTGCAGGTGCAGAAGTATCCGTACCTCCGCAACAAGATGCTAATCCTGCATTAGCATTGCTGTTAGGAAAAGTGAATTATATGTCGTTCCCCAAAAAGTTGTTAAAGTTATCGTGCGTGTGCTGGTACATGTGTCTGTGATTTAGGTCGCTGCTCTCGCTTCAGCATGACACGGGGCGATCATCCGGATGAAAAATATGTCTTTGTATTTTTGTGCAACTTTCTTGAACAATACTAGTACATCGCTCGGAATTACAAAACCATCAAAAAGTTGATGCTATTCTTTGCTGCAATCATGAAAGATAAATTTCGGACACAGGAGGCAAGGAGAACAGGATGCTGCCTCCTGCTACGGAAAATTTGAATTTTGTCACGACCGAGAAAATGGCGCAAATCTATCTCGTCGAGGACCACGGCGTGCTACAATGGGGGTAGCAGCTTCATCTTTCATTCTTACTTCTTCAAGCTGGCAAAAATCCCCTGCAGCTTCTGCGCCAGGCCCATGTTACCGGCAATCTTCATCTATCAAATGTAAAAATGTCTGGGTCTGGAAGAATGCATGTTTGTCATGCTTGTCTGGCATGACTCTTAAATCTGTCATGCAAGGTGCCCAAGAGCTCCATTTTTCTGTGATGCAGAAACGCACTTTGTCATGCAGAATAGGCAACACCTAGGAGCTCAGAAACTTGTGATGCTGAGCCAGCATCTCTGGCCTCATCATGAAACGCCACCCAGCATGACAAGTTTCCAGACCCAGACATTTTTACATTTGATATCATCTTTCCCTGCATGAAAGCCTGCATCCCGTTCAACTTGCCGGCGGCCATCGCGACGAGTATGCAGTTCAAATATGTCGCTGTCTGGAAACCTGTGATGCTGATTTGCTGCTGATTGCTATGCTTGCAATGGCAGCCAAGCATGACAAGTTTTTGAAACGCTCTCTGATGTCTAGCACGCATTACAAATTGCGTTTTTGCATGACAAAAGGCAGCGGCTCTTCTGCTGCTCACGCAACACAGATTTTCTAGGAATGCAAGACACGCATGACAAGTTCTACTTTCCCAGACCCAGACATATTTGCAGTTGATAACGAGGTCCGCATCGCCGATGGTAATCGTGCAGTCCGCTTTTCCCTCGCCCTTAGTAACGGAACCTGGGTTTCATTATGTTCTTGGGATCATGCATGACAAACTCGTAATGCTCTGCATGGCTGGCATGACAAAATCACTCAACAAAAACAAGTACCCTTCCCGTTCTTCAGGTCCACCAGCCAGGTATTTCCCTCCTTGATCTTGAAGCAGAAGACTGCCTTGGCGGACTTATCCTGTGTAAAAACGTCCCCACACCAGAGTCAAGATGGGGAATCTGCTAGACAAATCAGCCAGCTTTGCTTGTTTGGCATGACAAGTTTGTCCGCGTAGTGTAATCCTGTTTAGCTAGTTAAGAAGCATCACAGATCTAGCATAGAATGCTGATTCTAGCATCACAAGTTCCAAAACACGAACAGAAAACGCTTCGCATAGGGCTCCGCATGAGAAACTTTTTTCTTTGGCATGCGGAATTGCATGACAACTATGGGGTGGGGACGTTTTTAATCAGAATAGGACTTCACGAGCTTCTCGCCATCGGTTTCCACCGCCTTCTGGATCTGGGCGAAAATTGCGTCGGCCATCTTGTTGTCTTGCTTTCTCTCTCGGTGGTGCAAAGAATGTAGTAGCTTTGTCCCTCTAGTACTTCGACGGTGTGATATTTTCTGCTGGGGAATGGGAAATTGCTGACGTTCTTTCCTAGTCGAGCGAAAGGGGGTCTGAATCTGGAAGGTCTGTATGCTTATCTCATGGCCTTGAAGGAGCCGCTCGCGAAAAAAATTGAATCTGAATGTGCTTGTGCATCTCCAAGATGCATGATGATTGTACAACAAAAGAACCGAAGGAGGGCCAGCCCCGCGCCATCTGGCGACAAAGAAGGAAACTACGTCTCTCGTCCTCTTTGTTTCTCTTCTGAAAAAAGCAGGGCGCTGGGGAACAGGTCGGAGGAAAAAAAGAGGACACTGTGTGTAACAGGAAGGTGACACCTAAACAGTTGTCGCACTCGTCGCATACGACAGGTGAATGCACATAATTCACCAATGCAATATTAACTCCTTCCTTGTGCGCTTCGTTACATGAAAAACAGAAGCAGATGCGAGGATCATCACGACCTCCCAACAACAAGTTGACAGATCCTCTAAGTACATGCAAGAAAAACAGATGCAAAAGTAAATACAATCGGTACTTCGACGAGCTTTTCGACAACAAGCAAAGTATTCAGAACTTCTCGACGTGATGGTAAAGTTTAAACAAGAAAGTAATGTGTGTGTCAATCCTTTTTGTTTCGTAATTGAAATTTTCTTCTTGGTGGTCCAACTTACTAGTAGACATCAGCGTGGTGTGTGCTAGTAGTTTCTCCAAAAGCAAAACCAACGCAGTGTACAGTGGCGCTAAGGGCAGCTGAAAAATTTCACCTTGGCCGCCTCATCCGGGCTGGACAGCAGCTTTATCACTTCCCGCCCTCCAGCAGGTAGCTGGAATAAATCTGCGCCAAAGTTTTCGCTACCTGCAGGTCCGCTGCCCTCACCGTGATCTTGAAACTGGCCATCTCAAATTTCGACACGATGATGATCTGTCGATTGCCGGAGAGATGGAGGGTACACGCGCCGCAGTACAGTTGCCCGACCTGGGGGAAATTTCGATTGTGAAGAAATCCAGACTTTACCATGCAGAAGCGTGTAGCTACTTCTTTCCGTTAGCATGATGTTTATCATGAATCTACACGAACACAAACTTATGAATGTATGAGCAATCAGAATCAACGTACTAACTTATCACACGAAAAAACAAACGAAGCTGCTGACAACGAGCGTCATCAAGTACACCACAGTACCGCGCTGACAATGTGTATGTTGCAGGCCTTCAGTAATTCCTCAACCGACTTATCGTTCGCGTTTTTCGCCGCCCGCAAACCGACCACCATATGCTCCCTCCCGGACAGCTCTGACCACTGCTTTAGAAACGTGATTTCTGTCATGGGCGTGCAAAATTTCGTGAGAATGGCCGGAAACATGAGCGGCAAACTTCTCTTCTGCTTGTTCCCGGATGAATCTACTGAATCGGCGGCCTGCTCCTCATAACTAACCCGATACTTGAGCGGCTGCAGGAAGGGCTTTTGCAACTCCAAGGTGACGTAGTGGGTGAAAGAGTCGCCTGGCGCGAGCTGACGTTTTACCTGATGGAAGTTGATGGCGAAATAATAAAATAAACGCACATGATGATGTATGATATAGCTGCAACGTCTAGAATTTGTGGTTTACGTTTACAAGATCGTGGATTACTTTTACTTCTGTTGCGCACAGCATCGAAAAATAACTTCAGCGAATTTCTTCATACCTGCGTCGTGATCTGCGTAATTTTCAGCGGTGCACTATCCCCGCTGGACCCGCCATCCGCCGACGATTCCAAGTCGATCACCAAATTTGAAATCTGCTTTGCCTTCAGCCCGCTATTATTCGAGCTGTTCTGAAAGTGTATCGCGACCCTGCCCTGCTCTTTTCTGTATTCGTGCTTCAGCGCCAGCTGCAGCGACCCCGATGCGTAAAACGTCCCCTTCTGCTCGATACAGAGTTGCTGCCACAAGACCCGCGGCTGCGGGAACTTGTTCTTTGACGCATCGCTGTCTGAGTCTTCGGAATCGTCGCTGGAATCGGAGTCTGAATTATCCTCGTCGGACGAGTCTTGTTGTTTCTTGTTCACAGGGACTATTTGCAGCTGATTTTGTTGGTCGCTACCTCCCCCTGGTTGGGATGGAGCCGCAGCTCCTGCTACCCTCGCCCCAGCAGCAGGACTCCTCCCGGAAGACAACTCCTCTCCGACTGGCCTCGTGAACTGCTGCAGATTCTGGTCCAAAGCGCTACTGCTCACCGCTCCACCCGCTCCGGAAATATTGTTAACGCCGCCAGTATATCCTGCGCAAAAGTATCGCACTCGTACTAAAAATTGCAAATATGCATGACAAATCTCCCTCCAAAGGTGAAACGGCGTTAGAAGTTCCACTTTTCCTCTTGCGAAAATTTGTAATGCAATTTATACTAGTAGGCTACTTTTGCATTTCATACAGTAGCTACACTTATCCGGTTCAGCAACGGGTTCACTTTCCCACTCGTCTCCCCAGTCAAATCGTACGCCGGCATCATGGATAAACAATTTTCCATCGTTTTCGTGTGTTCGCAGAGCACTAAGAATTCGCAAGCTCTTTGCTGCAGTTCCAATTCCGTGGACGCTGACAGATTTTTGAAAATCTGCAGAATCTCGTTCGCCGTTCTCGTCCGTTTCTCCCCTTGCTCCTCTTCTAACAGTTCCGCGTTTAGGAGTTTAGCGAACGCGAGTAGCAGAGAGCTTATGACGGAGATTAACAAAGACTTGTTGCTGTAGTTCCGTCTCTCGGCTGTCGACGTTAGTGTGAAATTTGATTCGTAGTTCTGCAAGGCCTGTATGTGGTTCAAGTAGTGTCGGTGGAGAATCAGAAACTGCTTTTGAGACGAGATGTTCGCTTCGTGCCCGAATTCCCCGAGTAAATACGCACCGAGCTTGATTAAAGGGGAGCCGAGGGAGGAATTCTTGCTGTTCTGATTGAAGCTTGAAGCGGCTGCCGCTGACGACCCTGGAGGTCCAGCTGCATCCGCACTCCCTGGTCTGCTTGCAGAAGCTGACCCTGGCGGTCCGTCTTTCGTCCCACCTTCTCCTTATCAAGTGTAAAAGTGTCTGGGTCTGGAAGAATGCGCGATTTGTCATGCAGCTTTTTCCTGACCCATGAGGTCTGTAATGCAGGACCTAACATGACAGATCATTCTTTGCGCTCTCTCTTATGCCTATCCTGCATGAGAAACTCCCTCCCGACTTGGCCAAAACTGGACGACTTTTGGTAAGCATGCAACACAGATTATTGCGTGCTTCAGATTTAGCGTCACAAGTTGCATTCTTCCAGACCCAGACACTTTTACAGTTGATACTCCTCCACTCGGCACCACGGCGGTGGACGAGCTACTTCCACCACCGCTATCAAATGTAAAAATGTCTGGGTCTGGGAGGGTTGGAACTTGTGATGCAAACTCTGGAACACACAAAGATTTGTGTTGCATGAGCGCCAAAAGCTGTCCATTTCTTGGCACGCAAGTAGGAAGTTTCTCATGCGGGACAGGCATCATGAGGCTTGCTCAAAAACTGTGATGCTTTTGCCTGCATCAGACGCCACTTGCGTGATCCGAAATATGCATGACAAGTCTCAGAATCTTCCAGACCCAGATATTTTTACATTTGATAACCGCCCCCACTATTTGCCGTGCTCAAACTGCTGCACAGGCAGTAATATGCCTTCTCCGCAGCGTATTTCTGCAATTCGATCTGCTTCTGCTGCCCACTGCTGTCGTTACTCTTTGGCTTCGCCCCGACCACTTGCACGGCCCGGTGCCACACGGCTTCGTCCACCGTATGAAAGCCTCAGGTTGGAAATCCTCAAAGTGAAAATAATTTGTAATGCAAAAAAACGACTACAGTTGAGGCGGCATTTGTAGTCGGCGCATGACAAATTTCCCGGGTACTTAAAGCATGTCTGTCATGCAGGTTAAGGCAAAGGGGTGCCCTTCTGTCATGCTAAGTAGCGCGACTATTCTTCACCCCTAGCAGGACAATAGTCGGCCTCCATTGCGTCCTCTGCAATACAGTCTTTTTTGCGTCGCATTTCATGCATCACAAACCATTTCCACTTTGAGGATTTCCATTCTGAGGCTTTCATACACCGACTCAGGTGCGTACTCGAGCATTTTGAAAATCACGTCGATGTACCAGGACAGATCAGCGCCGGAAAACCTTTCCGCCAATATCGCGACGCGCAGCACGATGTCCTCTTTCAACGTGGAGGACGCGAGGCCGAGGTCAGACAAGGTTGACTGCTTCATCATCGTGGATATCCAAAGAAAAAAAAAGCCCACTCCCATCGATTTTTTGCATGACAAACGCAGGACTTTATACGTGTTTTGCATGACAAATTGGATGTGGATGGATGCTTCTTCCTGGATAGCGGAGCTGCTGGTTGTGCTACCCGGTCCTGTTCCACTTTTCAGACTGTTCATCAACACGTCGAGTAACTCATCAACAATCTGCTGCCAGTTCTCCACCGTGCAAATCGCGTACAGAAGATGTAATGCCTGCCGTCTCACGGAAATGTCCGCTTCCCGCATTTGCGCCAGAATCACGTTTCGGTACTTCCGGTCCAGATCTTGTAAAAACCTTTTCTGCTCCATCTCCAGCCTCCTTTCCCTGAGCAGAATCAACGTCAGTTTCGACAAGGTCATCAACCCGAGGTACCGCAAGTTCGCTTCCCTAGCTTGAAGATAAATCCCAAGCAGCTGACAACTGCGATCGATCAACGGCTCCGGTATGACAAATTCGTTCTGTTGCTCAAAGATTCTTGTCGGGACTAGATGGACAAGTAAATGAAACCCCTCTAACACGACAGAGTTACTCGCGTTCGTCATGTTCAGCCTCTCCGCCTCCGCCTTCCTCTGCGCCCGTCTGTCGTTCGCTGCGTTCTGCGGCATGGCGAAGGTGCGAGAGGAGGTTGGATTGGATGTTTGTGGGAGGTTTTGCCCAAACTGCTGGTATGTCTGCTCTCCTAAGGAAACGACCCGCTCGATCAAGGGGACCAGAACTGTTTGGAGCAGCGCGGAAATGGAAATCATGTTCTGCTGCTGCTGGTCTACAACTTGGTTGCTGTAGCTCGACGCGCCGTCTTGATCACTGCCGTAAAATGCCACGTTTTTCCGCAACACGTCTTTCCGGGAAAACGGGAAGTACTGCAGAAGCTTCAGCACTTTGATCTGCAGCCAGGGCGCTTTCACCGAGTAGTAGTGATGGTGAACCAGGATGAAATTCGGTTCGTGGTAAATCCGTTGCAGGATCGTGACGAGAGACGGGACGAGCTCGATCCAGTAGTAGGCGCCGAGGTTCTGGCTATTTCCTCCAAGTTGGCCTTGGGATTGATGTACAGAGCTGGCTTGATTTTGCTCGCGTTCGAAGATGCCAATGAGCAGGCCAAGGGCGGAAAGAAGAACGCCTATGTCACGCTCGCGGAGGATCTGATATAATTGGGATGTCGTTTTTTCCTTCAACTTGTAATGCTCGCTGTATATTATCACATAAATGCTTCGCCACTTCACGTTCACTGTCAATTGTGCATGTCAAAGTCAGAATCACGTGGACAAGAACATGGCCAACATCAGGGGTACTACTATCTCTTACCTCCTTAAACCTCTGCAGCCACAGCCCGCTCTGTTCGATCGAAGTCGGATCGGACTGGTATAGCCGCAGCAGGCAAATCAGCGCTTTCCGTTTCAAATACGCCGAGATGTTCGGCGAGACGAGCTTGCACACATCCCCGAAGAGGTTCTCCGCGAACTCCGCGCCGCCGATGTTCCCGACAAGATTCAAAGCCAATGCCGCGATCGGCTCTGCCTGCTGGTCGATGGAAGTGATCGCGGCGGAGGACCCGACCAAACCTCCGGTTGTGGTCGACAAAACGTTCGCGCCAGATTTCATTGCGGAGGAAAGCATCCCGCCGGAAGAAGAGGATCCACCGGCTCCCGAGCCACCTGGTCCACCGCTTGCCCCCGGTTTTGTCACGCCCCCTCCCGGCGGCTCGCCCATCGCTCGTTTCGCCAACACCGACATCGCCATCGAGAGATCATTTCTGATTACGTTCACCGTTAAGCGCAGCAAATCGTCGTTTTCTGTTAGGAGTAAAGAGCAGGCCATATCCTGTGCAAAAGTATCGCACGGCACTCGTATAATTGCAGTCATGCATTACAAATCTTTCTCGTGAGGGAAATCAGCATAACAAATTTTATCTCTCACGCTGAGGAAATAATTTGTAATGCATTTATACGAGTACGATACTTTTGCAATTCATAAGCCAAATACCCCGCCGATTTTTCGCTGTACTTGCTGCAGGAGCAGAGGTTGACCGCTTGTATCTATCCTGTGCAAAAGTATCGCACTCGTACCGTGGTAATTGCTATCATGCATGACAAACATCCCTTTTTAGGTAAATCAGTATTACAAATTCCATTTTTCTTCTTGAAAAAATTCGTAATGCAATTTATACTAGTACGATACCTTTGTAATGCATAGTATCCTGCCGAAGTCGATTTCGTACCCCAGCATGAACGCGTAGAGCAGTTTCCACACGTATTTCTTCCGGTCGTAGCCGGAGAGCGTTTTCGGTTGGTTGAACTTCTGGCGGATTTTCTGCAGTTCTTTCTCTACCCGTTTTTCCTCCGCTTGTTTGTCGGGACAATTCCGAATGTCCGCGACAAACACGGTTAGACCCTTCATCACACCCGTCGGCATGGTGGGCGGTGCGGAGGGGGAGAAAACGAACAGTACAGGGGTGGAGGGAAGAAAAACTACGTGAAAATATGTGCTGCTGTGTCCGCGCCTACCCACCGGTGCAGAAGCAGCACGGTGGCGAAACAGGAGACGTCAGGAGATCTTCATTGTGCAATTTCTTTCGACCACGACACGCCATGGTCAGGTCGTGGTCGAAGCCATTATTCTTATTGCTCAAAAAGTAGTCAGCGATGTTTTACTTGTTTATGCTGGTGGTTGCAAGAATCTTCTCAAAAGAAGACCAACCTCGCTCGGGAGTTGATTTAAGTCTTTCTTTTTCTTCATCAGAAGAAGTGTTCTAAAGCTAGGTTCTACACGCTGAGCAGGTACATCAAGAAACTCGACCACAGCATGCAGCTGCGTCCATTCATCACAATGTCCCCTCATGATCTCTCGTGGGCAAAGCCTGTGCTTTCGGAGGTCATTGTTCTATTACAGCAAACCGGGGCTCGAACCTGGCAACTACATCCTCATTCCGAGCGGAGATTGCCCGAAGAGGGGTGAGCTCCTCAACACCTGAGGGTCAGCGGAAGGGTCCGGACGCCCATTACAAGGCGGGAAACTGGTTTTTACTAATTCCTCTTCCTTGAAGCACTTGCGCCGTCATTTAGTGTCGCCAAAATTTGAAAGTTTTTGAAGTGCCAGCCGGACGGTGAGAAATGAGGTGGTCACAAAACAACGCCGACAGATATGATGCTATTCCATTTCCCAGCCGTTTCCTTTTTCCTCCCGCGCGGTCTTTTAGCTGTTGCATCTTCAAGGTAAGTGGTCTTAGAGGTCAGTTACAGTTCTTCTGCTTTACTACTAGTGGTGATAGATGATAATCCGAAATCATACTGATTGCAATTTGTTACAGTGGTGTTTCTGAATATTGCTTGTAGAAGCCTGCTGCTAAGTCCGAGTAAAATTGTTTTGGTACATCAACATAGTTGTTTGCTTTAATAGTTAATGCCGTCGTAAATAGTAGCTGCTAGTACTAGAAGTACCTGCTGTCTTTACTGTAAAAATAAACCGAATTAATCTAGCGCGTTCTTTTCTTTGCTGTCGCATTCGCCAATAGAGAGCGAGAGCGACTAACACTAACAATCGCATCCAGATAGTAAGTATTCATGTCTGTCTAGTAGCTCTAGCTACGCGGTCGCCAGGTGCACTAACATCTTGCACGCGGAACAAGTCCCGCACGATGTGACGAAGACTTTCTATCGCTATGGCTATCCCCCTCATCAATACCCCCGTTTTTGAATCGTTAAAATTTGTCCGAACAATTCGTCAAAGGGGTGCAAGAAATCCTCTCCCGGGGGGAGCTGCACTGCGTTACTGGGACTGTTCTCTGAAGAACCATTTCCACCTCCACCCACACCTTCCTGCACCTTCACTGCGTAATACTTCAGCGTCTTCACATAAGTTTCCCTTACCTGCTGCAAGCAGTCGTCCAGCTGCTGACACTCCCCGGCGTATTTCACCTATGGATTGTAAAAGTGTCTGGGTCTGGAATGTTGGAACTTGTAATGGTAGTTTTCCATACCTAGGTAGAAAATCTGTATTGCATAAGTAACCAACAAAAGTCGCAGCCTCTTTTGTCATGCAAAAACGCAGCTTCTCATGCCGATCGCCTATGAGAAAGCGCTTTGGGAAGTAGTCATGCCGGACTGCATTCGAGAGCGTTGCGTTTTCATCATGCACATTATAGCATCACAAGTTTCCAGACCCAGACACTTTTGCATTTCATATCACCACGTCCGCGGCTATTCTCAGCAGGGGCGAGCTGTTGATCGTCGTCACGTCCGGGTTCCGCTCCGCCTCCTGGTAGCAGTCCTGCGAGCAAAGCTTCGCTTCTTCTTTCAGCTCCTCGATCTTTTTGTGAATTTCGTCTAGGCAAACCCGCTTCCCGAGCTGAATTTTCTTGCGCCACTGGGTCACCTCGTGGAAGGGGTTCGGCTTGTTCGCAGTAGCAGTGTTGTTTGAAGATGAGTTTGTCGTTACACCGGTCATACTCACGTTGTTTTCCGCAACTTCGCTACTCGGCATCACAGAATTGGAGACAAACTCGAGACAGAAGGAGAGCAACGTGCGGTTTCCCTCGACGTTCTTTAACTCGCCGAACTTGTGCAATGAGTCGATGTTGAATCCTCTACTGTTGCCCCTTACCGTTCCGGCGTTCATTCGGTTCCCGACTAAGAGCATCAAGTGCAAAAGTGTCTGGGTCTGGAAGGATGCAAGGTTTGTCATGCACATTTTGCATGACTCCTGATGTCTGTGATGCATGCCCTAGCATCACAGATTTTACGACGGCTTCCTGATGCCTATACCGCATCAGAAATGCGCTCTCGCCATGGAAAAAACTGGAGTTCTTTTGCTGCTCATGCAATACAGATTTATTGTGGAATCGAAATCCAGCATCACAAGTTGAAACCTTCCAGACCCAGACATATTTGCAATGCATAAAGAGCATCATGTGCAGGATTTTTTCCAAAAGCGGGTTGTTTTGCAGGGTCAAAATCGCCTGTTCAAACTCCTTCAGTTGCAGCCGACACTCTTCGCTTTGCGGGCCGAAGGTGCCGAGGAAGGACCAGGCGCGCAGAACTTGAAAACTGCGCGGGGCCTGATGTGATTGTAATTGTATTGATGCGTTTTTGCATACAAACGAAAAGTGGTTCTCGCGATGAATCGATGCAGGAGAACTAGCTTATTTCGTCATAGCGTCAACATCGAAAGAACTAGCTAGCAACTCGAACTACAAGTCTTTGAAGTTTCCATTTCTCTCATACGAAACGAATACCTTTGTCACCGCGATAAAATATTGCTCCGGCGTTCCCCAGTACTGTCCCGGCGCTCGGCTCACGTGGATTTCCCCCATTTTTTTCTTTTCCGCGTCCGTGATGAAAGCCTCCTTGTACAACAAAGTCGCTTGCTCCGGGGTTAGTGGCGGCCCAATGCCGTTCAAAACATCGATAATCGCGTTCGGCGGGGGCAGCTGTTTAAAGACGATCGACAAATGTTGGTTTCGCTTGCTATCCAGAATGGTGAGAATCTTCTCCTGCTGCTGGGCGTGGTTCATGGGGTTGTTCGGGTTGTTGCTTAGCATGTTTGCATCGGAAACCTGGAGTTGAATCTTCGCTTGCGTCACAGGGAATTGTTGTTCCAATAGCTGTTCGAAATTTGGGTTCAGCGTCGCCAGCATCTTCTCCGCGGCGACATTCGGAACGTCCGGGTTATTTTGTGGGGGTTTCATCTTTTCCTTTTCGGAAGAAATATCCTCGTCGCCGATGTTGCCGCTCGGTAGCTTGGCCCACAGGGACGCTGACGAAGCGTGTTGGAGGTTAGGTTTTAATATACAAGGTTCTGATGACAAACAAAACAAGCACAAGACTGTGACGAGATCGAGGGAAGTACATCGACAGACTTCCCGTTCTTCTCCATCATAACAACATCACAGCTGCTGGTATACACGCGCACAAGGTAGTAAGAAAATAACGTCAGAGTAGTTCTTGTACCAGCATCCACATCGTGCATCTGCGACCAGAACACCGGTCGCAACTTGATTCCATGAAATTCCGGAATCTTCCGCTTCCCACTTCCTTTCCCCTTCCCGCCCTTCCCCTTCCCGCCCGGAACCGCGGCGCCTTTCGATGGAGGCACGGGGGCGCCCTTTGAAGCTCCGCCGGGGACCGGAGCACCTTTTGACGATTTCCCTCCGTTCTTCCCAGGCACTGCTGCACCCGCTTTTTTCCCTGCAGCGCCCTTCTTTCCACCAGTAGCAGCTCCTTTCGCAGAAGGCGCGGCTGGTGCGCCGCCTTTATTGCCAGAAGCCGGTCCAGTCGCGCCACTCGCTTTCGCCGCAGCGCTCGCAGCTGCTCGGAAACCGCCACTGTCCGCTGCGTTTGCCGTGCTGGAAGAGCTTCCGCCGGCCTGCTCACTCCCAGCACCTGCCGTACCATTCTCACTCGTCTCCATGAAGCTCATGCCCATCGCGTCTAAGATCTCCGGATCCAAATCAGGGCTGAACTGCTCCACATCGGCAGCTTGCTGGTCATTCGCCGTAGTCGCGTTAGGGAGCAGATTGACTCCGATCTGGTTTTTATTCATCGAACTGGTCCGCGCGTTCAGCATGAGCGTGTTGTGCATGGACTGCCGTTGCAGCAAATCGATTTTCGCTTGTAACGGGAGCGAAGCTGTGTCGTTCATGTCGTCATCGTAATTGTGCAGCAGTTCTTGCTGTTGAAATTGACCCTCTTGTCCATCTCCTCCCCCACCTGTATCCTTCGTGATCAGCTTCTTTTTTGCCGACGTGGTCTTCTTACTCAAAGGCTCTATTTCCTCGCCATCCTCCGCTGCGTTGGGATTGAAGCAAGAAGGATTGTTACCACCAGCAGCCTTGCCGTCCAAACTGTCTTGCATTTTCCCACTGGACTCCCGTTTCCGGGAGCTGGAGCTCGTAGACATCGGGGTAATGACACAGTCCTGGTTGTCTTGGTTGTTGTCACCACCAGCAGTGCCACCGTTATTGCTGTCCTCTTGCACAGGAAGCTGCTGAGAGGAAGATCCTAGTAGTTGCGAAGCAGGAGGAGCTACAGAGTCAGGTTGCGAGTTTCCATACACCCGTACATCGGGCTCCTCGTTGAAGGTCACAGATTTTCGCACGCCTTGCAAAATCTCCTTCTTCAACTCGGCTTCGGTGGGAACTGCTGCAAGCGCCACTACCGGAGCTGCTGCTCCTGTGGGAAGACTCTTGTTCACGTCTGCACTGGCTGATGTATTGATGTTTCCCGGAGGTTGTATCGGTGTGGAATCCACCTCCATCGCGTTTGATTTCGAGTTCTGCGACTGCACTGGTGTGACGTCTTGCTGCAGCTTCATTGTCATGCCTCCTGTCGTGCTAGTACCACCAGAAGCTGCTCCACCCGCAGCTGGACTCTTCGCCCCTGCGGCCAAAGTGTTCAAGTTTTGCACCAAATTCGCGTTCGTCGTTTTCAGATTTTCCAGTTCGTTCGTCATCGTCGCGGCTAATTCTTGCTTTTTTTCCAGCTCCTGTTTCGCTTTCTGCAGCTCCTTCTTGTAACTGTCTACCTTAAACCCTACTGCGTGGTTGAACTGGGCGTGCATGTCCTGTTCAAATTTTTCGCACTCCTGCTTCAACTTCGTCTGTTCCTGTTGGAGCTGCGCCACCATCTCGGTACGCATCGAATCCCGGATCTCCTGCTCTTTTTTCGCGACTTCCTCCTGAAAGGTTTTCTGCATGCTCTCCCGCTCTCGCTGCGTGAAGTGCTCAAATTTTGCCGTGTACTCCTGCCCGAGCTTCTGCCGCACTTCCTGTTCGAGGCTCTGCCTCAGTTCTTGCTCGATTTTTTGGCGGAGTTCCTGCTCGATCTGGTTGCGGAGGGCGCGCTCCTGCTCCGGATCAGATTGGGGAGGAGGAGCAGGTGGTCCCTGTTGCTGCGGATTCAAGTTTTGCTGCTGATGCTGGTGAACAAAACTCATCTGCAACATACTCACGTCCTGCTGGGAAAGAGCGGAGGAGAAGGACAGATTGGCAGAGGAGTTGTTTAAATTGTTCATACTGCTGGAATTCAGCAGAGGACCAGCACCGGAGAGAGTGCCGGAAGGTGGTTGCTGTTGATGTTGCGCTTGTACTACTGTCCCCTGTCCAGCCAGCATGTCGATATCTTTGTCGACGTCTTGATTTATCTGCTGGTGCTGCTGCACCGCTTGCATGATAATCCCTGGCCCCAGTCCAGGCTCCGACGCGGACCGCGACATCGCGTTTCCCGGCCCGAAATTCGGCGGCGCGAGACTTCTTCTGCTCGAGTTAGACGTTGGATGCGGTATTCTACTCGCCGCACGCTCGCGCTCGTAGTACTGATTGTTCTGTGACGTATTCATCGCGTTGTTGTTTTGGCCGTTGCTCGTCGCTAAACTTCCGATGTTTTGGTTGAACGAAGTGTTCGCAGTGCTGCTGTTCCATGGGGGGTGGATAAGCGCCGGCTGATTGCTTGTGTTCTTCAAAATCCCACGCGGTGCAGCAGCCGACGTGCCAGAACCACCACTGCTATTGTTGCTCCCGCCGACCAGGGATGAAGCCCTTCTCGCTGCAGAGTTGAAATTCGGGTTCCCGCCCGTTGCCATGCCCATTCCAGCACCAGTGCCTAAGCCGCTCTTGAGATCTCTACTTCCAGCACCTCCCTGCTGTGCTCCCATTCCCACTCCGGAGATCCGTCGTTGGTTGTGCGCGGAGCTCACCCTTCGTGCGGAATTCTTCGTCTGATGTTGGTGCAGATTTGAAGTGGAGGAATTTTGCGACAAAAAACTCAGATTCGTATGCGTAGTTGTCGTGGTGCCACCTCCACCTCCGGTGATTTTCTGAAACCGGTTTCTGTTATGAAATGCAAAAGCATCGTAGTAGTAGAAATCGCATGACCAATTCCCTCAGCAGGAAAGTTGGAATTTGTAATGCGGATATAGGTTAAGAAGGAGATTCGTAATGCATGACAGCGATTGCTACGAGTACGATACTTTTGCACAGGGTATCTGTGCGGTAAAGACGACTCCGGCGGGTCCGAGGGCCGACGGGAGGGCGCTTTCCCCGTGGAGGACCGGTTGGTTTGATGTGCTGCCACTTGTGGCGCTACAACACCTCCACTATATTGCTGCTGCTGCTGCTGCTGTTCAAGAGCCGAAGCATTAGTCGCTCCATGATTGCCAGAATTATTGGCAATAAAATTCGCAGCGTTTTGCCTCGCCGAGGGCATGAACTTCATGGGGTTCGTGCGCTTCGGCGTGCGGGAACGGGAGGGGTCGTTTGGATTTGGTCCAAATCCAAACTCATTTGGAAGATTTTGCTTGCTGTTGCTGTTTGTATGCAATGAAAAAGCATCGCACTAGTAGTAGTATACAATGCATTACTACAAATTAGCTTAGCGCGAGAAATGGAATTTGTCATGCTGATCTACCTTGGGACGGAGATTTGTAATGCATAAATGCAATTACTACGAGTACGATACTTTTGCACATGATAGTTTGTGTTCAGAAACGAATTGTTCGTCAAGGTGCTGATATCCTGTGCAAAAGTATCGCACTCGTATTGCAATCATGCACTACAAATTTTTTTCTTACGGTAAATCTGCATCACAAATTCTATTTCTCATGCTGAGAAAATTTGTAATGCATTTATACGAGTACGATACTTTTGCAGTTCATAGCTGACCGTCGCAGGGAGCTGCTGCTCGCTGACACTGGAAGAGTTAACAGCACTTCTCGCGGAAAAATGGGAGTTGTACGACGGGGGCTGCAGCGGTCGCTCGTCCGGGTGTTGCACAATCCGGGTGGTAGCGGAGGTGGGCGCCGTGTGTTTATTTGTCGTGGTCCCGAGATTGTTGATGTTGTTCGGTCCAGCAGACTCACTGGCCTCCTCGTTCGAGGAAAAATTTGGTCTCTCGGTCCCGCCAATGTTTGTTCCAGCGCCTAGGGGATTCGGGTTTGTACTGGAGCTCGCTGTCACCGTCGGCCCAGAAACCAGCTGGCGGATCATGGAGTTTGCTGCACTACCCTGAGGAGCTACAACTGCTCCACCAGCTCCCGTTGCAACGCTGTAGGACGGGGGCGGCTCGTCCTGCTGCTGGTTCTCCTTATTCACACTGTGGTAGGTGGGTGGCGGTGGTTCTCGAGTCGCTGCCTCTGCTTGTTTTTGCTGTGCTACCGTCCCACCAGCAAGACCTATTACGCCCTCATGCGGTTCTCCTTTCCGCTCGACCACCCCAGTTGTGTTTTTCGCGCGGGAGATCGCGCTCCTGAGATTTTCTGCTCGGATGGAGCCGTTTGAGGAGTTCAGACTCAGAGACTTTTCCCGCTCCTGTTTTTCCAAAATCTGCTGTGCCAGCGATTCCACCGTTTCCGAGGGATGCGGCTTGGAGGTTGGGGCCTGGATGCCCTGGGCCCGGGCCAAGATTCGGAGCGTGCCGATTCCCATCGCTCTCAAACCCTCGAGTGAATAGGTCTTGGCCGGGCCGCCGCGGAGGCCTTTGTCCGTGGTACCAGAAGTCATGCTGGAGGAGGATGTGGACTTATTCTGGAGTGACGATGACATCGTGTTGATGTAGATTTTTTGCAGATTTTGCGACTTCTAGATCTAGAAGCAGCTGCCGACAACTACGAAAACTCCATACACAGGAGTCTCGTGTTCAAGAAATATCATAGAGTTGAAGTTGAAGATCATGGCTCTATTTCGTGGTTAATATGCCATTTTGCTTTTGCTTCTTCCCTAAAACATAGAATCTGGAGATTGTCATTGTGGTGATCACGTTTTTTGTCGTCGGTCCAAAAACAGTTTGAGTGAAGCCTGCTTGTGTGTAGTGGTGGAGGTTTTGCTACAAATAGTACAGGTGAGTTGCATTCGTAAAGTCGAGCGACGACGCAAATCACACCGATGCTCATACGGCAACTAGGGAATTTCTACTCGGTAGCGTTTTTCATCGTAGGTTTTTTACAGCTCGTCCACATCAGAAGATAATTCATCGATCGAAGGAGGAAAGCAACCAAGGGTCCTCTGGCCGCTCTTGGTGTTCCCGCTGCTGCGACGCGCAACAAATCGTCCGATCGATTCGATCTTACGCTTTATTCAAATTCAACACGAGCAACGAAGACAAAACGGACAAAGGTCAGTTTGCTTTTGTAGTTGTGGCACTGCCAAGTCTCTCAATCTTGTTCAACCACACAGCAGGCCAGCGCACAACAGAGCGACTCACTTCAGTATCGAGCGTCAAAGAACTCTTCAGTTGTAGCAATCGAGAGGACGTTGAACGATTTGTCTGGGTGCAGCTCGGGACGAGCAAAGGTAAAATTGCACACCTGCTCTCGCCGTCGCCGGCTGGGCTTGAGAAGTGCCTACTCCTGTGCGACTAATCGTTTATTTGCTAAATACAATATTACGGGTGCACAAATTAACATTGTACATGTTCAATTCGTTCAAATTTTCTACCTTCCCGAAAACGAAAATACAGCTGGTACTCTGCGCATGTTTAAAAGCTTGACGACCAAAAGTTTTTGCATCATGAGAATTTCAACTTGATAATACCATACCAGGACGATCATGCTCCTGAGTGAGCGACCATATGCAAAGATAAAAACTTCAAGCCAAGAGCGACGAAGAAATTTAACGCAAATTGTGTTGTGATCATAGTTTTCATTTCTGATTCTGCTGCTGAAACCATGTTGCAAAAAAAATCTAGTACAAAAAAGTGAGGGAGTAAACCACATAACGAAGCCAGTAAAGCAATATCGAGTCTAGATGAGATAAGACAACTTTGAAAACTCCTGAAAATTTGATGCTGAAAGATAACGTGATAATAACGAAATTAGATCCACATTAACGCTACGTGGAAAATTGAGTAATAAAATCTTGGATGATAAAGATAAACGTGTGCATTCATTATCATTTTTCAAACGCTAGCCGCTCGAATCATTCAAACGTATGATACAGTTCTTCTTATCAGCGACACACTGATCTTCCACCGCCACACTCCATTAATGCGGTGCAAACGGATCCGAGATCACCGGTTGCGCATCGATAGTTCCCGTCGGCGAACTGCCGCCGGCCGGGGTAGAAGTCACCTCCTCCGCCGGCCCACCTCCCTGTACGCCAGTTCCATCCGAGCTTGCGTCCCGGCTTGCTCTCCGCTCCATGTTCATGCTTCTCGCGCCCTGTTTCTTCGCTTTTATCGCCGCCATGCGGGCGGCCAGGGGGGTATCCATCGGCTCTACTGTTGAGAAGTCAACTGCTTCTGCTGGTGCTGATGCTTGGGCGGCTACCTCGCCCTGTTCTGCTGGTACTTCTGCTTCAGCCGTTGCTGGTGTTGTTTCCATGAGCCCTCGCTGAGTCTGTTTCTTCTTTTTGATTTCGGCCATGCGAGCGGCCACTGCGTTGCTGGGATCTACTGCTTCGGTAGGAGCAGCTTGGGCTTGCTGTGCCAGTTCCTTTTGTCCCGCAGGGGCTGCTTCTTCTGCGACAGAGGCGCGCCCGAAGTTGACACTACCGCGACTCAATTGCTGTTCCGCCGCATTTATTTGCTGCGAAGATCCCGCCACTGGTCCTGCAGACCCAGTGCTGTTATTGTTATTCATCATGCTCTCCTCTTCCGCTCGCAGTGCTTCCTCAATTTTCAAATCCTCGGGCTGCATCAGGTCATTTACCCCCGGAATCGAGATCCGCCTGTTCATATGCATTGCACATATGTCTGGGTCTGGAAGAGTGTAGACTTGTCATGCAGATTTTCCATGACCCATGAGGTCTGGAGTGCTGGACTTAGCATGACAGACTCTGCGAGGTCTCTGCCATGCGTATTCTGCATGAGAAACTCCGTTCCAGCTTGGTCAAAAGTGGACAGCTTTTGGCACTCATGCAACACAGATTTTTGCATGCTTCAGATTTACCATGACAAGTTGCAATCTTCCAGACCCAGACATTTTTGCAATTCATAGTTCGCCGCACTCTGGTCGACGACTGACATCGTGTCCTCGGATGAACTTCCTCCTGTTGCTCCTCCCGCATTCTCTTCGCTGTTGTTTTCCACCTTTTTCAAGACCAAAACCTTGTACAGACTCGGTATGAGTTTGTTCTGCAGTTCGTTCAGAATCTTTCGCATATGAAGTTTCGCGTCCGGATTATGCATTGCAAAAGCATCGAACTCGTATTGTAATCATGCATTACAAATGGTGGTCTTAATGCAAATTAGCATTTACAAATTTTATTTCTCACGCTGAGGAAATTTGTAATGCATTTATACGAATATTACGATACTTTTGCAATTCATACGGATCTGGTTGCAGCAAATGCCGCACAAACCCCGCTTGCACATCATCCATCTTGTCGCTGATCACGGACTGCAGGAGCTGTAACCGGTCGAGGAAAATCTGCAGCTGCTCAGTGCCTGTCGACGTTTTGTTGTTGTTGAAGCTGTTGCTGCTATCCAAGAAAAAAACACCATCACAATCACATTTAGAAGCTTTTGCATCAGAAATTTCTCTCGCATGACAAATTTTTCTTGTATTGCAAAAACCCAAAGGGAAATCACCAACAATTCTTGACTGTGATGCATTTTTGCGCATGACAAAAATTTTTGTATTGCAAAATGTGCAAAAGTGATCGCGATGGTGTTTTTTTCTTGAATAGCTGCTGTAGAACTGCTTTACGTCCTCGCACTTTTGCAAAATCTGCTTTTTCGTCGTAAACAAAGTCTGTTTCAGGCCCGGTTTATTGTTCGGATTGCTACTCAGCTGCTCAAAAATCGACCCGCCAGCCATTTCCGCGAAATAAGAGAAGTCCGCACCGAGCATTATCCCCCGAAACAACTCCATCACCTCCATGGGCAGCCCTTTCAACAATCTCGTCAGCGCGAGTTTCGCGACTGCGTCCGGTTTGGGAAGCGTTCGGAGGGCGTGCAAGTCGAACGCGTCGACCTCGTTCTATCAATTGCAAAAATGTCTGGGTCTGGAAAATTTTGAGACTTGTCATGCACGTTTTGCATGAGCCATGACGTCTGTGATGCGTGCCCTAGCATCACCGATTTTTTGAGGGCTTCTTGATGCCTATTCCGCATGACAAATGCCCTCTCCGCGTAGCAAAAATTACATTCCCTTTGCTGCTCATGCAATACAGATTCTTTTGGAATCGAAAGGCAGCATCACAAGTTCCATTTTTCCAGACCCAGACACTTTTACATTTGATACGTTCAAGACCTTCGCTAAATCGGCTTTCGTTTTGATTGAGCAGGTCTGTTTTCTCTTCCCCGAGGACGTCGTCGTGAGCATCGAGTGGTTTTCCAGCAAAAACGTCAAATGCGTGAGCTGCGCTCCGTCGAGCAGTTTCAGACTCGGCGTGACACCCTGGTGGGAGCAAGAAGAAGACTATCCCACGAAAAAAGTGCTACAGTTACACATTTGTAGGCAATGTAGCAACACAAATGTCCCTGCATGAGAGAGAAAACTTGAAATGCAGAAATCCTACGGGAAAACGCCTGCGTTGAAACGAGGCTCCTATGCATATCCGGCATGACAGAGCTGGTCTGTCTTGCTTGGCCTGCAACACAATGTGTAACTGTAGCACTTTTTTCTTGCGATAAAGACCCGCCCGGAATTGCTGTGTCCATCGGGGAGGAAACCGGACTGGCGGTTGGACTGGACCGGTTGCTCCGCCCTCCACCCGTGATCGCCGACGCGGCACTGCTCAGCGGCATTTTGGAGGCCGCGCCGAGGAGCTCGAGGGAGTGTTCTCGGTATTTCAAGAATTGGAGCTGCTGCTCCAGGTCTTGATTCAGCTTTTCCATGTCCGCCGTCGCCGCAGAAATGCTGTTCAGGGGGCCGGTGCGCATCAGCATGGAATTCGCCGACATGCCACTTGCTCCCCCCGTTCGTGGGGAGGGACTCGTCGCTCGCAAATTCGTTGACCTTCTCGTCCCCGTGGCGAAATTGTCCACTTCATTCAGATATGCATCGCAAAAGCATAGCAATGCACGTTCACGTAAGTAGTGGACCTTGCATTGATTTTGACAAATTTCCAAACATCATAAGAGATGAAAATCATGCCAGACTGCATTTTGTACGAAGAGTGCGATTTTTTGCCTTTGCAATGCGTATCAGAAAGTTGCTGGACGCGCCCAAACTGTCCAACATGGATCCATGCTGGTGCTGTCTGGCCAGTTCTGGATCTTCCGCGAGCATGTTCGCCTGCAAAAGTTCCAACTTCGTGATCTGCAACTCTGCTCGGAGGTGCTTCAACTCTTCCTGGAGCAGGACCGGGTCATCGGGCATAATTGCTTCCAAATCCGCGGCGTCCACGTTTCCTGCGTTTGTGGAGAGGAGCAGGTCCGAGCTGATGAAGTCCTGCCCAGAGTTGATAGAAGAACTTTCCAGCTTCAGCAGTTGTTGCTTCGTTCGCTCCGACAAGTGACCCTGCAAGCGCAAATCCGCGCACGCTTGCCACATGATTTGCGAACCGGTAATGGACCCGTATTGGAGTTTGGAAAGAAACCGGATTTTGCGGACCTGAAGATCATGGTGTCGAAACTTATTGCTCCATGCGAAAACCATCTTCATGAGAATGAGATGCCGTCCAAGAAAGCACAAAGTCAACGAACCGTAGATTGGAGATGCCGTCCAGTAATGTATTACGACCACGGTGGATCACACATTGAATTTGAAGTCGAACTGTAGCATCGCATCACACATCAAGCAAAAAGAACGAACCCTATACCAGTTCCTTCAGAATCCCTTCCCGTTGCGCATCATTCATGGTTGGAAACTGTGCAACCCACCTCTCCACCTCATCCTTTGATGGTACAATGGCCGCTGCACTAGATCCACTGTTTCTACCTGCCCCGAGCTGCTGTTCTTCTAGCACCACCGGCGTGCCGGTACTTGGCATCTTCATAATGGACGAGGACGAAGCTGCACCACTTCCGCGCTCCGCATGTATCCACGTGTCGTGCTCCCCGAAAGCGGGAGAAAACTGGAACATTTGCTGGTTGCCGGAGGGCACCGTGCGTGCCGGACTCCCGGAGATCCGCATAGAAACACCGTCTTCCACCAGCAACTCCTGGGAATTTCGGACACCAAGCGGCATCTCCGCAGCCGAAAGCCGTTGCTGGTCCGCTGCTCCACCCCGTTTCGGAGACACCGGCCGGGTGTGCAGAGCTCTGCCCGGTTTGCTACGCTCGCGGACCTGATAATTGCAAACATGGGTCCGTCGTGACTGGAATTTGAACTTGCAATGCATCATTATGGCTTGCAAAAAATAATAAATGCAGAGGTCAGTTGTCATGCACCGTAGAGATGGAGGTGATGGAACAATGTATGAAATTATAGAAGCTATTATTTAAGTACTAAAACCCGAATCTTCTATACCAGATCATGCGGATGCTCGTGACTTAACGGCAGCGAATCCGTGAGATGCGCCGCCACCTTTTCGTAGCCCTTCCCCGGAATATACGTCTTTCCTCCCGGCTTGATCGTTTTCATCGACTTCGTCGGCATATTTGACCGCAAGTCGCGATGGTAATCGAGTAAATGGGACGGCTGGTTCGCCACCCAGTTGTGGTCTTTCACACAGCGGTGCGAGCTGTTCCGCGAGTAATCCACCGTGTGTCGCACGATGGGTTTTCGGTTTATTTTATTCATCCCCGCACTACTACTATATCCCGCGGTGAGCATCACCTTCGGCTTGCTGGTTCCCGCAGCTGCTGCGCCGGCGGTGGCGGAGAGGCGTTTGTTGGCCGAGACTTGTGCGGCGGAGGACGACGCCATTTGGAGCAATTGCTGGTCTGACGAGATGTTGTTCTTAGAGACCTGTTGTTGTGCTAGTACAGAATTTCTCTCCGGGCTGGCGCTCCCACTGGCACTTCGCGAAGCAGGTCCTGCACCCGAGACTCGGCTGCTCCTCCGAACCGCGTTTATCTCTTCGGTATTGGGCAGTTGGAACTGCATGGCGCTTGCTGTGGTGCCGCTTTGCTGCTGCAATTTGTCCACCACCGTTGGCTCAGTTCGCAACAGCCGCTGCAAATCGGAAAACAAGGCAGCGCTAGTCGTGGACATTTTGGGTGGAGGCACCTGCTGATCGTTTGATGGTTGGCCCCCGCCGGTCGTGCCCACGCTGAGGCGTTGAGTGGGGCTGTTGTTGTTTGGATCGTCGTTGGTGGACATTTTACTCGTTTCAATTTTTTATGATCTTGCTGTACTATTAGGACCACAAAAAAAAGTATTTTCTTTATTTCAAAAAAACAGAGCAAGACAAGCTGTTCTTCGACGAAGGTTTTTTGACAGAATTTGCGACTGGATTCATCAGAAAGTTGTAGCTTAAGCCACATTCTTGCTCGAAGTTGGAATTGCTTGGATTGATGAATCACGAGTAAAATCATGACGCGTTCTTGTTTCGACCTAACGTCCACGTCGCGGAAGTGTTCAAGAGCACATAACGGAAATGGTACAACTAGTACTAGACGCAGCTGCACTAGCAACTACATGCTTTCCACGATGAATGACCGACGACGTGAAGAGAGAGGTTGCTAGTAGCGGACCACGTCGAAAGCATCGAAAGCCTGTTAGATGAAGTGACGACCATTTAGTTAACACGACTTGGAGAGGAAACCATTATCGACGAAAGCTCTTGCTACGTAATCCTTGAATCCTACGTTAACGACGACGACCCAGACAATGAGATTTTTCATGATACCGACACGAACTCCATACGTATTTTATGGATCTGTGGTCATGTGCCTTACAACGAGGGCGAGATGTTACTGGTTTTCAGCCTGCTCTTCCTCTATAGGAACATCAGCACGGGGGCCAAAATTTGCCTGCACCGTCCACGATTGCAGTTGCGCAGTAACGTCAAATATAACGGGTCGCGATGTAGTTCATCCAGTTCATTTTTTTGTCGCTTTCTGTTGTTTGTCGCTTTAATCCAGTTCTTGAAAAAGCAAGTGCAGCGGGGCGTGAAAATTTCTTACACCTCCACTGCTCTTTACTGAATTTCGCGTCACAATGTGATTCGTCGTTTCGTTTGATTTTGTGGACTTACTTCGACTTCTCGACGAGGTCGCTAGCTTTATCGAAAACACAAAGAAGAAGAACTTATACTTTCAAGAACTGTCCTCGTTCTGCGGCTGGGTTCCAGACCTACATAGGGCAGCTGAATAAAGTGCGTTTCAAACAACAAGTCGCGCATGTAAGAAATGCGCTCCTGCCTGGGTTGGAGGGTAAGAGCCAACACGTTTTCATATACAACTTTTGAAGTAGGGTAAACTGGGATCCAGTAATTTCATTTTTGTTCAAACACTGCAAAGACGGTGGTCAGGAGTCTCGGCCCAACCATAGCGATCCGCCCGGGTCGTAGTCCTACTCCTTCTGATAGACAGAACATTTTTTCATGATGTTGATCCAGACTCGTGTTCTTGTGTCTACTCAATTATCCGCCGTGGTCTGGACGCGCTGTCGGTGGTGAAGATGTTGAAGAAAGAACGACCCTCGCTATGTATACTGAGGTGGGTCACGACGGTGTTGTATGTTCATCACCAACTACTTCTACCAAACAGGCTGATTCCCGACGATTGCCAATTCGGACACCAACCAGGGGAATTCCAGCATGGTCTCATCGCCCTCGTTGTCCTCATCGCAAAAGGGATGCCGCGTGACCGCAATCGCGTAGCTCACCTGCCGAATGTCGTCCACAGCGCCCTCGACAACCTGAGTGAATGTAAATGTAAGTATAGCAAACAGGCATGACAGACTTACTTTTTCAATTTGCATGTGCACGCATGATAAACTAGTACTAGCAGATCTTCAGCAGAGAAAGTAGCAGCTCGCCACAACCTCACCCCAAAACATCAAGTATAATTTCTATACCTCCGACGGATCCGCTTCCTTTCTCAAGCAGTTGATTTGTTGCGTGTGAAAGGTGAAGACAAACGTCGGACTGGTGTAGCTTCCCCCGTCCATACCCCGCGCGCCCTTCAGCTCCACTTCCTCCGGACCCTGCCGGATGTCGTTGTCTAGTACTAACCGCGAGCGCTTGCGCTCCTTGATGCTGCTCCACACCGCCATGTAGGCTGCTTCACCGCAGTGAAGCTTCAGAAATTCCTTGTCGCCGTTCAGATAGGCTTGGATGATCTTAGGTGCGATAACCTGCTCTATTTCTTCGATGAAATCGTGGAGGCGGAAATTCGTCGAGATTTCCTTCATCTCTCTCAGAGACTGTGCAATTTCGGTTTCCTGAAAGAGACGGTCGAAGAGCGGGTTATCGTAAAAAGTGTTCAAAAGCGGCATGTCGCGGACGTTAGCCCCAAACCTGTCCCACGCGGTTTCATGGCGGACGACAAGCGCCCCGGCTGTGTCGTCCTCTTTCGCCTTCGCAGCTTGCTGCTGTTGCTGATTTTCTGTTGTTGTTGAGGCATCTGCTGTAGTAGTACTGGACTGGTCCGCAGAAGTCTTCTGCGCTGCGCCTTCTTCTGCCGCGGAGCTCACTGTTGTCTTTGCTACGCTTTCACTCTGTTGCTCTGCGGCAGCTCCTTCTGCACTCGCGGCTTCCACCGCCGCGGCACTCTCTTGCTGTTTCATTTTGTACTCCTTTTCCGCCTTTTTCCCGGCCTTCCACTGCTTGTGTTTCTCCGCTTTGGGATCTTCCATCTTCGCCAGCAAGCTCTGCAAGTTGTCGACCGTTTTCCCCAAATTGTCAGTGATGCTGCTCGCGTATCAAATGCAAATATGTCTGGGTCTGGAAGAGTGGAACTTGTAATGCTGTTTGCGGATTCTGAAAATATCTGTGTTGCATGGGCAGCAAGAGGACTCCAGTTCTTGGCACGCGGAGAGGACATTTGTCATGCGCGGTAAGCATCAAGAAGCTCTCGAAAAATCTGTGATGCTAGGACCTGCATCACAGACCTCACGGGTCATGCAAAATGTGCATTATAAACCCCGACTCTTCATCCAGACCCAGACATATTTCTATTTGCATTCCATATCGCGATGGGGGAAACAGTTTTGTTCACGTTGTCGAAAACCTCTTGCATCTTCTTCAGGGCTTCATTCTCCTTCAGGTGCGATTCGGAAAACTCGCTGGTCTGTTTGGGGTGTTGATGAATTTTGGTGCAACATCGTGATGGGAATAAATGTTGTACGGATCATACGCCGCACGAGCATCAGCTGCGCAAGACAAATTGCATCTACAGAGATGCACTTCATCTGGCCGCGTAAACGCATCACAAGTTCAATCAGTCAACAACGTTATACCGACTGCTTCAACTTTTCCTGCTGGTCTGCGACGGATTCTCGCATGGATCGGCAGCTATCCTAGCAAAACGACCCTGAGCCGCTGGATTGCGCCTCTACCGCCTTGTCGTCATGCACGACGGCAAGCACGATTCCGTCGGAATCAATCTAAATTACCACGACGCCACGCACTGTCTACCTCTACTCAAGCAGCATACACATTGCTTGTTGACTCCACTGCAAAAATATCACTGAAGGTCATTCCAAAGTAGATGGCAGAAATTCATCTGCAACACTCGAAGGCGAGTCGCCGCAACAGCGGAGCAAGGTTTTGCTAGGATAGAAGTACGACGCCGTCTTGTCAGCCGTCTTCTCCACGGATTGTTTCAACCGTATGGTGGGAAAACCTAGTAAGTAGTGGGACTGACAGCCAAGTCAACTAGAACTAAAATTGTCATGCAGCATAAGGACACGGGATCGCAAGCGGGTCTCCTGTCTTCTCGTGCTAGATCGCAAAGAATTTGAAATTCTTTGCGACAGTTGTTTTCAACCATGTATTTCTACCCCCGAACTATCTTTTTTCCACGCATAATTTGCCGCAGCTTCTCCTCTTGCTCCAGGGCCCGTTGCTGTTGATTGTGTGAAGTTCAATTTCATTTTCAGAGTCAAAAAATCCGAAATCACAAGAACTTCGCGCCTTGTTTTACTAGCTACTCTCGCTGCAAAACATTGCACATTTACAAACGGACCGCCTGATAACGCACCTGCGCGGGAATTCTTCCAAAAATCTTCCCAAATCCTTCCAGCACCCCACCAATGCCCGCGCCCTGTCGACCCTGAGCGCAACTGGGTTGCCTCATAACTTTTCTGCCTTGTTGGGGTAGGCAACCCACGGCAACGAGGACCAACCAATGCGCTAATGCGCGGCGCTCGTCCGCGCTGTGAAAGATCTGCGCCCGTTTCACCACGCTGAGCCAACGCCACAACATCCGGGGGCCTACCCCTCGATCCCTGGGTGCGCTACACCGAGAGAAAGCTGCAAACCAGTAGCCGCCTCGGTGGGGGAAGTGGGGCCACAGCGGTCTTCTTGACTTGAAGCCGAGCAGCGTAGCGAGCAAGCGACGCAGGTTGTATGGCCACCACGCCGCCGCGCCAAATATTATGCACGGCCGGCGCTACGGCGCCCGGTGTGAATACCGGCCAAAAATAAATTGCCAGGCATTCGGCTTCGAAAAGAGAAGCCTTGCCCCATATGCTATGGCGCCGCCTGGGCCCCCACCAGGGCAGGCCCCCCCTGGGCGCCCGAAATCGTGCCGACAACACAGGGGCCCACTTCCGATTTTTGGCGGGACGCGCTTTTTTTTTCTCTTTCGCCCCGGGAAAGCTTGAGGCCTGGCCTTCAGTCCACCTCTGCAGGGCCGCCCTTGGTGGCGTCTTTTGCGGGGCCCGAACGTGGGCCGAAATCGGGCCCGCGCGATGCGGGCTCGGTGTTTTTCCGGGCTGCTGCTCTGTTGGCGCCCCGTTATGGGCGCCCAAAATCGGCAGAAACCAAGGAAGGCGGTGGGCGCCTCGAACGGGCGCCCCCTTTGCCAGCCCCCGCGAGTCGTTTTATCAAGCGCCAGCCGATGCATAGAATACGAATACCACTGGGCTTGGTTGGTTGCTATCAACGCCCCGGCTGCTTGATAAGTCAGTGGGCATATGCTTTTTATGTGACGGAAAAAACACTACCGACCGCCTGAAGCCTGCCGGGCATTTTGCAAAATACCTTGCAAAAAAAACCCGCAAGGCCGGAACGTCCGTGGGCGCGCTACATACAAAAAACCCGCAAGGGGCTACCGGGCCACCGAAACTGCCCGCCGCGCAAGCGGCCAGCGGCCCTACCCTAGGGAATGCGGCCGGCAGGCGCAGGCAAGCTGCGCGCGGGGCGGCCCCTGCGGCACCTCGCCAGCTGGTTTTCGGGCCCGGGGGAGTGCCACAGAAGGAGGAATCCCGCTGAAAGGCCTTCCCGAAGGCCTTCCGGGAAGGCCCCGGAAATCCTTTCGAAATCCTTCCGAAATCCTTCCGAAATCCTTCCCAAATCCTTCCAGAAGGTCCCGGAAGCCCTTCCGAAATCCTTCCCAAATCCTTCCGAAATCCTTCCGCCGGTGCTATGATAGATCGACCGCCCCGAGCAAGTGGCAGACCACAAAAAAAAAAATTTCTTGAAAAGTGAATTTGTAAGGCGCCAAATGTTTCCGGAATCCTTCCGAAATCCTTCCACTAAGCCTGTTTCGGGCTCACCACTTTTTTGCTATTTTTTCATTGAAAAAGGCCGCCACTTTTTTGCAACTCGCTGGAAGCATTTCGGAAGGATTTCGGGGCCATTCCGAGGCACATCACTCCCGTGCGCTTTTTCTTATTCAAAGGCGCCGCGCCGTTTGTTTCGCCCGGCAGCCGGCACGCAATCTGTCGCGCGCGGCGCCTGGCCGCCGGCGGGCCCACCTGGCCAGGGCCCCAAGGAGACGGGTTCGCCGCCTCGCTTTCCTCTGGTTGCCCTGATGGCATGGCCAGAAGGGCGCCGCCCCCCTCACCAAGACATGCCGCGCCCAGAAAAGGCGGAAGTAAGGCCGCAGGCGTTTTGCTGGCTTGAAGCCAAAAAGCGACGCAACTTCTATGGCCACCGTGCCACCGTGCCTAATGTTATGCACGACGGGACGGGGGCCGGTGGCAATAACGGCCGCGAGCAGCAGGCCACTTGGGCTCGAAACGGAAGGCCTTCGCCGCGTGCTATGCTGGCCCGCCTGGGCCTCCGCTGGAGCAAGCCATCCATGTGGGCGTCCGGGGTCGGCCCGAAGGCATAATTAACACGCGGGCCCACTTAAGCTCTTTGGCGGGGCGCGCTTCTTTTGTTTTTTGCCAATAAAAACGCGGCCCCTGCCCTTGAGCCTATCGGCCCGCGCGCCTATGAGGTCGGCGGCCGGTTGGTGGCGCCTTTTGCAAGGCCCGAACCAACATGGGGCAAAATCAAGCCACCACCATGCGGACTCGGTGTCGTTTTCGTGCTACCGCTTTTCTGCCGCGCCTTTTTGGGCAGCCGGAGCGAATCGCTAGAAGTCAAGGCGCTGGGCGCGTCAGAGGGGAGGGCCCCTCTTTTGCCGGCAGGCCCCCTTGCGTCATTTCATCGGCTGGCAATCGCTAGCACGCTACTGCGCCGGTTTGCATTTGAGGCCCCGATCGCTTGAGAGGCGGAAACATTTTGCATTTCCGGCCGCCGCTTGAAAACTGCCGGCCGGCATGGATGCGTGATGCCTGGCAGAAGGGCCGCCAGGCTAGAACGGTCCTGGCCTCACTGCATACCAATCAGGCGAACCGATAGCGCGCGGCGCCTGAAGAAAAGACAGCGCCCGGCAATGGCAGGCGCTTTGCGTGGTTCGCCGTGCCATGCGGCTCAAAAATTGAGCCCGGCGGAATGCTGTGCGTCAGATTATTCACCGCCCTAATATAGATGCGGCCCAGGCCACCACAAGCGCAATGGGGCGCCCTTCAGTTTGCAATCTACTGACGCCCTGAAAAGTTGGGGCGCTGGAAACATTTCGGAAGGTTCTTGGAAGATTTTCCCCCAGATTGCGTTAACAGAGATGGCCGTTTGTAATACATGGGTAGTAGTGGTCGACGCCGGCGACAACTAAGTTCTTCATGCTTCGACTGCACAAGCGACGACGAATATCTTACATGTGTCAAATAAAACTCAAGCAAATGCAAAGAAAAGTACTTACCCTCAACTTTTCCGCACTTTCCTCTCCGCCCTGGTCTTGAAAGTCCTTTTTTGCTTTCTGATATTCTTCCGATTTTTCCAAGTCCTTTTGCACCTGGTCGAGCACCCGCCGCATGAAGGAACTGCTCGAGCTGAAGTGCCGTCTGTTTGCTGATGAGCGAGTCACAACACCTGGCGCTCGTGCATCCGTGGCGAACGGAAATACTGTTGATCTTGCGCCAAGCAGCAGGTTCATATCGCCGCTGCTGGTGGGCGCAACTGTTTGATGCAGTTCTCTTAGGGCGCCGTTGCGAGAAATTTTACTAGTACCCAGATGGGACTGCGATGTGGAAGAAGAACAGGTTTTTGTTGAGCTGCTGGTGACAAAACATCGTTGTTGATGTTGGTTACCTGGCTGCCAAAGACCTCCTGCTGCGGTTTCTGTTGCTATTGGTCCAACGCAAATCTCTTGCGTAGCACAACTACTCCGTGTAGGGGTTGTCGCAGGCAAGCTCGGCGCTTTGCTCCCGCTAAAAGCCGACGGGCGAATACTCAAGCCCGTGGAGCCTTCTTTGTTTGCCGCTATTTTACTTCGACCTCCTGCGGAACTTCTCATGCTAGCAGCCATGCTGCTGCTCCCGAATCCCCGGCTGGCGGCCGTTGCCCGAGCTGTTGCGCGCTTCATGGCACAAAGGGAGGCTTGTTGCACACTGCGCTGCATGCTGGCGGTTCGCATGATTAGAGTAAGACTTCTTGGCCGATGCGAATGCGGATGTTGATGCGTGGCTTCCGATCTAAGCTCGACTGACACGAAGAACAAGTACCTCTTACAAATCAAAATGTGAACAATTGCAAGACTGGATTCGCCGAGCTTGTCGCGCTCGTAGCTACGTTACTGACACAAGCAAATACATCGCGTGCTCCTTCCCCCAACTTCTATGGCAACTACTTCCTTATCAGTACAAGGAGCGCGTTGTAGTGACTGATGATCAAAACGCATTTTAAACCTAGCGCTAGCAAATATGGGGACTACTAGAAATTCCAATATTTCGTCGACATTCGTGATCTCTTGGGTCCTGATATTTCGTGAAAAATGAACGACAAAATAAAAGCACCTCGAATACCGCCAGGACGTTATACCAGATACAATACGAAGGACATCGTCTTTCTCTTTTGACAAAAAGAAGATCTGCGAGAAATATCTGGTAAAGTACTGTGATCAAATTTTCACACGCACGAGATCAGATCTTCATTGCGCTGCTCGAAGATATCTGTAGTTTCTCTTCCACTTCCTTATCGAGCTTTTTTCCATCTTACTAACCGGCACAGCATGCTGGGAAGATGTCACTGCAAAATCAAAAAGCAAAAGTTCAAGTTGACGGAAAAATCTTCGGAAGAAAGCGGTAGAGGTGAGTGAGAATTCGCGTCCACAATGGATTCGAATATCGAATGCGCCTTTCGCTTTCCGAAATACCCTCAGGAACGAGAAGAGAAAACGAGAACACAGCAGTTGTACGCTTTCCATGGCTTTCTGGCAGAACAACGACACGTGTTGCGCAGTGCTTGAGTCGTGTCGGAGCTAAGCACACCGCACTGGAGCTGGTCGTTTTATTTTCTTGACAGCAACAAAAAGCAACGTCGAGTTTTTTCAAGGCCATAATTCTACTCCATGTGGTGGTCCCTTTCGCATTTTTTATTTTACTTTATTGATCACACAAGCCGCGAGCGAAAGGCTGTGGCGAGTAATATGGTTCTTGACTTCTAGGTGCGTGAGTGGCACCCGGGTGTTGTGAAGTATTGATATTAAAGTGCCTCTCCTAGAGAAAAAAAGATGGACTTCGCCGCGCGCGCTCCCTCGCTTTCCGTTATCTTGTTTCTTGTTCTCGAAGTCCACTGTCGTGCGACAGGGGCTGGGACTTCTACAGTTGTCGACAATGTAACGAATAGCGACGTGAACCGGCGACGACTCCGTCCACAAAGTGTGAACCCAAATCATCCTCGATGTTTCATTCCTCTACATCTAGAGGAAGTATCATGGACACCAGCAACATGATACTCGACTTCTTCTTGTTCTTCGTTGTTTGTCCTGTACCTCCTGGACGATGAAAGGGATCTTTACTCCGACGTGCATGTGCTGCCATGGGGGAAGAAATCACTTAAATAAAGATACTTGCAGTGCGTGATGGTAAGAGTGCGAAAAATCAATACGAGCGAGTGTCAAGCCAGGAGAGACAGATGTGTTACGTGTGCTACAAAATATGTCAAAACAATTTGATGTTAAACTTAAAGTAGTCATGCGAAAATCAATAAAAGTTGCTGCCAGGTGGATAGGCGCGCTCTTTATTTTCAACGGAGAAAGTGAGAAAAATAAATAAAGTAGGTCAAGGTGTGTTTATGAAAGTCATTGAAATCAGATCAGATCAGAGGTGTCGGCGCACGTGGCGCAGCCGTTGGAGCCGTTGGAGTGGGGCGTACTCGGGGCTGTAAGAGCTCCGGCGAGTGCTTTCATGAGCTAAGCTTGACCACGCTTACTGCTATAGTAGAGGCGGGTTTGTAGAGTACATAGCAAGCGTGCCGGGCTCAACGCAGCAGTCAGGCAATCCTAACCACCACGTCGGCCATAAAACAGTTTTGCGTCTGTCAGAAGTTTCAATGCAGGAACTGAGAGAGAGATAACTAACGCTTAAACTTTTTGCAGACTAAAACTAAAGAAACTAAAACTGACGCTCCGAGGAGCTGAGCTGGAGTGGGCTATAAAACTATGCTCCGAGGAGCTACGCTGGAAAGGTTTGAAACATTTTTGCTCCGAAGAGCGGAACTGGGGGAGCTAAAACAGAACTAAAACTTTGGTCTTTGGCTTCGATAAAGATCTATTCGATTTTTTTTTACGGAAAGGAAGAGCAACAACTTTTTTGAGCTAAACTGTAGTTTTACGTGGGGACCAGGCAGTGCGTGCAAGATCCTGGAAGGTCAGCACTTTTGCGGTTTTTTGTATCTATTGACTGGTGCGTTTTTACGCCCTAGCGTGGGGACAAGGCGAGCTTGATGGATCCGTAAAAGTAGAGGTCCACCCGAGAATAAATCTAAAATGGAAATCAGGTAAAACATTAAACCAAGCAATCGCGTGATAGCATCGTGAGAACTACAACAACGGAGTTACCAAGAGAGACAAAACACGACCACGTCACTCGCCTCTCATCAGCACACCATCGTGTTGCGGACTAGCAAAGCTCTCAACTGAGAAAAAGAAAGGTAAAAGAAAAAAGAAAGCCAAACTCAGATAGTTTGACTTTTACCTTGCTTTAAAGAGAAAGAGAAACTGCACTATTAGAAAGGTACGGTTTTTTTTTTTGTGTTTTTTATTTTCTGTGTAATAGTGTAGGCGTTTTCTCAGGTCTGATAGTCGACATCGATAAACTTCATATTCTGAGCATCGTTCCCTCGGTAAGATCCGACCAATTTCAGGACTTTAAAATTCAGAGTTATTAACTCCCCGGTGGTACACTCGTTCGTACATGGACGCCAGAAACTTGTAATGCGCGTGATCAAAAATCCTCTTAGAAAACTCCGAACGAGCAATACCTTGCTGAGTAGTAAAATAGCATTACAGATTCCATCCCACAACATCACCCCCACGAAGAGAATCGCTAACTCCCCGATGGTATGCTCGTTCGTAGGTGGAAATAGTAATGCACACACGAGATATGTAATTGGTTTTACAGAGATTTAGATTTTTTGAAAAGTTGTAAACAAGAAAAGAAAAAATATTTAGTGACGACAGAACGTTTGGCTCCAGTGCGCTGGTAGAGGCAGAGCGGTGCGGCGTTGGCGCGGACATCAAAGTGGTTGTACTTCTTGCAACTCAAACTTCATTACCTACTCTTTCATTTTGATTTTCATTTTTCCACAAACAATGATGTCACAGCCACGGCTCTTACACTTCTCCCTTGTGCTATTACTTCTGCAACACGTTTGCACGATTTTTGTTTCGGCGGTATGAAAACAAAGAGAAATTCCGGCAAGAAGTAAAATTCAACAACCTCTATGGGATAAAACTGAAAGTAGTAGTAGAGCTAGCGACAAAACAAAATTTCAAATACTTAAAAGCAAGACCCCCCCCTAAACATGATAAACCCCGAAACCCATAAACACTAGTAAAAACAGAATGAGAATCTAGTGTACAAAAGCATAACAGAAACGTAGACGTACTCGAGTGGGCGCTTCAAAGTGGTCATCCCTCTTGAAGGTCACCGCCGAGGAAGCCATGCCAATTCCGCTGATCTTAAATGAAAGACCTGGACCTTTTCCGGCACAGCACCGCAGCAGGACCTCCCCATTGACCAACAGAAACTCTAGAAATTTAAAACGTCACCATCACACGTCATCGCCGCTTGGTAAAAAAATGAATTCTCCGTATTCATTCATCGAATTGCTGCTCTTGTGCAGTAATTTTCTCCTACTCGTTGCGGAGCAGCGGCGTTTGTTCTTCGGTTTCCCTCTTCGAAGGAGCAGCAGGACACACCGCCGGCTTTTCCCAATCCTCCTGGTCGGTGTCCGGTGCGGCGGAAGCAATGTCGGTGATGTGGTCGGGGGAGGCGGACGAGGAGCAGGAGTCAGAAGACTCATCTTCACTCGTGCAGTCGGAAGCAGTCCTCGAGTAGGCCGGCTCCTTCGCCTCGGGTACTTGTCCTCGGCCTTTTTCCACGTCCACGTCCACAACGGCCAGCTTTGATGTTATGCAGACGCAAAATACACCGTGTCCGTGTCAGGGACAGAATCGACAACATTGTATCATGATCATGTTTTATCTACGTGTAGGCTTCAAGAATGCATCAAGTGAGGTTCTTATTCTTAAGACAATTGCTCTCCATACCCATAACAACCACACGAATTGCTCGCGAACCTCAACGATGAAATAACTCTTGCATCGCAACGAGCAGGGCTCCCATCTTCAACCGTGGCCAAACTCAGGCTCAGTGTGGGCCTACTTGCTCGTCGTAGTGCACGATCATAACTAGACATCAATGCAGGACAAGACAAGCGCGCTACGTGACGCGCCTCGTCTTTGAAAGCCTTTTACTCATCAAGGCTCGACTGCGACTTTGCTACTGACGCTTCCGTCGTGATGCAGTTCTTTATGTCTAGTTTCGTGTGTCAATTTGAAATGATCCTGACCCCAGCCGCGGGATTACAGCCATTAGCCTGCTGCCCTGTGCTGCCGGTGTGGTTTTCGTGGTCTGCTTCCGTCCTGGCGAACGACGCAGGTTGTACTGGCTCCGCAGCGTGGTCGCCCAATTGGTTTTCGCACAAGTCCTCGGGAAAGGACACAATCACGAACGGTTTTTTGGCCTTCTTTTTTCCGATGTGAAGTGGAAGTAGTGCTTGGTCGCGTGCTGGCACACTTTTGCAATCGTCTTCGTTGCCCGATTGCACGCGGCGTTGGAGGTGCTTCTTTCTCTCGTTTCGTTTCTTTCTAGATTTTCTACCCGCAGTTGTAGCCTTGAATTCATCTTGAACTTCGTCTTCCGTGTTTCCCGTCTTGTCCTCCCCATCACGGCCGCAGGCACAGCAGGTGCTCTTCGTCGTTGCCCGCGGTTTAGCCGGTAATAATTGGGAGAAACGGCGGCGAACACATGGGGTCCAACGGTACAGAACAAAGGCGAGAAGAGCGACGCACACAAGACCGATAGGAAGCTCGACGCTTTGCTTCGCATACTCCAAATAAGCTTGAAAGCCTTGCGCGGGCTTCAGCATAAGTGCGTGTTCTGCGCCGGCTTGCTCAGAGCCGGTAATTTGAAGAGCTGTCGAGTGTCCTTGAACCGTCCTTGGCCCTCGTCCTCGTGCTTGTCTACTCCGTTTTATTTGTTTTGCTTGTTCTTCTTCATCACGTAGCCGTTTTGGTCTTATTTCACGTAGCCGTTCTATTTCTGCTTGCCGACGCCGTTTTATTTCTGCTTGTTCTTCTGCTTCTTCTTCTTCACGTAGCCGTTTTATTTCTGCTTCTTCTTCTTCACGTAGCTTCTGCTCGCGCCGATTTCTTTCTGCTTGTTTTTCTTGCTTGCGCCGTTTTATTTCTGCTTGTTCTTCTTCAAGTAGCTTCTGCTTGCGCCACTTCTCGTGGTCCTCGTACTCGTACATCGCCTGTGTGTTGCGCAAGTGTCTTTTCAGCATGTCAGGATCGATGGACGCCACCTTGTTGTCGTCTGGTGCTGCTTCCAAGAAGAGAACTCGCGTGACTTTTTTGTTCGTTTGGAATTTCTTATTCAGTGCACCATAAACGAACTTCGCAGCCTCCGTTGAAAGTCTACTAGTCGAGGAATTATATGAAGGAAAAGGAAGTTCCAGCAGAGTTTTGAAGTGAACGAAGACATTCCCACCATCATTGTGGGCACGTTGATGGCGGCGCCATCGATCGCGCGCGTTGTCGGAGAATTTCACGGCGTACCCCTTTATGTGCTCAGAGATATGATGAGAAATCGTCGCCTCCAATTGGTCTCGGTTGCTGCCGCGCTGCTGGCTTGAGCTGATCTTCATGTTGCTGCCCTGCTCGATGATCTTGTTCACGATCTGCTTTCTTATCAGTTTGTCGTTGTAGTTGACGAGATCACGCTCCGACGCACGCGCGATGCCGAGCAAGCGATCTCCTGCATTCGCAACGGCATCGAACAAAGCGTTTTCATTTCCGTCGTTACTTGTTGCGAATCCCGACTTAATAAGCCAGTTGAGGCTCTCGTCGTCGTGGTCGATTACATGCTGGTCTGCCGCGATAGCTTCAGGAGACGTTGTCACCCCTTTGACTGCAAAGCCAGGAGCTGCATTCGCGACACCGATTTTGCCAGCCAGTGCGTCTCTGAGATCTGTGCCATTCTTGCTGAACAAGTTCTTCCCCCGTGTCCCTTGGAAGGCTTTTTTTCCCCCGAGCCCGATTATTGACTTGTAATACGTATTGTTCATCATCTCTGAGATTAACGTCTCGAGGTTTTTCGCAATGCACAATTGCCGGTACGATTCGATCCAGGATTCCGGGGTGTAGAGACCTCCATAGTCTGGCGTGTCGGGAGGATTTGCATTCGTGTTCGTGACTTGCTGCGTCGGTACTGCACGTCTTCCTTTTGAGGGTGTCTGACTCTCGTCAGGGCGTCGAGGCTGAGTTGAAAAAAGAAATTTCACAATGCTGCCCCCGCCGGATGTTGCGCCCATGAATTCCGTCAGACGCTGTCTGACAGAGTCTGGTAACTTCTGTCGATCGAGTACTTCATTTAAAAGTTTGTTTTTCAACACTTCTTTGTTGCTTGTTGTGTCGAAACCAGTTCCACCCGTAGTATTTTCGCTTTTCGACATGAACACACTCCAGTATTCTTGCCATGCGTGTTTAACTCGCGCTTCCCTGTCTGCCGCGCCACTTGTCAAAGCTTCACGAAGCTTGCGCCCGGCTTCCTTTTCGTCACTCCCACGACCACCTAAGGGCATCCTGACAAGGCGGAGCAATGTGTCGAATCGTGTGACTGATTCCTCTAGTACTCTCGGTTTTTCTTCAAATAGTGTTGATATATTTGATTTTTCTTTATACTAGTGATGTGCTTCCACTGCTACTACCAGAAAAAAAACGCTCTCTTGGTGCAGCTACAAATCTCCGCTTTGTGTTCCATTTTTTTGCAAGCGCTCTGCTTGACTATGGAGGTTTTTCATCGGTCGTAAAGAGCACAATCGACGCAACCCCAGCACACAGACAACAGCGCGAAAGTTGTAAGCTCCCTCTATTTGTGCTTTGAGTCGGATTTTGTTTTTAAGCACGAAATAAATAAATAATAAATTGTATCAAACATAGAAGTCAATCAAAATGAAAATGCACAACGCAACTGCCTTCATTCTTTTAGGTGGGGCCGTGAATACTCATTGGGAAGGACTGTAGTTGCTGTAACTCGTCGTGGGTTGAAAATGAAAAAAAAAACAATCTTGAACAAAACTTTTCTTTAGGAGTAGTAAAATATTCGGAGATTTTAGAAGCGCACCATGCACGCAACGGCTCGTCTACAATATTCAACCTGCTACAAAGGTCACACAGGACGAACCGAAAGATCATTCTTATCGATGAAATTTGGAAAGCCGAATGGAAAAATGACTCCAGACTACATAGCAAACAACAGAACCGAGAGATTGCTGTAATCAACATCGACTACTCTTACTCTTACTCACGAAGTCAATGAACCGACATAGTGCTTGAGGGGACCACCTGAAGAAAGACAAAGTCTCACGGTGTCCACCTGGACCGACAACTGGAGAAAGACGAGTCTCACGGAACGAAGATTATGATTTTAAAGCGTTTGTACTCCTGTTATTTTGATGGCATCTGATTCTCAGGGGGGGAGTACGACGACTACCGATACATCGGACTTATTCTCAATGGATTTTTTTGTGGGTGCATAGACACGTCAGACCGCCACCGAAATTCAAGGAAGTGCTGACACTTTTTCTGTAACGTTATTTTCTTATTTTTACGTCAGGGTCATGCTAACCAGCTGAAAAGATTAAAGAACTCGCAAGCTCCTTCTTCAATTCTTTTCATGCTATTCTGGAACTAGGAAATTCTAAAAAAAAAGTCTTCCGGGCGATGCGTATGCTGGCATCCTGTAATATTTCCATTTCCTCGACTGCACCAGCGTAGTCACTGTTTACGGAGAAACAAACGGGGCAACGAGCGTCGAAGGAGAGAAGTACAACAATAAGCATAGCGAAGTAAACTAGGCCGAGGCATCGCAGCAGCTTTCCGAAGTACCCCCAAGAGCAAGAATGCAGAACGAGAGCACAGTGGTGTGCTTTACATGAATTTCTGGAAGAACAGCGACATTTGTAGCACAGCATAGGGATGTCGATGTTGAAGCTACACACAAGCTGGAGCTGGTCGCCCTAGCCCTACTTTCATTCTTCACAGCAATAAAAAGCATGATGCGTCGAGTCGCTTTCAAGGTCATCCTCCTCCAGGTGGTGTCTTCAGCATTTTTTACTTCGACCACAGCCGCGAGGCTGCGGCGAATATGGTTCTTTACTAGGATTAGGGAGACACCTTTCGTGCGAGGAGGTGGAGAGCAATTATACTCCTATCTAGCTACCAGGGGCTTTCGCCAAGTCTTCGCTACTTTCTGTGCCGACTACTTTCGAAGTTAAGGACTTCGTCATCACATACGGTTCCAACTTTGTCTGGTTTTCGTGCCATTCTCGCCTCTTGTTCTTTATAGTGTTTGTTCGCACCAAGCACCACAGCCAACATCATTTGTGTCGACGGTTCCTACCCTTCGGGCCGCCCGGTCTCTGCTTTACTCTCCACCGACGTCACCCAGTCGCAATCCGCACTGTACCTGGCGTGATTTGAATTTGCACTTAAATTCCAATTCGTTCTTCTTGAAAAATGCATGACAGAGTTATACATGTTACTTTAGGTCGTCCTGGTGGAAGACACTGCAAATTTTCATCGGAACTAGTCTGCCACAAATCTTGTGGACCAACGAGAAATATCAGTATCAGTATCAACGCGTAATCCGGGGGCTCTAGTAGAAATATTCGATAGAGACTCTTCGATGTAATCGTGGATGTGCGTGTGTCGTTTTTTAGCCTCGAGAGGCCTGTGCTATCGGGGCGAGGGGCTACCCGCCGCGCACCACTGCCCAGGTCTCATCCGCCTGCTTTGCAAACCAGGCTCCCGCCACCTTCCATTCCTCCTTGCCCGAGTTTTCACAGAAAAAGCTTTCTTCCACCACGAATTCCGGTTTTTCTTCTGCAGCATCTTCTTCTCCGGCTATCCTCGACGCCCCCGTCCTGCTCTTCTCCCACTGCTTTTCGCTTATCTTTGGGTCCGGCGGGCCTCCTCTTGGTCTTGCCTCTGCTGCTCCAGCCTTTCCGCCCTTTCCCAACGAGAAATAAATATAACACTTGTATAGCAAATACGTCGTTTCCAGCAAAAGTTCGGATCCTTCGAAACTCCCCGCTTCCATCAACCCGCCACCTGCTATCGCATCCTCCGCCTGCGGACTGTTCTTTCTGCTGTCCCCGTTATCCAGCGATTTCGAAAAAATCAGCGCTCCCCCAGCTGTTCCGGATTTGTTGCTTTTCGAAGTTGTAATATCCCATGTAAAAGCCTGGGTCATGAACATGATCCGATCCTACAGAAAAAAAATAGCATGACAAAGCTTCATCACGAGCACGATGACACGACATGAGTACAAAGAGAAAGACACACCCCAGCTTTCACAAAAGCATAAGACGCGGTGGTCTGATCCGAGTTTTCCTTTTCATCCCCACACAGGTCCTCCTTCTCCGTCTTCGCCGTACTAGTTTCTTCCAGCATCCGAAGCGCTTCGGCGTGCTGCAGTGCGAGTTTTTTCTGTTGCTGCTTCTGCAAATCGTATAGCTCCAACTCCTATCCTGTGCAAAAAAACAGTAGTCGTACTAGCCATGTAACACTAGTTACGCATGACACATGTCCTTCACCTTCTCCTTCGTAAGCTCAATCAGCATTAGAAATTCTCTTTCTCATGCGTAATGCACCTCCCACTGCAGTTGCAGTACGATACATTCGTTTTGCACAGGATAACTCCTTGGCGTTCAGCTCGCGTTCTTTCATCGACACCTGATCCTCGCGCAATGTAATCAACTGCTCCCGCGTATCCATATCCTGTGCAAAAGTAACGTCGCACAACTCGCATTGATTGCAATCACGCATGGGCATGACAGATGCATATCTATTTCTATACCTGAATCACCTCCATGACAGGCTCTACTAATTTGGATTTTCGTTACCCCTCGATCGAAAAACAATTGTCATGCGTTTTCTCCTATGTGCGAAGATAGTTTTGCAAGGCGTAATCCAGCTGCTCCTTCATTTTCTCCATGCGCTGAAACTCTTTTTCCAGGAAATGTTCCATCACGGAGGACGCGCTGCTGGTGCTGCTGATGCGAGAGGAAGGGACAGTGGCGGGTTCTACTGGACCCTTGCGATTGCTGCTCGCCCGCGCCGCAGATTCTTCGGACGAGTCCCTTCCGGAGTCGACGTTATTTTCTGCTGCTCGTGCGGCAAGCGATTCGGACTTCGAAGCCGTTGTACTGGATGAAGCTGATGACATAGGCTTTATCTTCTTGGTTTTTTCCCCACTTCTAGTGCTTCGACCACCAGGAGCTCCTTGATCCGCTTCCGGCTCTTCTTCTTCTGCTCCCGCATTTACCCCCTCCGCAACATCCAACAACTCGCTTCGCGTGCTGAGCCGTCGGGAGTTGTTACCGTTCGAGTGTAAATCTGAATCTTTGTCAAAATCGTGGTACGAACTGTCCGCGGACTTCGCAGTGGCTAACACGACCGTGGAAGAGGGTGATACTGATTCTAGTTCCTCGGGTTGTACTGGTCCTTCCCCCAACCTGCCTCCACCCCAATTCGTCCAGTTTTTGCTCGTTTTGTTCTTGTTTTTCTGCTGGTGCGCAGCTGTTCCCGAGGTCGTGGACGAAGTCGCTTGAAAAATTTTCGATTTGACCAAACTGGTGAAGGAAGAAGCACTGCCTGTACTTCCTGTCGCAGCAACCGCTGGAACGCCGAGCTCCGCCTTTTTTCGATGTTGTTGGGATGAAGCAGGTTTGCTTGCACTAGTACCGGCTGTCGCTGTGCCTCTGCCAAAAAGCCGTGAGGCGGGGTTGAAAGACGCTGCTACTTTTGCGGCAACACGACCCCCGGTGGTACCACCCGTCGGTGTCGTGGTTTTACTCGAAGAGCAGGATGTCGATGCTGTTGTGACATCTTTCTGCTCACTTTCTTCGTGCTTGTTTTTGTCAGCTTCAGCACCAGTAGCAGCGGAAGCTATTGCAGGAATGTTGACGGCGACGGCGTTGCCATCTTCTGCAACACCATCGATGTTCTGTTTCGACGGTCTGCGGCTGGAACTGAATTTCTGCTGAATCGTGTTCAAAAACTTTTCCTTCATCTTTCCCGCAGCTCCTGTGGGTAGAATCAGTTGCGAGGTGGCCGCTCGACTCTTGTTTCCCAACACAGAGTACGCTCCCGTACTAGCACCACCTCCTCCCGATGAAGCTGCAGGGTTCAATACGAGTTGTAGACTCTCCGCCCGTAGAAACCGAATCGGGTCGATCTGCACGTCCAGGTCCTCACAGCTCACGTCGACCACAAACCGTCCGCTTTCCTCGTCAAAATCCACGATGACGCCGTGCTCTGGTTGCTTATTTACTGTTCGTATCAAATGTAAAAATGTCTGGGTCTGGAAGATTGCAACTTGTCATGCTGAATCTGCAGCATACAAAAATCTGTGTTGCATGATTGCCAAAAGTCGCCCAGTTTTGACCAAATCGGGAGAGAGTTTCTCATGCAGGATAGGCATTAGAAAGGTCTCGCAGAATCTGTCATGCTAGCTCCGGCATTCCAGACCTCATGGGTCATGGAAAAGCAGCATGACAAATCGCGCATTCTTCCAGACCCAGACATTTTTACACTTGATAGGTCGTAGGCCAGAGGAAGGGTCCGCGTCGGAATGGTCCACCTCAGAATCATGCTGCATCCCAACGTCGAGGTGCTCCAAGTTGATCAGCTTCACCCGTGCTGAGACTTGGTCATACGTGACAACTTTGTCAGAACAAGACGGAGTAGTTGTTTCAGCTCCAGTTTTCGCCTGCTCGTCCCGTTCCTCCAGCCACTGTTTCGCGGCGGCGCTGAGGGTGATTGTCGAATGAGTATTGCCGGATGAATTTCCACCACGTCCGACGAGAGTACCGCTTTGCCGAGATGAAAGCACGGAAAATAGTCCCAGTAGCGCTTCTTCCCTACTGTAGCCAGATTCCTCAGTCAGCAATCCCAGTTGGTCTGCGAGGGTCTCCGTAGCCGCGCCTTCGCACACACTTGGAGCCGCTGGCCTCTTGAACAAAAACTGCTGCATCAAGGACTTTTTCCGGCCGGAAGGCTCCTGTGCAGCTGTTGGTCCTGGCTGCCGGACGACCTTCTGCATTCCACTGCCCTGCTGCTGTTCTTCTACTTGAGGGGCAGTTGCATGAGACTCTCCTCCACCATCTTCCAACGGGGGCTGGTGAACAGCATGATCCGGTGGCACGGAAGCACAAATACCGTCCGCGCTGCTACGACGAGACGACCCCATCTTTGTTTTTCGCTCCAAAGAATTGCAATTGTTCTTAGCCGCCTCTGTAATAATTACTGAAAGTGAGGATAACATCAACACAAAAACTCTCTTCGGTGGTTCATCTGGAGATACTGTCGTGACTGCGGACGTATGGTGAAATGGGCCAGGACGCAACCACGAAGCTAGCTGCTGCAGCCACGGACGCACACTCCGTGATGCTGATGTCTGCGCCAGCTTGTATTAATTGTTCGCCAGGTTGTAGTGGTCGTTGCCACGTGGACAAGTCACTGCTCTCATGAGGAAGATAAGCTCTGGAACAAGAAGAGAGACAAACGAATGAAACAAAGAAGAAGAACGAGTGCATCAGGAGACCACCACCAGCTACAACGAGCGACGACGGTGGCAATAGTATACAAGCTCCTACACATGGACGCGGAACACCGGAGATGAAAACGCATTGCCTGTATTTCTGCGGCAGTGAAAAAAAAAGCGCAGAAACAAGGAGGAACGGCTCGCACGACCTCCGGAGCCAAAATGCTGGATAAAAAAATTGACATTCTATATTCTCAAAAGCAGCTCTCTGAGGGTGGTAGTACGTGCCTACACTCATATTGTCGTTGTGGTGGTCTCTGAGAAGAATCATTTTCAGAATTTTTGTACAGATTCTGTCGCTGTTGGTTCATCTACAGCACTTTCGTCGATTTATTTGGACGTCGTCCTTCGTGACTCAAAAAAAGGCTCGCTAATTGTTTGCAACTAGAGAATCGGTGTGAAAATCTATCTTCACTAGCAGTTCTGGCAGCTTCAATATTCGTCGAGTTGTCCTGAGGTATGTAGGACTTTGATTTTTACTAAGTTCAGGATCGCGAAGATATCTGTCACTATATTTCGGCTAGCAGTTCATCAAATATCTGGCTCTGTAGGCCGGTCCCGGTGTTCTTGAAGTTGGATAAACATTTTTTCACACTCTAGCTTTGTCGTCTATTTGAGAAACGGATCCAGGAAAAAAGTTCGCGGTTGAAAAATGAAAAGTTCAATTACTTAGCGCAACGACTGTAGTTGTAGAAGAGTCATGCTGCGCTGGAGAGTAGATAGAATCAAACGTCGTCTGCTCAAAGAAGTTGCGTAGCGGCCCTTGCAGTACGGTAGCGGTACCAAAAGAGCCCATGCAACTCATACGTAAAAAGTGTAAGAATCCTGGAGATAATTCTCTGGCTGTGGTTCCTGCTGTAGAAAAATCCGTTCTATACTTATCTCAACACTTGTAGTCAGCGATTCTTCTCGAGGATCCCCCCTAGTACTTCAACAAGCAGCTTTATTCCAGTAAAAAATCCTACTTGTGCAGCGCCTTTTCCTGCCTCAAAAACGCCTGCAGCTCGTTCATGTTGCTGTTCAAGTTTGTTTTCGCTCGGTCAAAACCCCCTCGTCCCGCGGAGCTGCCGACCGACGGCACCAAAAACCGCTGCGCTGCCTTGTTCTTCGGAGCAGTTCCTTTCTGATTGTTGTTAGTACCCGGGGCGCCGGCGCCACCCGCTGCCATTGGGGAGTCGTCTCTCTGCGTCGGAACCCGCTCGATTTTGCTGTTGATCTTCACTTGCTTTCCGCCTGTTTCTTTGCTGTCCTTTTTCAGAGCCGATTTTTTCACAACGGACTTGTGCTCCGTTTCCGCGATGATTTTTCCTTTTGTCCTCGTTGATTTGAGCATCCGTGTATGCAATACAAATTTCCATTCCCGCATTTGTACAAGATGCATCACAATAAATTTCACCAATCTTCTACTTTTGTTGTTTGTCCTGCGAGCATACTAGGATCGAAGCTAAGTTTTGTCATGCAGAGACCGTATTTGTACGTGTACGGGAAGTTATTTATTGTGGATACCGGTCCCAGAAGGACGGCTGCGGTTTCGCCGGACTATCGTCTCTGCTGATTCTGTCGTTCTTCGTCGTGTCCACAGATCCAGAGTTTGCCGCGGAGACTTTTCCAGTCAGGGTGCTGGCGGCGTCGTAGTTGTTCCGGTCTTGCTCTTGACGCCCACCACCAGAATGATCGCCACCATAATTGTCATCGGAAACGGAGTGGATGTCCATCACGTTGGTCACCAAAGTGCCCGAATCCGTCTCGTACGTGAACGCGTTTTCGTGCGGGTTATCCTCTGCAAAAGTATCGTGCTAGTAAGTAATTATCGCAATTATGCATGACAAATGAATCTCTTTCACTTTCTGCATGCCAAACTCCATTTTTTGTCATGCTGAGCAAATTTCTGAAGATGCGATACTTACCACCAGGACCAGTTCGAAGATATTTTTGCAATTCATACGGATCATGCTCCTGCAGCACGTTCGGCTTCTTCAAAGGTGACGGCTGCAACCACCGCTTGCTTTTCGATGTTGGTTCCTTCTGCTCGTATTTCTTCGAGGATTTACCGTCTTGCTGTTGTTGGTCCACGGCCCAGCGACTACTGTTCTGCGCGCCGGCACCTCCTGGTTGTGGTTTTGCTGCTGAACCACCGCCGCCGAACAGCCGGCCGAAAAAAGAGGATTTTTGTTGACTTTGGTTCTTCGACGCCGCACTCGGAAGCTTGTTGTATTTTTCATCATCCGAGCTCGAGTAGTCGTACAACTGGTTGTTGTTCCCCCCGCTTGGTGGTAGTACCGCCGGCGGCTGCAAGTTTTGCGCACTGGTACTGCTATTGCTCGTTTTACTTGCCGTTCGTGGTTGCGGCTTGTTGTTGTCTTTCTGTGTCTTTAGTGTTTCTCCTGCCTGTTCCATTTCCTTTTTCACTTTCAAATCGGAGATCAAATCGTCCATTCTGGGTAACATCGGCTGCAGATTGGGGTCGGTTATAATTCTAGTATTCCCCCTCGCATTATTCTTCGCTGGGGACGGTGTGGGAACAGTATTCGGCGGCTGTTGTTGCCTTTCGTGTTGTTCTCTTATTTCCTGCGTTTCTAAAGCTGCTCCCTGCTCCGCCACTTTCGTCAATTTCTTCCCCGGGGGGTCCGGGCGACTAAAATTGATGAGGTCGTCCCGCGAATCTGCTTCGGTCGGTCGCAAAGCTGAGCTTGCACTCTGCTTGTTCACAGGATCCTGCAGTTGTCCCCGGTCCTTCTGCAATTGGAGCATGTCCTTGTTGTTCTGCCACCGGTTCGACTCGTGCATGTTGGGAGGGAAGAAATTCGTGCCGGTCGTGACTTTTCGCGGCGGCTCCCGAGAATTGTCGGAGAACTGCTGCATACCGGGGAGGGGTGGCGGATTGTGCAGGTTTTTTGGTTTATGCATGGTCTGCTGCTGATTCTGTTGTTTTAGTTTCTCCATCTCAGGCGAGTAGGGGAGATGAAAACCACCTTCCTTTTCCTCTATCGCGGCGACAATTTGCTCCGTCCGAGGCTGCTGGTAAGCAGCAGCATTGGCGTTTCCGTCGCCAACATCATAGTACTGATTGTTGTTTTCCCCCTGCAGTGGTAAAGTCAGGCCGTTGTTGTTTTCTTTCGATGTCGATCTACTCCTACTCCGCTTGTCTCCCTCGTCTCTCCCGGGGACCGGTGGGGGCGGGGGGGGTTGTGCGGCATTTTTTTTGTTCGATCCAACACCGGGTAGCCAGCGCGACATGAGGCTGCTCTTGTTCCACTTTTTGTAGCTTTCCCGCTCCGGATTTTGCAGGGTTTCCGTTTCCTGGACGAATATGGGAGCGTCAGGATTGAAATCGTCAGAGGTGAAATAATCTGTATATGCAAAAAAGCGATACCAGCTGGAGCCCAGTTTGCAAGTGGCGCATGACAAATTTTGGCAGCATCAGCATGGAAATCCAATTTGTCATGCTGTTTGAGCAGACAGGACTGCTTTTGTCATGCTATTTTAGCAGCTCTATCGCACACCCCAAACAGGCTTACAATCGGCCTCAGTTGCCTGCTCTGCAAGACAGGCGCTTTGCGTCTAGCATTTTACGCATCGCAAACTATTTCAACTTTGACGATTTCAAACCTGACACTTCCATAACGAAGCTGGTCGCCATGTTCTCGTTCGACGTGTACTTTTGGATCAACTGCGAGGTGACCTTCTTCTGGTTCGCGAGCATTTTTTCGTTCACGTTCATCTCTGGCTGATTCAGTTTTCGTTTCACCGGTATGCACTGCGAAAGTATCGCACATGGTAGAAATTGGAATTGCAACTAGACATCATATTTTTTTCAGAAGGACAAAAGAAATCTGTCATGCTACTTCAGGTAGTTGCAAGAACAAAGTGTCTTCATACATAGACTGCAATCACTAGTACGTCCATACGACACTTTTTCCCAGGATCATAACCGGCGACGTGGATTCGTTGTAGACATTCTTATCAAACATGTTCGCCGGCACTTTCCGCTGGATCTGCCCGTCCAACCGTTTCTGCTCGTACACCTCCTCCCTCTCCTGGAATTGCCTGACTGCATCCTTGGAAAATCCCGCGCGGCGCAGCGCGGCGACTTCCTCCGAGTCTTTGTAGAGGTCTTCTTTGGGCGAGAAATTCATCCCGCCCATATGCAAGGCAAAAACATCGTACTGGTATAAATCGCATGACAAATTTTCTCAGCATGAGAAATGAAATTTGTAATGCAGATTTGCCTTAAGCACGAGACTTGTAATGCATGATTGCAATAATTACTACGAGTGCGATACTTTTGCACAGAATAACCCATGTTGGCGGTGGATTTTGGACTCTGGTTCTCTAGCATTTCCTTCTCTGCTATGGGGGTGTCAGGATCGAAATTGACAAAGTTGAAAAAACTTGTGATGCATAAAATGCTAGACGCACAGTGCCTGTCTTACAGAGCAGGCAACTGAGGCCGATTATAAGCCTGCTTGGGGTGTGAGATAGAGCTTCTAGAGATAAAGTAGCATGGCAAAAGCAGCCATCTCTGCTCAAACAGCATGACAAATTGGATTTCCATACTGCCAAAATTTGCCATGCGCCACGTGCAAACTGGGCCCCAGCTGGTATCGCTTTTTTGCATTACAGATTATTTCACCTTTGACGATTTCGATCCTGACACTCCCATATCTGCTGCTTCCACTTCGGGATTCTCGAAGAACTGCAGGGATTTAATGTGCTGCTCCTTCACTGATAAAGATTTTTTCTTCTTGCTCTTCTTGTTTGATGTTGTTGTTTCAGCGGTCGCGCCGTTGTCTCCTTTTGACGGCGAGCGAGCTTGTTGCTTCTTTTCCGGACTTTCCACGTAGTCGTGCAACATTCGCTCCCGCGTCCGCATGTCTCTGGTCACCTTGGGAACCTTTTGCTCGTTCTTGTCTTGCGTGACCTGACTGAGTATCAAACAAAAAAAGTGTTAAAAACGTTAACGGTTTTACAAATTTTGCCCTCAATCCATAACGCATCATGCGATGCAAATGCAATACCAATACAAGTTTGGCTTTGGGCACCTCTTCTGATGCATTAGCATTACTGCATCAAATTCCGTTAACGTTAACACTTGTTTTTTCTGTGGTACTCAGAACCTTGTTCGCAAACTGCTCGTCGAGCGGTGGCGGGTCCTGAATGGGTTGAGTTTGTATTGCAAAAACATAGAGGACGAGATTAGCGTATGATGCATCTTTGCGCATGATAAAACTTGTTTTTGCATTCTTGCAAAAAAAAATTGCGTTCGCGATGGTGATTTTTCAATACAATGCCAATCTTTGATAGTATTATACCGGCCCCGGATACGTCCCCTGCATCAACTGATCCCAGTACTGCAGCGCCCGCTTGGCCTGCGGGCTGTTCTTTTCCAACTGCGCCAATGCTGTTGGGCTCAAAGCCTTTCCGCCGTTCTTTTCCAGCTGCTTCTTGATTTCCTTCCTATGCTCCTCGTCCGTGCGGTCCTTAAATTTTCCGTCGAATTTCGTCCCCTTGGGGTGGAACCACTTGAAGTATGCAATACAAATTTATTTTTCCCCCAGAACACGTACAAAATGCCAATGCGTTTGGAAATTTTCCTATCATTATTTGTCATGCCAACTACAACTACTGAAGAATACTTTTGTCATGCAAAAACTGCACTTGTATGCGCACGAGAAAAAAAATCAGTTTTGATAGGAAGCCGGTTGCGTCCGCGTTCGGCCGCTCCATAGAACCGTCCCAGTTAGCTGGTTTAGTTTGTCATGCGGAAAATAAATCAACTACTAAGGGAAATGAATGGCGGGGTTCTACTTTTGTCACTCATGCACTCGACGAGCAGGAGGGGAGCTGCTAGTTACACGAGGACTACTTCTACATCTACAGCTTCATCATACGACAGCAAAACCTATTTATAACTACCATCCGTCGTCTCTTTCGGTCTTGTTTTCAGCGGACTGGGTTTGTCCACGTAAAAGGACGTTCCCCTCGTGGTCTGGTTCGTTCAACTATGCAATGTGAATTTCCCGTACATGTACAAAATGCATGACAAATTTCGCTAACTTGTAGTGTCCTACTTGTCATGCTAGACTAGGATTGAAGGCAAGTTTTGTCATGCAGAGACTGCATTTGTACGTGTAGGGGAAATTTACTGTCGATATCTCCCGTCGACGGAATTTAAGCCGTCGTTCAAGGAGTCCAGGGACACCACCGACCGCGTGTCATCCGTGGTCGCGTCGTCGACACTGCCAAAAATCTCGGGCTGGGCCTTTTTCATCGCCCGTTGCGTCTGCTTCACCATTTGGTCCACAGTTTGGAATTTGTTTTTGTCCGATTTTCGGTGCGCGCGCCGGGGGACGTACCTAGGGTTGTAGAAGATTTTTGATGTATATTGTCACTTCAAGTTCAAAAGACTTAGCGTGCTCTCCTACGATATCAAGTGAAACTACAACACTACAACAACTCTATAATATTACGAAAGTACTAACTCTCTCGCAATGATACGCTTACTACGAAGGTGGAAGACGAAGAGGCGTTCCAACCCTTGCACCTCCATAGTAAGTACATATTTCACTTACCCCCGAACCCGGTGACATGCGTGGCAATTCGTGCACTGGCCCGGATTTCGGTACCCACACAGCTCGCATTCCCACGGTCCTGGGCTAAAATCTTCGTAGTGGACGAACTTATTGGGCGAGGCGGTTTGGTGCATCACCCCTATCTGATCCAGTGTGTCCGGTAACGGGTAGGGTTGTCGAGGGACGTATCCACAGGGAAAAAACCTGCATTATCCCGCCGATCCAATTTGTATATGCAAAACCTCATGCAAATCCATCACAGCAAGTGTAGTTTGTGATTCAGATGAACAAAATGGATCATGTTCTTGGGGATGGGTTTTTTCTTGTGGATAGGACGCTTCCGGGTGCTTCTGGGGAGAAGATGGAAGACCGGTTCGTTTGGTTACCTGCAGTTGTGTTGGAAGCACTAGATTCTTCAAAAGAATTGACGACATCCGCTGCATGACAGGCGTTCCTGTGAGTGCAAAACCCTCTGTACAACGACCAGCATGACATCTATATAGAAACTGAAACATGGGAGGAGTGCACACACTGACTTGTTGTAAGTACCAGCCGTATCCACGGACAAAGACCTTTTCGACCGCAGACTCGCTGCGCCCGGCGACTGGTCCGGTAAGTTGATGCTTTGCCCCGCACTCAGCACCCCCTGCTGCTGCAGCTGCTGCTGCTTCGCGGGGTATGAACTGCAAAAGTATCGTACTCGTATAAATGCATCACAAATTTCCTCAGCGTGAGAAATAAAATTTGGCATGCGGATTTGCCTTAAGACAAAGATTTGTAATGCAAGACTTGCACTCATACGAATGCAATACTTTTGCACAGGATACGGGGGACAAAACGTTGATGACGACCTGCTGCTATGCATTGCAAATATGTTGTCATCTGGCTCTCGCTCTAGATGGAACTTGTGATGCCAGAGAACGGAAGCAAGTCTGGCGCTCTCAAGTGCAGCCAAGCAAGAAAAGTTTAATTCTTGGCGCCGGGCCATGCGTAGACCAAAAAGCGCTGGCACCTTGTTTGCGGGCTCCTGTGCAATACAGATTTATCAGGACGAATGCAAAACATGCAAGACAAGCTCCACTGGGTGTTCCAGACCCAGACGTATTTCCAGTGGATAGCTGCTGCGGCAACTGCCCCTCTCGAATTGCTTTTTCCACGGTTTCCACGGTTTCTTCTAGTTCCCGTGGGGAAATCACTTTGTGCCGCTTTATCCCCGCGTCCAACTCGAAGGTTTTCTTTTTGAACCGGAAATAGGGCTCGAACCGCCCCAGCCCCGGCAAGAACGCCAGCCAGTAGTTGTTCTTGTGCACTTTGGACCGCTTGATGCAGCAAAAACAGCCCACGATCGCGACGAGCGAAATATCGTGAGAAAAAACTGTCTCAGTCTCAGTCTCAAATTGCAAAGTTACTGTGCGACTTCCTATCTCGTGAGAGGACAGGTAGTTCTTGCGATGCTGGAGATCATGGAAGAGAGGCGTATTTCATTTATATGTGTTTTCGCTTGCTATCTGAAGAACGAATGATCTTTATTTTTAATTCTTCCTTCACAATTTTCTTGTTTTGCCGAGACAGTTTTTTCTTGCGATAAGAGAGGACGAACATCGAATAGACAAACACGGTCGCGTATGAAATGCAGAAGTGTCTGGGTCTGGATGAAACTTGTAATGCTAAAAGTGAATGATAGACCACGCGCCGCAATACGCAGCTATGCATGACAAATTTTGTGGCTGCCATGTCTTACGTAATCCGCATGGCAAGCTGCCTTTTCGCATGACAGTTAAGAGGGCTCTTTCGTGACTATGCAACACAGATTCTCGAGTCATGCCAGACAAGCATGACAAACTTGCATTCGACTTCCAGACCCAGACACTTTTGCATTTCATATCGCGCCGACGTCACCGGAGGACCCGTCCAGCGTCCCGGTTCCACCGTTAAACACGCTGTCGAGCAGCGAATCGCCCAGGTGGCAGCGCTATCCTGTGCAAAAGTATCGCACTCGTACAAATGCAAGTCTTGCATTACAAATCTTGTTTCCAAGGCAAATCTGCATTACAAATTTTATTTCTCATGCTAAGGAAATTTGTAATGCATTTATACGAGCACGATACTTTTGCAATGCATAGACACTGAGACTCGATGTGGTACTTCGTCCCGGTACCGAGGTGCGTCCAGGACTTCGTTGGGGGCACGTTGGTAACGGCAAGATCGATATGCATTGCAAAAGCTAATTATTATTATTGAGTGTGATATGCATTTTTAGCATTACAAATCTCTTTCCTCAGGCAAATACGCATGAGAAATTCATCAACTTCTAACGCTAAGTCAATTTGTAATGCAATTCGCACTAGGACTAGTTCCAGTTAGTATATGTACGAGGATCATTATACTTTTGCACTTCATAGTCGACCGTGTTGCCGCCGGACTCCTTGTATCAACTGTAAAAATGTCTGGGTCTGGAAGAATCCAACTTGTCATGCTGATATTGGATTCTAAAAAAATCTGTATTGCATGAGCAGCAAAAAGAGTCCAAGTTTTGCTACAAGGAAAGAGCATTTGTCATGCGGTATAGGCATCAGGAAGCCCTCACAAAATCTGTGATGCTAGGGCATGCATCACAGACATGAGGAGTCATGCGAAATGTGCATGACAAACCTGGCAATCTTCCAGACCCAGACATTTTTACATTTGATACCTTGAACAGCGGGTTTCTCTGCCCCCCGTCGGAGGTATGGGCGATCCAGCCGACATTTATTCACAGGAAATTTCCCGCACACGTACAAATGCGGTGCCTGCATGACAAAACTTGGCTTCGAACCTAGTTTAGCATGACAAGTTTCACGCTCCTAATAAGAAAAATTTGTGATGCATCTTGTACATAATGTACGGGAAATTTGTATTGCATAACATTGGAAACCGGTGTGATCTCGTAGTTGCCGTTCTGCTTCTTGTAGTTCCCGGCAGAGTTTCGCCACTCGTAAACCCCGTTGAAGGAGGAGCCGCGGGTCCCGAACCCGGAAATGCACAGCGTCGGGCAGCGCTCGCGGAGCGACCGCGAGGAGGAGGCTGCCAGGCTGGACCCGGTGAGAAGCGAAGCGGTTGAGGTGGGTTTCGTCATTTTGTTTACCTCTTCGAGGCTCTGCATCGTATTTTTATATTTTTGATAGTCGTAGTCACACAACAAGGCTCCTCATCTGCTCCGCAATATCATATCAAATCATCTTCGTGATCAGCTCGTCATTCTTCATCTTGCAACAACTCTACTGAATTAATTTCTAAATTCCTGATGCATGGGGGTGATATCTTCATGACTTTGTGCAAGATGAGGGGTAGTTGGACTTGTGCTGCAACAACGGTGCGCTTCGGGTTCGGGCAGGATTGCTGGTGGAGTTCATTTTTAGGGGAGAAAGCTGACGACGAGAGATGAAAATGTTACATAGAAGGAGAAGAAGAAACGCCAACGACGCAAGAACTCAAGGTCGTTTTTTATTTGTGGGTCTAAGTGGTCTATTTCTCGTGCCTAGAATGCAACGATTACGATAGCGTTAGCGAATTTGCGATATCAGACATAATAAAAACCACAAAAGTAGTAGAAAGCGAAGTGGGAAATGAAAAAAAAACGTTTGCGCTCATTCACTCTGCTTGATGACGCACCGGAGAGACTCTCCTCTACGACGCAACCGGGTTTTTTTTTCTGCACTCACACAACTACCAATTTTTTTCCCGCTACTCATCCGATTTCGCTCCTGTTTGCTTTCGCTCAGTTCTAGTGTGCGGCCTGACGCAAGAATTCTCGTCCAGCCTGAAAATCTCTCTTTTGAACGCGAGTATCAGTATCATTATCCAAGCATAAACAAAGCTTGTTCATCTTGCAGCTCGTTTTCCATCTCTTACGAGCGTCCGTGGGAGAAGTGTGGGCTGCTTGTGTTCGTCTTCTTACTCTGGTTCTTATTTGCTACTTACTTAGTCGTGTGGACTCGCGATAGCAATTATTCCTTCGGAGAACGGTTCTTCTTCTTCTTCTTCTCATCAAGGTGGTACTAGCGCTATGTGAAGAAGAACTGTATATTTTTGGCAAAGATTGTTTGGCCTAGTTGTCCTGAAAAAAAAACCTCCTCCGGATGTTGCACAATGCACAACACCTTTCTGCCCAACCATCAGGAAAATCTAGTACGCTACTAGAGTCGTTCATCTTCCTCGATAGTGCAAAGTACCTTGAGAGGAAACGTACTAGGTAAGAAGTGTAACACAGAATATATAATATACGACGGACTCGACTTCTCCTGCTTTCCGGAACAATAGCTATCGCATCGAACAGAAAAGAAGATGTCAAGAGCTTGGACTTGCTGCTGTATCTAAAGAGCGTTCTACTTGATTGCTCTGCCTCCACTTGCCTCACCTTCAACATCACACTTTTCACACTGTGGAAACAAATAGAAGTTTCATGATAAGGTGTGTTCGTGCAGCTGCATGAAAAAAAAGGCTGTATCATACAAATTCCGAAGATTGATTCGGTGCCAAGGGCACTTGTTTGACTTTAATTTTCATCGTCGGAGACTGCGAAAAAAGCGTTAACGTTAACGGTTCCACTATCTTTTTTCAAAAGTTTTTTTTTCTCCAGCTACCAAAATGGCTAGGCAGTAAGCAAGGCAATTATTGGACACAGGTGGGTAGTTCGGGCACATGTGAAATCATTACCCCACTCCCTTAACAAGGCCGGCGTGAGCGAAGGTCTCCAGGCCGCCCCGGCGTGCCTCTGGCGTCGGACCTGTTTTGAATACAGAAAAAACCGTTAACATGCACGCTGTGATAGCCATGTTAACGGTTTTTTCAGGCCCAGTCCGAAAATCTTGGTTTGGAGGTGTCCCGAAGCCAAATTTCGAGGGATCCACAAAATACCCGCTAACATGGCCAAAAGTAGGTGCATGCTAACGGTTTTTTCCCGGCTCAACAAAAAGCCAAGCTTTCGGCAACCCCTTCGGCCAGAAATAAGTGCATGCTAACGGGTGTTTTTTGAAAATTTTCACGTGCTCCGGCCCAGAGGCCACAAATTATTCGACCCAAAAAAAACCGTTAGCATGCGCCTAATTCTGGCCATGTTAACGGTTTTTTATTGATTTCCGTGTCGATCCAAGAAAAAACCGCTAACATGCGTCTGATTCTGGCCATGTTAACGGTTTTTTTGGGACCCCCTCCGAATTTTGCGCCAGAGGCACCCGAAGCAGCAAGATTCTCGAGTAGACAAAGTTCGCACCCTTCAGAGAAGAGTTCCGCAGATCTGGACCGCTCTGCTCTGTCCATTCAGAGGAGTCTGCAAAATGAGCAAAAGCATGCACGAGCCTCCCATCTCCTCAGAAAGGTCGGCCACCTTTCGCTCGCTTCAAGGTGTCGCTGTGCCCGGTCTAGCTGCTTGCGCCCCGCTCGTTTTAAGATCGCTGCCTTTTGGGACCGCTAGCGCGACAAAAAAAAAACTTTGAATAATTTTAGTCAAACCGTTAACCGTTAACACGGAGCCGCAGTCTTCGACGATGAAAATTAAAGTCAAAGTTTGACTTTAATTTTCATCGTCGAAGACTGCGGCTCCGGTCCGGAGGAACTACTCAGAACTCGTCTTGCAGGAATTTGTAAGTACTGCGAAATAGGAGGAGGAGGAGGAAACCACTACAGTCAGCTTCTATCTACTAAGCTATTTTCTCTTTTAAGCTAACCATAGGACATGTTTTCGCAGTTGACTAGCCAAGCAAAAGGAACCGTAGATCTGTATGGTATGGTATGGGCGTGCGTGGCGAGTAGTGTAGCACCTAATCATTGTGCCTAGTGCGACTACTTGTACCCGACTCGGGTGTTTAGGCACCTCCGCCAAAGTACTTCACTACTAAAACTTTCACTTCCCGGTGCCTGGTGTGGGCACTGCGGGCCACCGTAGTGGTGGTCTTGTAATGAAGCAAACGCTTTAATAGCGCGCCAAGCCTGATCACAGACTTATAACCCTAAACCCCGTCTAGTATATCATCCTCGTATTAGTGTATTAGTGCTTTTGGTGTAAAAGTTTTGTCTTCTTGGTACTAGTAGCGCTGCCTTGTAAATATAGCCCCAAACCCGTCTACGTCTTTGCGTGTGCTTTAGTGGCGCCGACCGGGCAAAAAACTATCGCAGCATCCGGAACTACAACCTTTTGAACAGAACTACACCTCTACCGGTCCGTCACACGCAGGCATGCCCTTCATCTAGCACTATCACGACAACTGCCGCGCGCCGGCATACAAATCATACAAGTCTGCGGTCAGTGTCATATCGTATCTGCACCCCAACAACCCAGATAGTCCCGAACGGTGTACAAACCCGGGGCTCCAATGGACTGTCAGTTTGCAGGGGGGGAGGAGTCACGCACTTAGTGTATTTATCTATCGCCCCCGTTTATGTAGCGTGGGTCGGTGTGTTACGTCCAAAGATAGGCACCGACATACCATCGGAGGCGCTAGTAAAAAAAACCACATTGAAACTTTTGCTTTCGACACCGCCCACGACCGATTATTTATTTCTCATTTTTACATCTAGACCGATATATATTTTTTACTTTTTCCTCCTTTGCTACTCTAGCCACAGCACGTCCAGTATTTGTTCTTGTCTCTCATTTTCTTTCATTCTTCACATCAACAGTCTTCACACTTTTTTATTTTTTTTCCGCCACATACAAGAGCCTGCTGCACACAGCTTCATCAACCTCAATTGCCGCGCTATCGTGCCGGCACCGCACCCGTTTCGTCATCGCGTCGCCCTGTTTGGTGTGGTCGTCCTCGTCACCATTAGCTCCGCCGCCATCACGGGCACGTCCTCGCGGTTTATCCCGGCTTCGCGCTTCGTCCATGTGCTACAAGTCGTGTCCGCGCTGCGGCCCCCCACGAGCAGCACCCGGTCCCCCGTCCCGGCGGCGCGCCTACCGTCATGATCAGTTATGGAAGTAAAGTTCCCACGATGGATGTCACATATAACAAATCAAATCATAATTTCCAACCCCCAGGTGAGCGCAGTCCAGCACCTCGATATACACATATGCAAACCGGCAGCAGCCCAGGGGGCAAAATGCGTGGAGGGCACGTAGGACAGGCCCCCCCGGGGCTGTTTGGAACTGTCTCGCTTGATTTCGTCGTGACATCGTGGGACATCATAAAGATACTTCTTGATTTGTCGCATCGTCTTTGTTGAGTAGGCCGGGCTGGAGCCGATTGATGCGTCGTCGAGGGTACCTCCTATCGAAGCTTTTCAATTTGCATGGTAGCATTTAAATTTGAAAGTGCATAAAATCAAGACTCTTGTGGGGATGTTCACATGTTTGTTATTATTTCGGGCCAGAAATAAATGACCAGCATGCGCAATAGCTTTCGCTCCATAGCTTGTTCCAGGCTGTTCTTGCACCATCTTCAGTGCCTGTCATCTTCTACAAAAACTTCGCCCCGATGTTGCCCACGGCATCGCGCTTCACCATTTTGGTGTTGAAGTACTTTCATGAAAGAAAACCATCAGAGTGTGCTTGATCCTGATCGCGCTCTGAGATCAGCACTCGCATTCAGCCAGATCTGTTTCCACCGTCTTTTGTCTTTTCTGATAGATCCGATCTGTAAACCACTGGGGCGCTGTCTTCCTCGGTTCTTGCTCAAAGCCCAACTGCCGGTCTGTACTGCAAACGCCCCCATGGAGGTGTCGCAGGCCGCTTGAATGTAGTGGCTCGCTGGTGGATCCGCGGCCGTAGTTGTGTCCGCTTGCTGTGCGTCTTCACTTGATGTCGTATTTTCTGATGGAGAGACAACGCAACATACTAGCTACTACACCGTGATGCGTGTCAAACCACTCGGATGGCTCGGGGCGCAAAGTTTGGAGTTGTAGCGCTGGCACACAACAGGGTCGAGACCGAAGCCCGTTGCCAGAGTGCCCAGACGCCACGCCTACGAGAAGAAGCGAGCCACTACTGTGTCGAATGGTTGCGAGGGCGAAGCAACAGAGTTACCTGTCGGCTGAAGCCCGCAGTGGAGGACTCCCAATCCCTCCACCGTCGACATGAAGTAGCGCAGCACGATGATATTATAAAAACGTCGCCCGCTCCGACGTAGCACAGAAAGCTCCCCCGTCGTCGATCCTCGGTTGACCCTCCCCCGTCGTTGGCGGAAGTCCTTCTGTCGCGCGTGTAGGCGCGTCCACATCCGACGTCGTTAAGAGGGGCGCTGTTCTCGAGCACGCTGGCTGTGCTGATGCACAAAGAAAGATAGCATGGGTGGAATCAAAGGAATAACCAAGGGAACGACCAAAGATCGATAAGGACAAGCCCGCGGGCTCCTCTCGCTGAAATGTCCTGCGCCCTCGTCCCTAAGAAAAACACAGGCCCTTGTCGCGTCCGCGTCGCTCGATCACAGCACGAAGGCCACGACCACGGCGGGCGCGGGTGGAGTGTATAAGCTAATCTATGCGCTATCTCTCTATTTATTGGCCCGGTTTCTCTACTTTCTTTTTTACTCTTACTATAGTTATTGCTATCCGAGGCCTTCTATCTAACTCCACGACGAGGCTACGCGGTTACCTGTGCTGCGGCGGCGCTGTCAGTGAGAGGGACGACGTCATTATTTTGTTTGTACTCTGGACCGATGTCGTTTGTTCCTAAAGGGACGAGGCTCGCTGGGGCCCCCTGCAGCATCGAGGGACCCTCTCGAGGCCCCTCGCCCCCACGGTTTTTGGTTTATTTTCAAGTAGTATCCGTTCTCATCGACGACGACGAACAACGACGAAGAACAACGAGCACGGACTTTCTATAACAAGTCATTTACTTGGAAGCTTCTCCGAGTAGAACAGCTTCAAGCCATTTACTTTGAATGGTCATATGATGATGATCATGTCTGCTGTTTCCAAAACAAGTAGATCTTTCCAAAACATTTCCAAAGCAAGTAGATCTTTCCAAAACAAGTACATCTTTCCAAAACAAAAATGATGATCATGTCTGCTGTTTCCAAAACATTTCCAAAAAAAAGTTACTAGGAGGCAATGGTGGAGGAATCGTATATACTTACGTGTGCGCCGTCACTCTTCAGTAGGAGGAATCCTTCTCTACTGAACCATTACTCCAGAAAATCAATAGGGTCGTGGCCGACGTGTCGACAAGCCACCCACATCTTCATGATGGTTGAGATGTCCTGTAAGTACTGCGAAATACGTAGTAAAATTTTCCAAAACGCAACTACTTTGTAAGTATCCCCTGCTCCGGCTCAGAAGCTATGTAAAAGCTTCTGAACCGAAGTACTTACGGTATTATACACTTCAGGGGACGAGCAGGTGCACGTCGCACTGCAGACAGACACTGACACGTATACAATTCTGATTTTACATGAGGAGACCTTCAGGAGCGAAAGAACTCGCCAAGTAGGATTCGTTGTGCAAGTGCAGAAAAAAATATGTTGCGCAAGCAGTGCGATATTTATTTGATGTTGACGACGCACGGGGGCTCTTTATTCTTTTGTCCGCTTGCAGCTTATTGCACCTCAATGCGAAGGAGTGCGGAATAAGTATCTTCATGCTGCAGTTGCCTCTTTCACAACTGGCTTAGTCTTGAGCTGCAGACGGTAAAAAAATCCCGGAATGCGGACTTGCTGTCGGAACACTATGGCAGTTACGACGATATGAATTGCAATGCTATCGTAGTCGTACTAGTACAAATCGCATGACAAATTCTTTATTCAGAATCAGCAGAAAAAGTTATGGAATTTGGAATTCGCATATGGTGTTTGAGCTTAAGAAGTCGGAGATTTGTAATGCATAAATGTCTCAGACAGTACGAGTACGATATCGCTTTTGCACAGGATAGACAAGGTCATTGGACAATGTTGCTGTGTATTCCAGCAAGAGTTCATCAGTTTCCACCCTGCTCGGGGCCCTAGCGCTCCCATCAATAGGGACTCCCAGTTGCCGAAGGTCGTCCTCGGAAAGGGTCACGCATCATATGCAAATATCGATCTAGGTCTAGAAGATAAAACCGAGTTTGTCCTGCTATGTCTGATCGACACAGAAACCTGTATTGCATGAGCAGTAGCAAAATTGCACGCTTTTGGCTGCCGAAAGAAAGCATTTCTCATGCGCAAGAATAAGCCGAAACCACGAGCCTTCGCAGACCTTGTGACTGCTCTAGAGCTCGCATAATTCCAAGCCTTCTGGGAGGTGGTGGTGGTAACAACTATGCGACATCACATGTACGATGACAATAAACCTTGCACGGTAGTTCCCGAAGATGACCCAGATCGATATTGACAGTGCATATCACGTAACGGCAGTCAACTGCTACGCTGCCGACCGCAGCGACACGTGGTTGCGTCGGAAACTGAATCCGGACCATCGCAGCGCTGCTTCCAGGAGCAAAGGCCGGTGGTGGTATCGGGCTCCATGGAGGAAGGGCACCGACATCAACGTGGGGAGAACCAGAACCAGAGGGCGGCGCCGCCAAAGCGTAGTGAATATGCAACCGGGAGACTTGCTCGTCTTGCCTATCCGTACGGGAATGCCGCAATTCCGGTCTTCTCAGAGCCCCGTCGACAAGTTTTAAAAAGTGCAGGAACGAACCAGGGGGAGTCGCTGGTCCTCCTTCTTCGTGTAGGCCCTGGCGCGCGACGGCTGCAAGCACGTCGTCCGCATGGTTCGGGGGGTTCCGGCAATCATTAGCGCCATTGGCTTATGCACTGCAAAAGCATCGTGCTCGTACTACTACTACTTCTCCTCGCACCAGTTACTTAAGTTGAATCATGCACTGCAAATGCAAATCTCTTTCTACTTGAGCGAAATCCGCGACTACGAATTTGATATTGATTCCTCATGCTGAGCACACTAAATAAATATAAATGTAAATCTATCGTGAGTGATGTGATGCGATTCCTCCTCCTTTTATTCGTCCGATACTTTTACCTCGCATATGGAGCCATAACACGCCAACTGCGCAGCCAGACCAACATACGGATTGCCCATGACCATGAGCTGATGAATAGTTCTACTTGTAGTCGCCAAAGCCATATCAAATGCAAAACTGTCTGGGTCTGGAAGAATCCGAGTTTGTCATGCTTGTGTGGCATGACTCGAGAATCTGTGCTGCATAGGCACGAAAAAGCCCACTTGCCTGTCATGCAAAAGCGCAGTTTTCCATGTGGAATACAACGTAAGACATGGCAGCCAAAAAATTTGTCATGCATAGCTGCGTGTTGCAGAAGTGCGGTATCATGCACTTTTAGCATCACAACAAGTTTCCAGACTCAGACATATTTGCAACGCCTAAGCAAATTCTTGTTGCGATTGTCGGCCCCGAAGGTTCTCGTAGAATTCTTGCCAGCGTGCCTCGAGGAACTCCGCCATATCTACTATCTGCGACCCGCCCGGAAGCAAAGCGTCAAAAATCTTGTGCAGGGCAAAGGCATCTCTTTGGAAAGAAGCAACTTGCGGCCAGATTTCGTTGGGCAGCTGCAGGGAGGACACATCAACACCGCCAGTAGGACCCCAATATGCCTCGTCCGGATCCACCGTCGAGGCCACACTGCGGCTGCGTCTAGTACGATTGCGGCCTGCTCCGGACGATAACACTTTCCGCAAGAGCGGGACCGGGTTACAACATTGCGGAGACGACTGGCTGCGGCCCTGCACTTCATATCCCCCAAAGAAAACGGATCCGAGAGCAAGGAAAGAAAGAACACGCGGTAAACCTCCGCGCGGCATAGCAGCACTTCGGTTGCTGTTGTTCTGTGCGGACATGTTGGACATGCTGTGTCTGAGATGAGAGTGGGTAGAAGAGAGTTGAATGCTGTAAACTTGAAAGCTGCAGGACGAGAAAAAGATCGCGATCGATGTTAAGTCACAAGTAGGTAGTAGAGGAGCCAAATCTTGTTTATTACTTCTGTTACCGAGAATTCAAGGTGAAGCAAGTCTACGCGATTCTGGCTTTGATACACTCTTGCAATTCTACACTAAGCGTTATAGATGAACTTTTTGGATTTAACTATGTTCCAGGTGGATACTACTTAAAGCGGAAGTTGGACTTGCAATCAAGTGAAGATAACTCTGGTGCAGCGAAAAAGAAAACACGAGGTAGCCGCAGTGAAGCTAATCACGCGGCGGCGGCAAGGCGCGGGATCATGAGGAGTCTCTCCAAATGCCTCCGGCTCTGAGGACTTCTCTATTTTTATACTTGGATCTTCAGCAGCTTTTCTTGAAGACTTGGATCACTCGGGGAATGAGTTATATTGCTTTTTGTTTTTAATTTTATTGTGTTTGCTTTGAAGATGAAGATCTAGTTTAATCTCCTTTCGGTGAAAGTGCTGACATCGTTCGCTTGCGGAGCATTTTCATCTTGATCTTTGTCTTTCATCTGCATTGAGCAATAGCATGGTGTTTCTGTTTCAGCGCAACACTTCATCTGATACGCCGACAAGAGGACCAGGACCGCTAAGCAAAGTACTAAATTTTGAACGTGAAGAAGATCTTCATTTTCAAGGACATATCATTGGCGAATCGAGAGACAGAGCCATCAACGTCTTCCAATTATAATTGAAACTCTTCGACGACACCATCTACTTCTAATCCAATGAACCGAAACGACTACAAGTCAATGTTGAATACAACTCAAGATCTTGACATGGAATTCCTTCGTACAACAAGATCATCACCGGCACTGTAGGTCGTTTCCCAAGTAGTAATGATGAACATGCTCCTCGATGCAAAAGTTTTGATGTCGTGCAACAATCCTCTTCGTCGAAAATCTTTCTCGGTCATGTCGGTCCATCGTGAAAGAAAACAATAAATCTGAACAAGACGACGCGCGCAATTTTGATGTTTTTTTTTTTCTCATCATGGAGGATGAGAACATGCACAAGAAGCAGCTCACAAACAAAAACAATGCTCTTTCCCACGACATCTGCTCGCCTACTGCGTCCAGTTTTCGAGAACACAAGAACATCCTCCGTCCTTGCCCTGATCAGAAGGCGATAAAGTTTCTTTCAAAAAAGTCCGAAAGAAGTCATGACATTTTTTCGGGTCCGAAGATTTTTTTTTTCGACAGCGCTTCGCTTTAGGAGCGTGTCTTTATCATTTGGACTTCATATTCAAGCTCAAACCTGCGTCTACTCTTTGGTCTGAAGACATCATGGGGGGCAAGTCGCGAAGGCGATGCCTCCTGCGCACGGAAGATGATAGCTATGCTGCTTGACCATAATTGTCGTTTTCTTGGCAAGACGAGCTCTGAAGATAAAGAGAGCAGGACAACAAGCCAACGAATTTTTACCGTATTTTTCCCGTCGTCTTTGTACTCTATCCTGGGGGGGAGCTATTTTGATACTATGCTGACTGTTCCAAACCATAAGTAGAATGCGCGAGTGGGTTGAAAGTAAACCACCCGCATTCTTGAATTGCTGCACAAAGGAATCACATTTGCTGCACTTCTCCTTTATCGTTGTTGATATTACCCCAGCTGCCAGTATCTCTTTCTTTTTTTTTGGTCAACTACGAAGGTGTTCGTGTGTCATTCCCACTTTTACTTTCACTTGTCTGCATACTGAAAATAATCCGGATTGAAAGTACTTGCACTATTTCTCTTCTTGAGACGTGGAAGCAATAAACTGGCAGAGTCTTGCTGGTGGTGAGGGCGATCATGCTTTCAAGCGCTACTCCATCAAAATTCTAATTCAGTTGACAACTACGGCTTTATATTATTTTCGGCCTGATTCATCTTTCTCCCACTCCGTCGTCTAGCAGGAGAACGAAAGGAAAGGCAAGATGCCCATGATCTTCCAGCTTGTTATTTTTGCTAAGCATCACTTGAAAGTTTTTAATAGCCTCCTGCTCGCCTAAGTTTGTTTTGTTCATCCCACAGTTCAACATTCCCATAAGAAGAGCACCAGTTTTGACTTTGAATTTTTGATGAGACCAGTTTCTAGCTAGCGTTACTGAGCTTAAGTCAGTCTAGCTGCACCGATCAAATAAGAAGGGTAGTACTAGTACCAGTGGCATAAAAATAACTGTGGTCGTGACGTACGCTACTTACGCAATCGCAATGACATCATCACAATTTCAAGAGCACATCCACTAGCGCAGGATCTGCACAGCCCCATGATGGTGCTCATGCCCGCACACGAGTTATTTCGGTTCCTCGCGGCCAACATGACTCGTCGTATAATGATGGTGATCCAGAAAGACCGGCATGACAAACTCGTCATTTTCTGCTAGATCTACTGAATCTTCCTATCATACGGCGGGATGTAGCTCAACCGCCGTTCCAAATCCGCCACGACTTCCCCGACTGTTGGTACGACTTCCTTGTCGAGCGATGTGATGGGCACTTCACCACCCTCGCGCTTGACCTGTTGTAGTTTGTCATGCGATTTTTATATTGGATGTTGATGAAATTTTGAAAGGTTTTTTATCTGTTGTGTCTTACTTTGTGGCCATGATTATGATGATGCAGATTTTTGAGACGTAAAGAATGCAGTTCACAAGTGAAGATAGTGATTCATTTTTTAGCTACACAAAAACCAAAGATAGACATCAAATCATAACACTCTGTACCGCTGCCCAGTCGATGAAGACGTAGTGGTCACGGACCAACTTCTATGCACTGCAAAAGTATCGCACTCGTAGTAATTGCTGTTATGCATGACAAATCTCTTTCCTAAGGTAAAACAGCATTACGAATTTCATTTGTAATGCTGAAGTAATTTGTAATGCAATTTATACTAGTACGATGCTTTTGCATTTCATAACTTCTCCATCTGGTTGGTCAGCATCAAGAGCGCGATGGGGATAAAGTGCGTATTATCCTCAGTAAAAACGTACCCACGCCAGAGTTGTAATGCAGATGTGCAAAGACAGGAAGACTTGTAATGCGCATCCCCATGAGAACCATTTCCAATCGTGTTTTGGAATTTGTAATGCTGTAAACAGGATGAGCAGATGGATTTCTGATGCAGCTGGCCTTGCGAACCTGCACTACGCTACGGACTGCAGCTTGTGATGCGTGACTCACAAAACTCCTAGGTTTGTGTTGCAAAATCCCCATCCTGACTCTGGTGTGGGTACGTTTTTACTCAGGATACGTATTCCTGAACGTCAGCGCCCGCTCCGTTTTGTGCTGCGCTAGTGTGGAGCGAAACTTCGAGGGAAGCTCGGTCCAGTGCAGCCGCGGGTAGATGTGGTGGATAATATGGTACCCGTCGTTGAACGTGGTTTGGTTCACTTCCGTGTTAAGACAGTTGTAGGAAAGCGTGTAGTTATTGCCGGGGGACAGGGGGTCGACGAAAACCTGTTTGTATTTTCTTTTGCGACTATTTTGATTTTCAACTACTATGACAAATGCAAGCGTTACAAAAAATTCATTTATTGTACGAATGGGAATGACAGAAGAGAAATAAATGCATGAGGGCAATAAAGAGGGCTTCTTCAACAAATAAGAAAAATCGAATGAATAATCGAAACATTTTTTATAAATCAATTAGAAGCAGTACATGTTGAGCGTAGTTTCCCAATGCCATGGCAGTCAGGCCGAAGAAGTGCGGGATCACCAACACGCAAGTGACGCCGGTGTATCCGAAAAGGTTCCCCAGCGCGAAAATCGTTGCGCCCCAGAAGGAGAGCGACACCAGGCAGGTGGCGAACCAGTCGTACCTTTTTGTCTTCAGTGCGTAGAGCGGAAGTTCGAACGAAAGCCCGCAGAGAAACCTCAGCCAGTAGAACAGAAACCCGCGGAACCCGCGCTCGGAACGGTGGTAGGACTCGGTTTCGGAAACGTCATCCCCGTGGTTGTTTTCCCCGTGGTGCATTATGATGTGGTGCAGGTAGTAGATACCTGATAAAGTTTGTCGTGGTGGTCATGCGTTCTTTTGTACAGGAAGAGGCACCGGAGTGGTCATTTTTGTAAAAATAAATGCGCGCACGCATAAACGAAAAGGACTAGGAATACTATCTCCAACTTCTTTATCTTTGACATAGACATACTAGATGCACATACATCTTCTTGTTGTTATGCGACTGGTATTATTTAAGCATAAACACTGTACATCAAATGAACATCAAACAATACCTGGCGGCGTGCCGAACAGGGGCGCGTAGAAGTAGAGCGTGATGTTGTTCAGAAACTCGCTGTGGTAAAGTTTCCTGTGATATCCACAGTAAATTTCTCGTACACGTACAAATGCAGTCTCTGCATGACAAAACTTGCCTTCAATCCTAGTTCAGCATGCCAAGTTGGACTCTGCAAGGTAGCGAAATTTGTCATGCATTTTGTACATATACAGGAAATTTACATTGCATATGTGACTTGAGAAGTGCATCATGAGGATGAAGCGCTCGAAGAAGCCGACGAACAGGATCGGGAGGTAGATCAGGCCGAGGTACCAGGTGTTAAAATACACCACCGCCGCTGCAAACGGGACCAAAAAGGTCATGATGTTGAGCTGGAGGTAAACGAGAGGTAAATCCCGTTTGTCCTTCATGAAATTCTTGATCAGAAAGTTGTCCAGTAGCCCGAAATACCGAAAGTGAAACTCGTTTCGCTCCGCTTTCTCGTCGGTCAGCTCGATGTCGGACAGTTTCGTGACTAAATCGCTGCTGGTTTTCGGCTTTTGTACCTCTGGCACAGAAGTGAGTCGGGCCGTTGAGGAAGTGGAAGACTTTATTTGTGAAGATGCGGCGGGCTTCATCTCCGCAGCTGCGGAGTCTTTGTCTGAAGATGTTCTTCTGCTGCGGGTACCGGTGGAAGTACTACCCTCCGGCTCGGCCACCATCGTCGAAGTGGACGAGTTGGGCTGGCACATTTTGACGTCTACTTTTTGTCGCGTGATTGCTTCTCAACGATCAAACCTCAAATACGATAATCCAAAACAAACTTGCTCCACCTATCAAAACTGATTGAGGAACCGTATTTGTACTGTAATTTTTTCAGCTGTTATGAACTCAGTTTTACTGCAATGAGTCAGAGTGACACAAAAACTCGTCTACTACGGGGGAGTTGTCACAAAAATTCAACAACGAAAAATGTCAAGAAGCGCGAGCAGGGGTAATTGCAAACTACTCTTGGGTTGTCGTGTATGTTATTGGTATGCGTATAGTAGTTACTATGGGGAAGGTGTTGGGTAGATGAAGACGGAGGGTGGCTGTTGATTCGAGAACGAAAGTATTTGCTTGGTAAATTGCAAAAGACACTGAACTCCTATTTCGTTGTCTACTTTGGAAATTTTCTTGGACGGAATACACGGATTTTTTTTTTCTGTAGAAATAGAAGATGCTGATGCTACTAAAGTCTGCTAAGTGGACCGAATTCGTCTGGCGCCCTTACGTTCTTTGTTTTTCCGATCACGTTTATTAAATTGCTGATGCTGGACTTCATTGATTTTTCGGAGTTTGCATGCGAACGAGATGAACTGGAGCTCGAGCTCGTAGGTACTTGTACAACTAGGAGCTTCGTTTATTTTTTTACTTATTTTTCTGCACGACCCAGACCCACGTAGAGAAATACGAGCTACGTGCACGTTATTTGTTGTCGTCCGTCAATTGCAATTGGTGCACTCAGGAGCGGGCGCGGGGGCACGACGAGTTCTTCCTATAATCGTAGGAGCAATCCGCTGAAGAGAGGCACAACGTCAAAGGAGGTGACCACACTGAATTGAAACTACACTGATCATGAGTACTACGAGGACACGGATGCAATCACAACCAGTTGCTGTTGCAGTTCTGACATTTAAGTATTCACAGAAATGATTCCGTCACGACAGAAGTAGCACCTCTCTCGTCTCGCACACTTGTTCTTGAGACATGCACATGCTCTAAGTCTTCTAACAACTCTCGGTCTCGATAGTGCAGCATGGAGTTGCCGTCCTGCTGGTGCTAATGACTTTCTTCAAGACGTAGGATGAAAATCACAGACATTTGTCTCATGTAAGTACTCTTGCTCCACCTCCTCTTGGTTTATTCCTTCTGACACCTCCAGAACATGACACGTCATATCAATTGCATTCTTGGCTCTTTTGTTTGCGGAATGGGAATTCAAATTCCTTCGCCAGACCGGCTCCTCAAAAAAACACCAGGTGAAGTCTTCCATTGTTCCTGTAGCTAAGTACCTTCAGGGGAAGCAGGGTGCTACAGCGGGATGCTTTCGACGTATCTGGAAATTTTCGCCGTACTAGCCGGAAGATTTGCTACGTTATAAACGAAGAAGCTTGCGACCCATATTCAATTTCAAACTTCATCTATCTTGGCTTGCTCATCACACTCGAATTTTTTTGTATCGGATATGGTAGTACTTCCTTTCCAGTTTTCCGTCTTCATCTGCATCCCACTTCCGCCTCACGACGGCCCAGCCAATTTCTTGTACTGCAGTCGCAAATTCCGTTCCCAAGTTTCCGCCTTTGCGCACTTCATTTCATCACGCAGAAAAAATAAAGCAGGAGGCAGAGGTTATTTTGTTTGTAATGCAAAAATGGATAGAAGGAGCGTGAGCGCCGCACAGTAAAATCCACACTGCGTATCCGAAGCAGCAACCTAGCTATGGGCTCGGCCATGACAGATTTTCCATTCCTGTTTAGTCATTTTTTGCATTACAAATTACGCCGCGCCTGCTTTTTTCTGTATGATACACTTTCTCCTTCGCCAACACCGACTCCAATCTCTGCACCTTCGCTCGCCAGTGTTGCATATGCATCGCAAAAGTATTGTAGCACGCAAGAACTGCATCACAAATGTCATTTCATCAAACAGGAATTTGTCATGCATACCCGACTGCACGACCACGACGATACTTCTGCAAGACCAAGGATACTGCAGCAGCTTCGTCCGGTCCATCGACACCTCCTCCACTTCCCGTTCTGGCGCACCACCTGCGCTACCTCGCGCAGCCGCTCCACCACCAGATGAAAACACGGACTTCAGCGAAAAGCAAGTCGCGCGGGTTTCCAGCGGTGTTAAAACGTACACGCCGCCCTCGTCTTCGCGAATGAACTCTTCCCGGTTCAAGCAGCGGATTCGGATCCGGGGAAAAAACGTCCCCAGCTGCACCCCAGCGCTGTCATGCAAATCTGCATGCTTAAAGTGTTTCTAATGCGCAGCCCCATGAGGTCGCGGAGCATTGTGTCATGCTGTCTGGGACTTTGTCATGCTCCGATCAGGATGCGGAGCTAGATTTATTTGTGATGCGGCTTCACTAGCCAAACACCACTACACTACTGACCGGAATTTGTCATGCAGCACAACGGCCAGAGCTTCTGGATCTGTGTTGCAAAATTCCCATCTTGACTCTGGGGACGAGGTGGGGACGTAGTTTTTACTCAGGATAATTCGGATCGCGTCTTTATTCAGGTGGCTCATCTGTGAGGACGGTTTGCCTCTGACCATGCTCGATGATGATGTCGTGGGTGGCTTATTTCTTCCTCCTGCTAAAAAACCCGACGTGGATGAGGAGGGAGCGGTATCATCTTCGCGGACGTTGCTTGTCAACTGCAAGACAAAAACGTCGTCGCCATCGACTTCCTTGTTCGATTTGTTTTCGTCCAGAATTCCCATCAAGACATATCAAATTGAAAAACGCCCCCCACCCCTGAAATTGCAAGAATTTGTGATGCGAAGTTTCCAAATGAAAGCTTTTTGTCATGCATGAAAGGAGTACGAATCTTTCTGATGCAGATTCGAGTCGTGTTTCGCATCGCTTGCATGACAAGCGCCGCTCTTGCTGGGATATTTTGCAATACAAATTTTTGCTATTCACGATCGGAAATCTGTGATGCTGATACACGCAAGAGGGCGAATGTTTCATTTGGAAAGATTTGCAATACAAATGCTTTCAAGTTCGGGGGTGGGGGCATTTTTCATTGTAATAAGACATCGTCGGTGCTGGACTGATCTGCGAGTTGTGCGGTATGGAAGTGTCAGGTTTGAAATCGACAAAGTTTAAATGGTTTGTCATGCATAAAATGGATACCAGTTGGAAGCCCATGATTTTCCAAGCGGCGCATGACAAATTTTCGGAGCACCGGAATCCAATTTGTCATGCTGTTTGGGCACAGAAAACTGCTTTTGTCATGCTCCTTTAGCAGCTCTATCCCAAACCCTAAACAGGCTCACAATCTGCCTCATTTGCCATCCCGGCAAGACAGGCAATTCATGCCTTGCATTTTATGCATGACAAATCATTTCAACTTTGTCGATTTCAAACCTGACGCTTCCATATGCGGTTGCTTTTCCATATAATCCTCCGCCTCCCGTAGGAGCACTACCGGGTCTACTACTTCCGCTCGTAGTATAGTTGGCGGAAGTTGTTGTTGTTCTGAGCAGCAGCCTGGAGGAGGTGCTGTCTGCGACTAAACAGGTGCTTGTGCCAGCTCCCGTTTTATCAAATGTAGAAATGTCTGGGTCTGGAAGATTCATGCTGTTTTTGCATGACGCAGAAGGTTTGGCATGGAAGCTCTAGCATCACAGGTTTCGAGAAGCTTCCGCAATGCCGAGCCCGCATGAGAAATCCCCCATGTTGGTGACAGCAAGTGGGCAGCTGTTGCTACCTATGCATGAGAGATTTTTCTGTGTTCCAAAATGCGCATCACAAGTTCGCCGGATCCTTCCAGACCCAGACATTTTTGCATTTGATACGTTTTCGATGTCGAAACTGCCGTATTGAGGGTCGTATTCAATGTGATCTTCACGGCAACCTATGAGAGTGCACAACTCCCCCTCCCCCTCGTTTGTCATGCAAAATACCAAACTCATCCTTTGTCTCTCGGCACTGTCTGCATGACAAGTTCGGGCAGCCGAAGTAGCACTTCTACACTTCTGTCAAAATTTGTCATGCAAAACCTGTGTTCTTGCTGACGTTTGTATTGCTGTTCATGCAATACAAACGAGGGGGAGGGGGAGTTGTGCACTTTCATACAACCTCGTCAAGTTCGATCAGGTCCGCCAAAGCGCCTGGGAGTGGAAAAGTCTTCAGATCCCACACCACCGCACTATTATTTTGAGGATGTTGATGTCCTCCAGTCGTGGCTCTGCACCCAAGCACGTTTTTCGTGCCGCAGGGAGTTAGAAACCGTCCGCTTTGCAACGCCTGGATACTCGCGGAGATCGAGGCGGCTCTGTTCGTCCCAGTGCTAGATGAAGTTGCACTACCGCCTCGCGAGAACGCGTTGGAGAGCTGTCGGAGTTGGGCACTGTTGCTGCTAAAATTTGTGTTGTTGTAACTCTGTCTGCTAGTACCCGCGGTATTCATTCCAACTACACCAGGTGCTCCTGCGAAGTTGTTGCTCATCGATGGTACCAACGCAGCGCTTCCTCGTCCCTTCGGAGGTTTCTCCCGTCCCATCGTTTGCGACCACCCGAGCCCGACAGTTTTATCCACAGAAAAAGAAACATCTTCCCTATCCGTTTTTTGCATGACAAGCCCAAGACTTTATGCATGTTCTGCATGGCAAATTGGATGGGGACGATGCGGATTTTTTTGTGGATAGGTTTTCTTACTGTCGTATTCTGGTTTGCACCACAGGACGTTGACACTATGGAGGCGTCAGGCTTGAAATCGACAAAGTTGAAATGATTTGTCATGCATAAAACGCCAGGCATGAAGTGCCTGTCTTCCCGGAATGGCAAGCGAAGCCGATTGTGTGCCTGTTTAGGGTTTGAAATGAAGCTGCGAAAGTAGCATGACCAAAGCAGTCTTCTGTGCCCAAACCGCTTGACAAATTGGATTCCGGTGCTCGGAAAATTTGTCATGCGCCGCTTGATAAGTGGGGGGGCGCCCGACTGGTATCGGTTTTATGCATGACAAACTATAATTTCAACTTTGACGATTTCGATCCTGACACTCCCATAGACACCCCGCGACAGGTAAGGGTGGTCGTGGTCTGTTTTCAATTTTTTTGATTTTAGTTTCGTCGGGTAGTGGATTTTCTGCTGCACCAGCTGGTCAAACAACTTGCGACAGGAGGGAGAGGGAGCTGCTACTTCGTACTCATCGTATTGTTCGTCTGCCAACATTTGTTGCTCCATCTGTTCTGTGAATTCGTTGTCATTAACATCGTCGTCGCGGAGGTCTCCACCGCCCTGTTGCAAGAACACAAGGTCCTGCTCTTGCTGCTGTGCTTCTCCCTCGGGTCTACTTTGCTGCGCCCGCTGTTGAGGCGACTTGTTCATCTGTTGCTTCCCGGCCACGCCGACCTTCCGCGATGAAGCTGCTCCAGCACCTGCAGGAAGTCGACCTACTTGCGACAAACCGTTGAACACACTGCGTTCCTTGCCCCGAATCGAACTCAAGTACCCCGCGATGTCGCCTTTGGCCAAAGCTCTGGCCGCTTTGCTGGAGGGACTGCTCATGCTGGTTCCTTGTTGACCGAGACCAACTCGTCCACTCCCGGCGCTCCGGCTCCTCTGTCGCAAGTCCGCCTGGTCCAGGTCTTGTTGAGAAAACGAAACTCGCTTCGAGCCGGACAGTATGCAAAAAAAAAATGTGTTGCTGTAAATCTGTCACGCAAAGTAGCATGGGCACGCAACACAGTTCTTTACTACACTTGTCATGCTAGCCAGCGGCCATGCCGTCCTATATATAATTTCATGTCTCGTGTTTATTTCACGTACAACTAGCTGCGCATGACAGGATTTCTTTGTCATGCAGAACAAATTTGTGCTGCTGTCAACACCCGCAGACGCCCCCTACACTTCTAACACAGTAGTTTTTTTCTTCGATAGACAGAGCGCCTGATGTGCTGTCGGAAAGCATCTGCTCCTCCTCCGTATTTGGTGGAGGCCCACCTCCACCACCCCCGGCCGCTGCGGAGATTGCGGTTCTTGGTGTGGTGCTGCTGGATCCACCGCCGGCGCCGACTTGCTGCAATGTAGAAATGTCAGGATCGAAATTGACAAAATCGAAAAATTTGTGATGCATAAAATGCACGACGCGAAATACGTGTGTTGCAGAGCAGGCACGTGGGGCCGATTGTAAGCCTGTTTGAGGTTATAGCTCGAGCTGCTAAAGCAGCATCAGAGAATCTGTCTTCTTTGCCTAAACAGCATTACAAACTGGATTTAGGCACCACCAGAGTTTGTGATGCGCCACTTGGAAACTGGGTTCCAACTGGCATCCACCTTATGCATGACAAATCATTTAGATTTTGTAATTTCGATTCTGACACCTCCATATGCAAAATAAACGGCGGGGTAGTTCCCGCTCCGGCCAACTTCAGCGGCCCAGGAACAATGTTGGCCCGCCCCTGTAGTTCTCCTAGTTGCTGTGCCGCGGCCGCGGTCTCGGAAAAGAACGCGCTGATGTTGACTTCGTTTTCCTCGTCGTACATTTGTTGCATCTGGTCGATTTGCGCTTGCTCTCTTTGAGCAGCAGCAGCTGCAACACCTCCTTCACCTCTCGGCGTCGAAACCTGAAGTTGGTCCGTGACTTCTTCATGTTTTCCGTGAAACGGCTCGAGTAAATCGCTTACCATATCAAGGGCAAATATGTCTGGGCCTGGAAGAGTTGTGTCATGCTGTTTGTGCATGACGCAGAGGGTCTGGCATGCAAATCCTAGCAACACAGGTTTTGAGCAGGTTAGGCGATCATGTCTAATCCGCATGACAAGTTCCCCCTATCTTTGGGCGACAAGAAATGAGTATGTAACTTTTGCGGTCCATTCATGACAGATTTTTTTCTGGTCTCAAATGCGCACCATCAGAAGTTTACATGTTTTCAGACCCAGCAGACTGACAATGACATACTTGCAATGCATATACCACTTCATTCGCCAACTTCGTACGGGGCGTTGGGTAGGCGGAGGTGCTGGCGGCGGCAAGTAGAGGTGGTGCGCCGTCGGCGGGTGCCGGTTGCGCTTGCGGCAGCACGACGGCCGCGCCAGACGATGTTGGCACGGTAGGCTCCATCTTAATGTTGCGGAGTTGCTAGAAAATGTCGTTACTGTTTCATCGGCTTCAGCTACCAACCTAGGTAGTATTAGTTTCTGAGAGTTCTTGTTCTATAATCAAAGCAATTTGCCATTGCCTGCCACGAGTCTTCTACAACCGCTTTGAAATAAACGATCCGGAAGATCATGATTCCTATAAAAGCCGCGCTCGCTCACTCCCAAACGCGGAGACAATGCACACAAGGACAACACCTCGCTTCGCCTCATTCTTACCGACAGACGCTCTGGCTCTGCTTGCTCCATTCCGGTGTTTTTGATCTCTCTTGTTTCTCTCGGTGCACGAAAGAGAACGAATAAAATTTAGCACAACTAAAAGATGTACGGTCGTGCTTGTAGTCCACAACACAACGGCCGCAAGCACAGCAACCACTGCGTTATTCCGCAGCTACACTACCCGTATTGTTAAAGACGTTAAATCAATGCATGTCAGAATCAGAAGAGTGCTCATTTTGATTTTGGTGCTTCATCATTATTCGCGCGCGACGACGTTGGTACTTCTAGATGAGCACAACTAAATAAAATTCCACCGCTTCTAAACATCCAGAAACTCCTCAAAGTCCTCTGCACTGGCAAAAGCGCTGACGCCAGAGCTGCTTCCCAAGCTCTTCACTAACTTCCGGGCTTTCTTCACCTTTTCCCGAATTTCCGGATCCAATTTTTCCAACTCTCTCTCCTATCAAATGTAAAAGTGTCTGGGTCTGGAAGATTCTGAGACTTGTCATGCACGTTTTGCCTGGGCGTGGGCCATGGTGTCTGTGATGCATGCCCTAGCATCACAGATTTTTATTTTTTGAGGGCCTCGCGATGCCTATCCCGCATGACAAATGCCCTCTCCGCGTAGCAAAAATTACAGTCCCTTTGCTACTCATGCAATACAGATTTTCTTACAATCCAAAATCAGCATGACAAGTTGGATTCTTCCAGACCCAGACATTTTTACAGTTGATATCTCCTCCCGCTGCCGCTTCTTCGCTTTCCTTTTCGAGACTTCTTCTTTATTCGAGAGAGTAGAAGTGTCGGCTGCTTTGCTTTTGTTCTTCTTCTTTGCATTTTTGCTTTTCTTCGTTGATTTCATATTGCCGTCGTCCTCTTCGTCCTCGCCCATGTCAAAATCCAGGTCGGTGTCGGAAAAACCCTCGTCGGAAGTAGATCCAGCTCCGAGCATCATCCTTTCAGACGTGTCCTCACCGCCTGCTGCTCCGACGTCTGCAGCCGAATCTTCTCGTTCTTCATCATCATCATCTTCATCATCTCCTTCGCTGTGGTCACCAGAATCTATAATTTCCGCATCACCCGCCTCAGCATCAGCCTCGCCATCGCTATCAGCAGCCTCATCGACAACTCTATCCCCGCCATCCTCTGATGCAGAACATTCCATGTCCGATCCAGCCTCGTCGGCAGAGAAGTCGGAAAAGGGATCTTCATCCTCGTCTTCGTCTGGCGGCATCTGTTTCTCCAGGTATTCGTCGAAAAATTTGTCGGCCTCGTCTTCGTCGTAATCATTATGGAAGCGTCAGGTTTGAAATCGTCAAAGTTGAAATAATTTGTAATGCATAAAATGCGAGACAAAAAGTGACTCTATTGCAAAGGACCCACGGGGGGCAGATTATAGTCCTGGTAAGGGTCAAAAGTTGGACTGCTAACTAGCATGACAGAAGGCAGCTATTTTTCCCTAAACCGCATGACAGACTCGCTTCCAGGACCGGGAAAGTTTGTCATGCACCGACTACAAACTGTAGGTCTAACTGGTATCCGTTTTATGCATGGCAAACTATTTCAACTTTGACGATTTCAAACCTGACACATCCATAATCATCATCATCGCCATCGTCTCGTTTCTTTGCAGCAGCCTGTGAAATCTCCTTCGCACTCAGTTTCTTCAAAAACTTGTGCGCCAAAAATTTGTGGTTGGCCGCTTCGGAGATTTGCAGTACACTTTTGTTCATCTTTTGCGTGCCAGCAGAATTTTTTATCAAAAGCAAAAGTGTCTGGGTCTGGAATGTTGCCGGGTTTGTCATGCATATTTTGTTTGACCCAGGACGCCTGTAATGCACGACGTAGCATCGCAGATTTTTAGAGGGCTTCCTGATGCCTACTCCGCGTGACAAATGCCCTGCCCGCATAGCACAAACTGGACTCCTCTTGCTGGTCATGCAATACAGATTTTTTTAGGGTTCAAAGTTAGCATCACAAGTTCCAATGTTCCACGCCCAGACATTTTTGCAATTGATATTTTTACCAGACGTTTTATCTTTCTTTTCCTCCTCCAGAATCACACCGGCAACGTAGTCGAGGAATTTGCGATCCGAGCAAGCGGTCTCTAGGAACTCTTGCATCACAGAGTTCGTCGTGTAGTGGTCCTTTCGCTTGGTCGTTTTATCGTGTCCACCGACCTATCAAGTGTAAAAATGTCTGGGTCTGGAAGAATGCGAACTTGTCATGCAGATTTTACCTGGCCCGTGACGTCTGTGATGTATTCCCTGGCATCACAGATTTTCTGAGTGCTTCTTGATGCCTATTCCGCATAACAAATGGCCTCCCCGCGTAGCAGAAACTGGGCTCCTCTTGCTGGTCATGCAATACAGATTTTTCTAGAATCCAAAATTAGCATGACAAACTTGCATTCTTCCAGACCCAGACATTTTTACATTTGATACGACCACGACTGGGTCTACGTGTTTTCTGAAGAAGTGCTGCTCCCACCAGGTTTTCATTTCGGCTTCGCTCATCGTCTTTCCCGCGTTGGTATAGCGAGGATCCCGCTTCTGCAGGTCATAGGTGGTGTCTTTGTCTTCTTCGCCTTGTTCGTTTTCCTTGCCTGCGGCGGTTTTTTCCTCTTCTCCTGCGGGAGCGGCTTCTCGTCCTGTCGATTTAGACTCTGTTCTGGCAGCAGCTGGCCCACCTGCATCCGCTGTTCTTGGTACACCGCCAACATTCGACGAAAACCATGAAGCTGACTCCGCAAGAAAAGCACTCGACGCCAACAGCTGTTTCGCGTGCACCGCAGCGGCCGGCTGACCGAGGTGGATGGCGAGCTGAAGGTACCGGCGGAGGAGAGAGGCTTTCGTCGAAGTTGAGTCCTGTGCTGCGTTCGGTGTAGTTGCAGAAGTTGCACCAGCACTTCTTGCACCAAATCCTACACAAACGTCCGTGTCCAGTAGCGTCCGTAGCTCCATCTGGTTGCTGGTGTGCAGAATGCAGAAATGCCGCAACTGCTCGTAAAGAAGTCGGTAGTAGCGCGGCCACAGCTTTTCCCTTTGCAATTCGACGTCCTGTAGTTCGTGGTCAGCATCTACTTTATTCATGATCTTCGCGTTGGCGTCGCTATCGGTACTAGTAGCTGCTTTGCTTTTCTTCTTGTGTCTTGTTCCCTTTTGCTGCGGAGGTTCTTGTCCTGTCGAAGTAGTAGAATTATTTTTCCCACTTGATGCAGTTCCTGTGCTGCTGCTCTTCAGTCGCATGACGATGATTTTTTTCAAAAGACTCAGCAATATCCCGTGCAAAAGTATCGCACACGTACTAATTGCGTTTATGCATTACAAATCTTTTTCTTGTTAAGGCAAATCCGCATTACAAATTTACTTTGTGATGCTAAGTCAATTTGTAATTATCCAAGAAAAAAACATTGTAGGTGTAACTTTTTTGGAGGAACAGCATTACAAATTTGTCTGGCATGACAGCAAAAACCTGTCATGCGCAGATAGTACGTGAAAACGCCCTTTAATGGACCCCACGACGCATGCCAAGCATGACAGACGCAATCATCTTGCATGTTGCGCATCACAAATTTACACTAACAACGTTTTTTTCTTGGATAGTAATGCAATTTATACTAGTACGATACTCTTTCACTGCATAAGCAACGTGACTCGGCAATTGAAGCCGGTGAGCTCCGAGTGGCAGGTCTGAAACAGCGTGTCCAGCATGCTGTCGAATAGGGTTAAGTCGACCTCGGGCGACAAGTACGGCAAAGACCTTTTCAGTCCCGTCAGCAAGCAGCGAACCAGCTTCGAAGAAGAGGCAGCGCCAGCGGCACCACCACCAAATGCTGGCGCATTGGGGTTCAGCTTGTTACCGGTGGTGGTGCTCTGATCCTCTCCAAAGGCAGCGCCCGTGGTGCTTCTTGACGAAGCAGTTGTGTAAAAATTTCGTCCACTTTTCTTGTTTGTCGTCCCTGTTAGTTGCGTCGACAACATTTCGACAAAGCAATTGACCAGCTGCAGTGCCATATCCTGAGTAAAAACGTACCCACGCCAGAGTTGTAATGCAGATTTGCAAAGACAGGAAGACTTGTAATGCGCATCCCCATGAGAGCCATTTCCAGTCGTGTTTTGGAATTTGTGATGCTGTGAACAGGATGAGCAGATGAATCTGTGATGCGGCTGCACTTGCTAACCTGCACTACACTGCATAGTGCAACTTGTCATGTGTGACTCACAAAACTCCTAGGTTTGTGTTGTAAAATCCTCATCCTGACTCTGGTGTGGGTACGTTTTTACTCAGGATATGCCATCTCCAGATCAAACCGCGAATCTAGGCGTATCTCGGTCAAAAACAGTGTCGCGGCGTAGAGCGAGCATGCGCCGTCACTGTCCGTTTGCATGGTTGCCAGCTTCCGCACGAGATTTTGCTTCTGCACTTTCGCCCTTTTGGAGGACCTCGATGCTGGATTCTGTTTTTGGCCACCGGAACTTGCCATGTTCTTCCTGCTTTCTAGCATTTCCCGCCGGATTTTTTCCTTTTCCTGTTCCTGCTCCAGGCATTTGGCCTTCATAAACCGGTACACTTCCCGAAACAGCACCAATTTCATCTCCGGCTGCTTTTCCAGAATGTTGCGGAGCAAGATCGGCAAGAGGCTGGTGTTGACCGACTTGCTATCCACAGAAAAAAAACCATCCCCATCCATTTTTCACATGACTGGCGCGGGATTTTATGTATGTTTTGCATGACAGATTGGATGTGGATGGGTGTTTTTTCCCGGATACTTGTCACCAAACTTGTTCACCAGTTTCTCCAGAATCAGGTGCTCCTGCTCCGGCTTCTGAATCAAACAGTTGGTCAGGTGATTCAAGCACTTCTTCTTGAAATGAAGGTGTTGCTTATCCGAGGTTTGCTGCGTGCCCGTGATAACCGCCTGGAGAAACGCCGTGTAAGCGATTTTCAGAGATTCCTCGAAATAGAATAAGATCTGGAGCTTATTGTGCATTTCGAGGTGTTCCTGGGCCGCTTTTTGTTGTTCAGCATAGTTTTTGGCGTTCTTCTTGTTTTGCTGTTGCTTCTTGGATAATAATTTCTTATCGTTTGCTGTGGAATCTACATCGACTTCCGCATCTTCTTGGCCTTGTCCTTGTTGCTTTCCCTTGCCCTTCCCCTTCTTTGTCTTTCCAGTGCTACCCCGCTGGTGCACCATAGAACAAGTTTTCTCCACCTTTCGGACCATTTCGTGCCAGAATTCCAAATTTCGGTCTCCAGGCAGCACGTCATCGTGGGCGAATAGTGGGAGCAAAGCGTCCATCGCGAAAATAGCCTCCTGCTTGCCCTTCTTGTTGCAAAGCCCGACAAGGGATTTCAAATGCGGCAGGGCGAACAGCGGACAGAGGCGGATCTTTGTGGTTTTTGATTTGAAAATTTTGGCATAGGAAGATTCGGATTTTCATTCCGTTCATTCCGCGGCATCTTGTTAAACTCAATTCATGCTGCATGTGCTACAAATATTTTTACGTCGACAATAAATCGCTACAAGACCGTTGCACTTCAGGAACCTTCTCCTTCCTCCCACAAAATGCAGTTGGAGTAGAACATCAACAAGTTGGTGGTCTAGATCGCATATCATAGTACGCATAATTCGCACCAATTCTATCATGTATCATCATACATGAGCTAAAAACAAAAAGTACCTTCGCCGACAAGGCTTCGATTCGATCCTGCATGGTTCCGGATTGGGCGGTTTTGGAAAGCCATTTCTGCTCGTCGTCCTCGTTGATTAACGTTTCGAATTCTTGCTGGAGCTTCTCGTATTCCTCCTTTGCTTTCGCTTCGTCGAAGACGAACGGGGGTGGAGAAGTTTGATGTTGGCCTTGTTTTGTACTATCGGCATGACAAACTTTCTCGAGTAGCTCCGCCTTCAATTCGTGCCAGGAGACACGGGTCCACGCGTCAAAACTCGTCATGATGAAACGTGAAGTTGTTTATCTTTATGCCTTACTGATGCTGTAGTTGAAAGAAAATAGTGTAGTACAGGAGACGAAGCACACGACCTGTTGCTACTAGTGCCATCAATACTGCCGTCCGTGTCGTGGAAAAGAATATTACTTCGACATCGACGACGAACTTGTAAAATGGACTTGCAAGAACGTCGCAACCAATCACGTAAGATATTCGGTCGTCGCCTGTAACAGATACGGTGGTATTAAATGTTGAAACATATTATCGGGAAGTAAAAGAGCCTCCTCCAGAGCGTCCGAAAAAAGAACGGAAATTTCATTTACATTCTGATCTTCCTGAATACACGATTTCAACATTTACATTCTGATCCTGTACATGATCAATGGGAACGGCCTCGATCAACATACTTAATCTCTCGGCAGCTTCTCTTTCAACATCTGGAGCTTCTTATGATTTATTGGGCACGGGCTGAACTCGCTATGCTTTCTGTTTCTCTTCGCAGCAATTGTGATCAAAGCAATTCTTCAGAGAGATCGATTGTCGTCAGGCCTAGGAAGTAGAGCGTGTAGCTAGTTGTTGACGCCGTGGCGATTGTACCGACGTTCGGTTAACATCAAGATCCTGACATGATGGTGCTTGTGGAACGACAGAACTAAAGTTGCAGCCATCATCAAGTGGGCGAGCTGCACTGTCCTCTTGCTCGATCCATTCCAAGGACAGGAGTAAAACTGAAAGAATTTCACAAATTCTTTCATCAGTTTTACAAGAAATTCTTGTCCCCTAGCTAGTAGTAGTACTTTCACTTTCTTCAACGTTAATGTTTTTCAGCGGTTTTGAGCTTTTTTTTTCTGCCTCTTCTGCAGAGACGAAAAGAACCATCAGGAGCGAATACGTATATGTACGGATCATTTTCACTTACTATACATAAGTAAATACCTAGTGAGTCTATCCAACTTTCACTGATTGACGGAAACCCTAGCTGCTCGCGGATCTTCAAGGGGGCTGCTAGGCTTACATCTAGTGACAGTTTTACCAGCATGTTGATGAGACCACATGTTGGTTTGTCTGCTATGAAAGATGAGAGCCTTCATCTACTACTAATATTGTGACAAGGTGGGTAACATGAAAATGGCCAGAATAATGCCTAGGACAACGGGCGGAACAAACCACTCGAATTATGAAGTACTTCTGACACCGGAGTACTGGCGCCAATTATAAAGCCAGCCACGACACCACGCAGCAGGGAATTCCGTAGTAGAAGTACTACTCGAACTGTATAAAATGCTACTGATGATCATCTCAAGAAATACTGCAAATGCTACTTGTAAACCACTTTTGTTCAACATCTTTCTGCCCGCTGCACGCCATCGCAATGAATAAATGATGACGCACTAGTAGAGCTTCTGCTAAAATTAATTAGAGCCACTACTTCCGTCCATTGTGTCGTGTCCAGCAAATGGGCCGAACTCCGAGCAGCAGCCGCGACCGCGTGGCCGCATCATTCCGGTACAACTGCCCTACTCTAGTCGGGGAAGCTCTTCCTGCTCTGCAGCTGTAGTCCGGCCTTGCAGCTGTAGTCCGGCCTTTGCATCGTCGACTCCGACACTCCTGGCCGCAGAACCCGAACAGTCTTCGGTGCTATATTCCCTCTAATGTTTCAGTTTCAGTTTCTCTTCCTATTGCAGGAACGGCGCGGCGACGCACAGGACACTGCAGAGGCCGAAAACGACGGCCAGAAGAACGCAGTAGAAGCCCTTCAGGCGGTATGACAGTGCACAACTCCCCCTCCCCCTCGTTTGTGTAGCATGAACGGCAATACAAGCGCCAGCCAGAATGCAGGTTTTGCATGACAGATTTGCACAGGATGGTAGTGCTATTTGGGCTGCCAGAACTTGTCATGCGAACAGTGCTAGGTGGAGGCACGCCCTGGATTGGGCATTTTGCATGACAAATGAGGGGGAGGGGGAGTTGTGCACATTCATAGGCGGTAGCGGTCTGGCAGCACGTTTTTCTTTATCGCCAGGAAGAAGAGAAAGCCCACGACGATATGCATTGCAAAAGTATCGTACTAGTATGAATTGCATTACAAATTCGCTTAGCATTACAAATTGAATCTGTAATGCGGATTTGCCTTGATAAAAAGATTTGTCATGCGCAAACGCAGTTAGAGGTACGAGTACGATACTATTTACACAGCCTAGACGACCGGCATGAGCAACGCGTTGAGAACTTCCACTTGAATCAGCAGCCAGGCGGTGTTGCCAACGCCGGGCGCCTATCCTGTGCAAAAGTATCGTACTCGTACAAATGCAAGTCTTGCATTACAAACCTTGTTTCCAAGGCAAATCTGCATATACAAATTTTTTGTCTCATGCTGAGGAAATAATTTGTAATGCATTTATACGAGTACGCTACTTTTGCAATGCATAGCGCAACCGTAATCACAAAGGCCGCGACCAGGACTGCTGCGAAAGCGTATCCAGAGGAAAGAATCCATCGTCCATCCTCATCTATTTTTTTGCATGACAAACACTAACACAGGACTTGATGCGTGTTTTGCATGACAAATTGGATGGGGATGGATGTTTTCTCCTGGATAAGGCGATGTAGAAGTACATCGATTCGCCGTAGGGGCGGTCATGCGACCGCTCCTTCCCGAGCAGCTCGCAAATACTCCAGGCGGGCGTTTATGAATTTTTGCAAATACGTCTGGGTCTCCTGGAAAAAACTTGTGATGCTGGATATGGATAATTGAAATTGAGTTGCTTGAGGAGCCTCCTCGTCCTCTCGCAGCCCAGCGTGGCAAATCCACTTTGCGACTTCTCCTAATGCGCACACGCAGCGCGCATTTTTAGAAACTGCGTTTCTCCAGCACCAGAGAAGGTCATGCTTCATTTGCTCACCAGTATACATAGTCATGCAGTACAGAAGCTTCTACAGGCATCATGCCTGTAATTGCTTGGTTTGTAGTGCCATGGCATGGCATGGCAATACAGTTTTCTTCATATTTTTCCAGATCCAGATTGGCTTTTGCACTCGATAGCGTCACCGCAACAACCAAGGCCGCGACCAAACTGGCTCCCGTCGCCCCAAGCGCCACCAGCACCTTGGCCCACACGAGCCCCATGGAAGGCACTTATCCTCTGCAAAAGTTGTACCGCGCTCGTAGTAAAAGCGCCATGGCCATCAACGGATCCAGTACAAGAGATCTCTTTCATCCTAGAAGTAGAAGGTGGTGGCTAGTAGCTCAGCATTACATATTGTTTTTTGTATTCGAAGAAATAGGTCATGTAACTAGCTAGTTACTGCACTAGTTCTAGTACGATACTTCTTTTGCAATGAATACTGCTAATGCGTTGACCATCTGCGGAACGTCCTGCAGCTCCTGCGGCTTTTGCTTGAACAGGGTCGCGCCCATGGCAATCACCATAGATATCATCACGGCCTGCGCAATGGTCGCGCCGACAACCGTATGCATTGCAAAAGTATCGTACTAGTAGTATAAATTGCATTACAAATTAGCCCAGCATTACAAATTCAATTTGTAATGCTAATTTACTTTGAGAAAGAGATTTGTCATGCATAACTGCAATTACTACGAGCACGATACTTTTGCCATTCATAAACCGTGTCCAGCCGGGCGTAGAGCATGTCGCTTTGCGTCATCTTCCGTTCGCAACACGTATCAGGCTTCACAACAACACCCCCAATTCGTCCTCCCCCGTTTGTATAACAAAATCTGAAAAGAAAATCCACTTGCTGCACATGTGGCCTTGTTTGCATGACAAATGCCTGAACCTGATGAAGCCCAAACAATACTACTTCATTTGGTGCACCATCAAGAACTTCAACTTGTCATGCACAGACACCGCGAATGCTGGTGTTTGTGATGCTGCTTGTGCTATTGAACTGAGGAGAAGGAGGACGTTGAGTGGGAGTGTTTATACTCTCAGCATAACAGGCCGATTGCTGGTAGAACAGCATCCACGGCATAATCACGGCGCCGATGTTGGCGGCTAACAGCTTGACCCAGCCGGCATCCTCGAAGTGCGTCTCTACCAAGCCGCGCGCGACTTCGGACTATGAGATTGCACAACTACTCCACCCCCTTCGTTTGTAATGCAAAATCCCAAATCCAAGTGCTAGTTGTACCCTGTGGCACTGTTTGCATGACAGATGATGGAACAAGCCCAAACAGAATTTTTACGCGCGTGAACTTGTCATGCGCAGGTCCTACGTGTGCTGGTGGTTGTAATGCTGCTCTTGCCATACAAATAAGGGGGGGGTAGTTCTTCTTGTGCACTCTCATATGGACCAATCCGGTTTCACCAGGAACATGACGACCAGAAACAGCATATCCTGAGTAAAAACTACGTCCCCACCCCATTAGAGTCAAGTTGGGAATCTAGCAACACAAATCGCCAAGTTTTGGGAGCTGTGCATGACAAACTACCATGTCCAGTGTAGTGCTGGTTGGCAAGGCAAGCCGCATGAGAAAGCCATTCTCTCATCCTGTTTACAGCGTTACAAATTCCAAAACACAACTGGAAACGCCCCTCATGGAGCTGCGCATTACAAATGTTCCTGTCATTTCGCATTTGCATGACAAGTATGGGATAGGATCGTTATTTTTACATGGGATACAGCACCTGCGTGCTGCCCATCGCCACCCCGATGAGTTCCATGGTGCGGAAGGTCCCGGTGACGACGATCAGAACTTATGCAATACAAATTTCCCGTACATGTTTGCACAACATGCATCACAAATTTCACCAATTTGGAGCGTAAAACTTGTCATGCTAAACTAGGATCGAAGCCACGTTTTGTCATGCAGAGACCGCATTTGTACGTCGTGTACGGGACATTTGCTGTGGATAGAACTAGGAGGAACACCACTAGCAACGACGAAGACCACATAGGCATCCCGAAGAGCTCTCCGATCTGCGCAATGCAGGCGAGCTCGGAAATGATGGCCGCAACGCAGGTAATGACCAGCACGATACAGGCGATCCACGCCCACATCTTCCCAAATTCCACACGATATCCTATATAAAAATGTCCCCACTCCAGAGTCAAGATGGGCGACATCTCGCAACACAAATCCAGCAACTTAGGTAGTCACGCATGACAAGTTGCAGGCCGTAGTGTCGTGGTACAGGTTGGCAAGGACACCCGCATTACAAATCCATCTACTTAGTTAACCACCTGTTTGCAGCAATACAAATTCCAAAACACGATTGGAATTGCCTATCATGGGGACGCGCATCGCAAATGGTTCTGTCATTGCAAATCTGCATGACAACTCTGGGGTGGGGACGTTTTTCCTCAGGATACGCGAATCAGCTCCGTCAGTCCCTGATTGGTCAGCAGCGCCAGCCGCACGGTCAGCTCTTGGGCGGCGAAGAGGATGGGAATGAGAAGGAGTTGAATGGCCACCATGGAGTACCTATCCCATGCAAAATAAGCATCGCACTCGTACTAATTGCTATCAGGCATGGCGAATACCCCTTTTTAGGTGAATCGGCATCACAAATTCTATTTTTCCTTTTGAAAAATTTCGTGATGCAATTTATCCTAGAACGATACTTCTGCAATGCATAGTACCCATACAAAGATCCACTCGCCCCGGCGGTGACCAAGCACGGGCCGTCGGTGTCGTATCCACAAAAAAAAGACCCATGATCCCCATCCAATTTGTCATGCAGACCATGCACAAAATCCAGTGTTTCCCATGCAAAAAATCGATGGGAACCGGTGTTTTTTCTTGCATATGTCGGCGAGGCAAACCATCAGACCTGGGCCCAGGATTTTCAGAAACTTGCAGCAGCTGAACCGCGGTTCTTGTTTTTCTTTCTTTTTGTGATCGTAGTCCTGCTCCTCGTCCTCGTCGGAAATTATACTTTTTCTAATTGAAGACAATGGATTCAATATTGGTTCCCGTGCTTCAACATCCTGTTCGTAGCGACAACCACTCGCAGGAGCTCGTCCTCCTCGCCCTCGGCCTGCTTCTAGGTCTACTAGTACGTGATCGTGATATATCACGACCTGCTCCTCTTGTCCTCCTCTTTCGTTGCAGCTGGTGATCTTGTGGTTCTCTGTGGAAGTCGTTGTTGTAGTTGGTGAAGCTGCTGCGCAGGAGTGGGACCACGACGTCGACGACTCGCGGCTACTAGTACCTGGTCCACCTCGGGCAGCACAAGAGCTAGGGTCACCAACATCGCCACCAGAGAGCAACGGGTCGGCTCTTCCTCCCTGCAGGGAGTGTGCATCTTTGTAGTTCATGCGGTGCTGCTGGTGGTCCATCCTTGTGCAGAAATAATTTGGAGATTCAAATTGTGCAGTGGGGGCAGGTACGTGTTGAAAAATATTTTTAGTTGTACCGGACTACTAGTAGAGAGAGCGACTTCTGCGATCCAAGGAATGTTGTATTGCAGCTTCAGTTTCTACTGGTTGTAGCGGTAGTTGTGTTACGACCTTGCACAACCGCGACACAGTACCACCTTCGTAAAGTAGTAGTCTTTTTACACGCAATAGATCTTGTAGTTTCTCACGTACATCATTGAGATCATAACAAGATGAAGAGCAAGGCAACTATTTTTTTTCGAACCTTTGTAGTTCGGTGACCTCACAACATACGACTACTAAATCGTTACAGACAACGGAGCAGATAGATAGAGACAGTAGAGCAGATGAGATACAACCGAGCTGGGCCTTTGCTGCTGTAAAGTGAGACTAGTCGTGGTGAGCAATGCCAATGGGGAAACAGCCCTTCTTGCGGTAAAGAAAAATTGGCGGACCACCTTTTGCGCCGGCCAGGTTGCAATGCCTAAAAATACTCAGTCCTCTTCACTCTTGTTATCATTCTCCGCATGCATTTGTTACTTTGACTTGTTTCCCGGACAACCGACTCATGAAGATGATGACAGGATCTTCGCAAGAATTATGATGGCTCGTTCTGGTGGTGGTGCACGACGTGATTGGATCAAAAACCATCTCGATCAGTTTGCTACTTCTTCTGATCATCTCTTTCTTCTAGTCGGATCGATTATCTCCTGGTAGTGCTCGTGAAACCCAAACTCTTGTTCTTTTAACCGAGACTTCAGAAAACTTGATCTACATGAACCTTGAAGACGTAACAAGGTGAAAAATGTGAACTTCAACTTCTACAAGATTCGTATTTTTGATGTAAGTTATTGATCCGCTTCCGAGAACATGCATCATCAACACTATGAACAGGCAGACAGAAATGCGTGAACTAGATGAACGCTGGTTGGCGCCCGAATCATTGCACTGTCCTGGTGATGAATCGTATCAATCACACCAGATGGAATTATGCTGCGCTTGTCGCTCTTAATTCTCCTTTCGTTTGTTGACTAGTACCAGTTCACAGTGATTTGCGTGGTTGGGCAACAGAACATGGCAGTTACGAGAGTAAGATTCATTTTCTGTCAACATCTCAATCCCAGTAAGTCCGGACATTGATGCCCCAAATCTGACGAAACCGCTTGTCTTAACAAGAAGCAGCAGGACAAACCGCAACTTCAGTCGGAACAACTCGCAGTCGAATCGTAATTACTGTTCATCCGCTCCAACATAATTACTCAGATGCTACCCATTGCTCATCGATTTCCTCACTACACCACACTTTCGCGAATTAGTTCCCCGGCTTTTGCGAAAAATTCCTCCTTGACCAGAAAATTGGACTCGTGCAGGAAACACGCCAGCAGGTACTCTCCGAGCTCCTCCCGAATTTCTTCCTTCGAGTAGAAGTTAAACCCGAACCTCGGATGGCACCGGTTCTTCGCTGCTTTCAGGGTGATGTCGCGGCCGCAGGTGTCCAAGTAGAGCGTCTGCAGCAGGCGAAACATGTTTACATCTACTTCCGGATCCTCTTGTTCGCCGGCGGTTCTCGTAGTACTATGCTGTGGATTGTTCTCAGCCGTTTTTGCTTTGTTGTTTTTCAGCTCCAGCAACTTCGCCGCGCCGGTAAATTTGAAAACCGTTTGGTGCAGGGCAAAGTGCCAATTTTCGAACTTTTCCTTCCAGTTGGTATGGGCCGTCGTCGTGTTGCCTGTTCTTACGGCGGTTGAGGTTGTTGTGCTACTGTTCATCTTGCTGAGGCTGCTGCTCACTGTTTGTTCCACGACCTCCAGCCCGTCCGGTCTGGTTTTTGCCAGGTCCGACAAAGTCCAGAACTTCAATCTGTTCCGCTCCTCTTCCTCTTCCTGTTTCAACCGTTTTTTCTCCGTCTCGGGCTGGCTCTTTTTGAACTCCTTTTCAACCCGCCAGTGGTGCTCCAGCTTCGCCTCAGCAGCGTCCAAGGCTTGCAGCAAGGGGAGAAGCTTCTCCGGCGGAACAAAGTCGGGCAGGTGCGCAAAGTGCCAGCAGAAGAGCAGCTTTGATCTCGTGCTAGTGGTTTTGTGAAGACGAGCATCTACTTGTTCTCGGTCTTTCAGCGCAGGCACGCCGCTTGTTTGGAGGTTTTGCAATGTTTGAGTATCTTTTCCCTGCTCGTTCATGTTCCCGGAGGAGGACCCAGACCCTGTGTGGTCTCCTGCATCTCCAGCACTTGCCGCAGCATCAGTTGTCTTTCCTTTCGCTCCGTCACCGTCTGTGCCAGCGGTTGCAATATCTTCCGGCGAAGAGGTGGAGGGTGCGGTTCCTTTGCTAGACGAAGAAGACGCAAATGCTCCTGCCTCACTCTTCTCCAAAAACCCCTGCAACACAGCCTCTCGGTAGGATTCCGCGGCGACAGCAACGCCTTTTTTCTGCATCTCGAGAAACGCCTTTTCCTCCTTCTTTTTTAGTAAGTGGGTCGCCTTCTCCGGGTCGTGCTCTGCGTTGGACGTTGTGTGCGGTCCCCCTATACAGCAATGCAAAAGTAGCACTGCATCGCACTGGTATAATTTGCATGGCATTTTTACAAAGTGCCTTAGCATGACAGATGGAATTTGTCATGCTGTTTTAGCTTAGGAATGCGATTTGTCATGGTGCGTACATATACGTGCAATTTTTAGGACGCGTGCGATATTACTTTTGCAATGCATACCCCCTGGTCCGCCTCGGGAAGATGATGAAGATATGACAGCGCACAACTCCCCTTCCACCTCATTTGTCATGCAAAATAGCAACTCCATCCTTTTCCCTTTGGCACTGCTTGCATGACAAATTCCGGAAGCCAAAACCGCACTAGAATCGGTCGCGAATTTGTCATTCAAAGTCTGCATTTATGCCAGGACTTGTGTTGCTGTTTATGCCCTGCAAATGAGGGGGAGGGGGAGTTGTGCACTCTCATAGAAGAGGAGGCACCAGCAGCTGAAGCCGTTTTCATCTTTTCAAGCTGGGACTGGATCCGTGCGTCGAGGTCTTCCGGACCTCCCGCTCCTGCTATGCAACAAAGAAACTGTGTAGATGTAACTTTCTTGGAGGAATAGCATGACAAGTTTGCTCTGCATGACAGAGAAAACCTGTCATGCGTAGCTGGTGCGTGAAAACACGCACGAAAAGCGCCTCTGATGCATGTCCAGCATGACAGTTGTAAGTGTCTTGCATCGTCTGCAAAACAAAGTTACACTTACACAGTTTTTTTCTTGGATACCTGCCCCGGCGAGACTACTAGAGGTTGTCGTGGACAGTTCCGGATTCTGTTTGCTCAGTGCCTTGCTAATCTCCGTGTCTAGCACCATGCTGCCCATCTTCGTTGTAGCTGCAGGTGGAGGAGCTGCCTGGAGATCCGAGGACAAACCACTTGCTGCAATCGTCTGGGCTTGCTCGTCGGACGAGGCGGGCCCTCCAGATGCTTTCCAACCTGCGCAGGAGCTGCTCCCATCTGCTGCTGGACCCTGCTTACTGCATTTCTGGGGACTGTAGCCTTCGCCCTTTGCCAAATCCACCTCTTCCAGCTGGATGGGCTTGGCAGTCGCGTCGCCGCCGGGGGTCCGGTTCTTCTTACGGCTGCTGACAACGGCGCCCATTTCTAGTGCTTGTGCTGCGAATTATGGGTATTAATACCTTGGGTTTCTGATTCAGCTTTGTGCAGCAGTCTTCGAATTCATGAAAGGAGCAGAATAGGAATACTGCGGAGAGTACTACTTCTACGATAGTTGTACTTACAAAGAACCAAACGAGGGTGGACGATACGAATTTCTCTTTCGTCGTTGTATTATATCAACTTTAACTTCACATGGGTAGTGCAGTCGGCAAGAAAGGTCTACTGCCAGTCAAATCCCTAGTTGTACTGTTGAAAAACTACAAGTCGCGTTGTGGTGTGTGCGGACGCTTCTCTACAGTCATTTTTGCACACAGATGAATTCATCGGAAATATTTGACGAAGACACGATGAACATGAATGCAACTATCACGAAGCATTTTTTGGAAAGTATAAAACACACGATACATCTACATGCTACTTCGATGAATCTGGTAGTACGCAACCAATGATGAACCCCGCTACTGATGTTCTTCCCACTTCCTCCTTAATCTTCAAACACAAACCCTCATCTCGACCTCCTCTCGATGATTTCGAATACATCGCTCAGAATTATAGCGCTCCTCGAAAACTTAACGCCAATCGCTCCTCGGACTCATACCACGCAACTGGTAAAATAGCTCAATGCTCGAACAAGTAGCAGCTTTGTCAACAAGTAGCCTGAATAGGACATTAGCCTCCACCTGAACCTGGTTGTACAGCTTCTCAATAAGCAAAGTGACGCAGATAGATTAAGATAGATCGGTCGCTGTCAGTGGGATTGAAATTGTGCGGATGCGATGATTCGCCAGGTGCATTGTACACATCGTTTCATGCTTGACTTGACATCACAAGACGAGCTCATAATACACTCGGAAACCGAAACTTAAACTGGTTCAATAGCTTTTTGTTTTAATTCAGACTACTTTTCGATGAAGATGACACTGTAGTGTGGGTGGTTTTTGTTTTGATAAAAAATTGAAGTCAAACTATGAAGATAGAGGTAGAGCATCTTACACAGAATCAGTAACACAACTACTCTTGTGCTTCTTGTCCTTGTCGCTCATCGACATCGTTTCATCGAAACGGAAACCAATAAATCCTACAAAATATCCTTTTCCCAATCCAAAACTTGCAGGGTGTTATTCATGTCGTTTTGCACTAGCGCCAGCGCCTTGTCCCCCGTCAAGCTACACACGGACTTCCACCCCGGTGCCATTTTCACGTTCAGCTATCCACAGTAAATTTATTCCCGTACCCGTACAAATGCCGTCTTCGCATGACAAAACTTGGCTTCAATCCTAGTTTAGCATGACAAGTTGTATTATGCTCCAAATTGGGGAAATTTGTGTATGCATCTTGTACATGTACGGGAAATTTGTATTGCATATCAGCAAATTGAGTCCCATCACTTTCGTGCTCGTCGATAGTTGTTTCTCTTCTGGTTCCTCGAACACAAACGCCCGCCCGTATACTGTGCAAAAGTATCGCACTCGTATAAATGCCAGACTAGCATCATCATCATCATCATGTAGTGGACACCCTCTCCCAGCGCCACAGGTCAAGGATCCCCTCCCCGGGGGGTGGGCGAGGAAGCGCTTTCGGCAACCTCATCATACAAAAGCCGAGCGCTACCACGGCAAGTCGCCCCAAGAAAAGTGCCAACCAGTCGGGAGCTACCCACCACACCTGATCAGTACAGCCCGGCCAGCTAGCCGAGCGCGACAGCCCAACATACAGAACGATCCAGGACCCGACCCATTTTACGCCATGCGTTTTTGTTCTCACGGAAGAGACGACGTACCCCTTTGGGTTAAGGGGCGAGACTCTCCCCTAAGCCGCAGCCCCGCCCAGACAGGGGAGGCTGGACCGTTTGTGCCTTACCTGCGGCACGGGCGAACAGAGCAAGTGCACGGACCACAGTTGTCAAACCATAGACCAGTTGTTTGGCGCTGCTGACTGGCAACCCACCTGGGGCACAGCGACAACTTAAAGGCTTAATTTGTGCGTGGCAGTCGGTTTCTTAGGTAATTTAGCATGACAAATTTGATTTTTCATGCTGAGCTAATTTGTAATGCAATGTATACTAGTACGATGCTTTTGCAGTGCATAGCCCGGCATGGTCGGCAATGAGAAATTGCAGGCGGGTTCTAGTGGTAGCACTTCTTTGCAGGTGCGACGTTGATGTGCTACTAGAAGGTCCTTGTTGATTGATGTCCGGATCATTCGAGCTAGCCACAGCGACACCCGGACCCCCCGCCGTCGTGACGTTACTCACTTGTCTCGACAAAAACAGGCGCGTGCCGCGCAGTGGTAGGTTTTTCGGGTCGTACTCCAGTTGCGGGTGGAGAAACAGACTCACAGGCCGGAGTTTGTCATGCGGGTCAGGATTTGGTATTGGTGTTGTATTCGCTGCATCGCGATTTTTGGTCGACGTTGCTTTATTATTCTTCGGCATTATCCTGTGGTACCGCATTTTCAAAAAAGCGTTCTGGATTTCGCTTTGACTGCTGATGGAATCGATTCCGAGAAGAATTTCATCAGCTATTTTTTGAGGAATTTGCGATGCTGCGGTGGACGATGTGGAAGCAAGATCTCCAGCGTCTGCACCAGCCGGATTAGTCATGCTGTACGGCGCGGCAAAAATTCCCTGCAGCAGCGTATAACCCGCTCAGGTGTTACAATCTCAAACGTTACGATAAAATATGGAAATCTACTGTGTCTGTGATGCAAGAGTGCATGATCCAGCCTCTTCCCACAGGATTGCGCATGACAAGTTTCGGAGCTGGAGCTCCAAGCCGCACTATAATCTGGCGAAATTTGTATTGCAGAAAGTGGAACGCTCTGCGAGTCTGCCATGCTCATGATCATGCAAGACAAGTCCCAGATTCTATTGTAACGCTTGAGATTGTAACGTTTGAGCAGGTCATACAGCGTCCGCGGTTGCCCGGCGTCTTCGTTATCGGTCGCGCCCTGGCTGTTGGCAAAGAAGTTGCCGTTGAACACGGTCGTCTGATTGGCCGCGAGTATCCTGAGTAAAAACGTCCCCACCCCGTAGCTGTCATGCAGATTTGCAGTCACAGGAGGATGTGTCATGCGCATCCCCATGAAAAGCCTTTCCAGTCGTGTTTTGGGCTTTGTAATGCTGTAAACAGTATGATGGATTTCTGTTGCGACAGCGGCTGTACTTGCTAAACCGCACTACAATACAGAGACGAACTTGTCATGCTTGACTCCCAAAGCTTCTTGATTTGTGTTGCGAGATTCCCATCTTGACTCTGGGGTGGGCAGGTTTTTGCTCAGGATAACGAAGTGAAAATTATCTCCCCCTACTTTCTTCACTTGATGTTCCGTCAACCTGCACCGCTTGATCTTTCCATCCCCAAACAAGACCAGGACAGAATTGCACTGCTTTTCCAACAGGAGACCGTTGATCGCTTCGGCGAACGAGCAGGCGGCGGGGGTCTCGAGGGAGAGGTGGTGGTGGTCGGAGCGCAATTCATTGTCGCCTACTTCCGGTTGATGTAGTTCTTCTTCTTGTTCTTGCCCATGAAGATGTTCACGCCGCACCAGGAAATAAACCTGCCACCGCGACGCGAAGGCGGTTACGACTTGATAGGGTTTCATCTTTTTCGACGCACTACTACTGCATTCCGGGCGGCAGCTGACGTGTTGCAAGAACGGAGCTAGGCTGCTAACCGCGTCGAAAATCAGATCGGTGGTGGATTCGGAAGTAGCTCCTTCACTTCTTGCCAGTGATGGTGTCAACCCTTTGTAGTAGTAGTTCCCTTGTCGTTGATGCATGACTTCTGCAACTTCCAGTGCCGTTGAGCTTGGTGATGTTCTTTTCCTTATTTCCTCGGGAGTCGAAGACGAAGTAGATAACACACCAGGGCTTGTATCGCGCTGCTCCTGCTCCATTGTACTGTTAATATCAGCTGTAGTAGAAGTTGTTGTTCCTACCGCTGCGAGAAAAGAGTTCGAGTGGCGGTTCTGTTCACGTCGCTGCAGCTCCTGGTGCCCCCAGACTTCCGCCTGTGACACGCTTGCGCTTGCTGTGTTTATTCTGTTGCTACGAACCCTGCTAGATGAGCTGGTGGAGGACATGACTTCATCCATCAGTAACTCGTGTTCGTCCACGTCTTCCCCTCCCGCAAAGCTGATTTGCACTTCCCGGGAGGAAAAATGGCTTTTTTCTTGTTCACGACCTTGTTCTCCTGCTTCTTGCTGAGAAAAATAGGTTTCCATCCATGAAGATGAAGAAGTAAGGCCAACCATAGAAGACGAAGCTTCTTGGTTGCCATCCGTGGCCTGAGGACCAGGCTCTTCCGTAGAAGTTGTCCTGCGGCGGAAGAACAGAGAAGAACCTGAGTGGAGCGCTCCTGCTCCCGCCGCAGCGTTCTCCTGTTGCAGCGGAAGGAAGGAGCTAGCCGCAGCGCCGGCAAGATTTTCATCGTTGGCGCGGCCGAGTAGAAGATTTTCATTCGAAGTTGGAAATAAAGAGGTTCCCTCCAGAACCGACCGAAACGCCGCACTGTCTTCCACCAGTTCCCCGCTGCCCATATTTTTCCCGATAGACAAGAGTCTTTGGTCCCAGTTTTTAAAGAAGTGCTGGAACACGCAAACGACCGTCATAGCGAAATACAGAAAAATCACCAGACATCCACTCGCGTTGTACAGCTTATGCGGCAATAGCATCTGGTCGGTGGACGCCTCAAAGTGCACTCTTTTCCGCGTGCTGGAAAGCTCCAAAATTTCGCGTCCGATGTTCAGTTCTTGCTTCTGGTTTTTCGTTTTCACCCGCGCGGAAGCGGGTGAACCACGGCCGTTGGTGGTGGGATGGAGAAAAGCACTGCTCAAATCGCTGTCGCGCGAGGAATCAAAGTAGGTTGAGGCGGTGGACAAGTTCGGTTCGCGAAAGTTGTTGCCGGTATTGGGGCGCTGATGGCCGTAGAAGGATGAACTATCATCTTCGTCCGCAATGCTCAGTTCCTCCGGCAGTTCCTGCTGGAGGTGGGCATCAGCATCTTCAACATTGTCGTTCCTTCTCTGCGAAGCGAGTGGATTATTGTCGTCCTGTCGTCCTTCGCGATTTGTACTATCTGTAGTGGCATTTGGTGAAGACGGTGTTTCTACTGCAGTGAGCACACTAGACCGCCGGCGCGGCTTTCTTTGTCCCGGAGCGGTCGTGTTGGGGGCCGACGACGACCGCCTATCAACTTCTACACGACCAGGACCAGGAGTTCTTCCTGTCATCCCGCCTAGCTCCATCTCAACATCGTCATCACTTGCACTGCTCGACCTCCACCTCGTTCTCAATCTCATGCCGCCGCCAGCGCGACGTTCTACGGACGATCCAGTCGTGCTGGCCCTGCTAGTGCCCGTCGCTGAGGACCACGACGCGGTCGTCGCCCCGCCCCCCGCGGTGCTGTCGATCGAGGCGAGTTGCAGCATCGGGTCGAGTATGGGACTCTCAAACGTTACATTCTCAACTGTTACATAAATTTGTCATGCAAAAGCACCTTAAGCTGGCAGATGATCAAGCTGCTCCGCATGACAAATTCCGGAAGGGCTAAACAGCATCTAAATTTGCGCCAGTCTTGTAATGCAAAAGGCGCAATCTTTCTCCTTTCACTCTTGCCAGTCTTGCATGACAAACTCATGTAATGAGAATGTAACATTTGAGAACACCTCCATATCGAAAAGATCGAAGTTCTGTTCCACAAACTTCTCGGCTTCCAAAACGTCCTGCTCAAGCTGGTGCAAGCAGGTGAAAACCTTATGCATTGCAAACATGTCTGAGTCTGGCGGATCTCGAAAGTTCAAACTTGTATTGCTGGTCTTGCAATAGCAATTCATCTGAGCAATCTGTGTTGCGTGACCAGCAAAAGTCGCGCCGTCCTCTTCTGTCATACAGAGACGCAGTAGTTTGTTCTCATGCGGGCTGTGCATGAGAAAGCATGATTCTGCAAAGTTGTCATGCTTGGCTGCGTTCGGAAGTGTCTCCATCATCCACACTTTGGCATCACAAGTTTTTCCAGGCTCAGAGAACATATTTGCGGTTGATAAACCTCGGCCTCGTACAAAATCTGGCTTTCGTTCAGTGCCTTGTCTCCCTCGTACAGGTACAAATCCTCGTTGTTCGGCTGGGAAATATTCTCGTACTTCAGGCAGTACGTGCCCGTCGCCGGGTCCAGGAAGTGTTTTTCGCGGAATTTCATGCATTGCAAATATGTCAGGGTCTGGAAGGGTGGAACTTATAATGCTAGCTTTCCATACCTAGGAAATCTGTATTGCATAAACCTACAACTGTCGCAGCCTCTTTTGTACATGCAACCACGCAGGAGCTTCTCACGCGGATTGCCTACGAGGAAGCGTTCTGGAAAGGTGTCATGCTAGGTTGCATTTTTCGGAACTGTTTCCATCCTCTACATTTTAGCATCACAAGTTTCCAGACCCAGACATATTTGCATTTGGTAAATTTTTTCTTGTTCAAAAACTTTCGCCGGTCATACTTCCACAGCTTCGGCAGTTTCTTGCTCTTGCTCATCGATTTACTATTCGATAGGACTGCACTCCTGCCGTTGACCGCCTCTTCCTGTTCGAGTCCATCTCTGCCACCATGCTTCATTCGGGCAGCAGCAGCGCTCCTGGAACCTCCAACCAGTGCAGCTTGTCCACCTTCTCGCAGCGAAAGCTCTTCTTGTTGTTTTGCAAGTTCCCGGTTTTGCAGCATGGCCTTGCGAACGGTTCCGGCGCGTCTCTGCAAGTCTAGAAAGAGCTTCACATGCGTGTACTTTTTGGAATAAGAATCTTCTGATGCAGTTGAAAACAAAGACCACCCGTGCTGGACGATGTCGTCCTTGTTGTTTTCCTGTAGGTTCTTCCTCTCAACATTACCAGCAGTGGAACTACTGTGATAGCCCTCGTCCTCGTGGTAGTAAAGCCGCAGTAAGTACCCCGCCTCTTCCTCCGCCCGCTGCAAGACGGAATGGATCAAGCCTATCATGTACATCTCCTCCTCCGAAATATGAACAGCGGCGCTCACTGTCGCTGCGTCGTCCGCGCCGTCGGTCTTCCCTGTGGCGTGGCCTGTTGCCCCTACTTGTACTTGCTGCCTCCGTTCTAGCTCATCTTGTTGTAGTCCTTGGGGATAGTTCCTGTTCAACATCTTGCGCTGTTGATGTTCTTGTGCTAGTGGCAGTGGATCCTGAAGCAAGCGGTCCGGTTGGGGGTCGACGTCTTGAATGTCGAATAAATGATCCTCGTCGCAGCTGCTACTGCTTGTGTTTGCTGAGGGCCGCGTGGTGGAGTTCTTCCTGTTGTTCCGACAGCGACCCCTTGTTCCTGCTACACTTTCATCGCCCGCACTAGTGGACGACGTGTCGGCCGCGTCTTCATCAGAAGCCGGGTCTTGATTTTTCATTAGCTGCGCCTTGTTTATGTTTTCCTGGTAGAAGTTTTTGTTCTTTCCCACCCCCTTTGGAATCTCCTCGTGCAACTCGGCGTGCTTCAAAATTTGTCTCGCGGGCTTCCACGCCAGCACGTCCAGAAACGCCACCGACCGGACCCGGGTGGGCAGCAGCAGCTCACTGCGCACCATGCGTAGCGGCCGGCCCTGTTCATCGCGTTCTAAGTGCTTCTTTGCCAAGGGGTTCACGGGAGGCTGGGTGAGGAGAAAGAAAACGAGGAAGAAAAAGCCCTGCGCGGTTACTTTCCCAAACAAGATCCAGTTGCGTCTCTCCCAGCTCAAAGCCCAGAACAGCTCCAGGATATGAACAGAAAAGTATTAAAGCTCGGCACAGTTACACACTATTTTGCAGGTCAGGCTTGCATGAGCAAATTTCTATGTCATCACAGCTTTTTCTAATTCTACTCGTCACTTTCATAGATAAGTACAAGTAGTACTACTTACAACGAAAGTAAAAAATTGCACATGAACTACATGTACATCAACTTTGCTTCTCGATCTCGTGGTGCATTTCTTGCATGACAGTAGACAGCTTTGATGTATTGCAAATGTGCGGCGCAACATGACGCGAACAAGTGACCACTGCGAGGACGAGCTTTTTTCTTACATTTGATACAGGAAGATCTCCTGCGATTGCTGCGCGTATGCGTCTTCGGAAAGAAACACGCTATCCGCGTCCCGAAGGAGCCCCTGCGTCTCGGGCATCGTTCTGGCCAGCCCGTTGCTGTCCATAAAGACCCGGGATTCGAAGAAAGATCCGAGCCCCGTGGCCAAAATCTGGCCCCAGACGGCCAGGTCCAGCAGCAGGTGCCACCCCCTATCAAATGTAAAAGTGTCTGGGTCTGGAAGAGTGCGGGCCTTGTCATGCACGTTTTCCATGACCCATGAGGTCTGGCATGAAGGACATAGCATGACAGATTCTGTGAGAGTTCTATCATGCCTATCCTGCATGAGAAACTGCCTCGGGATGAGGTCAAAAGTGGACAGCTTTTGGTAATCATGCAACACAGATTTTTACATGCATTCAGAATTAGCATGACAAGTTGCTTTGTTCCAGACCCAGACATTTTTACATTTGATATCCCCGCGGGGCCGACAAATCCAACTTCGTAATGACCCCGGCCGCGAGCATGTATTGTAGGGAAAAATCCCCCCTCCCCACATCGAAAATAAGGGACGCCTCAGAAAATTTGCCATGCTGATTTGTGACCACAAATCATCTCTGTCTTGCAAGATGGCTAATCCACAGACAACCGCCGCACTATGCCTGCGGTTTGTGATGCTGCTGGTCCTACAGCGTTGACTTTTGTCATGCTGGGTGCAACCTATGGCAAAACCTCTCGGCTCAGGCTTAGCATATGTCTGCCGTCCTCTACTGCAAGACAAGTGCGATTCGTGTACGCAAATCCAGTATCAGAAATTTCGTTTTGGTAGGGGGAGGGGGGATTTTTCCTTTTGATAGCATGAAGACGAAACTCACGGCGAGGCACAGCCACGGAGACTTCTGGATCGCGAACCCGAGCACCCACAGGGTCAGAGACTGCAGGGCATCGTAAGGAAAAATTCCCCCTCCCAATATCGAAAGCGTATCCGTCTGAAAATTTGTGATGCGCATTTGTAACCTCAAATCCTGTCTGTCTTGCAAGACGGCAAGTCCAGAAAGCGTTCCGTATTTTGCAGGCGGTTTGTGATGCTGTTGGGCTAAGAGCATACGCGTTTGCCATGCTAGGCGCCTACGTCAAAACCTCTCGACTGAGGCTTGACATATGCCTGCAGTCCTCTACTGCAAGACAAATCTGATTTGTATATGAAAATACTGCATCAGAAACTTCGTTTCGATATGGGGAGGGAGGATTTTTCCTTTTGATACAGGGTCGCGACGGTCGACAGGAGCATGGTAATTATGCAATGCAAAAGCATCGTACTAGTAGTACAAATTGCATCACAAATTAGCCCAGCATTACAAATGAAATTTGTAATGCTGATTTACCTTGCAAAAGAGATTTGTAATGCATGATAAACGCAATTAGTACGAGTACCATACTTTTGCACAGGATAGTAATTCGGCAGTAACTGTCGTACACTTGCCAGTGCCTTTGCAGCCCGCGGTACTGATCCAGATGCGAAACGCGGATCAGGAACTCATCAGTTGGAGTTGCCGCGGACGACCCGCCGGCCGCGGTGTTGCCACCTGCCCCTGATGGTCCTCCATTGATGATGTTGGGTTGTTTATCTTTTCCATGATCCTGATCTTCTCGATTTTCCTCCGCATAATTCTCCTCTGGGGTCCTCATCTCGTGCTGTTTTTCACCACCTACTCGCCCTCGTCCGGGCAGTGTTCTTCCTGGGAAAAAACTACCGGCATCAACTGCCTCATCGTCCCGCTGCTGTGCCAAGTCAAAGTCAATGGGTCTCAGGTACACCTGCGTCCTGCCCTGCGCGAGGTTCTCCTCCTCGTCGACCCTCGTCCTCCGCAGGATTTCGGCGCCCGTCATGGCATGCTATAACCAGCTCAGGTGTTACAATCTCAAACGTTGCAATAGAATATGGCAATCTGTGATGCAAGAGTACATGATCTGACCAACTCTCATAGGCTTGCGCATGACAAGTTCCGGAGCCCGAAACACCACTACAATCAGGCGAAATTCGTATTGCAAAAGGTGGAACGCTATGCGAGTCTGTCATGCTCATCATGCAACACAAATTCCAGATTTTATTCGTAACGTTTGAGATTGTAACGCTTGAGCAAGTCATACATGCGAGGGGTCATTTAGGTGGTACCGATCCCGGCCCGCGAGTCGCACAACTTCGCCCTCGGGGCGCCGGCGGGGAAGGGCGGCGGCGACATGCGAAGATGGTCCTGCTGGTGGTCTTGCTTCTTTTTCGTTGTCGTGTTGTTGTTCCAGTGTAGTTGTTCCCTCAACATCAACATCTGACGTGGTTCTCATCTCCCCTTCTCCGCGTGCTGGTGCTCTGTCTTTTACAGTTGTAGTAGGTGCATTTTTCGCATCAATCCTGTTGTTCGCTGAATCGAATATCCTGCCGGTTCCGTCATCGACCTCTCCACGACCGGCCGCTCGGTCTTCCAGCACTTGCTTACGCGCCTGCTCTTCCAGGTACTCGTTTAGGTAGTAGTGCTCCAAAGGGTCCGCCTGCAGGTAGAACGCCCGCTTCTGCCGTATGGGACTCTCAACTGTTACATTCTCAACTGTTACATGAATTTGTAATGCAAGAACAGCGAAAGTGAAAGGCAGGATCTTCCAACTTTTGCATTACAGATTTGACACAGTTTCAGATGCTGTTTAGCCCTTCGAAGCTTTGTCATGCCAAGCCGCTCGGCCGTGTGGTTGTTTATGGTATTTTTGCATGACAAATGCATGCAACAGTTGAGAATGTAACGTTTGAGAACGCCATATGCCGGCCAAAGAGGCTCTGCACTTGCGGAAACCCGCGCAGAAACCGATCGCTGAACGGCAGTCGGAACAAAGTCGCGGGCGCCTGCTTCCCGCCTTCCTGGTCTCCGCTGGTCTGTGGCGCGGCCAGCGCCCGCTGCTCGAAATCTTGTAAATTCCGTCGCGCCGCGTCAATTTCGCTTCCGGTGGGGATGTCCCGGAGAATGCGACTTTGGAGGGACAACGTCGTGCCACACGTGTTCGCGACCACTGTTGCGAAGATCGCGAAATAGAGGGCGAGAAGGGAAAATAGAATCGCCGATGTGAGGGACAACGCGAAGGGAAAAATCAGCGAGGTCGGAAAAAGCGGAATCGTCGTGTCTGTTCGATTATGCATTGCAAATCTGCTGTCAGCTGGGCGGCGGTTGTCTGCAAGAAGATCATTTCTGACGCAAGATCATTTCAAGATCATCTGCGACGCAAGAATACGAGTCTCGGCCTGGTGCTTTTTGTCGTACTGGAAGCCAAAAGGCCATTGCCACGTGCGAATGGAGGTCATCTTGAGCGTGACATTGACATTGACTCGACAACATCTGCATAAAAAAATCAAACAACATCACGAACAAACTTCGCAAATAAAGTTCTTCTGCAGGAGGTTTGTTATGCAGTACAAGCGTCAAGCGGCTAGTACTCTGAGCAGATCATCATGATGCGAGTATCAACAGCAACACAAATTTCATCATTCTGAGGACCACCACCTCCCAGACAGCATATTTCCAAGGCATACCGAAGCTGCAAATCCAGAATCGGTTTGTTCGGCCCCTGCCAGATCACCACTACCGCTTTTAACATGGATATCGCAAGAAAAAACTGCTTCACTGTGAACTTGTGATGCATAGAATGGAGCACAGAACGATTTGTCTTGCTACACCTGCAAGACATTGGATTTTTAGGCGTGTTTTCCCTTTGGAAGCGCGCATGGCAAATTTTCTGTGTCATGTGTAACAAACTTGTGATGCAGATCTTGCAAAGCCATCACAGTGAAACAGTTTTTTCCCTTGATAATGGAGGAATCCACAAACATGCCGCCAACGAACGCCAGCTGGATGGTAATGAACAGGGTGTAGAGCGTATGGGAGTGCCAGGATCGAAATCGCCAAAGTTGAAATAGTTTGTCATGCATAAAACGGATACCAGTTGGCGCCTAGTTTTCAAGTGGCGCATGACAAATTTGGGTAGAGCCGAAATCCAGCTTGTAATGCGGCTTGGGTAAGAAAGACGCCTTTTGTCATGCTACTATAGCAGCTCTCTACTTTCTACCCCGCAGCTACAGGCTTACAATCTGCCTCCCTTCTTGCGTCCTCTGCAATAGAGGCAATTTCTGCGTTGCATTTTATGCGTCACAAACTATTTCAACTTTGACGATTTCGATCCTGACGCTTCCATAGAGCGACATCTTCTGGGTGGTCAGCCCCTATCAAATGCAAAAATGTCTGGGTCTGGAAGAATGCAACATTTGTCATGCATATTTCTCATGACCCATGACGCCTGTAATGCATGCCCTAGCACAACAGGTTTTTTGAGGGATTCTTGATGCCCATTCCGCATGACAAATGCCCTCTCCGCGTAGCAAAAATTAGATTCCTTTTGCTGCTCATGCAACACAAATTTTTTGGACATCGAAACGCAGCATCACGAGTTGCATTCTTCCAGACCCAGACATTTTTACATTTGATAGCCCCACGAGATTCGCGATGTCTTCCCGGTACAGCCAGATCCACTCCTTGCGCGCAAAAAACCGCTGGTTTTGCGTGGCCTGGGCCATACTGGCGTCGAACTGGTACAGCGAGCGATTGTACTGAAACACATCCTTCAACCCCTCCCACCCCACCTGGGCCGCCAGAAAAGCCGCGGTCGGCCCGAGCAAATCCGGGATCACCACCATGGTGCTGCGGTTCGTTGTAGTGCTGCTGCTGGAGGATCTAGTCCAAGCTGCCCGGTGGAGGGTCGTGCCTCTACTGGTGACGGAGAAGTGCTGCTAGTACCGTATGTGGTGCTGGACGACCAAAGGTGCGTTTTTTTTTCCATTGAAATTGATGGAGGTTCATCTCGTGGGAGAAATGGAAATCTCCTAGCAGCGTGGTGCGTGCGTGGAAGTAATCTCGTCAAAAAATAATTCTCAAAGGTGGTAGTAAAATCGGAGTGCGATAAATAATGTTCTACTTGAGGTTTCCGTTTCTAGTTGTATTGGACTACAACTTACATTACTGACTTACTTCCTTCCTTGACCTTGTCTTGGCGGCCAAAATGTGGTGTACTTTTGCATTTGGTTTTCGTCCAACGCTACGGCATGGCTGCGGCCCTACAGCTACAAGTACAACTTCTTTATTGCCCGCCATCATGATGACCGAGATGCAGAGATACTAGCAAAAACTTTTTTTTACAATCTAGAACTGCCGGACATGGATCTGAACATATAAAGTGTAAGTGACTCACTTCTCACCCACTCACTGGCAAAAAAGAGGAAAACTAATAAGTAGTTGCGAAGTATAGTAGCAACATGAAATACTTAGGCATTAAAATCAAATGAAGTTGTCTTGTGATTGAGTTGTTGAGCAATCTGGAGCGCAGGGGGAACCTGAAAATCATGCGGGATCGTGCAGCACCACTGGCGTCTGTGTTCGTAATTTGATTTATCGGAGGATCGAACTGTAGACAGAGACCTGAAAGCACATCACGACCATTGGCTTGCTCAAATTAAACGAACTTCGTTGCGCTGTTTCTGTTTTTGTTACCTACTATCTATATTCTTGCTTCCAAATGAAACGACTAAAACGCGCTGCACGAGACAGAGGGACGAAACAACGAAAAATTTTGCACGAGCACGGCGAGCACGATGACGACAACATTCGCATGGGGGCACTAATAAAATTCTCCTAGACGAAAAGGACAAGGTCAAGGGCGACCACGAAGATGCTGGATAGTACATAGAAATAGATCCTGACGCGCCCCTGCTACTTACATCTCAAAACAAGAAACCATACCCGTACGAGATTAGGCTCTTGTTGCGCGATTCCTGGTCGGCCACAGCGGGATCATGTCGTGTGACTCTAGAGAGAAGTTGAATCTTGAAGAACTTGAAACAACCCAAGTAGGAAACGTATCATAGTAAGGTAAAAGCTGCGTGCTTGCCGTCCTCGAATTTGCAATCATCAAGCTTTCACGAAGATGAATTCTTGTTCGTCTTCGTCCCATCTTTTCACAACATCTCTGTAAAAAACAAGAGGGGGCTACTGCAAATACAGACCCCGACATTAGTACTAGCTCTAGCAAGTGGAAGTGCAAGACTATTTTCGTGGATAATAAAAACATTGCCTGTTATTGCTGGTCGCTCACTCTTTGAGAAGGGCAAGCCAGCAAATCCTCGGGTAGTACACATCAAATAGAAGTCAGCGTCTACTAAAATCAGCAAAGCTGATGCTGAATACAATAGTACAACATGGTCGAAGGAGTAATCTTGTGATCCTCGAGATCACGGCAAAATCTCTAAAACTGCAAAAGCAAAATTGAAATTGATTTTGTAGGTGCTATCTATGTGGATAAATTGGCACTGTGCCTGATCTGTTCTTGTGTAAAAAAACCATCAATGCTACGTAGCTAGTGGCAACATCGCGTGGCTTTGCCATCGCGGCCACCAGTCGTCGTGGTTAGAAACTTCAATAAAGGTTGTATAAAAACTACGTATATAATCATATCACTCTTGCTCGCTGCTTGCTGTGTTCTCGAGAAAAAGCTATCGGATTATAGAATAGTAAAGCACATAGAACTAGAAGACATATTATCGCTATAATCTTTTGAACTTCAGCTTGTTCGCCGATCACTAGGTTTAATGAAGAAACAAACGCGCCGACGCTGTGGGCAGAATAAAGAAAGAAACGAGCGTCGCTTTGCAGTTGCAGAAGTGGAGCTGAAAAATAAAGTCATTAGATGTATGATTGAAAGAGGTCACTACAATCAAAAATTTCTTCCCTTCCCAGCAGCTATCACATACCACGTGACGTTCAACATCGAGAAGCGTTGTTTTTCAAGTCGACGCTTGAGAAATGACGAGTACGTAGTTTCGACCAACATCACGGAGGATCTACGTCCAGTTTTCGTCGACGAATTCCCGCCACGAAGCAGAAACAAAAACATCGACATCCAAAGTATCTTAAAAAAACGCCGACATCATCATAATCTACCAGCACAGAATCAGCAGCTAGGAAACGTTTCCCCGCATCGTCCCGGGGTGGTAAAGCCGCGACGTTGCAGTCATCAACTTTTTCACGCCTCGGTCCCTCGATATTCCGTCCCTGTTTTCTAGCAGCGGTTGCCCGCTTTCCCCGCCCGCAACTCCACCCGCGCAACCGTTTCGGTAGTTCGGCTTCTTTCCGGTAGACTTTGACATGCCACCACCAGCCGCAGTTCTTATCACGGGAGACTCCAGCACCGCGTCACTCGGCGAGTTGCAGCTTAGTTGCTTGATGGAGTTGTTTGCGTTTTTCGGGAGGTAGGTATCCAACACCAGCTGCATGTCGGTCAGCCGGGACGCCAGCTGTCCCATGGATTCCCACAGGTCTTTCAGGTACTCCTTGTCTCTGCTTGGCGACGAGGTGGCGGCCGTCGTTATGGATGTGTCAGGATTGAAATCGACGAAGTTGAAATAACTTGTAATGCATAAAATGGATGAAAGTTGTGACCCAGTTTCCAAGTGGCGCATGACAAATTTAGGTACCGCCGGAATCCAGTTTGTCATGCTGTTTAGGTAAGAAAGCCGCCTTTTGTCATGCAACGTTACGCAGCTCAGTTTCTACTCCTCAACAGGCTTACAATCTGCCTCACTTGCCTACTCTACATGACAGGCACTTTGAGGGCTGCTCTTTATGCATGGCAACCTATTTCAACTTTGACGATTTCAAACCTGACGCTTCCATAGTCGTGGGCGACGAAGTAGAGGAAGAGAGCTGTTGGCTGGTGGTGGGCCCACGACCGTTGGCACTCCCTCCAACTCCGTTCTCCACCACCCACTCACGCAGGTACTGCATCTTCTCCTCCATTTTCTCCTCTAGTTGCTTGCTCAACTCGGTGAGCCTCTCTTCCTGTTTTAGTTTTTCAGCAGCTTGTACTCGCTCTACTGCGTCTACATCTGCGCCGCCGCTTTCGACAAGACCATCAAGCTTGTTCTGTGTGTTCTTCGAAGAGGATGCAGCAGCCGCAGCAGCGGCTATTTTGTCTAGTTCAAACTTCGACACCAGTTGGTCAAAGCCTTGCTCCATCTTTTCCGTTAAAATATCATCCAGCTTCGTCAGGAGTTTCTGCTCCAGGTTCTGTTCCAGGGTGGATAGGACGTGTTGCTCGATTTTGGTCTCGAAGTCCAGGTATCAAATGTAAAAATGTCTGGGTCTGGAAGATTCCGGGATTTGTGATGCATATTTTGTGTGATCCACGATTCATGTACTTAATGCATGATCTAGCATCACAGATTTTTCGAGGGCTTCCTGATGCCTATTCCGCATGACAAATGCCCTCTCCGCGTAACACAAACTGGACCCCTGTTGCTGGTCACGCAATACAGATTTTTTTGGGATCCAAAGACAGCATGACAAGTTGCAATTTTCCAGACCCAGACATTTTTACAATCCATACCAGGTCTTGCAGCGACACCTGCTTCATATGCACAGCAAATTTCCCGCACACAGAGGTACAAATACTGTCTCTGCATGACAAGATTTGCTCGCAATCTTAGCCAGCATGACAAGTAGTTGCTTCTTCTAAGTAGCTGAAATTTGTGATGCATGTCGTACATGTACGGGAAATTTGTATTGCATACTTCAGACACTGTTGCACCTCGGCCTGGATCCAGGTCTTGGAGTTGTTCATCTCAGATAGGGATGCAACATCGTCATGTACAACCTCTCCCCTGCTGATATTAGTGCCCTTGTCTACTGGTGCTGTGCACGAGGACCTGAAGAGATGAGACCGTGGTCGTGCGGAAAACAAAATGTTTGTATCACAAAATGCGCAATGTAAAATTATGCCTCCAGAACAACAAAGAAGACGATGAGGAGCTGTAGCTGGGACGTAAAAGTAAACGAAATGTTGGTTGTGGCTCCTTTAATATTTCACGGAGCTTTCATCTGGTCGTTTTTCTGCACGTGCAGAATTCCTCAAGAACAGCGTCAGCTTCATCTTGCTCTTAGACTTCAACAAAAAAACATCATATTTCAGTACCCATGTTGATTTGCTGCGGCCAGCTCCTTTCGCGCTTCTTCTAGCCGAGACGCTAATTCTATGGACTGCAACAGTATCGTAGTACTCGTACAAATGCATTACAAATTTCCTCAGCATGAGAAGTAAAAATTGTGATGCGAATTTACCTAAAAAAAAAGAGTTGTAATGCATGATTGCAACAGGAGTGCGATACTTTTGCACAGGATAAATTGCTCCATCTTATCGGCGTACTCGTCCTCCATTTTCTGAAACTGGTCAGACAGGTCCTCCTATCAACTGCAAAAGAGTCGGGGTTTGTCATGCACATTTTACATGACCGCCTATGAGGTCTGTGATGCAGCAGGTCCTAGCATCACAGATTTTTTGAAGGTTCCTTGACGCTTATCACGCATGAGAAATGCCCTCTCCGAGTGCCAAGAGCTGGACTCTTCTTCCTGCTCATGCAATACAATTTTTCAGAATCCGCGGACAGCATTACAAGTTCAAAGCTCAACCCTTCCAGACCAAGACATATTTGCAGTGAATACCTCCGCCAAAAGTTCACACGACTCCTTCAATTCTTCCCGGAACTCGTCTTTCAGCTCCTCCTGCAAAAGATCTTGGGACTTTTGTATCACCGTTTTCACGTTTTCCAAAATCTTTTCTTCCTGACTCGGCAGCAGCTGCTGCTCGATTCGCTTCTGCAGAGCTGTCGTGATTTGGCTCTCAAGTCGACGTTCCGAGTATGGATGTGTCAGGATCGAAATCGCCAAAATCGAAAAACTTGTGATGCATAAAATGTAGGGCACTGAAGGCCTGTATTGGGGAGCAGGCAAATGAGACCGATTGCAAGCCTGTTTAGGGGTATGCAATGTGCTGCCAGAGTAGCATGAAAGGAGCAGCCTCCTTTGTCCAAACAGCATGACAGACTGGATTTGGGTGCTCCCGAAATTTGTCATGCGCCAGTGGGAAACTGAGGCTCCAACTGGTATCGATTTCATGCATCACAAATTTTTCGACTTTGTCAATTTCGATTCTGACACTTTCATACCGAGTGGTCGATTTGTTGAAGTAGATCATGTTGGCCCAGTGCTGGCTATGACAGTGCACAACTCCCCCGCCTCCCCCTCATTTGTATACGTAGCATAAATGGCAATGCAAGCATCACTAGAGTGCCGGTTTTGCATGACAAATTTGCACTGGAGTGTAGTGCAAAATTTGGGCGACCACAACTTGTCATGCATAAGAGTGACATGAGGAAAAGCGTGGGTTTGGTATTTTGCATGAGAGATGAGAACGAAGGGGAGTTGTGCACTTTTATACTGGCTGTGCGCAGCTGCCTGCCGAGGATGAAGACGAGGCGGTCGAAATTCCACCAGCATCCTGAGTAAAAATGTTCCCACACCAGAGTCAAGATGTAAAAT